TTAATATTAATAAGTACTTAATCTATAATATACCTAAGTAGTTCTATCTTATAGAGCTACTATAAGAAAATATACCTTCTCTTCTAGAATAAGATAGTAATATACTTTTATCATATAGTAGAATTAGTCTTATAGATACTATAGAATCTTTATAATAAAAGTAATAAGTAGTACTAGCTCTCTTTAAGTAGTATTATAATATACTTTTATAAAGATGTTTACTAGATTCTACTTATAGTTAAGTAGGAGACCTATAGCTAGATTACTAATATAATACTTAGATATTTTATTCTATAGTACTATATATATATATTTTCTATTTTATATAGAATATATACCTATACTATCTAAATCTTACTTTTAGTAACTACTAGAAGATTATAGTATTTATAAAATAGCTACTCTATATTAATAAGAATATTAATCTGGATAGAAGAGTTCATTAGGATATATAAAACTAAATAATTAGTAATAGTATAAAAGCTTTTACTACTATTATTTTTTCTAGCTTTAGATAGTAGTAGTTATCCATAGATTAGCTATAAGATACTCTAATTCTTATACTAAAGAATAATATAATAGATAGTATAAACTAGCTGCTACTTAATATAGTACTAAGCCTAGAGGTAATATTCTACTTTATAAACTACTATAAGAATATTATTAGACCTATAGCTCTTTCTAAGAAGTTTCTATACTCTATTAATATTCTATAGCTACCTCTATATATACTCTATCTTAAGTCTAGCTATCTAGTAATACTACTTTATAGCCTTAATCTAAATAATAGCCTTTATAATAGTATATAGTTAGTAGTCTTCTCTATATTCTATACCTTATTATACTACTTAATTTTAGAAATATAGAGGTATAGTAGAGTTATAGAGCTATTATATATACTCTTAAATACGCCTAGCTCTAATTAAAAGCTTAATTTTATATAGTACTAGTTTTCTATTAGGCTTACCTTTATAACAACTATTAGTAAGGTATAGAGCTAGAGTCTATCTAGTATTATAGTACACTTTCGCCGCAAAAGTTCTCGGCACCTCTAAAGATTAAAGATTAAAAATAGATTTAACTTACTTAATAAGCGGTATACTATTATATAGCTTATATAGTAGAAGCTATATAAGCTCTTCTAAATATACATATAGAAAGAATTTAGTTTACTCAATAACAGCTTATAAAAATAGATATATTACCAATTTATAAAAGCTATAATAACTTACTAAGAGAATTATAGAAAAATCTAAAACTTATATATTTATATACTATAGTATTTATAAGTAAGTTCATCTATTAATGTTAGCTAAATCTTCTATATTACTAAAGTAATAGTACTTTAATTTTCTTTAAAAAGTAGTAAAAAATTGTTCTTCTTAGTTTAATAATATAATAAATAGAGCTTCTACTTCTAAATTAGCTATATATAGTATATCCTATATTTGCTATAGCTTACTATACTTATAAGTTTAATATAGCTCTAGTTTAAGAAAATAATCCAATAAAACTAGAATATACTAAAAAGTACAAAACTAAACTAGTTAATAGCTCTATAGTCTAGTTATAAAAATATTATTATTATTTTATTTTTAGGCTACATACCACTGGTAGTAGCTATATAATAGATATTAGCTATATTACTACTCTTTACTATAGTAGAAATTAGATCACTAAAGTTTCTAATATTTTTAAAATTTAGTAGTTTTAATAGCTTACTAGCTATACTTTTTAGAACATTCTATTATATATAGAATTAGTAGCTAATATACTTACTATAAGTGTACTTAGTACTCTTTATATTAGTACTATAATGCCTTTAAAGCGGCTTTAAGTTCCTTAGTTTTTAGAGATGCCGGGAACTTTTGCGGCAAAAGTGTAGTTAGTTTATAAACCCTATTTCTAGTAAAATTAGTAATAGATATATTCTACTATAAATCAAAGTAGCTAAAACTAGTTATAACTCTCTTATATATAGCTTATTACTTTAACTCTTTATAACTAGAAGTGCTTATAGGTGTTACTATAATAGTAAAACAGATTCTTAATATAGAGTAGAAGAATAGGCTATTAGTAAGAATAGTACTATATACTAGACTAGAGGCCGATAGTGATATAACCCTCTTCTTATTATATATAGATTATATAGTAGTAATATAGTATATTACTAATAATACTTAGACAACTATAAAAGACTAAAGAAGGTATAGTATAATAAGAATAATAATAGCTACTAGAAGCTACTACTAATAAGCACCCTTAATAATATACTTAATTACGCTAGTATTAAACCGACTAAGAAGATTATTAGTAAACTAATAACTAACTCTAATAAGTATATAGTAGATGATCTTAAGGGTCTTTCTAGAATAAATACTAAAGAAGTATTCTCTACTACTTAGAGTTATAGATATAATATAGATAATATATAGTTTATAATAGATAACTTTATATTAAGAAGGTAAGACTCTACTAGAGTAAGTACTGTAATTCTAGCGCCCTTAGTTAATATACTTATACTAGATAGATCTAGCTAAAAATAGTAGTTATTAAACTCAAACTTATTTAGAAATAATACTTTCTTTATAGCTAGAGAGAGTGAAGGGAATAAAGAGGTAATATAATCTAGATTATAGTAGAGTAAGCTATTACTAACTTAGCTATTACCTAAAATAAAGAACTAATTCTACTATCTAAGTAGCCTAGAACCTACTACTTATAAGCTACTAATACTTCTATAAACCTAATTAAGCTTAATCTTTCTAAGAAAAATATATTCTTAACTTTATATTTAGTAATAATACTAATTATAGCTAGATATAGCCTACTTTTACTACTATTAATACTAGTAGGCGCTTACGCGCTATAGCGTAGTCTCTAGACTAGACCCCTTAATCTACTAATAGAAATACACACTCTAGTAGTAGCGGATGTATTATAAGCTAACTAAAATAGTCTTATAAATAAGATAGCTATAGTACTAGTAGTAATAGCTTCTTAAGCTTAGTATAAGATAGTACTAACTAGAAACCTACTATAGATGCACTAGTAAGGGTAGGCTAATAGCTATTAATTAACTCTAAACTAGTAAAAGTAGGGTAGCTACTAAAAGCTATAGCTAGACTACTAAGAGGGCCTAAGTATAAGCTATACTTTAGTAAAACTTATAGTATTATAAAAGTAGTAAAGGATATCTAGGTCTAAAAGATATTTATAAAGAGAATAGAGGGTAGTAGATAGTAGTATAAAATAGAAGGCAAATTAGCCGCTATTATAATAGATAGAAAAGAGTATTACTACTTCTAGGCGCAGGTATAGGCTTTAAATAATCTAAAGGTAAATATATAGAAGGACTTCCTAGCAGAATATCTATTACTATAGTTAACTTTCTATCTCGCTTATATAATAGATTTATTTATACTTCTATTCTAGTATAGAAGGTTCCATCTACTTTAGTATATTAAATAATTAGTCTATATAGTATAGCTATCCCGCTAAATATATATATTATATTTAATATAACTAGTATATAGTCTATATAAAGGAGTAATAATAACTAGACTATTATATATACTAGTAATACTTAACACTAATATACTTATATAAGTAGAATATATAGTATCAATATACCTTGTAAACTACTTAGGATTCTATATATATACTATATAGCTATAATATATTAAAATTACTATTATGTTATGTATACTAGTAAAAGTATCGTATAAACTCTATTTATTTATTTAATCTTAGTAGGCCTAGTACTATTTATATATTTAGTAATACTATAATATTTCTTGCTACTAGTATATAGCTTATAAAATATACTCTTATTAAATTATATACTCTATCGCTATTATATAACTAAATAGCTAATTATATCTTTAGTATATAACCTATATAAGGCGCTTATAATACTTTTAATACTCTAAATACTCTAAGTACTTAGAGCGTCTAAACACGCTTATAAGCCTCTTAGTAAAAGTAAAAGTTACTTAGAGCCTTAAAATACTTAGAGGGCCCTTAGAGCGCTTAGAGAAGCTCTAAGGAAAAAAAAGATTTACTAATATTTTTCTTATATCTTATATATTATTAGCCGGAAATTATAAAAAAACCGGTATTATATAGCTTAGTAAGTAGGCTCTAGAACTCTAATAAAATATTAATAAATTATATAAGTATAGTAATATTATATAGAAAAAACCTCTTTTTCTAAGTTAATTTTCGCTAAACTTACTTTACTATATGTAGTAGAAAAATCTATTTTGTTAAGTGTATTAATATTTTATTAAGTATATTAATTAGTAAAAAAAAAATCTCTTAGAGTTTCTTAGAGTACTTTAAGAGCCTTTTAAGAGCTTTAAGACTCTAAGTAACTCTTATTTCTACTAAGAAACTTATGAATATATCTAAGTACTCTAAGTACTTTAAATACTTTAAATATCTAAATTATCTAAAATATCTAAAATATCTAGAAGTATAGCTTAGTAGAGTTTAGAATACTTAATTGGTAGCTTAAAAAATTAAAAAAGACTTTAAGTCTAATTTAACTAGTAGAATGTAGAGAGTGTATAAGAGAGCTAGTTTAGAGGGTAAATCTTTAATAGGAATAATTATTATTTACTTATTTTTCAAACCTATAGATATTATATCTCTTTTTACTAGAGAGTAAGAATTAAGTAAAAATAGAAACTCTAAAAAAATATTTACTAAGCTACTTACTAAGTAGCGCTTATTATTTAAAGCGTTTAAATTATCTAAATTATCTAAAACATCTAAAATATCTAAAGCACTCGGAGCGCTTAAAGCGCTTTAGATAAGATAGTCTATTCGCGAGCGGCTTGCGAGCGTGTTTAAGCGCTCTAAGCGCTCTAAGAGGGCTTGGAGCGCTCGGAGCGTACCTGGTTTTCCCAAGCGGGTGAAAGATTTGCTAATGTAGCTACTATAACTTAGATAGAACTCAAATTGTTTAGTATTACTAGGTGTTTATCTTTAGAAGACTACATGTTATCTTCAGACGCTGAGCTCTCGCTATTAACAAAGCTTTGATCGATCCTAAACATCCACTCAGTCCTGTCCCTAACACTGCCCGCAGCGAAAAGGAACGAATTGCCAGGCGCAAACACGGCGAATATATTCGGTCTTCTTAACAACTTCGCAACCTGTGGCTCGTGGTCGATGCGCGCGTTTGCTAGATTAATAGCGTTGATTTCGTTGCCTTCGGGAACCACGTATAGGTGCAAGTACGGCTTTCGAAACTCTACGAAGCGCTTGACCCACCGCGTATTGGCATCATCCAGGCATGCAAGGTAGCCGGACTTGAGAACGTCAGGATTTTTTGGGATATGGGAAACCTCCGCCACGAGATCTCGCGGAGTTGTACCATTGCTGGCGGCGGAAACAGCGCCATCCGGAGGAGGTTCGGTATTCGAGGGCGTAAGTATGGCCTCACCGATATCTTCTTTCGGGTGCCAGAGCGCAATGACTTTGCGTAACAGCTGCTCTTGCCTCTCCGTGAGCGTATCGTGGGCCGCCGGCTCAGTTTCACTGAACGCTGTCGACGCGCGATGTCCAAGCATGCATCGGGTGGTTTCGACCTCGTAGGTTCTGGCACGCCGCCTGCGGAATGCGATGAAGTCCCGTATGAGAGAAACACCCCTCGGCGTCCATCCATTCAGTAGTTCCTCGCCTGCTACGTAGCCATGCTGGGTACCCATGCGCCATAGATCGACAGCGCGCTTGGCTGCAGTGGGTCGGATAGTCAAAGAGAAAATACCTGTCGTGGAGTACACAATTCTAACTGCTGGCTTCCACAGTAACTTGATGAACTTAGGTGTGGGTTGAATGTGGAATCGTGATTGTATCTGCACGGTAAGATCCAGCGAGAAGTGTACCGGATCTGCCAGTTTCGCACACTCCACACACCAGAGCAGGGACAGTTGCACCCTATGGTTCTCCGCAGTGACCCGGTCGAGGAGCTGCGAGCCATGAGCACTGGAGTCCCAATAGCCCACGAGAATGGCACTGGTGGTACCGTTGGCATGTTCCTTGACAACAGGCCGTGACACGAGGGTTAGCCGAATCTCCCGTGATGGTGAACCTAGGTCTGGAGATCGCCCAGTGTAGTCGAGTAGACGGATATCCGAAACGCGAAGGTGTGAAACCGTCTTCCACTGCAGGTCTAGGCCGGAGCTGTGTGTCACAGTGATTACAATTCTCCGCTGCAGGCCTTGATGAAGCTGATAAACTCCGGTATCTGAGGGACTGCGCTGGAACACTTTTGTAGGCCTGTAAGTCCCGTCTTCCGATATCTCGTGGATCTGCACCGCGGTGAAGACGTCGTGTCTGTCTTCGCTATAGAATTCCGATTCTGCAAGGCGAGAGTTGTGCCGCTTCTGCTTCGGTTGAGGCGTCGTGTCTCTGAGGTCATCCCAGCTCAGTAATGAATCGAGATACAAAGTGGTTACTTTGGCGAATATAGAGACCCGTAAAGCAAAGGTGGAATCTCTGCAGGACGGTAGACTCATGCTATGTACGCTTTCGAATTGTACGGGGCCTTCGTCAAAATCCTTAATTGTCTGGGTGGTCGTCGCCCCGCCCTCATCTTCCGTCCCGGAGACAAACAGCTGAGCATGGACGTCAGTCCCTTCACGTTCTGCAAAGCCTGCCATGTCATGCATGACGACATTGAACTTGAGAGTTGACGACGGCGCTTCAGCTGAAGACGGCTCTAACGACAGCCTGAGGATACCAATAACGTTGAAGGTGTACGGTGATACAACGTCCAAGGCGAAGTCTTGCACACGGGATTCGAAGACAGCTACAAGCGGGACATCAGCGTCGCCGACATGAGAATACTTCGGGAGGCACGCCTCGGAGAAGGGATTCTCGAGCCGAAGGTGTCGTGAGTATCCCGGGCGGTCGGTGTATTGGTTCATTTGGCGCATGAGAAGCACCCGCTGCCTCAGCTTCTGCAACGACCAGCGGTGAACAACAATGTGCTTGAAATCTACTACTCTCACGCCGATGCACGGTTTCTGCGCCTCTTGCAAACCATCGTCGTCCTCGCCGGATATGCCATTCATGACAAGGTCGTACGATGAAGCGGACAAGTGACCAATGTCAATGATGCAAAACTGGAAGACAACGTGCTTGTCCATCCGCCGACTCATGACTTGGGCTTCCTTAAGTGTGATTGCGTCCCGGAGAACGCTTTCCGCCATAGCGACATACCTACGCTGCCGCCATCGGTCAAACACGTGACTTGCCAAGGCATGATGTTTGGTAGCGATGTCAGCGGACGCATCTTCGGAACCAGTAACTTGCAGTGTGAGTTCTCTCAGTTCATTCAACTGACGCTCGAAATCATTCTTCTGCTGCTGCAGTAGCCTCTGCATGTCTTCCCGCACTGTCCTGAGGGTTTCCTCCATCTGCACCTTTTCTGCGCGCACTTCTTCGATCTGAATCATAGACTCTTCCGCGACCTTGAGTTTTGCCTGATAGTCTTCTTTCTGTTTTTCCAGCCGGTTTTGCATGTCTTCCCGAATGAGCCGCAGCCGCTCGTCTTCCTCGCCAAGTTGTGGAGTCGAAGGTATGGTCAGGATAGTATCAACCGAGAGATTGTCGAGTGTACTGTTGGAAGCATATTTATCGCGCAGAGGACACGAGGTCACAGAGTCCAAGTCATCCTCCGCATCGAACAATCTGCTCTCCGGCCTACCTTTACGCCCGGCACGCACACGCTGTAAATCGTCGAACAGAACGTCCAGCTCGTCGTCTGTCATGTTGGATATTTTCTGATCGGATCCTAGGATTGCGGTGGCCGCTTCTCTACGGGCAAAAGCCCAATCTGAGTCACGTCCGCTCCTTTGGGTGGGAAACGGCGACGCCGCCCTAGGACTGTCACACTCGACATCAGACTCTGCGCGGCTGATGCTACTCCAGGACCGCTCGTGTCCAGGCCGTGTCGGCGTGGAAGAGCCCAGTTCACTAGCAAGGACTGATTGGCGCAACAGGCTAACCTGCTCCGCCCGCTCGGCTCTCGCCTCCTGGGGATGGTTGAAGCGAAAGATGTGGAAGTCTCCAAGGATGACCCGGTAGCCGCTCCGTAGGCGCTTGGGCTTCTCAATACGAATGCCGTTTACCATCACAGTGGCGCCGTCCTTGGGCACCGCCGTGACTATACCGTCGACATTTTCGAAGACACAGTGGTCATGAAGGATTTTTGAGCCATTGAGCCTGATCTCCGCGCTTGTTGCTGTGTCCCCATTCCCGACGGTGGTTGTCCCAGGTTTGAGATTGTAGACGAGACATTCAGCCAGTAATGGGTCATCGCTCAAGTTAACCAGATGTGGCATTCTTCTCGGCGTAGACAAGCCGACAAAGCCCTTTTCTATACTGATACCAAGTTCCTCTAGCGCGGACTCGCGCTCCCTGTGAATTTCCTCTGTCCTTGCAAGTTTTTCTTCCCAGGTTTGATTCAGGTCCTTGTACAACTTCTCGGACTGATTCAGTTGTTCGGCAATCTCGGCTTTCGACACGCTCTTGACAGTTCCATCAGCTTGCGTGATGGACACCATCTGCATGTCCAGAGGCGTATCCGGCGTGTGTCGCTCTCCCATGATAGCACCAGGCGTTGCTCCACCGCTGAGTTTGGAGCGTAGTTGCGCCAGTTCTTCTTTGAGCTCCCTGATCATGCGAGCATTCGCGTCTTCATTCACGACGGCATGGTTCTTGATACGCTTAGCAGAGTCAGCATAACGTAGGGTAGATAGCGTTTCTTCGAAGTTGATGTCCGCGGGTGATATGGCCGCTATCATGGCTGTCAAGCTGTTTCCTCCTAGTGAGTCTTTCAGCAACCAGGTCAAGACTGAATCCCGGTACGGGACCATTGATGTATTCTTCTTCTTCCCGGTCGATAGGTCGGCTAATGCGGCAATGACACGACCCAGTGTTGACAAAGAGCGGTTGATTTCTGCGCCCTCCTTCAGCCGAGCACCTGTGGCTCCAGTTGAAGTAGCACGTTCCGAGCCTGCCAGATCAACGAGACTGATCTTCGCCACCTTCTCCATGTCTATGTTTGTCTCGGCGTCGTGCCGTTTTTGTGTCAGAGTGATGGTAAAGACTGCGTGAGACCTGCTCGACGTCTCGTTCATGTTCGTTGCGGCAACAGTACGCGCCTTGTTCCCCTCATCCATCAGGCTCTCAATTTCACGGAAGGAGCGTACCACTAGCTTCGCCAAATCTTCCACATAAGGACCGGTTGAAGGATGTTCCCGGACCTTCAGGTTCCCCTTGGTTGACGGGTTGAGCAGATCTCTCACGCGCTCATTGTAGATTTCCAAATATGACACTTCCACCCGGCAATTGAGATTGCTGTCCTGCTGCAACTCGTCTATCCGATCGAACATGTCTCGGCAAATCTTGGGTATAACGCCTGCCTCCTTCCCATAGCCCATCATAGAGTACGACTTGCCAGATCCAGTCTGGCCATAGGCAAAGATGCAGTTGTTGTAGCCTCGGAAAGCGTTGTCCAGCAGTGGCTTGCCCAGGTCGGAGAATAGGTCGTCTTGGTCAGCGAAGTGGGGATCGTCGCGGCTGAATGACCAGTAACTCTTGTCAAAGGCGAACGCCTTGGTGCCTTCGAGCACGGCTTTCGAGCCCTTGGAGCGGGGGTCGACGGTGTTTGGGGCCGTGAGTATGGTCTGGTTGTTCTGCATGTGGACGACGCATTTTGCTTTCCTGTCCAACTCTGTGCCGGTCAGCGATGCGCTCGGTGTGGGGGGACGAAGAAGCGCACCTCGCCCATTAAACGGCCTCACCCTCACCACCACCTTGATGTTCCCCCCTCCAGCGGCGGCCATGCTGTGTGCTTAAGAATACCTAGCCTAAACTGGAGAAGGGAATAATACACTTGGTGGGTGCTACGTGGCGCAAGCTCCCAGCGCCTGCGGAGATACGGTAGTGACTGCTGAAGGTTGCAAGTTAAGAACATGGCATAGTGCAGCGCTCCTGTGGTGAAGTGGCGTATACACGCGCGGTGTTAACTTGCGTCGGTGGTGGAGTGTTGTAGGGCAGGGGTACTTACCTTACCTAAGGTAAAGTGGTATGGAACTGCAGGGATCCTTGGGCCCTGCGCAAAGCTTCCCGTTCCCGCCTGATCCCTGCCTCTTCCCAGGCACACCCAAGTCGTCTACATACCTGCGCCAGGTAACGTTAGTTAACTAGTCCCCGTCTGCCCATCTGTTTTCTATCAACCCTCACGGCGGCCGTCATGATCCGAAGGCTGTCCCACAACACACGCAAGACCCGCTGTCCTGCCTAGTATACGAGCGATCCCAAGCTCTACCAATCCGCGCTCTACCAAATGTCGGGAGAGGACATGTTTCTACCTCCAGTGAATCGCGCAATGCGCGTGTTAGACCGATCCTTCTTTCAACGAACCATTCCTACGGCAGCGGCACGAGTTTCCAACAACAAGGACATATCTGGCTGCAGGAAGACGCTGGAAAGAATCAAGGACATGCTGGACAAGTCCCGCCTGCTCGTCGTCCGCCCGGATCCTCTCCCGGAGCTGGCTAAGCTGGGACGGAAGTGCCTGCTGCTACGTCCAGAAGTCAGACCAGATGGTACCGTCTCCTGATCTGATCCGTGACAGCTTCGAAGTTTTAGCTGACGGCACTAGGCAGACTCATCAACATGGAGCCCCGAGTTACGCGACATGGATAAGAAGGGAGTGATTAGCGTGATACCTTACAACCTGCATCTGGACTATGATTACTGGACATATCGTGCGTACTCCGGCCATTGGCTGTACCCCGCGGCGACGCTGATGTGTTCAGATGATATTATAACCGCTATCCTTCCAGAAGATGAGCAGGGAGAGGTGCCCAGCGGATTCGTTACTGTCGGTCATGTAGGTATGCTCTATCTGCCTGCTCCGCAATGCCGTCTTTCAGTGGCTAACGCGACCCTTGCAGCCCACCTCAACCTTCGTGACCAATATCTCCCCTACAGAAAGCTCATTGCGGACGTCCTAATGGACAAGAATCATGGCATCAAGACCGTGATCAACAAGATTGACAACGTAGGCGATGAGTCTGAGTTTCGAACTTTCAACTACGAAGTTCTAGCCGGCACAGAGGACCTAAACGTAACGGTCAACCATGAGAACTGCGTCTTCCGCTTCAATTATGGGAAAGTCTACTGGAACACGCGGTTAGATACCGAGCACCGACGCCTCGTGGAGCTCTTCAAAGAGGGTGATGCGGTCTGCGATGTCATGGCCGGGGTTGGTCCCTTCGCATTGCCGGCTGGCAAAAGGGGCATCTTCGTATGGGCGAACGACCTCAACCCCGAATCTTACGCGTGTTTAGTGGACGGAATCAAGCGGAACAAGGTCAATGAATATGTCAGGCCATTCAACAAAGACGGTCATGCCTTCATCCGGGACGCGACGCATGAGTTGCTGAACACCGAGCACAGCGTGCCGATCTACGCGAAGACAAGTAAGAGCGCTCCGTCGCCAGCTCCTCTGAAATCTGCGCAGCCGATAAAAACGCTCGCACGGCCGAAGACTTTCGGACACTATGTCATGAACCTACCGGCCAGCGCTGTATCGTTCTTACCCTCCTTCATTGGCCTGTACGCCTCACCGGTCACTTCGCCCTCCACCACATACGAAGAGCTCTTCGAGCCTTATACAGATAGGAAGTTACCGATGATTCACGTCTACACCTTCAGCACTAAAAGCGATGATAATGTGGCGCAAGGCGTTGAGATCTTTGAAAGAATATCGAAGGAGGTCGGATACGAGATTACGCCGCAAACGCCTGAAACCACGATCTGGGATGTCAGGGACGTTGCACCGTCGAAGAGGATGTTCTGCGCTAGCTTCAGACTCCCTCGTGAAGTTGCATTCAGGAGTAGGACATAGGAATTCTCCATGCTACTAACTAACCCAATGTGGTTGAAGCAGTATACGGCTCCGCCTTGCGTACCAAATAACTTTGTAGAGGTCAGGGTGGTATGTTGTGATTGGAAGCGCTATGCATGTAGACAAGAGGACAGAAATCTGTGTGCAAGTTCGCAACGTCTCGTTCTCTCTCAAGAAGCTGGTTTCTTCTTCTTGTCCTCCACACATTCCACGTTGTCCTCAGGGATCTGCTCGTAATTCTCCGTCACGTAATCGTAGATGTCGTCACTCAAATCGCCTTGTACCGTGATCGCCTCACCACCTCCAGGCACCTTGGTCACACTGCTGCCCGTCGCGAACTTCTTGCCGAAATCTTTGGCCACCTTCTTCAGGTCCAGATCAAAGGCCTCCAGCCCAGAAACTTCAGTGACATATTTCCGCTTGTTGCGCTCGACGCGCTTGATGATGACTTTTGAGGAAGCCTTGCGCTCTTCCTCCTTGGCAGCGGCGGAGGCGGCTTTGGCAGCTTTCTTCTCGGCGTCTTTGGCGGCGCGTTTTTGGGCGTCGAGGGAGAGGGTGGAGAGGTTGGCTTCTATGGCGTCTACAGTACAAGATTTCTATCAGCTCTGACTGGCCAAGGTGATATCGGGTCAGGCAATGAATGTCCAGACCTTGGGAATATAACCGCTCGTGCATGGCGGGATGGTTCTTCTGCAGCCATTCCTCACACTTCTTGGTCGTGCCGCCGAACTCGCAGTACTAGGTGTCATACTTAGGTGGGTACGTCAAGTGTTCTGGGTCAAGGTTGCGCACCTACTTCTGGCGGAAGACTACATACTGCGCGGAGGTCAGTTCCATGTGTTTACTGCCACGATGGAAACATACTGCCGCAATAGATCACTTGCTTTGCGGGAGACGCGGAAGCGCCGTCTGCTACGTCTGCCATCACGCGTCAAAAGGTGCAGAGGCTACAACTGACTTGGAGGATGTGAACGATTAGGAGTAAGCCTTCGTCGAGTTTTCGTGATTTTGAAATTTGCTCGAGGCTTGGTCTCATGAAGGGGCTGTCGAGAGTGACACGCAAGGGTCCGCGGGGTGGAACGGCTTCCGATGGTGGGGTTGACAAGCACGTGATTACGAGAGCCAAATTTCCATCAAACAAAGTGCATTAGGTTGTTCTTTGTTTACTTCCTCAATTACGCCTGAAAGCCTCCTATAAATGAACCTGGTCTGCGGAATTGTTCACGCGCCAGGTATCATGGAGGCTTCAGTTTACTGGAACACCTACCTTTATGTTGCTACAGCCCTCATTCGGTGGCTGCTACTACCTACACCCAAGTACCTAGACGACCGGCGTCATATGAACCTTGATGAACGCTGGTCAGCCTGGCGGTTGAACGATTGAACCAAGAGCTTGGTAACGTCGTACTACTTGATGCCGAACATGTACGTCGCCGTTGGAACAGTACAGGGATATAGGAATTCAATTCCCGGAAGTCTGGCCATCCTGGTATATGTTGGCCACTAGAGTCCGAGATGAAGACTAGGGGATGGGCTGCAGGCAGTCAGCTTCAACCGATTCCCTCGTTCGCGTTATTTCGATGGCTTGCAAGTTGACACCTGCGACCACTGTATGAACGCAGGCGGCTGACAGCGCGCTGTACGATTGGAACAGCTTCGTCCATGAACCATCTTCAAGGCTCTGAAGACGATGTTGCCTAAACTGGGTGTTGCCAACTTAAAGTTGATGGTATATGAGAGCCGATTTGGCCATCACTTGTCAGATACGCACAAGGGGAATCGACACTGACATGAAGCAGCCATGGCGCCGCTATGATTGCGCAGCGGCAGTGGCAGGCATTTGCGACGAGCTCAATCCCACAGCGCTAATTGCCATGTCCATTTCTGCACCATCCTCGGAAGGCCTCTAGTCCACTTGCTCCCGGCGGCCGTAGGCCTCAAGTGGCTGGTCGGCCGGTGAGGTTTGTATCCTATCCTGCTAGCCAAAGCCCGTGATGGTGTCTTACGGCGCCCTCTTTCCCGAGCTACTAACGTTGCTTGCATGAGCCAACAGGTATTTGCAGCATGTGAGCGCATACTTGCACGCCTTGGTCCAGATCTCGTCTTGAGTGTTGAAGCCTTTGAGTCTGATGCTGACATCATTAATCCTGTCCTTGCGGATTTCGTATGGCATCTTCAGCGCTTGTGCTGGAACGCCATTAGATATTCTCGCAGGTGTGACCTCTACAAATTCGCCTAGCTGTCTCAAGCACTCTAAGAAGGCGACCATAGCGTTATCGAAGCTGCTATGTAGGATGGTGCCTAGACCGAAAGCAGAGTCCGAATGATAAAGCTCAAGGACTGTGACTTTAGGCTTGGCAGAGCGAGTAGAGTCGGCGGGCGAATCCAGTTTCTCTATCGTCGAAGTGGAGCCCATGGGTTTGAGGCGGTAGCCCTGGAACGTGTAGCCGAGCTTTTCGGCAACAGTGGCGAGGAGGAGACATGTTTGGCCCCAGGCTGCGTTGATCTCTGGCCATTCAACGTTCGGCTTAGGCAACCTACCCAGGCGGAGTCCATTGATGGTGCCAAAGTAGCCATCGTGTCCGATACAAAAGGTGTCGTTGTAGACATTTGTGCGCTGCAAGCGTTCCAGCTGTCTGGTGTCATGGTCGTGGCGGGCGCTAACGCGATCTCTTTCGTTCTGGAAAGCACCAAGCTTTGATGTGAATGCGTTGCGTTCCCGCCAGAACGCTCCTTCTTCAAGGTCCAGTGCGCGAGCCTCAGCTTCTAGCGTTAAGAACTCGTCGTCCATGGCGGCCTTCTCGGACTCAAGCCGCTCGAGCTCTGCGAACAACGCTTGCTCGTTCTCGAGGGCTTTCTGTAGCTCTTTTTGCGCTTGCTGCTGCTCCTCCGCGCTTGGAACATCGTCGTTAGCTTGGCGTAAATACTCGACATAGGCATCACGCTCTCGCGTGGCGGTGCTCAGTTGCTTCTGAAGACCTTCCAGCAAGAGGTCGGTGCATTCCACGCAGACCGGGTGATCGATGTCTGATCGTGCAGATAGAGTTTCAAACAGGCGCGCAGTGGTCTCCATCTTGTCTGATAGTAATCTGTCATCACGAGAGATGACATCTGCATACTGGTTCTGAGCGTCCATGACTTTGGCGCCTTTCTCATCCGCATGGTGTTGGGGGGCTGAAACAAACTGAGATTCAGTGACCATAAAAAAAGACATTGCGGGATTGTCCCGTGGATTGGCCTTCGCAGAGCCATGCCGGTTGGAGGGTACGGTCCGCTTGAAAGTTGGCGGTCGTACGTCATGAGAGACTCTGTTGTACTCTTCACGACGGTCCTGCGAGTACATAGGTCTTGATAGTCGAGCCGGTGTTGGCGGAGGACGCTGGGACGTAGCCGTTGAGTCTGAGGCAGGTCAGCGGGGAGGCTCACAACGCTCCTCATCTCGCTCGGAGTCACCTATTAGAAGCTTGAATGCAGCCGGATTAAGGTCTTCAAGGGAGCTATCCAGCCGAACCGGGGCCCGGCATTTCTGACAGTACATGGTGATGGTCCTGTTGTGATTGAATCTCGAGTGCAGCGGCTCACGTCTCACGTCTCACCCTCGGCCCGACGGGCCAGTCGGCGGCTTTTTGCTGGTATTCGGGCACGATGGAGGCAGTAAAGCGAGGCCGCCGTGATGTTTCTAGGTATGGTCAAGAGATGGTCATGAAACCCAGTCAGGTGACAGCATATCACGTGCTGTAGGTGGGCCGCTTGCCCGGCGCGGCGCTACTCTGGGCCCGCTACACGCCAAGACCGAAAGACGCGCCCCACGCGATCAGGCAGCCGCGACTCCCGCAAGTGCCTCAGTTTAAACTCCCGCCCACATATCTTCTCCCGCCTACGGCCCTTCTCCCCCCACACATCTTCCCCCGCCCGTCTCCAACACCCCATGAACTCCTCAAACCACCCCGCAAAGCGTCGCCGGCTCACCACCGCACTCGTCTCCTCGGTCGAATACCATGGCGACGACGGCGAAGCTCTCGAGCGGGACCGGTACGCGAATGATATGCGGTTGAAGGGTAGCTTCGAAGACATCTTTGCGAAGTACTCGCGAGACTTCAGCGGCATCGGAGACGAGATTGACCTTGCGACTGGCAAGATAGTAGTCGACAATGGCCATCTCGCGTCCATGTGCCACGACCGCGATGTTGGACCCGCCCAGGCTCAGCTATTCTTGAACTCCTTCGCCGACAAATTTGCCGGGGGGAGCATCAATGCCATAGAGATAGACGGTGGCGAGCGGCACTCTCGCTCTACTGGCCATGGACATGTCGACAGTATCGGCCAGGGACACGGCAATGTCCGTAGTCTCCCTGGACCCAGCAGCGATGGACCGGACGGTGGTGCTGCCGAAGAGCAAACCGACGCTGGCCACCACACACAGCTTGTTCAGCACACAGCACTGTTACCAAAGCCGCATAGCGTTCCGCTGCCTTTCGCCAACAATGCCACATTGCAAGCACTGAGTCAGTCGATTACCGCCCAGATAGCTCAGTTCTTGGGCCAATGGCAACAGCCACAAGCACCGGTCGTTGACCCGTTGTGGGCTGCGCCTCCTCTCCCTCTACAGCCTCGCCCACCCACGCGCTCCTCTCAACCAACTTGCGACCTATCTATTCCATCCTCGGTGTCGGCAACTAATGCAGAGGCGGCACCGGCACCCTTTCGAGATGACCCACAAGCAACACCGATTTTCCCCTATGCGCAGCAGTCGGTGTGGGCATCCTCGCGGCCTAGGAAGAGCTACAATATGACAAATCGACGGGCCAGATCAGTCTTCAAGCGACATGCAGAACCAGCAGACCTAGAAGAAGCCTCGGCATCTGTGTCTGTCATGCGCGACCCCCTTGATGATAGCTGCCCGTTCGAGGACCGTAATTCGGATTCTCCCAGCAGCGGTGGCCAAGTTAAAGAACGAAAAAGAACTCAAGTACCTCCCTTCTCCTCTCAAGAGATAGATCTGTTGCTCAAGCTGAAGACAGTCGAAAATCGTCGCTGGGACGACATTGCAGAGTATTTTCCGACCAGAAAGAAGTCTCACCTCGTGAGCAATTACCATGGTTGGATAAAGGACCTTGGCGTGGAGGATTTTGACAACGAGGAAACTCGATCGGAGCATAGTGCATCTCCAAACGTAGACCTTCATGATGGGTCGCATCAAAACATCGTGTGTGCAACACCTCGCCGTAGCAAACCTTCAACGCACCGAGGTACCTTAATAAGGGACCGACTAGCGCCTAGTGAAGAGAACAATGAAGATGACGGTGTCGACAATCAGTGCGTCGCTGCCCAGGATAGTGAACTTCGAAGCATTCGCGAGATACCGGACTCGCAAGATGGTGTTGAGCAATCTACACCGGTAGCAAGTTCACAATCGAACAAATGCAGTCTTGAACCTACAACCGCGAAAAGCGGTTGCTTCGTAGCCCGGTCACCTACGCTGGTAAGCGTGCAGATACCGAGCCGAAGGGATCAGCAGGCTCGAGAAGCCACTCAACGCGTGGTGCCAAGTGGGGACGACGGTACTAGCGACGCGCAGTTTAGCAGACTTCACTCGACTGTTGATGAGTTGTTCGAGAGCACACCAGCTCGCGTCGGACCGCGACATGGACACGCGCAGAACGTGCAAAAAGCGAGTGAAGAGCATTCTGCAGGTACCCAATGTCAGAACAGCACAAAAAATAATTTTACAGGAGCATCGTCTCCTGCGCCTAAGCCGTCAAAGCAAACATCGAAGCCACATCCAGCAATCCGACCATATGCCGCTCACCAACACTCTAGAACATACCACCGGTCCAACGAGCCAGACGATCTGGTTTTAGCTAGGGCATCAGAGTATCTTTCCCCAGCTCCCACTGTCGCTAAGCCATTTCCGCTGCTGAAGGCACTATCCCCCCGCCGGAACGCCAATGGTGCGGCATCTGTGGAAGCTAGCCAACCGTCATCGTCGCCGAGGGCGGTTTCCGCTAGCAAGCTGACTCCGAGAGCCTCACGCAGAGGTTTGTACCGGGTAAGGTCCACCGCCACCGCTCATCCTGCCAGCACACCTCGTCGCCACCATTCTGGCCGGCGCCCGCACGTATCCACTCCTAAAACGGCACCTACCATTAAAGCTATACCAGCAACGCCGGTCGCGAGCGGTCTCTTACGCAAGCGGCTAGCGGAGCGAATGGATGACCTGGAAGACCTACCGCCATCTGCGAAGAAAGCGAGGCCCGCCAAGTTGCTCCGGACGCCCAAGAAGTTGATTGACCTGGTTTGGGATGCGAATAGTGAGGATGAGCTCGGATTATAGAGGCTGCGGTATGTGGAGGCCGGTGCAGCTTGGGGCTTGTTCTCAGAGCCGCTCTTGGAGTGTCTCGTTCAATTTGTGGTTGGTGGTATTCTAAACACCGGTACTGTTTAGCAGAATGGGTTGTTTCGTATTGGCGGTACACTCCTACTGGGTTTCCGAGGCGACGAACCGTTTGTAGTGCTATCCCGCAGGCGCCTCCGTATAGTGCCGTGTAAGCAAGCACTTCCACCCACTTTTGTCTCGACTGTTGTGTGGGCATGTGAAGTCCGATAAAGTGTGTCGTGTCCAATCTATTCGGTAAGACGTTTCGGCGAGCATCGTGGGTGACATACCATGTTCAGTCATTCATGTAAATCAACCTCCATAATATTAGCTCTATGCTGGGCAAGTCGCGACCGAATAGACCAGTGGCGCCGTCGCGCCAGAACCGAGACTCTCTTAGCCCAGCACCGGCAAATACGCGTCCTGACATTATGTACAATACACTTCCTCTATGTCTAGTATCGATCCTATAAGCTGGCTGCGAAGATTTGTCGCAAGCCCCATGGGGCAACAGCCGCACTACAAATCCGCCTGTCTGATGGTTTACTCTTATGCTACAGCCCAAGCAGCCCTCCTCAATATCTCGATATCTTAGGTCTTTCATCTACAACGGCTTTCCACCGATAAACTCGCTCCATCGCTTGATCTCTGGCGGGATTCCCTCCTTCCTCGGCAACTTCTCGCTCATGCATTGTGCAAAGAGGACGGCGGTCTGTTAAGCTGGAAGTTAGCATCGTCACAGTACCTGCAGGACAAGTACACAGAAGGATAAGCTGGACTCACCTTCGGCTCCATGAACAACGGCACCCCGAAATCCACCGCATTCCTCCTCATCACGTAGTCCTCGTCCACGAGACTACTTGCTCTGGCCTTAGCCAGGTTGAACACGCCCCTGATGTCGTACTTCTGGAACACCTCCCGCAGCGCCCTCTTGTCCTCCTTTGGGAACTCAATCACTTCGACGCTTACAGATCCGTCTTTCGAGCCATGCTCCAGATGGTTCTTAACCTCTTCATTTGCCGCGTAGAACTTGTAGCCCAGGGGATTCAGGTAGTCGACGATCTTCGCTAGTTCAATCTTTGTCGTATCGCCACCGAATAACAGTCCTTCGCCCGGCTCGGGGAGCCGGAAGTTCATCGTGCTCTGCATAGACGTCCAGTACGCCTCGACCAGATTGTGCCCAAAGCAAGCCATCTCGCCCGTGCTCGACATCTCAACGCCCAAGTAAGGGTCCGCGCCCGCGAGCCTGGTCCATGAAAACTGCGGAACCTTCGTTGCGACGAAATCGCGCTTCTGCGCCATCAAGTCAACCGGCTCAGGCACGTCGCGGCCGACGAGTGCTCTGGTGGCAACGTCGATGAAGTTTGTGCCGAGGACTTTGCTGGAGAACGGGAAGGAGCGGGAAGCACGGAGGTTGCATTCGATAACCTTGAGGGCCGAGTCGCCGCCTTCGGGATCATCGGCTTTGATGATCTGCATGTTGAAGGGGCCAGTGATACTCCAAGCTTTAGCGACCTTCTCCGCGACCTCCTTGAGCCGCTCGAGGGTGCGCTTGTCGAGGTTGACAGGCGGCAGGACTAGAGTCGCGTCACCGGAATGTACGCCGGCGTTCTCAACGTGTTCAGATATCGCGTGAACGAGGAGGTGGCCATTAGAGGCGACGGCATCGACATCGATCTCTTGTGCGCCTTCTATATATTGGGTTATGACAACGGGGTGGTCGGGAGAGACATCGGCAGCAGCAACAAGCTTGTCCCTTAGCTCGCCTTCGGAGCGGATGACAGTCATGGCGGCGCCGGAGAGGACATAACTAGGTCGGACGAGGACGGGGTAGCCGACCGATTCGGCAAACTTCTGTGCCTCTTCCACCGAGCTGAGCTCCTTCCAGGCCGGTTGGTCTACGCCTATCGAGTCAAGGATTTGAGAGAACTTATGGCGATCTTCGGCTTTGTCGATGTCGGTCGGGTCTGTACCGAGTACCTTGGCCTTGCCGGTTTCTTGGAGTTTCAGCGCGATATTTTGCGGTAACTGACCTCCCACCGAGACCACAACGCCGCTCGCGGATTCAAGCTCGTAGATATCCATGACACGCTCGTAGCTCAGCTCTTCAAAATAGAGCCTATCCGCAACATCAAAGTCGGTTGAGTAGGTTTCTGGGTTGTAGTTGATCATGACAGTCTTCTTGCCAAGCTTGTTTAGTGATAGCGTAGCGTTGACTGCACACCAATCGAACTCAACGGAACTGCCAATCCTGTAGACACCGCTTCCAAGAACGAGGATACCGTGATCCTTAAAGTCGACATCGTGCGAGGTGGCGTTGTAGGTCGTATAAAGGTAGTTGGTCTCGGCTGGGAATTCTGCGGCAAGGGTATCGATCTTCTTGACATACGGCCTGATACCGAAGCTCTTCCTGCGCGCTCGAACGTTATCCTCGCTGCTGCCGACCGCCTTTGCAATCTGCTTGTCTGAGAAGCCCATCTTCTTTGCCTTCATGAGAAGCTCTTTCTTCAGGCCGAAGAGGCTGCCTATATCCTCAAGTTCATGCGTGCAATCAACGATGTTCTGCAGCTTGTACAGGAACCATTTGTCAATCTTGGTCAGATCATGTACCTTGTCTACAGAGTACCCTTCGTGAAACATGGCTTGACCGACAGCAAGCCACCGTCTGTCGGTGGGGTTCCGCAGCACGTCGTCAAGGTCATCAAACTTGTCGCCCTGGAAGCCCAAGAACTTGGGGTCGACTTGCCGACAGGCCTTCTGGAAGGACTCCTCGAATGTTCTGCCGATAGCCATGACTTCGCCAACGGACTTCATCGAGCTGCCAATATCCCGCTTCACGTTTTGGAACTTGCTCAAGTCCCATCGGGGCATCTTTGTGACGATGTAGTCCAAGCTGGGCTCGAAGTTGGCTGTTGTTGTCTTGGTGACTGCATTGGGGAGTTCGGGTAGTGTGTGACCTAGCCCAATCTTCGCTGCGGTATAGGCAAGAGGGTAACCGGTAGCCTTGGAAGCAAGAGCTGATGATCGCGATAAACGCGCGTTCACCTCAATGACCCTATAGTCAAGCCCGTCAGGCTGAAGAGCGTACTGCACATTGCACTCGCCAACAACGCCGAGATGTCGCACAATCTTGATGGACGCGGACCGGAGCATGTGATACTCTTCATCGCTAAAGGTCTGGCTGGGCGAGACGACTATACTGTCTCCTGTATGGACACCGAGCGGATCGAAGTTTTCCATGTTGCAGACGGTGATGCAGTTGTCGCTTGCATCACGCACCACCTCGTATTCCGCCTCTTTCCAACCCTTGAGAGACTTCTCGACAAGAATCTGAGGCGAAAGCGTCAGGGAACGTGCGGACAGGTTTCGGAGTTCTTCGGGATCATTTGCAAAGCCAGATCCTAAGCCACCCAGCGCATACGCCGCGCGTACAATGATGGGGTAGCCGACAGTCTCCGCGGCTTTAAGAGCATCATCAACGGTGGCAACAGCAATTGACTCCGCAATGGGAATGTTGATTTCGCCCAGGGCCTTCGCGAAGAGGTCACGGTCCTCACTAGTCTCCAGCGTCTTGACGCTGGTACCCAAGACCTTCACACCGTACCGCTCAAATATCCCCATCTTATTCATGCGGACACCGAGGTTGAGGGCGGTTTGCCCGCCGAAGCTGAGAAAGATGCCATCGGGCCTTTCTCTCTCAATCACGTAGGTGACGTATTCAGGCGTAACGGGCAGGTAGTATATCTCATCGGCAAGGACGTGAGAGGTTTGGATGGTAGCAATGTTGGGGTTGATTAGCACCGACTGCACGCCAGCTTCTTTGAGGGCCTTGAGGGCTTGGGAACCTGTTGGACGCAAGCGTGTCAGCTTCACCTAATCCTGTTTTGTAGTCTCGCGTGCGCCATCGCAGGCTCTGGTGCAAGCTTCTCCAACTCCTTCCTTTGCGCGGCTTTCTCGCTTCCAGCTTGTCGCGTGTCCTGTTCTCCAGGCGGCGTTCGAGTCACGGAAAAAGATTACCCACCAGAATAGTCAAATTCCCCTGCCTGGCCAATACTCAAGCCTCCACTGCCTATGACCAGAACCTTTTTGACATCTACCAGATCCCTCGCGCCGGCAATTGCGCCGCTGTTGAGGTAGGCCTGCGCATTTGGAGCTTCTTGGCTTTCTATCCTCGCAGCAACGGACCTTGAAAAGGCTCGTAGCTGTCTGGGATCTGGCTGTGAAGGTTTGCTGCTCCGGAGAGCGCATAGCGAGGGAGTGGCACGAGTGATGAAGCTCCGGGATGTTAGTGAAGGAGCTGTGGATGGGGATTGGCGGAGGAGAGAAGTTGTTCGGCGTGCCAGCCGCCCAGAGAGCGCCATTGCGGGTATTTCAAAGAAGAAGAAAAGGAGCGAGGTTGAGGTTGAGATTTACTGAGCCTCACGAGCCCTATGGAAGAGACTCTTGACGTGAGGATTGCGCCTCTGGTCGCTTGGAGCGAGTGACGAGAAATGGTGTGGGGAGCAGCAGAAGCAGATTTACAAAAAAGTGCAGCGAGCGGTCTGACTCTGGCTCTGTCTGCGATGTGACTTGTCAATTGCTCCGGCTCCCGATAACGATAAGGATGGGAGAGCGAAATCGGTGCGGCAGGGGAGCGCCCGCCGTCACGAAGCTCCGTTAACTAGGTAGGTACCTAAGGTAGGTATAGGTACCGTTCAAGACTTGATGAGGTGTCTCTGCTCACAGAAGCTCACAGGAGCTCACAGGTGCTCACAGGAGCTCATAAGAGCTCTATGAGGCGACCGAGACGTGGTTCACCATAGTTCAAATTGACGTTGCCTGTGTGCGGAACCTTTTCTAATCACTGCCAGGAAAACGCCGCATCTCATCCTCTGGAAGTCTCATCGAAAAAATTTCTAGCTGTGATCGCACTGTGGGTATTTTCCAGCCCACTGTGAGACGTGAATCCGACGCCTCTCACAAGCTCGACGACCTACCTCGCCATCTGCTGTAAAATGCAGGACAAGTCTTGCGAGCGTTTGACCGGCTGTTCTTTCAACCCCATGCCATTCCATCGCCTTGCCGTCAGCCATATCAGCGACAGAGCCGTCCAGCGGCCAAAGAACAATGCGGCGCGTCACGTTGAACGGGTCCGAAGAGACGTAACGGAAGCCGTCGACGGCACAAGCTCCTTCGGCGAACCTTCCGACTCTCTAATGGTGGCTAATGTATTTGCCTTGGGAGATGGATCATCGCGACTCTCCTTGCTTCTTCCCCTTGCCTTTGACCTTCCCCTCTTCCAGCTCCCCCATCCTCCTCTTATACTCCCTCGGACTCTCCGTCTCCCTCGGCTTCTCCCCCATCAGCCTCGCCAACAAGCCCGGCTCCGCCCACATACCCACCTTCCCTCTCTTCGCCCTCTCCTCAGCATCCCTATATCTCCGCTCAAATCTCCCAAACTCAGACCCGCTCTTCGCCTCGTATACAGTAGCCAGACCCCTCCTGAGCATCTCAAGCCCGACATCCCTCCTCAGCAGCCACCGCCTCACAAACACCGTCGCGACAACGCGGTCATACTGGTCGCGCCTGTGGATGTATGCCCTGACGCGGCGGCCGAGGATGTAGGCCGTGAGCCAGGCATGCGCCTCCTTCGCGTAGGGCTGCTCTGGACGGCCGAAGTGCGCGAGCTCGGGGGCGTCAATGCCGGCGATGCGGACGTGTATCTGCCATCACAGATTCAGTGATTTGTCCAACACCATAATGATGGCCCCGGCGAAAGTAGGAAGAGCGCGTGCATACCGTCTTCATCCCAATCCCCTTCTTCACCTCCACCCTCCTCCCCGGCGCCCATCCCCACCCCGCCAGCCTCCCGCCCGGCGTATGGAATAGCCGAAAGTTATCCGCATCGCCCACGCTCGTGACCTTCCCGAACAAGCTGCTCGTCCTGAACTTCTCAGGCTTGATGTGGTCGACGCTGGGGATGCGGCGCAGATGGGCCTTGTAGACGCGTAACAGTGCGAGCGTGGTCAGGGTTAGGAGGACCGAGGGGATGACGGTGCGCGGCTCGGTGTAGTGGGCCCAGTCGGTCGCGTTGAGCGTGTCAGCCCAGGAGACGGGGCGCCTTTTGGGTTCCTCTGACGAAGAGGAGGAGTCGGCGGCCCAGGGCCATCGCATGGTAGGTAAAGGCCAGCAGGTGAGGCCTGGGAGTGCTTGGGGTTGCCGAGGCGGGTCTGCAGCCATGTATAATTTTCCGGAAAGGGATTAGTGGGGTAATCTCTACATCTTCGTGGTTCCGCTTCGAAGTGGGTAGTAGGTGTTCAACATGATATGCAATTGTGCAATTGGTGTACTCTCATAGTCGCATACTCTGTTCCTTCTTGAGTGCGAACGGATACTGCAAGCGTTTAAATAATGTTCTCATATGGCGCCTTCCGCCTCGAAGCGTGACGACAAGGCATCTCCGAACCCAGGAGCAGCAATCTGGCGATGGTATCTATGTTTCCATCCTTTCTTAGTTTTGCTCGCAGACACCCAGTCGTTTATTCGTGCCAAATAATACAGTTTCAACCCCTGGTTTTACTCCAAAATGAGCCTGAAGCTCACAACCTCAAACGTTCCCACCACTATATCCATCCCGCCCTTCCCACTCTCTACCTCTTCCAAATCGTCTTCCAGAAGGTTGCACTTGAAGACCTTCTTGACATCAAGATCTCCCCACTCCACCCTTCCCCTAGTTCTGCCACCCATGGCATCATAAATCCTTAACACAACACTCCTGCCTTTTCTCCTCGGCAGTTCGCCCCTGGATACATCCTCGTCGTCTTCGGCGCGCTTGATAGTGTCAAGGACGAGTGTGTCTGAGCCAGTAATGCGGAAAGCGCCCAGGAGCGGCGCTATGACGGATGGTGAGGGGTGGCAGTAGACTTTCAACGGGTTGTTGAAGTTGAACGCGGTCTTGATGGTGGTGGAAGAAAGGGGTCCAGAATGAGGGAGAAGCGCGTAGCGTATGTGATGGCGTCCTGTTTTCCCCATTAGCCATCTCTCCAATGGCAAACAATCAAGGGACAATCCATACCCATATCAGCGTGCGCATCCGGCGCCTTCGGTGCCCTCAGCAGACTCAACCTCATCAGGTTTCCACAAGTCGCAAATCCGTACTTGCTGTCGTTGAGCACGCTAACTCCGTACCCAGCTTCGCTTAGATCAGCCCACTTGTGGCAGCACACTTCGAACTTAGCCATATCCCAGGAGGTGTTGTAGTGCGTGGGCCGTCTCACGATGCCGAACTGCGTCTCGTAGCTCGCTTCCGTGTTCACCACGTCCACTGGGAACTCTACCTTAAGGAACTTCATCGTCTCGCGCCACTCCACTTCGCTTGAGAACTCGACGTACGAGGGTTGGTTGTTGAGGGCGGCGGAGAGGGAGATGGTCGTCTTAACCCAGCTATCCTTGCTGACCCGCGTTTCCACTAACAAGGAGGCCTTGTGTGGGCCAGACTCCAGAACGCTGACTTTTTGGGATGGTAGCTCTTTGCGTGAGTTCAGATGGTACACCTCCACATCCCAGGCTTGCCAGTAGAGAGGCTTGTCATCGAAGATGACGAGCTGTCCTGCCTTGCCGCCTGGTGCAATGACCTCGCGCTTGGCAGCTATGTCATAGAGGGAGGTGATGACGCCTTCGGTGATCTTGACTTTATACTGGGAATTTGACATTTCGTACACACCTTTTTCGAGCTGCTTGAGCGTTGCGGTGGCGGCGGGAAGAGCAGAAGCAAGGGGACGGACGTCCATGAGGCCAGTTGCGCCGTGCGCCATCCCATAGCGCGGAGTGTTCGGTTCTTTAGGCAGGTTGGCGAGCTCAGTGCGGGACCATGGGAGGGTGTTGAGCGCTAACAGGCTGCCATCTTTGCCATCTTTATCGAATCCGAGTGCGGAGAGGGCGTCCTCAAGAACCTTTTCCCCTGTGGTGAAGACTTTCGCGTAGAGCTGGTGCTGGTCAGCATCGTGTTTAGAGCGGAGAGCAGTGACATTACCTCATCCGAGTCATCGTAGCACATCTCAATCGAGCTTCCTGGCAAGCAGTCGTGGAACTGACACAGTAGCACAGCCTCCCACATATCATCAATCTCCTTCTTCGGGTACTTGTAGCTTGATCTCTTCCCATCTGCAAGGTCTCTGATGCTGGCGAGCGTAGCCAAGTATTCGATATCATGTAGCAGGATCTCAGACTTCCGGTTGTTTCGCTTGTTGTTGGCCTGCGTGGTGTATGTTCCTCGATGCAGCTCGAAGTACAGCTCACCGTACCATGTGACGAACTCCGTGCCCTCTTCCGCCTTCTTCTCTAACCGCGCAAAAAAGTCGTCGACTGATTCGCCCATCTTGACACGCGGCAGCAAACCGACAGTATCACTGACACCGCGGCATCTTCTCAACTTTTCGATGTGTTGCCATGTCGGACCACCGCCTCCGTCACCCTTCCCGAAAACCAGTAGAGATGTCGCATCCTGATCTAGAGACTTGTGCTGTGTGACACTCCTCTTAACATCTCCAAAATGTGCTTCCGCAGTATACGTCTCCGCCGGGCACATGTGGCATAACACCTGACTGCCATCCAAACTGACCCAGTTGAAAGTCGTGTGTGGGAAATTGTTGATATTGTTCCAGCTCAGCTTCTGCGTAAAGAAGCGGCTCATACCCGCAAGGCGGCATACCTGCGGCAATTGCGACGAGTAGCCGAAAGTATCCGGTAGCCAGAACGTAGTGCATCGCTGGCCAAACTTGCTCTCGAAGTAGCGCTGGCCATAGAGGAACTGTCGGACCAGCGACTCCCCGCTCGGCATGTTGGTGTCGTGCTCGACCCAGCTGCCGCCGATGGGGTGGAATCTTCCTTCCTTGACCTTGTCCTTCACGCGGTCATAGGTGGACGGGTAGAGTTCCTCCAGCCACTTGTACTGCTGCGCCTGCGAGCAGGCGAAGCGGAGCTCGGGGTAGCGGTCCATGAGATCGCATTGGTTGGACCAGGAGCGGGCTACCTTGCGTTTTGTCTCTGCCCATGGCCAAAGCCAGCAGGAGTCAATGTGGCAATGGCCGATGGCGCTGACGATGGCTTCATTGTCGGTGGAATAAACGTCGGGGGAGTCCACCTTGTCGCCTAGATACCTTTGCGCAATTTTGCGACACTCTACTATGGATTCTTTGCTGCCCTCGCCGGCGATAAAGGCGTCCATGATTGAATTGCAAAGTTGAAGCGCTTGGTGCGATTCCCAAGAATCCTGTGGGAATTCCCTTGCAGCGTCTGGGGTGATGTCAGTACAGTGGTCGCGTTTCCCATCTTCTACTGCGAGAAGAACACACCGCCAATGATCCAGAAGTCTACAGAGAGCGCTCTTGCTTCGAGATTAACCGCCACGATATCCGCTTTCGTCAACTGGAAGTACTTGTCTGGCTTGGGCGGCTGGATAGTGTCACCGCCAGGAGCGTTCCCGAACATGCCATTGCAAGCCATCTCGATGTAAAACACGTGGTCTTTCCCATCCTTCCAGTCCTCGGGAAGAATCCATTCCGTCCTCTCCCCTCCGCCAGTTAGTCCATGAACTGGATGGCCGTGTTCCGTCCATATGAGACCCTCGTTGTTGGCATCCCAATGGAACTCGAGGTGTGAGTGCTGTGCTAGGGAGGAGGGAATGGCGAGAGTGATGCGGAACCAGTGGGTTGACCAAGATGGACCGAAGGAGGCGCCGACGTTTGTAGGGGTGAAGTCCTTGGACGTGGCGTCTTTGAAGGTTGGACGGGAGAGGTCTGGCGGGGAGTAGACCTCGAGCTTGACGTGGGGCGAGCCGGAAGCGCGGCCCTCGTAGAGCTTACTGCGGATCAGAGGCGTCAGCTTGGACTCAAGCAGAGGACAGCCGCAGCGTCGCAGATAGCGGTATAGCTGCTTGATGGTGGCATGACTAAATGCGATATACGCACTCGAGTAGACTCTGTTTCTCATACTGGCCGCCGCTGGTAAACTGCCTCAGCCTGTCCAGATAGATACTATGGATCTACCGTCGCTCCATCAGCTGGTGTTCCCTGTTTTGTGCCTCTCTCTCTCTCGTCGACTGCTCTCTGAGTCGCCCTCAAGCATGCTCTTCAAGAGCTTGCATCTTCCCATGGACAAGGACACGCACCTGCTTGCCGACGGGAGCTCGGGCCATCTTTGGGTAGTCCGTCTTCATGATGGAAGCCATGTTGGTGTTGGTCTCCCCGCCCATTGTGTCTGTGAGGCGAAGGGAGGAGGAGGAGGAGGAGGAGGAGGAGGCTCAAGCAGGGAGATGCAGCAATTCATGCGAGGAGGTCAGTGGGTGGAGCTGCGGTTAGCTGATCTGGCCGGCTGATCTGGTGCTTTGGCTGCTTTGGCTGCATGAAGGGCGCGCCCCTCGGCCCTTGCAGACAGACCCCGCGCTCCACACCCCGCACCCCGCGTTTTTGGATGGTAAATCACGTGCCTGGGTGTTCAAGAAAGCTTCGTATAGGGTGGTAACTAGCTTTATACAAGGCAGATGAGGAGTCTCAAGGCTCAAGGCTCAAGGCTCAAGGCTCAAAGAACAGAGAGAGCATAGATAGCAGGATGGTGGCTTTCATTCTTTCCCTGCATGGTAGTCGAAGCATCCTGTTGATTTGAACCAACGCCGGCGCCTGTCGCTGCTGGATATGCTTTACAGACTACTCGCAGCGACATGCTTTTGAGGCTCCCAAACTAGAGCTCAATACAAACGAACGTCTTCTCAGCTGTGCGTAGGCATGTTCACGCTCGCCTTCGTAGCCACGGCGTCCTCGCTCCTCCACAGACTCGTCACCGTCTTCGTCTGCGTGTAGAACTGGATTCCCGGCTTGCCGTAGAAGGTGTTGGCGCCTCCGCCCGCGACGCTCTTCTTGTTCCCTGTGAAGCTGAACATCGGGAGAGGTACCTGGCGAATATTAGCACATCTGCCTGTTTTCGTAAATCAAAGGGGAGGGGGTTGTTACGGGTATCGGGACGTTGATGCCAACCTGTCCGGCTTCAATGTCATGCGTAAAGCGCTGGGCAGTGGAGCCGCTGCGCGTGAAGATGGCAGTACCATTGCCGTACGGGTTCGCGTTGATGAGGTCGATGGCTTCGTCGATGGTCGGAACGTTTAAGCATACAAGGACTGGGCCGAAAATCTCCTCAGTGTAGCATTTCATGTGCGGCTGCACGTTCGCAATGAGTGTTGGGCCGATCTGTTCACGTGTTAGAGCCGCTCCATCTGGCATCCGAGCGCATGCCGAGGGGAAAGAGAACCTACGAAGTTGCCATTGGGGTACTTCTCCGGCTTGACGCCCCTCCCGTCCAGTAGTATGGTCGCTCCCTCGTCCTCCGCGCTCTGGATGAGACCCTCAATCCGCTTCTTCGCCTCGGGAGAGATCACCGGTCCTAGATCCGTCCCTTCCTCGAACCCACCATTGACCTTAAGTGCTTTGGCTCTCTCTGCAATCTCAGGCACCCAGTCTTTTGTCTCGCCCACCATTACGCACGTGCTCAGCGCCATGCACCTTTGCCCTGCGGCGCCGAAAGCTGCGCCAGCGATCGCATTTAGTGCGTGATTCTTATTTGCGTCTGGTAGGACTGCGGCATGGTTCTTCGCGCCCAAGTTTGCTTGTACCCTCTTGCCGTTCGCCGAAGCACGGCTGTAGATGTACTCGCCGGCCTTGTTGCTGCCGACAAACGACACGGCCTTGATGAGAGGCTCGTCGAGGATGAAGTCGACAGTCTTAGCGGAACCGTGAATCACGTTTATGACGCCTGGTGGGAAGCCTGCCTTGGTTGCGAGTTCGGCCAGGATCATCATAGCGCCCGGATCGCGCTCCGATGGCTTGATAAGAATCGTGTTGCCGGTTATGGTGGCAATAGGGATGGACCAGAGAGGAATCATCGCCGGGAAATCTGGCAGGTATACTGGTTAACGACGCGCATCCCTGAGCGGCCGCAAAACATCTGTGCCAGGTACTTACTGAAAGGGCATATAGCAGCCACAACACCCAGTGGCTCCCGGTAGCTCCTCGTCTCCATATCCTTTGCAACTTCCAGCACCTCGCCGGTCATCTGTGTGGTGATGCCACATGCCGTCTCCGCAACCTGCAGGCCCCTCAACACATCGCCCTTCGCATCGGCAAACGTCTTGCCCTGCTCTAGCGTGATGCTGGCCGCCAGCCTGTCCCAGTGCTCCCTGATCAGCGCCACGAACTTGAACATGATCTGCTGCCTCGCCAGCAGCGACGTGTTCCTCCACTTTGGAAACGCTTTCTGCGCAGACTCGACGGCAGTTTTGAGCTCGGCATCGGTGGACTGAGGCACCCGAGTTACGAGGTTGTTGGTCGCCGGGTCGTACAGATCAATCCATTGCGTGGCTTTGCTCTCGACGAACTCATTGTCCAGGAAGTTTTGGGTGTTGGCTGGCGACCGGATCTGGTCGTGGGATGTGGGGTACGAATCGGCGGAGCTGGCGGCGGTGGTGGTTGCGGGCTTGAGGTGTTTTGCTGTTGCGTGAAGACGCCTGGCCGCTATCTTGCTGGTGTTTGCAGCCGGCGAAGACATGGCGGGGGTGAGGGATGAGACGCGGGGAACGGAGCGAGCCGAGAGGGCGGGAATGGAGCGGGTTAGGGCGCGACGGGCAGCCATAGTACGTTTGACAGCGGAGTCGTGTTGCACCTGTGCAGTGGAGAACGAAAAAAAAAGAAGACGTCGAATTGCTCCTGGCGGAAGAAAGACGGTGTTAAAGCTGGGGAAGCACTTTGAGCGGCTTAGCACGGCAATGCGGCGTTGCGGAGCTCGGTTTCCGGCAACCCGGCAAGCCAGCAATTGGCAAGTCTTTCCAGGTGGAGTGGACAACAGCCGAGGGAGAGAGATGCGGAATACGGACGAGCAACCGGCGGGCGGGAAACGCAAAGCTGGAGCGGACGCAGAACTTCTTCCATCACGCGGCACGTCATTAATGCTCAAGTTATGAGGTACATCGTTAGCTTCGTTGAACCTAACATGGCGGCTATGCTAAACATTGTCCTCCTCATGCGCCAAGACTAAGCAGTAGTATTTTGCCAACAATATGTCACGCCAACCCCTGACCCTGGTCGCACACCTCTCTCTCTCTCTCACAACTCATCTCCAGCACGCTGAATGCCTCTCCGCTTTGTCGCCTTCTACGAATCGACCTTCTGGGACCTCGTGTTGCGCTTGTTCAACTCGGCCTGCGCCTTCTCAGCGCCAGAGCTCACAGCTTCTGCCGCCTGGTCCTTGACATCCACCGCCGTCTCCTTGGCCTTCTGCGCCGCATCCTTGATCTGTTCCTTCGAAGGAGCAGCGGCACCACCAAGACCGACCAGAGAGATCAAGAGAGCGAGGACAGTCAAGGCGGTGACGCCAAGGGCACCCGCAACCTCAGGCATGAACTTGACGGCCTGGATGGGGTCCTTCTTAGCGATGGTCAAGAAGAGGTCCAGCTTCTCGCGAATGTAGAGCACTGGGTCGTCCTTGAACTTCAGGTCCATGGGCGACTTCGGGGGCGTGTCCTCGGTCTTGGGCTTAGTGGCCGCTTCTTCGGCCTTCTCAGAGGCGATCTTGACATCGTAGGTCTCCTTCTTGAGCTTCTCGGCATCGGCAACGGAGTGCCCGATGTAGATGTTGTCAAAGAGGATGTCCTTCTGCATGGTCCAGATTTCGAAGCCGATCTGCGTATGTGTTAGCCGAAGTTCCTATACTTGTGCCCCTACGTTACTCACAGCGCCAATTGGCTCAAAGTTGGCCGGAGTCGGATCCTCGTAGTAGTCAGGATTGGCAATCTTGCGCGGAGCCCAGACGCCCTTGTACGCCGGGTTTTCAATGTAAGCCGGAGACCACCTGCCCTTGTAGGCTGGGTTCTTCTTCATGGGTTGCGTCCATGGGCCACAGCCAGAGGCTTCATCGCACTTAGGATTGGGGACCATAGGCGGGATCCAGTCGCCATCCTCCTCGTCATCCCAGTCCTCAGGCTTCTCCGCTTCAGGATCCGGGATCATGGTCGGCTCGTCCTCTAGCCAGTCATCTGGCTTGGTCGCCTCCTCGTCAACAATCTCGTATGGCGCATCCTCGTCCCAGTCCTCGGGCTTGGTAGCCTCAGGATCAGGGATGCGGGCCTCCTCGACCCAATCCTCAGGCTTCCTGTCGTTCGGGTCGTCGACCTCCTTCTCGGGGTTGACAGACGGCGTGAAGTCCTCGAGAAGGCTGCCATTGCGCATGGATTCGCCGTCAATCTTGATCTGATAGGTCTGATCGGGATTGACGATCAAGGTGTAGAGCGAGGTGGTCTTGACAATGCGGGCCATTGGAGGGTTCTTGAGGTGCTTCTCTTCATATTCGCCAGTCTTCGGGTTCTTGTGCCTGAAGATGAAATGAACCTGACCAGGTGTTAGCATTGCTCCTTTAGACGGAGTGGTAAATCCAGGCTACTAACCTTGTTTGTGGCACCGCACTTGTCAGGGCCGAACATAATCACATAGGGCGAGGCGTTCGAGAACTCGTCGGATTGAAGCTCCTTGTTGTCCTGGAGGAGCTTCATGTATGCGCCACCACACTCCAGCCCATCTGATGCTGGTTAGCTAGTGGATCATACGCTGATTCTAACGCGGACATACCCTGGAGCTTGACTTCATACTGGACGACCAAAGTGTTCTTCGTGTTGTCGATCGCCTTTGGGAACTTCGCCGAAATGGCATGATGGGCAGCCTTGTCCTTGATGACTAGGCCCTTGTCGCCCTGAATGCCCTTGAGGACAGATGGCTCTTCGACCGCCCAGTTGCCGACATAGGCCCACTCCTCCTCTGTGGACTTGTCGTTTTGCTTCTTGGCGTGGGAAGGCTTCCACCGTGTCTCCCAGTCGTCTGCGAACTGCTCTAGGAAGGGAGCTTTGAGCTTTGTAGGCTGCGAGGAGAGCATCAGCAAGACTGCGCTCGCGAGGTGAGGGATGGTCAATCGTATGCACGCACAGTGAAGGTGGGCTTCGATAGAGCGGAGGAAGTGACCGACTCTACGAAAGAGGATGCTGACATTGAAGCATGGCCGGCGGCATCCTCGAGGTCGTCCGCAACATCTGCGCGGACGACGGCAGTGGAGAGCAGCGTTGCTGCAAGTACGCCGAATCGCATTTTGGGCGGATGAGCTTGGGTGTCTCGTATGTGCAGAGAACTATGCGAGTGCCTACGGTGGATGTAGCGGGGGGAGAGGCTACCGATGTAGTTGTTCACAGCCGGAGCTCATTTGAATTGTGGACACGTTTTTAGATTCAAGGCGCCCCGGTGCGAGGCTGAAGCTCGGAGCTTGGACACCCACGCTAGAAACCTACTCCACCTTCCCCATCGAACACCATGGACGATTCGCGCGCCTGTTACGATTGTGTGGCGAAGCTTCTAGAAGGCTTCAATGGTCTGGGGAGTATTGCAGCTATTCGTACCCAGCCACCGCATTCACCATTGATGCATAGCTGCATTGGGTAGAACTGTAGCCGATGATAAAATGTACGGGGCCAGAGACGCTAGGAGCGTTGTGAATATGATACAAGCAAGCATGAAGGTGAAAAGCTCATGGTAATGGTTGTGGGGAACATGATGATGGACTCATGGCTGGATAATTTTGAAGTCTGGCAACTTTTGTCATCCCAGTGGTAACAATGGCTTCATCCTGGTCACACTTCGTCTCTGGTTTAGCAATGCTCTTCCTTGACGGCTCGAACTCAGATACCCCTAGCCATGGCTTCTGTTCCTGCAGCTTCTAGCGAGACCGGGGGCACCAATATCCACGATTCCATCTCTTTAACTACGTGTGTGTTGGCTCTTAGTATTCCATCCACACCGCGCACATGTAGCGCGAGGACGACTCGCTTTCAGAGCACATTGATTATGTGTTTGGGCGTCGAGCTAATGTCGAAGACTCACTGTTGAGGCTACGAAGTTGTGCAGCAATGTGTTCTACAGTAACTCAGAAGGCAGATTCTACTGGTGAGACGGCGCAGTCTCGGTCGGAGTGGAAGGTCGCTGGCATTGGATCGAGAAGACTTGATGTTGTTCGAATGCAAGGGACAGACAGCTGCTGCGTTGCTGGTTCCCCGCAGCGCACGAAGCAAGCTGCGGAGACTAGGCCTGCCGTAGAACAATGTTACAGGTATCATTTGAGGTACACGTGGATCACGGTAGAAAATAGAGCACCCCAAACCAGCCAACGGACTTGTACTTCTAGACCTAGAGGATGGAGAAGGAGATGCCGGTTATGGGAAGATCAACAATGGAGATCTGCGCGAGAAGGTGGAGAGGAGACGTGAGGGCAATCAGATGAGAGAGGCGTAGGCACGGTCCCAGCACGAGGATAGCTCGGAAAAGCGGTAGCTCAGCAGGCAGGAAGCACACATGAGACGGACATATTTGGATATGAATAGGTAGTTGATTGAACGATGACCCTTGATATTCACGTGACACCCTGGCCATCCTATCTAGGTACCTCTGAAGGATGGATTTCCTAATAAGTTCCACGCACCTCTATTTATTGGTGAGACGATGGAGGTCATTGGCATGGGACCACTAAAGTAAGAGGGACAAGGATGTAGATTACGAGTACCAAAACACTTCGGGTTTGGCGTTGTATGGGGACTACTCTGGGCTGAAGCCGGAAGCAGTAGGACATAAATTGTTGTGTCCGCTCACGACTACCTAAATTCACAGTTCCCCATATAGCGAGCCTCCGGTAAACCTTGTAGTCGTCCTGTGTATCAGCACAGGCTTTGTGGATAGCGGTTGTCCGAGGATGTTGAGTTCGGCCAAGACGCGCTGCCGTAAATGCGAATGATGACTGGAATCACAGCGTGGGAGCCAGCCGACCGAAGATGTTTCAGGTCGTTCCTTTATCCCGTCATGCTTACGGCTTGGGGCGGCGAGGTGCGCTGGTAGTGTCAAGCCCAGGCGGCGACTGCATGCGCAAATGCATTCAACAGTTCCTCTTGTCCGCCTACCCTAGGTTTAGCTACAGCGAGCTATGGGCCGATCTAAGTCCATCCTAGGAGTCGCGGGAGTCGCAGGAGCCGTGAGCAGTTAGGCACTTAGGGTACGGATAGCGCGCTGAGCCGGTTTCTGATTCTTGCTTCTGCGCCGCGTCAGAGAGAGGTTGGGAAGGTGCCACTTGCAGGGATTGGGCATTGGCCGGCGCTGGCAGTTTTGATTCACGCCTTGCCTCACTGATCAAGGTCGAAGGCCCGAACAATCTCTGCATCTGCCTCTACCACTGCCACTGCCACCGCACCTTCGTTCTGCTTAACTTTACAGCTTTCAATTCTTCCTTGACTCTCGTCGCCTGCAGCCAGCCCTGCAAGCTTCGCCTTATCGCTAACGCTTCCGCCACTGCCGGCCCAAAATAGACTACCTGATCGTTCGTCGCCTTGAAGATCACCAACGGCTAGCTAATTAGTCTCCTCCGCAATCCGCATTACGGCCGCCGGGCATCTTTCTTGGAAGACTTCCCATTGCCATAGAGCTTGGGCCTTCGCTCGTTTTGCCGGCACTGTCTTCTATCTCTACAATCGCTACACCGGATAACCCGCCAGTTCCCGTAGCCTTACAGATCCACGCCGCAAAGATGGACGTACCCAAGCAGCGCCCCCGATCCAAGTCGACCTTCAGTTTCAAGAGCGACAAGAGCGACAAGTCCGTGAAGGCACCGAAGCTGCCGAAAGAGAAACTCACAGAGAGCGCGGCGGAAAAGCATCAGAACCACCTCAGCACCACGACCAAGGCGAACCCCAACGCTGCAATGGAAGAGGCTCAACCAAGTACGACACCCTTTGCTCTGTTCCGTGGAGATTCTCCAGGACCGTTCCACGGAAGGAAACTGTACCGCTGACACTCTCTCAGTTGCCGCTGCTCTCGAGAAGCCCACCCTAGCCCTTCTCCGAGCATCGTCATACACCGATAGACACGGAAACCTGATCAGTAAGCGACTCACTCAACGCCACGGAGCAGCACAGGATATTGACATGGCAATCTAGCGGAGCCAGATCTCTCCAACCCGACGCGCCCTCGATGGGAACGACCGCTCGATACGATCAGGTCGTTCGAGGCTGCCATCGACACAGAATACAAGCGGCGATCTACAATGATGCGATCTGGTGGGTGTGCGCCACAGGAAGGGCAGAACAAGAGCAAGACTCATCAGAATGGCACTGCAGATTCGTCGCCGAACTTTGCGAACGGAGGCTTCGACAGCCGCAGAAGCAGCTACTACGGAGGTGAGTCTGCAATTTTCATCCCAATCACGCAATCCGTCCCAGCGACTGCGCTCATGTGCCTTGAGCTCTTTTGTCCCCCATTGCGTACCTGAGTCTTTCAACGCCGTCCCCACGTTCTTCGTGGTGTTACGATCGGCAAATGTTGTCGCGCGCGGGACGTGCATGGTTCGGCCGCGCGGCCTCCCGCACAGATCCATTCGCTTGACGAATCCGGCTAACTCACCCGCCGCGCAGCAGGCCACGACAATTTCCGAAACCCGCGATCTTCGCACGTTGGCGGATATTATGGCAACCAGGCCGGCGTGCGAGAGAGCATCGCAGACAACAGCTATGGGGGGCCTCCAATGGCAGGCCCGTCGAGGAACCGTTTCAGCCAGCGTTTGCATAACGAGCCCCCGGTCAATGGCTACGGCAATCGGCAAGGCATTTATCCCACCCATGTGCCGCAGCTCTCGCGCGATACCGTCAACACCGGAGAGTCCAGTCAGAGCGAGCCATGGGGTAACTCGACGGATCCGAGTAGCGAGAACAGCTCAATTGACAAGGTGGCATCGATGACTAGGGTGATGGAGCCGAACGACCCCTACGTGTATAATAACTATGGCGGCCCAGTCAACGCTCCTGGTCCGGCGGGACCTAACGGGTATCTTCCGCAGCCAATGGGCTCTGCTCCTCCTGCTGTTCCCGCGCATGGGGCGCCAGCAAACCGATCGGCGCCCATCAAGCTCGGCGGCGCAGGGCCCCCGCAGCCTTTAAGTTCCACGTCTGGCAACGCGACGCTGGTCAAGACCAGGAGCCCCTCCGGCACCCAGGATAAGCGGAAGAGCTGGTTCAAGAGGAGGTTCAGCAAAGATTAGGTTGGAGCTGAAGGTATAAGGAGATGAATTCGGCATGACGACGACCCGGTAATGTGTGATGACAAGGGGTGGTCGGATTGAGAATCACGAGTCTGTGCATTTCTCCGGCGTTTCCGGTATTTTAACGAGACAGAGTCTGGAGGCGCTGGGCTGCGCGCTCAGTCGAGGCCTTGCGGAATAGTAATGGGACAAAACATCGAAGCCGGGAGGTTGGATGGTGCGAGCACCGAGGAACAGGTTGTAGACTCGCTTGAGTACAGCAGAGTTATCGGGCGTCTACAAAGTACAGAAGCTGTCTTACAACACTTTGGACTCCGCCAAACGCGGTCAAACACTTGATATGGCAGACATCAATACGTTCAACTCATGTCAAGCGCCGTGCACGATAACACTCGTCCGCACTCCAGATCCTACAAACAGCCCATTGACCCTGAAGTGCGGACATATCCGTACGGGATCAGTCTCCATGCTGCCTACTTAGACTTCTTCGCCTCCTCCTCTGCCTCCAGCCGTTCCGACTGGTCCTCTTTCATGGCCACAATAACGTAGCCTATAAGCACAACATTCGCTATGAAAGCTGCTGTAGCACCTGCGAAGGTCGAGTTGCCTAAACACCGCTGTAAGTACGACCGTGCAAAGGTTCATGATACTCATCTTGCCTCTGAAGATTGTGTTCACTGTTGCGAAATATGAGCCTATAGGAAACACGACCATGGCGAAGGTGAAGGCGAGAAGCTTGAATATGACGCCGCTAACCTTGATGAGCATAGTAGTAGATAGTATATCCCAAGAGGCATACATACGGTGGCACGGCAGGCGCAATATTGGATTTCTCCAATGCTGCGGGAGAGAACGCGGTCGCATCACCCTTTTCGATGAATCCTTTCTCGCTTGATATAGTTCGTCTTGATGCCATGATGAACTCTGACTTTGTAAAGACAGGTTACAGGGAGAGTGGGTGAGAGGGTCAATAATGAACGGAGCTTGACGGGCAAGAGGTGGAAGCAGAATTGGTCAGTCCTCGACGGTGCTTCAAGCGGGGAGCTTAACAGCAATAGCAAGGAACTCGTTACTAACAAAATCCACCAACGTTGGGGTAGAGCAGATGCCCACTTGATTCGAAGCTTTCCACCCTGCCCAAGTGATTCCGCACTGTTCCGCCACGGGACAACCACAAGCCACAGTCTCCGGTCCGCTCCGTGCCGGTCCGCTCCTCTCCGCCTCATCAAATCAGGCGCGACGTAGGTGGATAAAGTGGCGCGCGTCAAAGCGCGTTCCCCTTGGACTTGGACTCGGACTCTTCGGCGAAACCCCAGGCTCACATAGCCGCTTGTTTTCACTTCACTTCTCACCCAACCTTCTTAGACCCTAGGTGCTCCGTTGTTGTCACCACTTCCAGAATTCTCCTATGTTGCTGTCAATGCCTTCGCCACGCCCATCGCCTTTGTAGTCCTTTGTACCCGTTCGCCTCTGACGTTGTTTAATTACTCGACCTTCTTTGGCGACTGGGTCACCATGGCTTGTCCATTGTCAGACGCCATATCGGATTGGTCCCAGGAGCAGAAGAAAGAGCAGGATGCAACTGGTGCCTACAACTCGGCCGATGACAGTGGCGATGATCTGTTCAATGATATCCACGAGACACAGGCTACCCTACCGCTTTCCCGCCCGTACGGCCATGGACCCTCAATCTCGTACAGAGACCTGAAATCACAGATTTCCTCACCGGCTCGGCACGTCACTCAGCCAACACAAATCCTCGACACACCTGTTGCACGACGAACAGATCCGTCGTCCGTGGTACAAGTCGCAGCATCTTCGCCAACCCACTCGCCTGCCCCGCCCTCACCTGCACCGCCGAGGATGTCCTTAGGTTATGCAATGGCCCCTCCAGGGACATCCTTCCGACCATTCGCGGCGGCACCACCACCTCGGCCCCCTCCGATCCTCAGCGACTCGCCAGTGGAGCACTACTCGTCTGATGATGATGTTACCATCACTCGTGCAAACATCAAACCTACGAGCTTTACAAGTGGTGGCCGATCACAAGCGATGAGAGCAGCGGACGCGCAAGACAGTTCAATTGGCCGCATGCAGGAACTCGCATCTAAGTACACGTACGACGAGAAAGTGTCCAACCAGCTGCGCCCTCAGAAGCGCACCACCGATGACATGGCGAGTGCATACGCGAATTCCGGCAGGCCCAAGAAACAGCCTCGCCAAACTGGGCCATCTCGTGCGCAGCCGGTTGCGCCAGATATGTCTCTTCAAGATATTGGCGACCTTGAAGTCCAAAGGAAAGTTGGGAGGATGAAGAGCGTTTATCCGCAGAAGAGAATAATAGAGCTGCGAGATGCGCTCATGATCAAGCGTGGCAACGAGGAAGACGCGCTTGAGTTTATAGCAGGACTCGAGGAGGCAGTGAATGACAAGCAGCCTATTGACCTCACAACGTCTGACGACGAGCTTGCTCCAGATAAATCAGCGGTTGCTGCACCGAAGCCGACCGCCAAACGCCACGTCAAGGCACCCAACATGAGCATTAAGGACAAATGGAGCTCAACTCAGCATGTTGCTCAACAAGCGCCTGCAAAGGCACTTCCAGTAGGCTCGTCACCACTACCGGCAACGCCACCGAGGCCAAGGCGGAGACTTGTTCAAGGCCGGCGCGTACCTTCGAGTCCATCACCTCCCGCCTCGCCTATCGCTCCGGCGCCACCAGTACAGAAGCCAGTCCCAGTCAAGCACAAGGTCATCTGTTTGGAATCAGACGAAGAGCCTGAGTTTTCTGACTCTGGTGTGTCATCGGCTTCTGACGTTGGAGAGGAGAATACGTCAGAGCTCGAGGAAGGGCTCTTGAAATTCATCAACTCCTGCTCAGCGGCAGAACTTGCGGATTTGTCACATCAGAGCCCAGACGTTGCTGCGGCCATCATCGCCGCGCGACCGTTCAGATCTCTGGGACAAGTGCGAGCGGTTTCTGTTGATGCGCCACCGGTGCCTCAAAGAGGCAAGCAAAAGACGACGAGAAAACTTACCAGCGATAAGGTCGTGGATATCTGTTTGGAGATGTGGACTGGTTACCAAGCTGTAGACGAGCTTGTATCAAGATGCGAGAAGCTCGGTGAGCAGATAACGACCGAGATGAAGAAGTGGGGTTTCAATATCTTCGGGATCGCCAAGGGAGGAGAGCTTGAGCTCACGAGCTTAGACGATGCCCAGAGCGATTCGAGTTCACTCCGGGATTCTGGCATAGGCACACCCTCAAGTACCACCGCTGATGAGGACGACGATGCCGACGTCAAGATCGTTGAGCCGAGACGCGGCAAGACACAGCTCCTGAAGAAACCCGGGATTATGGCTGAGGACACTGAGCTGAAAGACTACCAGGTGCTGGGGCTCAACTGGCTTAATCTACTGTGGTCAAAGAAGCTTAGCTGCATTCTTGCAGACGATATGGGTCTCGGCAAGACGTGTCAGGTCATTTCATTCCTCTCGCATCTCAAGGAGACTAGGGTCCGCGGTCCGCATCTCATCATTGTACCCGGCTCGACGCTTGAGAACTGGTTGAGGGAGTTCAAAACCTTTTCGCCCTCGCTTGTTGTCGAGCCTTACTATGGATCGCAGAAAGAGCGGGCCGATCAGCGCGCTCAACTCGAAGATGACATCAGGAAGATCGATGTTATCGTAACAACCTATGACATAGCACGACCGCCCGACGACAACAAGTTTCTGCGTCGCATCAAACCTACTGTCTGCGTGTATGACGAAGGGCACATGCTCAAGAACAGTATGTCCGCGCGATACACGCAGCTCATGAGGATCCCCGCGCAGTTTCGACTTCTTCTCACAGGCACGCCGCTGCAGAACAACCTCCAGGAGCTGGCATCTCTCCTAGCGTTCATCATGCCCGATCTCTTCGCAGAGCGCCACGAAGACCTCGCCTACATCTTTAAGTACAAGGCCAAAACCACAGATGCCGATCACGCCAGCCTCCTGTCCGTTCAGAGGATCGCCCGTGCCAGATCAATGATGACGCCCTTTATCCTTCGACGCAAGAAGCATCAAGTCCTCAAGTACCTGCCTACGAAGACGCGCCGCGTTGAGCGCTGCCCCATGACTCCCGAACAACAGGAGATCTACAACGAACATCTGAGTGAGCAGCGCAAGATCCTTGCGGACCGCGCCGCCGGCCGCCCGAACAAGAACAACGCGAACAACATGATGAAGCTCCGGCAAGCAGCCATCCATCCTCTGCTCCTTAGGCATATTTACGATGACGAAAAAATCCGTAAGATGTCACGTGCATGCATCAAGGAGCCTGAACTGAGCAAGTCCGACCCGAACGTCGTGTTCGAGGAGATGCAGTTCTATTCCGATTGGTCACTGCACAAGCTCTGCGAGAAATACCCGAAGACGCTGAAGAGATACGCGCTGCAAAACGAAGAGTGGATGCGGTCCGGCAAAGTGCAGAAGTTGGCCGAGCTGCTGAAAAAGCACGTCAAGGATGGAGACCGCACCCTGATCTTCAGCCAGTTTACGAGCATGATGGATATTCTGGAGCAGGTGCTCGAGACGCTGGATATCCAATTCTTCCGCCTCGACGGCGCGACGCCGATTAGTGAGCGCCAGGACATGATTGATGAGTTTTACGCAGATGATAGCATTCCGGTTTTTATGCTGTCGACCAAGTCTGGAGGCGCGGGCATCAATCTGGCGTGCGCGAACAAGGTCGTCATCTTTGATTCAAGCTTCAATCCGCAGGAAGACGTCCAGGCGGAAAACAGGGCGCACAGGGTGGGGCAGAAGAGGGAGGTGGAAGTTGTGAGGCTTATCTCGACGGGCACGATCGAGGAGCAGATCTACAAGCTCGGCGAGAGCAAGCTGGCACTCGATGAGAGGGTCGCTGGCGAAGCTGGGAGCGAGGATAGTGCGAAGAAGGTGGAGAAGGAGGGGCAGGCGATGGTAGAGAAGATGCTGTTGGAAGATATGGAGCAGGAGAAGAGCACGGGTGACCTAAAAGAGGACTTTAAGAGCGGAATGAAGAAGAAGGGATTTGATATCTCGGCTGCTTGAGTAAGGCAGGCCGAACACCGCTGATCTGTCGGAGTTGTTCTGGAGCGGTCATTGTTTGGCGTTGAATCGCATCAGTGGGAAAGGCGGCTATTCACCATCGCCTGGCTGGATACAGAGATGTTGAATGTAGTGCTTTGTCTGCGTGTTGCAAGGCCGACTCGCAATGGAACATATTGGGAAGCGTTGTGGTTCAGCAGAGCATCTGGTGTAGGGATCGCAGCGTTCTGGCTGTTATTCCGCAGTAGCGTAGTCGAGTACAAGCCGTGTACATAGTTGCACCTCTGCCATCACAATACTTCAACTGTCCCGTGTTAGGATAGTAATCAATGACAAAGGATTATTGAGAAGACCGCATCGAATCATGCAGTCGGGCGTGGATTACGTCACAAAGATGTTTATCAAGTGTGAATACAGCCAGCACAAAGTGGAATGGGACTATATGGATAGTCCGTTACTTGATTGCATCCTAAAGAAATAAGTAGATCCTCATCCAGCATGGCGCATAACCATCTGCCGGCAAGGAATCGAGCGCTGAGCCCAGATATCAGGCCTTACGACTCCCCCACGCCAGCCGAACCGCACACGACGCCGTATCGCTATGGTACAAATATCAGAGTACTGAAGAAATCTGGCAAAGGGCCAAGAAACCGCGAGTTCTGACCCCATTCGCAAGCCCAATCCACGCCAGCCGAGCGCCCATCCCCTTCGCCCGCTCCAACACACCACCCTATGAGAACTTCCACCGATGCCCGCAATTGGTGCACTCACAAAACGTTGTCATCGGCTCATCCGCGCTCCGTGTCTGCGCCTGGCTATAGCTAACCTTCTTCTGCCCGCACTTCCCACACGTCAGACTGGCGCTGATGCTCCGCTCGACCTGGGCCACCATGGCCTTGTTCAGGTTCTCGCGCTCCAGCGCCGCGTCCTCTTTCTTGCGCGACTCGGACTTGAGCTCCTCGTGTGTCATCACGACGAAGCGGTCGGGAGTTATCTCGCCCGAGAGCACGCGCTGGCGGAGTTGGGGGTTGGACTTGTTCTTGAGGTTTTGGTAGAGTGAGCGCATCTTCGTTTTGTAGTCGGCGGATGTCTCGTGGTTGTGGGCGTTGAAGGCGGCGAGTTCGACGGAGCGGGCCATGCGGAGGACGTCTTCTGGTGCTGTGGGGGGTGAGAGGAGCAAATTAGCACGGGTTGCTCTGCTAGGCGGCCTGGGCGCCTGTTGGAGCGAGGTCACTGGTAGCCTTACACTCTTCCGACATGTGCGCCAGACCGTCGTACATGAGCTTGATACAGCCGTCCCTCGCCGGATTGCCCGTCAGGTTCGTGTCCACCTTGTCCGCCTTCGAATTCCGCTCGCTGGGAGCGACTGAGAGCTTCGACTTTGGTTTCACCAACGCGGCAGGTTTCGGCGACGGAGCAGCTCCAGGCGCCGGTGATGCCGTGCCGTTCGCGTTCGACCGCGGCGTCGACGAGCCGGTGCCGCTTCCGCCTTTCCTGACGTCCTGCTTCCACTTTGACACCAGCTCGCTGCCCTTCCTCGCTACGGCCGGGTCCTTGTGCTGCTTGGTCCTGTTCACGATGACGCCAATTTTGGTGGTGCGGAGGAGGTCTTCCGTGGCTCTCACGCCTTTGCGCAGCTCGTCGAGCAGGTTGGAGATGTTGGCGGCGGGCTCGTCGGCTTGCAGGGCTTTGGAGAGGGCTTGAGCGCGCACGGCGACTTCCTTGGTGTCCATGGTGGATGGGGGGTCGAAGTGCACGAGGTGTGGTATCGACGACAGGTGTTGACGACGGAGCTGGATGTGTGGATGTGCGAACGCGACTATGGAGTATCTCGGGGTGGTGGGGTGGTGGGGTGGTGGGTTTGTGCGGTTGTGCGGAGGGGGGAGGGGGGGGAGGTTGTGCAAGGCTGGGGCGGTGTTCGCGAACGGTGACACTCTTCACTCTTCGCTGTGCAGTTGCGGCTCAAGAGGTGAAGTTGAGCGCACGACCCGCTTGTTGCTGTTGCCGTTGCCTGAGGCTCGGCGATCGACAACTTGAAGTTCGCGGGGACCCTTGAGCTCCCTGGCTCGCCCCGTTCGTGACTTTACTTCACCCCCACCGTGACAGCCCAGCCCGCCCGGCAACAGAGATAATGGCGCACTCCGCTGTCATCCGTTCCGTACAATCTCCCTAGCGACGTGGAAACCACCCAAGGGGAGAAGTACCAGCGAACACGTTATGGCGGAAAACGCGCCGCCAGCAGCAAGCGCAGCAAACGCAGCAAACGCGAAGGATGACTCCGCCCGTGGTATGCCCTACTACGACAAGCTACGGCGAGACCTCCGAGAGACAATGCAGAAGAAGCGAATCCTGGAGCAGAACATGGTCCGTCGTCCCTTCGTGCATCAACTTGTTCATAGAAGATAGGGCTGACCAAGACCATGGTAGAGCGCGACGGACGAACAGATATACAAGATGGAGTCGGCCTACCTCGAAGAAAGCACTGCTGGAAACATAATCAGGGGCTTCGAAAACTATGTCAAGGGCTCAACGAGCGGAGCGAGTGGCGCTGGAGCGGGGACGTCGACTAGAAGGAAGGCTGCTATCAACGACGCAGACCGGATATTCAGTCGGAGCTCGGCAAGCTTCATGGAGGTATGAACTGGCCTTACTGTTCTATATAGAGTTCTGGAATGGTCATCGGCCTAGGTCGGCTTGTCTGCCGTTCCTCGCTTCGCGGTCGCAGACACCGCTCTTGAAAGCTGTGTGCTAACGCAGTTGACCGCAGGATTCCGCTCTCGCCATGTCCGCTCAGACGACACCTTCTCATGCAAATACGCCATCTGCATCTTTCGCTAATGCTCGTGAAAACAGCAGTGGAACCCCAGGCGCAAGTACAAACAGCAAAGTTGCAGCAAACAAGAAGAAAAAGACAGGAGATGACGACGAGAGTGAGGGAAAGCCAGCAAAGAGAGGCAAGATTACCTACGGTCGGGAGTGAGGCACGTCTGACTTAGGCTGCCGTCATTCGTTTTCGAATTTGAAGAGTCACGTGATTGAGGGTACGGCTGGAAAAGAAGCTGCAAGCATGGCATTTCAGCGGTCGTGATCTGGTATCCGGCGTTTCTTGGGTGGAACAGGAGCATTGATACCCCGGTGAAGCAACTCCACCATATGCCTTGAGGTACGGTTTTTAGAGGCAACTCAGTTCCATGTTTGCGTATTTCGCAGTTGCACTTTCCCCTCATGGATGGCATCCGTGTCTTGACTTGGCCAGGCTTAAATTAAAGACAGAAAGCACGTGTTATTAGGTGTTGCAGCAGGAAAGAGACGATTGCTCTACCAATTGTCCAACTGTTATCAGTGCTGCCGGATCAGGGGCATCCCATAACCGCGCCCCCATATCTTGTTTTTTGGGCACAGGGTAAAAGATAGATCAGTAGCGCCTCGAACTTGGGATAACCAGCCGATGGGGTCAGGAGAGGCAGTCTCGAGGCGCGGTTGATGTGGACTCTGGAATTTACAAGGAGACCCGCTGCGTGTTGCTGATCTCCCGCCTATGTGCCTGTAGCTCTTGTCCTGCTACAACCACTTGTCGATCAAGCTCATCACCTGCTGCATGCTGTTGCCGATCATTCACAGCGGTACCTGAAAGTTATTTCCACTTGGCGCTTCTGTGCTACCGAGCCTTCGATCACTACTTCTTGGGGACGGCACGGAACCACGCGAGTAACAGACATCGTTGGAATCCGAAATCAACAAAATTAAACATCTTCACCAAGCTTTCAAAGATCCTTCGATATTACGGTTTCAGCTCTAGTTATGGCTTGACCATGCTTATGAGGCTGTATGGGCTACCACGTCTAGGCCCCAAACTTAGCTCTATTATTATCGTCGCCGATGAAGCCTTCAATCAATAGTTAACGCAGTGGCCTACCAGCTCGTGAAATTTTGACTCGGGCGATTTTTGTCACTCGAGTGGCAATCTACCTGTCAACTTGTAGATACTTTAGGGTAAACCTACTCATAGCGAGTCTAGTGTGCGGTTTGGTCGTTCTTTCGCTTGACGCTTGAACCTCCTTTCATCTCCAACTGTCCATGGTCTGACGGCATTATCCGAGTTTCATCGTCGTAAAACAAGGAGATTTGACTGCGCCGCTTGTACGGGCCTTACTTCAGAGCTACGACAATCACACTGCAGGCCAAGCACGAGCCGTTGGTATTGCAATAGTTCACTGTAAATCTTGAGACCACCTGGGTATGTAGAGGCGGTTGTTTTAGATTTGGATTTCGCCCTACCGGCTTCTCCGTCCATGAACCTTGGTCTTTGTTGAAATCATGCAACCCCGAGCCTTCGTTTGATGCTCTTGAGGATCTGCAGAAATGCTCTACGCCTTGGAGGAGGCGGCTCCAGGATAAATCCCGCTTTGCATGCACAATCGCTTTACCCGCTGATATGGAAAAGCATCAAGCAGTGAAAGCTCCGAGTGTCCAAAAACCGAACGCCCAGGCGGCACTTGCCATTTGCTCTCTCTTTGCAGGGTGCGGATTTACCCTTCCGGAGTGACGCTTCGATCAATCTGAACCACGCTCTTGACACTCGTAACCATCATACGCCCAACTCCAAATCCGAGTGATCCCCTAGAGCCGTCATAAAAGACAACGCGACACCTCTTCCCATTCGCCAGTCTCCCGAAAAAGCAGCCGGACGCTCTCCCGTGCCCGCATCACCACTTGCATCACTTCCCCCAGGGTGCCATCTCAACGTTACACCCGACGCTCCCGACCGGCACACCAGTCGCCCAAACCCCAAGGCCACCCGCAGACACCGGCAAGCCGCCGACAGCATCCGCCAAGGCCGCCAATGCCGCGTCAACCGGCAGTGGAGGGCGCGAGCAGGGAGAGGGGGGGAGCGCCGATCAGGGTCCGGTTAAGCATGTTTCTGATGGCGTTTTTGGCGCTGATAGCGCGCACTTGGCGCTTCTAGCGCGAAGCCTCGGGGCTGACTGGGCTGACGCCGCCGACGCCCATCGCAAGCCACCGACGCCATTGATTTCGGAGTGCTTCCTTGAACGGCGGAAGGTGAATCGATTGGACTGAGTTAGGGGCTGGTGGAGGGTGGTGATAGGGAGGCGCTTGGAGGCTTGGGCAATTGCGTCGTGGGCTTGGGGCTTCTTTGCAGTGAAGCAGGGCGTGAGATGAGTGACGCTGCAGGTGCAAAGTGACTTCACGGCAGTAGCCTGCGGCTAGGAGAGAGCAGAGAGCGCAGGCTTACGGCTCCAAGGCGATATCGAAAGATGAACTGAAGGATAGATGACAATATGGAATGTCTGCTGGCTGGGAAGCTCTGTGGACATTTTTGCTATTGCTCTACCAAGCGAGTGACGCCCAAGTTCCGGGTATCTAAACATCAATTCCAACGTATCTTACACTGGCCCGAGAGTCATACTCTTTCGGTCATCCAACAACGTAGCGAGAAATCGTAAGCTCGCAGCGTTCTAGCCAAACCTTTCGTCCTCAAAGCAAAAGTCGTAGCAAACCTTGTAGTTATACAGGTCATGAAAGAAACAGACTCTAGAGTCGAGTAACGCCTGCACCTGCAGCAACTCCAGTCTACCTGTAAACGAACCACGTGATAGTGTACAGCATTGATCTTCCGTGTGCAGATCAACGTAGATCGAGGGGTATCGTAATGACCGTTTTGGATTATCAACGGCTTTAGACCTGGAGATATCCTTTTTGGTAGAAAACCAGACGTAACGGATGTTTGAGCATGCGTGAACGCTGTAATAGAAGCAGGGCGAGGACCTTATCAAAGATACCGACGCGGGAGAGCAACATGTGCGCGCAACGGAGGATGCCACAGAAGCTTCCGGTATGTTTACATGTCGTCCGGCGACGGATGATCCCGTTCGCCCTTATGGACTTTACGATGTCGTCGCAAGTTGGAGACGACAGAGAAATGTCGACCGCAGCCATCCACTTCGCAAGCAAATGCTTTGGAAAGATGTTAGTCATGATGAACAAATCTGTATTTCGATGGTGACTTACGCTTTTCGCCAGTATGGCTGTACATATGCGTTTGCAGCGAGCTAGGACGGGTGAACCGCTTGTCACAAATCTTGCACTTGTGCTTCTTTTGTGAGCTGGAGGAGACCTTCGAGCTGAACTGCCCCATCATGGACTGAGGAGCGGGCGGAAGATTCGGTCCTCCAAGTGCGGATGGCCTGGGGAGTGTGCGGGAACCCATGTTGTCCACAGACTCTGAGGCAGAGCTGTAGTCTGTTACCGATGAATCGGCAGTGGATGATCCTTGGTAGTATCCCGGGTTGTAGCTAGCAGACGAGATGGACGAATGCGAAGAATGAGTGGCCGGGAAACCGTAAGAATCTGACGAGCTCCGGTTGGAGGCTGCACCGCCGTAAATGTTGCGGGGCGTGATGTCCTGGCTCATGGCAACCATGCCTCGGCTGGCATCGAGCGCGTCGCTGAAGCTGTTGCGTTGCACTTGTTGTTGGTTCATTCTGCTCAAGTCAACCAAAGAGCTCTGGCGTTGCCTTTGCGCCTCCACCGGAGACTCAAAGTACGCAGCAGATGGTACTGACGGATGTGATGAGCGCCTTGATGTATCATATGGATAAGGGCCCCTATTGCTAGTCGCATAATCCATTTGGTACTGGGAAGCAGGAGCGGGCGCATAGAGGGCGGGATTCGGAGCCGTAGATGTCGAATATGCTGAGCCATACGACCTTGAGTTCATTGAGTCTTGAGACGAGTCAAGTAAGTTTTGCTGTTCGTACAACCCGGCTGAGAGAGTACTACCTGGTACTAGCGACGACGCGGACACTGCCATTCCTGGGTAGGGCATCGACACGGGGACCGTTCGCGCACTCGAATACTGTGCATTGCTGTCGAGGCCAGAGAGACTCGAGGCAAGCGAGGTAGGATACAGCTGAGCTGAAGGTGCTGCAGAGACAGAAGCCCAAGGGTTTGTGAATTGAGGTGCCGGGTATCGCAGAGGGTCGTAGCCCATGTTGCCCATTGAGGGCTGCTGGCGACTGTCGACAGCTAAGGCCATTTTGACTGAGGTTGGTGCTGAAGTCTATCGTGATGGTGATGTGATGTTTGTTGACAGTTGCGAGGTAGTTGTTCGGGTGAATAATTCGAACGTGGGGAGGGAAGAGCGACGGTCGATCAATCGCACAAGAGTGTGGGACCAGCGATCGTTTTGAAGCTGTCCAACACACAGATGGGAAGTCCCGCCGGGGAGGTTTGAACGTGCAGGCAGTGACACAGCTCGGGGTGCCGATCTCTGGGACGTCCTCGAGGCGGGCGGAGTGACAACCGTAAGCCAACCAGCAACAGAGCTCCTTGTGAGCAATGACGAGCGGGCACAGAATAAGGCGCAAGCGTTCCGTCCGGTTTAGCAGCGATAAAATCGGGGCTCGAGCAGTGGTAAAGCCTGGGGGATGCCGACGGAGAGGGTAAGGATCCGAGGGTTACTCTAAGTGTTTTGCAGAAGTGATGTTCAACGGAGCTCCTGGGGGGAGAGGGCGGTAACGGTGTGTTGGAATTTTATGGGCCTGTGGAGAGAAGGGTCGATGTTGATCTTTGTGGAGGGGGCGGGCATTGATTAAGACAGATATCCGGCCTTGACTTGTCGCTGGCTTCAGCTTCACCCTGGCCTACGTCGTCACCAAGCATCAGAGGCGTCGCTTGCATGCGATCGGCGTGTGGGGGGAAAGGGGACTAGCTCGCACGGAACATCAGCCAGCATCGCGACTGCTCTCCCACACGCCCGCAACGCCAGCAACGCCAGCCAAGGAAAGCCTTGGATAGACCTGGCAAGGGCCATTTGAAAAGCCAGTTGCCGCATGCAAAGTCACTAGATGGCCCTGGAGGTGGATGGCCTAAGCACACAGCCCATAGATCAAAGACACCTTAGCTGGTTGGTGCATTAGAGAGCTAAACTGCTGGACACCCTTTCCTTTCTATCGTTGGAGCTCTGTAGATGCTATGCTCTGAGACTGACAAAATCAGGAGTCCCAGTTTGATGGTGCGTTTGGTATCCAACTGGCTGGGGCAAAGATGCGGCAACGTCCTTTTTGAGTGGCCCTTAGACCTTGCGAATCACAGCCGGCGAGTCAGAGCCAGGCCAGCGCTCGCTCGTTCATGGGGCTTGACGGCTGCGCTGAAACGGGCATAGGAAGATTCAAACCAAATCCTCTTTCGGATGGCTGTCGTCCTAACTGCCACAAGTGCCCCTTCATCACCAGCGCCTGAACCGCGTCCTACTTGGATGGAGCCGCAGGCATCACCTGCATCTTTGAATTCTCGTCGCACTAAGGCTACATGAACTCTACAACTGTGGACGCCATGTCGGGGACGAAACAGAACAACAACGGTCCGGAGGCCTTCAGAGCCCAGCGCATGCATGCTAGTCAGCCTTTCCAGACCTGAGTACGGCGCGGTTCCCACAGGCTGCGACTGTTCAAATTACAGCAAGGCGTCCAGCTCAAGCGCTCCGAAGGTCACGGTACAAGGCGAGATTAGTTTAACTAACATTGTTACTGTCAACGTCAAGGTCACGGCTGCAACAGCCGAAACCAACCGTTGGTGCTGTTCACCCGGACCCCTCTCGAGGATTGAGCCATGGGTCACAACGACTGAATCTTGATTGGTCTTTCTTCCGGCAGATTTCGCAGCATATATTAGAAGTGCGATCTCAGCAAATTCCAAGCCCCAAACCCCGGGCCGAAAGCTCCCCATCGATCGGACTCTGAGTGGAAAGCCAAGACGGCGCTGGCGGAGCGTCAGGGGAATCGGATGAGCATTTTCTGCCGAGCTCAACGTTGTTCTGCTTGTCGGACACGAGCCGGAGTCAACACTGCGTCGCCAAGTGGAACGCTGTCTGGCGGCGCCGTCCTGCAATGTAAAGTTGAAGCAATGATGGATTGGCGTTCTCGCACTTCCGCTGCGAAGACCGTCTGTCCCAGGGATATGCGCTAGGACATAGGTGGAAGGATTCATGAGCGGTGTGCCGTGAAGCTCGAAAGCGGCGGGTATCGGACCTCTTGCTCTATGACGCACGCCCTCTCGGCAGAAACAGTTGACAGTCCGGAAACGGGACTCAGGCTTCCCAGTCGGAGTGTCTGCCTAGGGTTTCATGTCTCCAAGCTGGCGCGCTGATCCCGCGCGCAGCTCGTCAATCACATCCGGGCCGCTATGAAATGCCAGGACCGTTGGCGCTACAGCATGAGCGCCAAGCCGTTTTTATGCTTACCTCGCTAGGCAACGCCCAGCGCGCGGTAGTACGGAGCGTAATCCGACCTCGAGCTATTGGACAAAATCCGGTCGGCCAGCGCCATTCGACTTCATCAAGTTCCCAGCTCTACGACCGACCGTAAACACTGTGTCCGCGTAGGCGAAGCAAGAAAGAAGAGATGAGTGGAGCGTTATTGTCTTCTTGCAATCAGGAATTTTGCGCAGAGGATGCGCCGGAAAATGTATTCACCCTCGTTACGCTGGCGTCATTCTGCAGTGATTCGTGAACCCGACACAGTGGGACCCCTTGTGGAGCGCATCGTGCTGTCTCAAGCACGGGTGCGACAGCAAAAGGTGGCTTTTGGCGCCCTCCACTTGGGTGAAGCTTATGTCGTCACAGCTGCTTGTTCCGGTAAGGCGGACGCTTACCGAGACGGCCAGTGACTGACTCGCGATCCTCGCACGAGACACATTTTGCTGAACAAGCGCATTTGGAGCCCCGCCGGCCATTGGGGACCGACTGTTTAGTGCTGGTATCCAGTGATTATTAGGCCACAAAAATACACAAGATGGTGTGCATCAGGAAGGTCGCAAGCTGACACACAGCGCGCGGCCCACTCTCCCGTGACCACCGTCACATCCTCGGGTGGAGCCTACTACGGGTTGACAGCACGCCCGGCTCGTGTCCAGTACTCGGGGCTCCTTTCACGCTGGTGGAGACGTTCCATCTTGCTCGCACAGCGGCGTCATAAGCCTTGTGACTTTTCAAGGGTTTAAAACTTCGTTAACCGACACGTAGACCGCAAGCTGTGCTCAAAAGCAATGACACGCTTATTTGGCAGAGAGAGCGAGAGAGAGAGAGAGAGCTTGGCAACTTAAGCCTCTCTGCAAGGGCGGCGGCTTTGGCGGGACCTCGGGACTGCGGTTGATGCCGGACCCTGCTTGTGCATCTCAACTCCACCTCAACGACAACCGATGCGCCAGCGGAATAGCAAACTCAACACCAAGAATCGGGCGCATCCAATCCAAGGGACTAAAAGCGCCTCTTGCCCACCCCGTTTCGAGGCTTAGGACACACGTGTAGCTTGTTCAGACAGTTTGGTGTTGTGGACAAAGGCATCGATCTCCCGCTAGCGTAGATCACGGCCCGCCACTCGCGTTCCCTGAGCCGGTGACTCGTCAAACGGTGTTGATAAGGCCGCCAGTTCGCATCGCTCCATTGAGATCTGGAGGCAGAGTTCTCTTCTGTCCGTATCGTGACGGATCTAATCTAAGGCTTGGTTCGGCTTGCAGCAAGCCGAACTGGGCCGCGTACTCATAAACTGCCCGAGATTGCTGCCGTAGAAGATGCCGAATCTCCAGGACGTCACAATCGTTGAGGGCGCAGAGCGGGCATTGAAGCAGCCCTTCAATAGGACTGTGCATGGATGAATCGAACCGCCTCGCTTTACTCCACCCGTACTCGCCAAGTCGGCCCGTTCTCGCATTTCTAGTATTGACTCAGGCGCCCATATTGCCTTTCCTCAAAGCTCGGAAGTGATCTCAGGGTCGACTTGAAGCCCACTCAGCATGTTGAGTCTGTTATCTCATCTCTCTAAGTTTAGGCGTCTGGGATATGGCATCTCTAGCGAACAGCTATTGAATGAGGAAATTCTCCCCGAGCTTGCATCATCCTGGTCGGCTAAATGGCCGATGGTCCTGAAGCACTAGCCTCCTTGGTAGCTGAGTGATACATGTGTCGCAGGCAAGAATTCCATGAGACATCCGGATTCGAAAGAATGGAAGGAGACGTATCACAGCCTCCAGCACACCGAGGAACGAGACCTTTCTCTCGCAGGACAACATGCCCAACTGTTCGTGGCGCCAAGTCTTGCTGCGGAAATGATCTTAGATGGCGATTTCAAGAGGGGTTCATGTGTTATTTGCCTGAAGACTAGGCGCCGCGAAGCTGGGTTCTAGTCAGATTTCATACTGTCATCATTAAGAACAACGTCTACCTTTGTCTAAAACCGGCTCATCTTCTGCCTCGTGCCATCCACACATGTGCTATCTTTCATGAATCGATGCCCAAAAGCTTTCTTAGATCAAAGTACGAGTCGGCCTTTCTGCCTTGTCTCGATTGTGCTTGAATCCATTTCGGGCCCGACAATAGCGCCACGCATACATACAATGCGTAGACTCTGTACAGGATGCAGAGTACTCATCTAGGGAGCTGCGCGCCTTGCTGCCATGCAAACAATCGAGGATTGTGCTCTCCAGGTGCCCAATGCTCCAGAAGAAGCTCCAATCTGGGGCTCATACCCCAGATTCCAGAACGCCAGCCGAGATGCTTGAGGTGAATCCCATTTCGCCCAGATACCGATTGAACACCAGAACGCCAGGGCCATGCGATGCAAAATCCAATGTACCCAGCAAGCGCGTTCCTCCACCTTCTTCGCCCGACCAATTCCATTAGGGTAGCCGTCTATTGAGTCTCCAGATTCTTCCCCTAGCAGGCACGTTCGGCGTGGTCCTCGTACCCCTCACTTCTGACCCTCATCCGGTTTCCTGTCTACACTTTCTGTCCTCAGGTAAGGCGCAGCGCTAGTCCCCACGCTCCCCTTGCCGCTGCTCCCAACAGCCCTCATCTCCCCAGCCTTCTTATCCTGTTCCACACCAAAGCGCTGCATGTTCTCCGTCGTAAGCATATGGCTCGGCCCGCCCTCCCTCTCCTTTTTCTCACCTCTGTCCCTCTTGCGCTCGGTCCCCGTGCGCGCGCTCCTCGGATCCTCGCCGCTGGCCATCAGCCTGTCGTCGCGCAGGCTGGACGCCTTCTCCTCGTCGTTTACGCGGCGGAGCACGCGGTCCGCATCCGACTCCGCCGACTTGGAGAGCGCGGCCCGGTTCGTGTAGTCCAGCCGGCCGAGCGCGGCGGAAAGCTCGGAGGCGCGGTCGGCGCGTAAAGAGGAGCGTGAGGGCTGCGTTTCTTGCAGGGGGCCTGGCCCGGGCCTGCCAACTGCGTTGGTAGTGAGCGGGGTGGAAGTGACGGTGCTGGAGGAGTTGGAGGCGGAGATTGTGCGCAGGGTGTCGTGGCTGTCGAAGGGGTCGTTCGCGTTGGCCTCGGTGGACTGGGAGCGCTGGTTTGGTGCACCGTTCGGCTGTTGTGCTTGCTGCTCCGGGTCCGGTGGACTCCCATTTCTTCGTTTCTCTTCTATTTGATTTATCTTGCGTTGAATTGCCCACTTCACGAGCATCTTCTCCAAGTGCTTGCCTTTGACTGGCTTAGCGAGGTAATCGTCCATTCCTGCCTCCTGGCACTTTTCTCGGTCACCTTGGATGGCGGAGGCGGTCATGGCGATGATGGGGGTGCTGCGGATGCTAGCACTGTCTTTGAAGGGCTCTTGCGTGCGGATGGTGTGTGTTGCGAGGTAGCCGTCCATGATGGGCATCTGGACATCCATTAGGATGATGTCGGGGTTAGGGCGGTCGCCGGATGGTTTGGCGAGTAGGTAGTCAAGCACCTCCTTGCCGTTCCAGACGGCGCTGACAGAGAAGCCGAGTTTCTTGATCGTTTTCAGGGCGATCTGTTGGTTGATATGACTGATGCGTAGTTAGCTTCGTGCAACGCTGAATTCTGATCAAGAGCCTTACTTGTCCTCCACGACGAGGACGTGGATCTTGCTCCTTTCCTCTTCGGTAAGGTTCATCATGTGGTCGGGCAAATTGTGTGTGATCGATGGTGTGCCCGGCGGCAAAGAGCCCGAGTGACCTCTTGCATGTCGGGCTCCGCCATTGTAGCCTGTCGGAGTCTGTGGAGGTGTAACCCTGCCGTGCCCATGCTCGTCCGAGCTTCCATACGATACTGAGACATCAGACTGGAGTCGATCCGGGATGGAGCTGAGGTCAAGTAAGGTGGGGGAACCCTGATCATTGTATTGCGCCTTATTAAAAGGAATCCAGAAAGTCGCTTTCGTGCCTGTGCCAAGCTTTGACTCTAGATTGATTTCCCCGCGCATTAATTGAACGAGCTGTTACAGGGCTTTCAGTTAGCCGGTTCCGATACAGTAGCAAGGCACAGCGCTCACGTTTTTGCTAATCGTTAAGCCCAAACCAGTGCCTCCAAACCGACGAGCCGTAGAGGAGTCTGCCTGGCTGAACGGCTTGAATAACCTCTTGCGCACATCCTCTTCGATGCCGATTCCAGTGTCCTCAACCTCAAAATTGACCTTGACTATATCGGTAGTGACGCCTATAATGGAGACCGATAACTTGACGGAGCCCTCAGAAGTAAACTTGATGCTGTTCGTCAAAAGGTTGGTCAATATCTGGCGTACGCGGCCCGGGTCGCCCATGACTTTGATATCGCGCTCGATCTCTGGCTGTATGAAGCTTTCGTAGGTTAGACCCTTCCTCTCCGCGGCGAAAGACATCATCTTATTGACATCGCGGATGACGACCGACAAGCTGAACTGCACTTCTTCGACATCCAACCTGCCTGACTCGACCTTGGAGAGATCCAGAATATCGTTGATGACGGTAAGCAGCCCGTTAGCGGATCGCTGTATGTTTTCCGCGCAATCGCGTGCCTCTTGGTCTAGCGGCATATCCAGAAGCAGTTCACTCATCCCAATGACTCCTGCAATGGGCGTACGGATTTCGTGAGACATCTAGAACGAAGAGTGAGCTCAGTCGCAATGCTGTCGAAGCAGTGGCACAGCTTACGTTGGCTAAGAACTGGCTCTTCATCTTGCTCGCTGCCTTGGCTGCTACAGCATTTGCCGTCAACTTTGCGTTTTCTCGTTCTTGCTCCTTGACCTCCTCCTCCTTTTTGTGGAGTTCTGTAAATGCCTCGTCAGCACTGATGGACACGGATTGATATCTCGACGCTCACCAGTCACATCCATACTAATGCCGATAACCCCGTCTACGTAAGACTCCCCTTCCACGCCGCCATTGCGCGAGTTCCGCAGGAGCGGGACTATGCGCGTCCTGTAGTGACGCCCGTTGCCGTCAATGTGCATCTCCACAATCTCGTCGCTCGCCTTGCGTTCCAGGGTTGCTTCGACTGCTTTCCTCAAAGGAGGCATGTATTCAGCGCCCTGGTGCTGGCCGAACACATCGTACACATTAAGCCCTATGGACTTTTTGCTGATGTCTTCGTCGCTGCTCTGCCACATCAAGCTCCCCTCAAGCACGATGAGTTTACGTTCCTTGTCGACGGCCCAGAGAGTAGTTTGGGCATGCTCGACGACTCGCTGGAGCTGCTCCTTAACCTGTTTTGCCTCGTCACGGGCAATTACCAGATCGTGAATGTCGCTGCAGGTGCCAAACCACTTGATAATTTTTCCGTCCTCATCGAGGAAAGGCACAGCACGGCCGAGCATCCACCTCCATTCACCGTCATGCCGCTGGCAGCGATATTCTGTGATGTACTCGTCGCCAGTCTGCAAGGAGTGGTTCCAACGCTCACTCGTGGCCGGCATATCCTCTGGGTGAAAAGGTAGTTGCCACCCCTGGCCGAGTGACTTCTCCTCAGTAAGACCAGTGTAGTCGTACCAGCGTTGAGAGAACCAGTCATGCTGGCCACTGGGAGTCGTGGTCCAGACCATGATGGGTATCAAGTTCGCGATATACTCGAACTGCCGTTCGTTCTCCTCGATCTGTGCAGCAATGCGCTTGGTGTATTCAGTGACGTCTTTCATGACGACTATTCCGCCCAGGAACTCTCCGGTAGCTTCGTCGACAACGGGCTCCCCGCTGACGTCGTATGTGAGACGAGCGTCGGTTTTTGGATGCCTCATACCAACGCGCTTTCCTTCGACTCGCTTCTGTGTGCGGCAGAGCTCTATGATGGGTAACTCATCCACATCCATTAGACGCTGGAAATCTTCCGTATAGAATGTGTACTGAGCCAGAAATTCGTGCTGATTAGTACTGTTAAATACATAGTTCTCGTTGTCCGGCATAAGCCTGAGGAAGGCTTTATTGGGGATGCCGAAGCTCCGATCCTTCCACATAGCATAGCTTGGCATATTCATGGAATTCAGGACGGCGTCTTTCATTCGGCTGGCCTTGTGGAATATCGAGGGTGCGGACGAGGACTTCGTCCGACTGGCAGGGCCATGAGGAAGACGTGGGGCAGGTTCAAGCAGTGGAGATGTGACTGCTAACGCACCCGATGTGGTCGGTGCAGAGCTTATGGCTGATCGTCGGCCAGACGAAGATGAACTGGAGTTTGCTGATCCTGGCGATCTGCGGAATCCAGTGCTGGTGCGTAGGACGGTCCTACTCGAGGGCTGGGAATTGGCGGTGGCATGCGGTGTAGCGCTTGTAAAGGTAAGAGTAAAGAATTGCTTGCCTTCTAGGGTCCATGTAGAGACAATCATGCTTGCAGATATCGGTTCAGGCAATGGTGCAGCTTTGTCGGCGGCTGGCGCAGGCCTGAAGAGGCTATCGGATTGCGGCGAGATTAGCACGTCAACTTTGACATCATGAACGGTCGTTTTAACCAAGTTCGAGCTGCTTAATCGAGGCAAGGACTGGCTAATTGGGGTGTGCGGAGGCCGCTGGCCTCGAGGCGTGACGGTAGGTGTGCTCCCATCATTATCCTCGCGCAGGCTTTCGATATTGTCCGATGAAGCGCCCCCCGCAGACTGAGTAATTTGTTCGAGGATGGAATTCAGAAAGTCCTGTAGGTAGTGTTAGCGGGCACAACCCCATACGCGTATTCTCAAGGGGTCACCCACATCCCAGTTTACCCATATTGGTGATCCATTCTGCAGCACGTCTATGCCAAGCTGAGACATGCTATAGTCGCAAAGAAGATCTGTGACCGACAGAACAGCCGTGGGTCCTCTGTCCTCGTCCTCGACTATAGCGTTGACTTCTAGACCTAGCAGTCTACCCATAGCTTCGTTTGCTAGGACTACGGTTTTCTGGCTCGACAAGACGAGTAGCGGCATGGGAAGATATTCCAGCGCGGTCAACGCGATCGCTGTTGTCGTCGGCGAAGGGGGCATCTTGACGGAGAGATGCTGACTGCGGACGGAGGCTGGCGAGCGGTTGCCCCTCGAACGGACGCTGAAGTATCCATCCTCTTCGGAAACATCGCTGGTATACGCCGGCGACGGCGTGTGGAGGCTTGCGAGGTCGTCGTGATGGTTTAAAGAGCTGCCACTTCCCGCAGGTGGCTGCGCCAGAGGTCGCATAATACCGAAGCTTCTGCCCGACAAAGTCTCGGGACTGAGCTCTGCATGCACGTCTTGCGCCGTGCTCTACTCGGTGCCCTGGATCCCACCACCGCGGAGAAAGTTTAGCGACTGGATGCGGGATGGCGGCGGCCTCGGCGGCGAGGACAATAGCTCCTTATGGCATATGCAACCAGGAGGGTTTGCTGTCGTGATAGGGAGGTGATTAGGCGTGCTTGTCGAGACAGCACTTGGTGCTGTAACAACAGTCCACAGGTGCCCTGGCTTGGCGGGAGGGCCGGAGTCTAGAACGTCTAGGAATCAGTTAATTAATGGCAAGCACAGGCATGGGCTAAACGGCGCAGAATAGACGCGCGCAACTGCAACCAGCGGGCAGCAGAGGTTCAACCTCCATCCTCTCACCAGATGTTTTGGTGATTACGTCGGGTGCATTTCCTCTCTTGCATCGCCAACCCCGGGGGCCGTTCCTGAATCGGGAGTTACTAAGCAAGCTGCCACGATGCCACGATCTCTCGGCGATGATACGTCGGAGAAGTCTCCGTTTTGGCGCCGCACGCCGCATAAGCGCCAAGTCGGCTTCTCAACCGCCGCGACCCGCGCTGCACGTGACCGCTAGGACAGAACATTGTTTTGCAACTCCAGGCAAGCAATATCGCAAGCATTTTGAGCAAAGTGGACGAAACACGCCAAAGTTTTCTCGACATCCCCCCCCCCCCCCCCCCCCGAAACGTAGAATCAACAGACACAATATGATCTTCTTCGGCCTTGGTGGTCTATTCTACGGTGCATCAATACCATCCTAATCAGGCTTACCAACAATCACTAACGCTGTCCTCTCAGTCTCCATCCTTCTCATCAACGCTATAGCCATTCTCTCCGAAGACCGCTTCCTCGCCCGCAGTGAGCCTCCCATGAACTTCTCCACTGCCTCCTCCCGCTCCCTACTTTTTGCTTCCCCCTTTCGGCATTCCTCTTTCTTCTCCCCCTTCCCATTCCCTCCTTCACACTCCCGTCTTCCTCGAGCGAACTTCCCCAAAGCAGTCTTGACTGACTCCCCCTCCTACTAGTCGGTTGGGGCGCATCCTCCGACCCCGGCTTCGGCGGCGCGCCAGACACGACGTCTGTGAAGGCGAAGATTGTGAACCTGATTGCGAGCGTGCGAACTCTGATGAGAAGTCAGTCTCCCTCCTTTCCTTTGGTCCTGTCAGATTATCTTCTTGGTTAAGTTCTGGTTCTGCATCTACCGAGGACTAACGTGGTGTCGATTGGGGGGATATAGTACCGCTTATAGCGGTGAATACGCTTGTCATTGTTTATGAGCTTTTGTTGGGTTGAGAGGGGAGGATGCTGAAAGGTGGTGGACACCGACGGCACTTGCGAAGGGACAGGGTCTGTGCTCCGTTTAAGTGGCAGAGAACGGGTAGGCGGTGGCCGAAAGGGGAGGCAGAAGGGGGCTTGTGGCTCTCAGAGTCATCGTTGAAGCGACTCGTCGAACGGGTTGAGGACGAAAAAGACGTCATGAATCAAACGCTGAGCACTATCGGAGGACACGCAACAGATCCAATAATAGAGCGCTCAACCTGGCGGCGCAATGGAGGGGCAATGTAGCTCTTCGGACGATTGGAGAACAAAACAGTGCGGTCTGAGAAGATGTTCTCTCGGCGACGCTCTTCTGCAGCTTGATATCGCATCTATCAACACACCAAGACCTACGTACAACTCAACGCCAGCCATGCATGGGTCATGGAAGTAACCAAAACAGGACATGACCGCCCCGAAAGCATGGCGCCGCGCCTCTACCCACTTATAGACTATCCAACGGCACATCGCCAACACATCAACAATCCGAAGTCAGACACCACCGCTCTGCTTTTAGTGACGCCTCCAATGACTTCCCGACCACCTCTCGATGCCTACCGCACTCTCCCAGCCGCAGCGGGTCCTATATCCCAACGAGCCGGGTTTTCCTCCCTAGAGAGAACCGTCTATGCACAAACGAGTGCTCAGCGTTACGTCAAGAAACCACTTTTCTTCTTACCAAGACTGAACCTGTTCTTCTTCTCCTTCTCCTCCTTCTTATCCGGCGACGCCCCTGCTATCAATCCTTGACTGCTCTCCCCCTCTCCCGGCGTCTGCGGACTCTGGCCCTCCTTCTCCTTCTGCAGCCACAGTTTCGGCTTGTGTCTCAAACTCATGCTCGTATGCCTGAACCGGTTGAGGCCGCCGCTCATGATGCCACCGCTGCCGTTCTCCTTCGGCGCATCAGCTGCTCCCACATCATCGTTTAGCGCCGTCGAAGTGCCAGAGCGCCTCAAGTCTTCGACTTGCGAGGCTTTCGACGCTGCGATTGCAGCCTTGAGATCCTCCTCCTGCTTCTTATAGTTATCGCGGCGCTTGATTTCCATCTCCTTCCGCTTCTGCGCCGCTTGCCGCTCCAGTTCTTTTTCTGCCGCTTTCCGCTCTTTCTCCGCCACGGCTTTTGCCTTTCTCTTCTCGAGGAACCCCAGCGCCGCAGACCCTGGGCTCGACGCTACATTCTCCAGCGGATGCTGTTGTTCCTGCACGATCGCCGCGTTAGGGTCCGGGCTCATCGGCGGCACAGGAGCCGTCGCCGCATGGTCCAAGCTAGCGAACATGTCCGACTCCTCGACCATCGGCGTGGCAGGCGTGTAAGGCACGCCGTTCGGCACGAATCCATTGGCCTTGGCATGCAAACCCTCACCCACACCCTCTTCCGCCTTCGCCGCCGCCGCCGCGCCCTCAGCCTCCTGCTCCCTTAGCATCTCCTCCATCGTCGTTTCCTGGTAGAACAGCACGTACGCGCACGCCATGGCGCCCTCGCCACCAAAGAAATTCCGCACGTAGGTTTTGTCGACCGGCTCGACAAGTTCGTCGTCGAACATCAGCCAGCCCCGGTCCTGCGTCTTGATGATGGAGATGTAGTGGCCGTGGTACGGCCCCCCGCCAATATGCACCACCACCGCGTACAGCTCGTACAGGCGATCCGGGTCCTCGGCGTCGTCGGTCGTGTTGAAGAGACGCAGGTGGTACGGGTAGTTGACGCGGTGGAAGAGTTTCTGCAGTCTTTGCAGATCTTCGGTGTACTTGAAGCGCTTGAGGTGGAGCGCGAGAATGCGGGGCAGACGTTTGATCTTCATCCGCTTCTCGGCTTCTTGCAGACCACCGCAGTTGTCGCAGTGGAATTTGTTGCGCTCGCAGAGCATCTCTTCTTCGGAGAATTTGCGCAGGCAGGAGGTCACGGAGGAGTGTTGTTCTAGGTCCACGGAGAGATCGAGGAAGGCTTCGTCGCGCTGAGAGGTGTTCTCGCACGTGAGGCAGCGCGTTTCGGAGGTGAGCGTGCCTTCGAAGAGCTCGTGTACCCAGTGGGAATTGTTGGGCTGCGGTTTGGACGGGGTGAATAGGCCCGGGACAGCAGCGGACACCGCCGAGGAGATGGCGTTTACCAGACCAGACTCGCCGTCAACATTCTGTTCGGAGACATCAGACGACGACTTGCTCTTGGAAAACCGCTCCACGTCCTCTAGCACCTCATTCAGCAGCAGATTCAGAAACTCGTGCGCGTCCTGGTGCATGGCGCTCCGGAACATCTCGTTCTGCCGCCGTAATATCTCAAGGAACTTATGCGGGCTCACAACGCCTATCCGTGACTGGTGCGCAATGACGGCCTCGAAGATGTCTTTTAATGCCGTGAACAGCGACTCAGACATCCCGTAGCTCTGCGAATTCTCGTAGTCCATATTCAATACAGGCCCTGCGGCCACCGCTAGCTTCTTCCTGTACTCCGGCGACTCCTTGTTGTCTTCTGGCTTTGTACCTGGAGGCCCAGAAGGTGCGGGCGCCAGGCTGGGCCTGTTTGGCTGTCGGTGGAGAGGACTTGAAAGTGGCGAGAGCGCGGATTTCGGCCTGGTTGGAGAGAGGGCATTGTTGGCGGAGGTGGTGCTGGAGATGGAGAGATCGGTGTTGAGACGGGGTAGGGCGGTGGGTGCGCGGCTCAACGCTTCTGGTGGTGAGCGCGCCGGGAAGTTGAGGACTTGTTCCCGGAACGGGGCGGAGTAGTAGAGGCATTGTATTATGGAGTTGCAGTAGCTGGGCGTCGTGTAAGCAGCCTCGAGGAGAGTTTAGTGACGTCCAATGGGAGGACGTACCATGTGCTTCCGAACTGGTGGCGGGTGGATTAGTGATAGTGCTGTTGGTATATGACAGGTCGCACTCACATTCTCAAACCCGAAGAACTTATCGCTGCCGTCTGATCGCAGCGGTCCTGCGTCTGCCAGCAACTTCTCGAGTGGAGTCGGCTGCGGTGCATTCGGGTCCCTTTTAGTGGGCGCGTTCCCGGCTGTCGGGTTCGAAGGGGTCTGCAATATCCAGGGCGAATTGTTAGCAGTTTGCCTGCACGACCGTCTCTGAGCGCAGCCGAGGCAGGTTCATCGGACGCAGTACTGACAGCGCTCGAACTCGCCTTGAATCTGCCAAAGAAGGACGCCATGTCGCTCGAAGACAGGTCGCTGCAGGCGCACAGCGAACGGCGCAGCGCTCGGCCAGGGTCTTAGGGCGCGGTCCGCACAAGGCTGGCGATGAGGGCGGTGATGGAGGGCTATGATGCTCGACAAGCGAGGGCCTGGGAGTTGCAAACATTGAGTCGGGATGGCATGCGAGCGGAGAGGGAGCTGGCCGTTGGGTGCACGAGATGTCTTCGAAAGTGGCTGACGATGGCCGTCTCGACTTTGGAGGGCATGGATTGGAGGGGTCAAAGTTGCCGGCGGCGTGGATCCGGGGCGATGTGGACACGAGCTGCCCGGCGATCCTGTCACCCTGGGGGGGCGCCTGGGGGCCTGGGGGGTTGGGAAATTATCCGCCCGCGCAAGGACTGCAGAGTGAAGACCCGCGCAGGATGAAACCGGCATTCTTGAGAGCTTCTTGGTGCTGCGTTGACAAGGTAAGATAGCCAGCTCCGGCATATCGAACATGAGTACGGCATGGCATCTACCGCAGGTACGGTGGGTTGAGGCACGCGGACAAGTGTGCCTTGCTTAGGTACCTAGTATATATAATCGCATGCAGGCGGCGCGCTGGCACCGGGCCAGTCACCGGATTAGAAGCCAATGACATGTCGCCCGGTTCCACTACATAACGAATCACTGCGCACGGCATCAAGACGGCAGCTTCTTCCACCACAGAGCAGGCCTCTCCTGGACGCTATTGTACTCGAGACACGTCGATATACACCAGGCCATGGAGCAACAGAGCTATCTAGAGTCTGTGTATAAGTGTAGCACCGTAGCAATATGCGATCTCCCTGCAATGCAAAAGCCCAAAGCATGGCAGCGCCTCCAGCGCCATGGGCTGGACAGCATGAAAAGCAATTAAGACATCGGACTACAAGTCATGATTGCCGCCTCCCACTGTATCTCCTACCACTCGCGTGCTCTGAAGCCGGCGCTGAAGCGGAACCGTTATTAGCTCCAGTCGGCCGCGGGTTCTTCGTGATGTATTCCTTTCTAATCCGAACGGCCTCACGATCCCATTTGGCGACGTTTAGCTTAAACTCCTCGGTGCTGGCGGCGGTGTTGTCTCTCGCATTTTCCGCCGCCTCGAGGTAGGGCCGCTTGACCTGATCGCTGGCATTGCGCCACATGACACCGATGGCCGCCCGGACCTCGTTCTTCTGAGCTTTGCTGTTTTCGCTACGGGTCTTCTCGCACTCGGCCTTGCACTGTTCCCAGTGGTCTTTCGTGAAGAGGATAAATGGGTTCACCCCCGCTTTGGCAGGTTTGAGTGGACGCTCGCCGATCTCGTGGAGAATGGCGCATAGAACTGAGAACTCGTAGTCTTCGTCCTGCGCCTTTTTGAAACCCGGGCTTCCTTTCTTGTTGGTCTCGTCCGATCCATGCTTTGCTCCAGAGATGGTTGGAGTGCCGGGATCTTGCTTCACCCTGGATGGGACGAGAGGCGTTGGGATGTCGATAGGCCCAAGCATGGACTCGATGACCTCTGACGCTGCGCGAAGTCCAGAGAGATATGCACCATGGACAGTAGCAGGGTGTGTCCCGCAAGTAGCCTCGCCCGCGAAGAATAGATTGCCAATCGGTCGCGCCATCGCATCGTAATCTCCCGGCTGTGAGGACGGCCCGACGTACGAGTAGCTGCCGCGTGCGAAAGGATCCTTCTTCCACCGTGTGATAATGGCTTCGGATGGTCGTGGGACAGGAGCAGGTGCAAACACCTTCGACAGCCTTGCCGTGACTTCCTCGATGAGCTCCTCGTTGCTGCTTGCTTCTGTCGCGCGAGCAGCATTTCCAGCCATAAGCGCTATTAGCACTGGTTTGCCGCTTGTCTTGATGCAGTTCCAGAACATGTAGAAACGGCCACGACGAGAACAGTAGTGCTCGGGGTCAATGCTGTCGGGTACTTCAGCCTCGTTCAGAAGTCCGAACATGTCACGGTCCTCTTCCCAGAAGGGTTTATCATACACCAGCACGACCTAGGTTCGCCTCAGTTAGATGCATACAGGTTGTCGGAACAAACTATACGTACTTTGTTCAGCAAGCCAAAACCAAGCCGGTCGATGGCCCCCTGCTTCCATTCTGGCAACGGCGGGTCGAAGGTAACGGAATTTGCTTTTAGGACTCCCAGAGATGACGTGCATACGATGCTATCGGCTTCAAAGACTTGGCCATCATCGCATTCTACCAGCCCTCCTGCTTCGCTCTCGCGGTTGTACCGGATGGCAGCGACTTTCGTATCAAAGCGAACGTCAAGCACTGTCGGACATTGCCAGAGCCCTCGAGGCACCTGTTGATAACCGCCGATCACCTCGGTGTGTTCTCCCTCGAACTCATTGCCAATGTCCTGGTCCCAGCCACCGAGACTGAGCTGGTTTACGTTGACCGCATTGGCATACTCAAGGTTTGCGTGATGCCAATTGAGAAGGCGCATGTCGCTAGGGGTCAAGTGTATCAAGTTCTGGTATTGCTTGATGGCGACATCCATGGTTTGGCCCAATGTTGGGAAACAGGAGGCTTTGGCACTGGGCTCGAGATCAACTGATCGATTTGCTGTTATACCCGGTTTGAGAGACCAGCCCATAGCTTTTGCTGATTCTGACGCAGAAGTATTCGAGCTCGTCCCAGTAAGAAGGTATGCTCTGCCAGCTAGCTTTTCCACGCCTGCCGGCCCACTGCCTAGACCGCTGTCCTTGGCCTTTCCCTGCTTGGCGCTTGCAACGGCGACTGAAGCACCCGAGTCTTCTAGGTTTGCAATGGTGACCCCATTCTCGCTGGTTGGATCTCGCCCCCAATAAACCAGAGTCCTGTCCCCTTCTACAGTTGGGGGTGGCACTGGCTTGTGACGGTAAACACTCGCTCGCTCCAGTATGTCATTGTAGAGCTTCTCCGCCATTGCGTCTCGATCTCTGTCGACTATCTTTCCATCGTGATCGTAGAGGATGGTATTATCTCTGAGTGCATGGTAGTGCAATGCGAGCTGCCCACGGATGATGATGTTCATGGGATTACCATGCTCGAACCCGGTGACAATCTGGGCACCCATTTCTGCTGTACTACGGAGTCCCGGTGGGAGGTCTGCATCAGCTTGTTCACGCAGCTCGTGGGAATACACCCGCCCGCCAATTCGATGTCTGCCTTCAAGCACAACGACTTTTGGTGGTCGTTCTCCATTGTCGGTCCACTTGTGTCCAAACTGCGCAATGAGTCCTTCGATGTGTCTTGCGCAACCCAGTCCCGACATCCCAGCACCAATAACGACAACGGTCTTCCTTTTGCCACCTTTGGCCTTGAGTCGAGGTATTGAGCCGGCAGTATTAGGTACTTCGACGCAACCGAAATTGATATACCCCTGTCTTAATAGCCACCCATATGCGACCTGGGCAAGCGCAAAGTATCGAGTCTCCTTCGCGCACCCAGCCGCTTCCACTGGAGTAACATAAGCAAGTGGATTTCGGGTCCAAAGTCGGAGAATAGCGTTCCTGATATTGAGGTATATCGTCACCTGTGCATGGCTGATATGCTCCCGCAACAGCGTGTATTCTCGGTGGTGCAGCGCAAAAGGATTGAGCCTAGAAGAGTAAGCGGCAACGATGCATTGCCGCGCGAACTCCTCAGGGCGAAGCGAGCTCGGTATCGAGGACCTTGCTCGGGGCTCAGCGGTGGCCTTCTTAACCACTTGAGGGTATGCCGAAGGAAATAAATTCTGTCGGTGACCAACTGATCCAGGTGTCTCGGGCGTAGATGACACCGGTTCTTCTAGACGGATTGTTCTTGGTGTTCTTGACTGCACCTTCGGACTTTCCAGCTGTAAGCTTGCAAGACGTCTGAGTGGTGCTGACGTAGTTGTCTCGACTGGATGTTTGGTAGGTGCCGTGCTCATGCTGCTTGCCTGGATCTATAAATCAGCGCCTCGCAACAACTAAAATACAGCAGCAAGTCAAGAGCATGTGATACAGGAGAACAGATCGAAATGGCCTCTTGGTGGTTCTTTCGCGCTTCAAATATGCTATGATTTCCGCTCAGATGAAGGTGTAGTCGGATTGCGCGGAGCTCTCTGCGTGAACTTCGTGCAGTTGATACAACTGACACCATATGAGTTAAGGCAAGGGCACTTACTTGTGTAGACTGAACAGAGGGGATTGCATTTCTTTTTCTCTTCAGCCGCCCAGCAGATGAGCCAGTGGCGGCCGCCGAGTCAAGCGAGTTCATCTCATCTTTACTGCTCGTATGACTTCCACCTCGCTCATAATCGTCGTGAGAGTCTCCGGGATGTACTGAGGATGGTCCAGATTCGGTATATGGCTCGTAGACTCGGAATTGATTAAAGGCGGCGAAAGGAGTGTCTTTGGTATTGAAGGCCGCAGATGTGTCCTCGCCCGCCAGTCTTATATTCAAAAGGTCTTCACAGTCATCGAAGAGGTAAGAATGGCTGCCGGGTGTGTTGCCATCGGAAGCGGCGATTCCTTGCTGGATGCTGAACATGCCTATCGATGGATGACATGTACCCGTGATGGAGGTACGAAGCCAGCTGCGGAATATGAATCAGCATACACTGAACTCCCAAACAATACTACGTTGCGATTCCTGGGCCGAACAAGGCTTCCGCGCGAATCATGGTGTGGATGCAGGAGTGGTGCGTAGCTTACTCTTTCCAGCTGCTGGATGCCGATGTCCTTGCGGTTCGACATTGCTCGGCTCGTTTTGTCGTGGCTCCAACCTTTTCTCCACCTCACCTCATCGACTGGCACCTGCTCTGCCTCGCCTTGCCGCCCCATTCGCCCGTTGTTACTTTGTCGATGCATCCCTCGTCGCACCGTGCTCGACAGCCTTGGTGGGGCATAGCTGGTGATGCTTGTCAACGGAGAACGGTTGTTCAGTGTGGGCGACAAGATGGCAGGAGCCGCTTGCATCCGAAGTTATCTCCATCGTCGCAACCCTCGCGATTATATAAAGACCAGTTTTACCACACACTGACCAGACACGCTCATAGACGACGCTCTTTTCATGACTTTTCAGTCTGCGATATACACCGTCCTTGGCATATTCATCGGCGCAACGACATCCGGACCACATGTGATGCTTCACCACTGGCATGTTTGACCGCTATCTATAAAGAGGAGTCTACAAAATATACTCACTGACTCCAGAAGGCTTGAAGTATCCATCCTTCGTTCCGAGTCCTTCAACGAGCAGGTTACAAATGAAATCGGAACATCTTGTCCCATCAACGAAACCGAAATGGGACCAGTAATAAGTCGACTTCTTCGACCGACGTACGCCGAGCGCTTGGACGTGCGACTGACGCCTTTCGGCCTCTGGTAAGGCGCAGCGCAGCCCGTGCTTTTCAATTTAGACGGAGCTGGTTCAACTGAGATCACAGCTTGATACAAGCCTGCAGAAAAGAGCCCAATCAACAACGGCACCTTCAGTAGACTTGGAATCAGTGCCCGGAGGCACCTAAAGTCTGACGGACCCTCTCGACAGCATTACACCGGGACCATGTGAGCAAGTCACACTAGAAGACCTGAAGCGATCCGCCATGCCTCGCGCCCAGACGTACGACGGCGCAATGAGCGATATATGCGTTGGAAAACATGGGGTTGGAACCGCGAACAAGAACGGAAACCCCGCAATTTAAAGCACATCGATATATGGGGGCACTTCGGAGTTGCAAACAGTCCAGACGACCTGAAGGGAAGCCTTGCGGAGACGGGCAGAGAACGGTATGCGGATTTTCGCCCCAGCGAGCACCGTACCGTAGCCTTTTCGAGCGAGGGATGTGCGTGGGGAAAGTGAGTTGGAATCCACGCTCTTAAGAAGACGCATATAGCCTATAGCGCACACTCAATCTGTATGCAGTATACATCATCATCTAGGTAGTAAGAGTGAAATTTGATATGCGGCGAACTCAATGTGTTTCGTTCGATCGTCTTTGTTTGAACGGGACTCTGGAATGTTGGACCCTGCAGTGGTGCTTGTGAGCCGAGACGCGGCAGCACGCGCCTCCCGCGTCTTAGCCAGCAACCACTTTACCACCACTGGACAAGCCACCCATAACATTTCCCAGAACGATTAACCCAGTCTCCGCCATGGGTACTGTACGCAAATACGCCAATCTGCCAGACCTGGTATACATCCTCTACCCTGATTACACATCATAGCCTCTCTAACAGAACTAAGGACTCTGCACCAGATGTCTACGAGACTACCGAACCGCCCTCTCTCATAGACGACAACTCCACCGTTGCAGTAAGCGGTGCCATGTTATGCATGTAGTATAACCGCTGTATAGCTAAGCAACATGTTAGGCCTCAACAACAGCCCGCTCCACTAGTCCAACCTCCGGTCCCCCTTCAGACGAAGAGTCGGGCATATCACGCCGCCGCCTTCAACCCGCAGCAGCACGCACACACTTCCGCTCCTCTCGCGTCGACGCCCGCGATGCCGACTTTTCAGACCGCGTCGTGCGCAAGCAAACCTATCGAACTTCGTCGAGACGCCAGCGGAGAACCAGTGAAGGCAGTGATGCGGAGATTGGCGATTCGAGTGATGTGGAGGACGAGAGCTTGGAGCGGAAAGTGGCGAGGCTGAGGGTGGAAATAGCGGAGGTGAAGCAAGAGTTCAACAGGCGCAAATACGAGAGCAAGGGCGAGGGAGACAAGGAGAAGGCTGAGGACGATGAGACGGATGACGAGGTCAAGCAGATGGGTGATACACTGGATGATATTCACGTGCAGCAGCGACATGGCGGTGTCAAGGGAGCAGAGGCACAATTCCAGAGGACGATGAGCAAATTCGCTATTAAATCTAGTGGGCAGCCAGCCAGCGGACAGGCAGCACCAAGCACCGTCCCAGCACAGCCTACACCCCCGGAAGCGCAACCCACATCCCGCGGTTCCAGCCAGTTATCCGCAAAGCGACGCAAATACGTCCTCGCGCGAGCGGCAGAGTTCGACACCCGGCTCTCCTCCCTCGAAACCGCCCTCGGCCTCAACGGCATCAACATGCCCGACATAGGGACGGACGTCCCCAAACCCATCCTCCACACCCTCGCGAACCTCGACCGCCAAATCTCCACCATCTCAGCCGCGTCCACAGACACCCTCGACCCTGCATTCCAGCGCATACACCAACTCGCCCAAGAAGCCGAGCGGCTGGCCTCCCTGCGCGAAAGCGCTCGTACCACCACCGACGCCTCCAGCGACACGCTTACCCAGAACCAGCAACTAGCTTCTCAGGACCCGAACAACCGACCTTACCTTGAGGACCCCGAGCGCATCGCAAAGATCAACGCCCTCTACGGCACCCTCACCACCATCGAGGACCTCTCGCCAACGCTTCCTTTAGTGCTAGAGCGCCTGCGTACGCTGCGCCTCGTTCATCAGGGCGCGGATAAGGCGAGCAAGGTGCTGGATGCGATGGAGAAGAGGCAGCAGGAGCAGGTGGAGGAGATCAAGCTGTGGAGGGGGTCGTTGGAGGTTTTGGAGAAGCGGCTTGAGGGGGATCAGAAGGTGCTGACGGATAATATTGGGGCGGTTGGGGGACGGGTGAGGGGGTTGGAGGAGAGGATTGAGAGGTTAGGAGCGGTGTGATGGGTCGAGCAAATTTCTTGGCCAGCTTATGGCGTCTTCTGGCATCTCTTCCCGGCGGGAGAGACCAGGGCATTGCACCTTTACTGTTTTGTTACCACGTGAGCATACTTTGAGGAGCGCCGAGGTGTTTAGTAAATGAGTAATTTGAAGCAGAGGCCTTGTACCGCTGTCATGTAACAAATATGCCACCTGTGTCAGCGCCGCCACAATCCTTACGTGCCCACAGCCACCTCCCTTCCATCAGCAAAAACCTCCCACTCCCGCCTCCCACCGCTCTCTCCCTCAATCGGCTGAATAATATCCTCCTCCCCCACCGGCCCATCCCCCTCATTCAACACCATAACCTCCCTCCTCCGCCGCCTCAACGCCAGCTCCTCGGGACTCTCCTCGCGAAACCTACTCCGCGTGAACCCAGCAGCAGTCACGTCCCTAAGCGGCTGCCGCAGCCCCTCATCCCCACCGGGCTCAGCCACCCACCGCCCATCGGCATCGACGACCCACCGCCGCGTCACGGTGCGGGTGCTGGTGCGGGCCAGCGGAGGCAGCCGCCAGGCGTGCGAGCGCAGCTGCTTGTCGATGAGATGCGCGGCGCGGGTGGCGATCTCGCGGGTTAGGGTGTCGGGGCTGTAGAGTTGGGAGATTATGAGGTCTTGGGCGGCTTTGTCGGCGATGATGCGGGCGCAGACGACTTTGATGGCGCTGGAGTAACGGCACTTGGTCAGTGGGGTTTGGAGGTGTGGCTGGGAGGGGGGAGGTACGCGTCGCGGATGTTGGCGTTGTCGCAGGTTGCGAGGGCTTTGAGGGAGGCGAGGCTTATTGCTGGGGGAGCTCGAGGTTAGTTGACGGCTGATGAGTGCGAGAACGGGTTGTGGGACGCTCACCAGTGCTCGTATCCTCCTCGACTTCGTGGTCTTCTTGCGGGGCATCGCTGACTTCGACGAGGCTGACGACTTCATGGAGCGCGTAGCTTATGCCGCGGACGGCGATGAAAGTGATGGCGCCTTGAGCAATGTCAGCGGGGGTGGTATGTGAAGCACGATAGAAGCCTACCAAGCCCAAGCCAGAGCCATCGATCATCTACTCGCCAGGCCATTGTGACATTTTGAGGAAGAAGGACGCATCTTCAGAGCTCAAGGCATGGCGATGGAGGGGGGATGCACAACCTAACGGCAGGGCAGGCGCGGTGTGAGATGCTGTGCGGCTGACACCGAGGCGGGCGTCCCAAAGAGGCAACCAGCTCTTTTGCGTAGAACGTCGCAACAGGTGCTGCCGGCACAATGTTGGCCTGGACAGCACGCTGGCGCGGAAATCGCTTGTCCAGTGCGAAATCCAGTCCCAGCACGATGCAACAGAGCACTACGTCGGGTTGGCAATGGGCGTTCGGCCACTCGGTCGTGCATCAAAAGCTCTTCGTGTCAACGACACATCTTTCGCTCAACTGCCATTCCGTTCCAAAACCACCATGGCCGACTGAGGCAGAGCATGCTGATCGCCGCCACCCCTCAGACAAAGCTCATCAACACATCGGAAGCAGGCAACGCGACTCTTGCGGATCCGCGACGTTCTACGGAGTACGCAGTTTGAGACTTTCCTATTCTGGCCGCGGCTTCGTGTCGGAGGCGGCAGCGGAGGGCAGAATATTGAAATCTTGGCACCGCATCTCGAACTTTTTGCACCAAAAGCAGTGCGGTTTGATATCCCTCAACAGCCGCCACGCCCACTCTGGTCCCTAAGGAGGCTTGTTGCTGGAGATGCCGCCCTCACAGCTGAAACGCCTCAAGACCTCACTACGAGAGCAGGGAATTACCGGCCCACAGAAATCCAAGAAGCAGAAGCAGCGAGATCGCAATGGCGCGAATGCAGACCAGCGCGTCCAGCGTACTGCCGCGCTCGCAGGCATCCGCGAAAGCTTCAATCCGTTCGAAGTCAAGGTGCTCGCCAGACCGAGGAAGTTCGAGACCACTACGAATCGCCCCACGCACGGGAGGCAAGCAGTGGGTCGGCCGAGAGTTACCAAGAGCTTAGGGGAAGAGGCGGTACGTCGCCTTCGCATGATCCTGCTCGGTATACTTGTACTGACTATCTGTGTTGCAGCGCAAGCGTACGCTCTTACCAGAGATGAATCGGCGCAACAAAGTCGGCGGTATACTCGACCGGCGCATCGGCGAGAATGATCCCACCATGACACCCGAGCAGAAGATGCTGGAGCGCTTCACGCGAGAAAAGCAGAGGAAGAAGGGGGCATCATTGTTCGATTTGGAGGAGGCCGAGGAGGAGGGGCAACTGACCCATCTCGGGAGATCGTTGGATGTGGAGGATGGTGTCGGTGGGGGCGACGACTTTGATGAACACAGCATAGGTGCCAGTGATGAGGACGACGACATGATGCGACCTTTGAAGAGGAGGCGTGAGTCGTTGGAAGAGGATATGGATCTCCCCGACGCGGCGCAGGATGGGCAACCTGAGCGCAAGAAAACAAAGGCAGAGGTCATGAAGGAGGTCATGGCAAAGTCGAAGCTGCACAAGTACGAGCGGCAGCAAGCCAAAGAAGAGGATGATGAGCTGCGAGAAGAGCTGGACAAAGGTATGCCTGAGATCCTCGCTGCGCTCATGGGACAACGAAAGCCGAATCCGCCTCCCGCAATCCAACCGGCTCCTGCACCGGCAAATGCCGACTTCTCTATCAACCCTGATCGAGCGGCTTTGCTGAACGGCATGGATCGAGCAAGAGCCGACAAGGAATATGACGAGCGACTTAGGCAGATGGCCATGGACAAGCGCGCTGCGCCTACCACACGCACGAAGACCGAAGAAGAGAAGATCCAAGAGGAGGCAGAGCGGCTAAAAGAGCTTGAAGAGAAGCGACAGCGCAGGATGAGAGGTGAAGAGGAGAGCGACGAGGAGGAACCGCCGCAGGTGGATGGCCTTGAGGCTGGCGATGATCCTGAAGGAGACGATGCTGCTGAATTCGGGTTCAAGGCGCCCCCAACAGGCTTAAGGCCGGAAGGCGTCGAGGATGAGGATGATTTCGTTATCGACGATGATTTGATCGCCAGCAGCTCAGATATCGACGCTGAGCTTTCTGACGACAGCGAAGCAGAGGACCCAGACGATGGAGACCCCCATGAGGAGGAAGAAGATGAGTTCGTCCGCGGTATTCTCTCAAAAGACGAAGAGAACAGGACAGTTCTCGCGCCAGGCGCATCGTTCGAAACACCGAGAGGCTCTGGCCTAGCATTCACGTACCCGTGTCCCACATCCCATGCAGAGCTTCTGGATGTTTTCAAGGACATACCGGTCACAGAAGTGCCTACTGTAGTCCAACGAATACGGGCGCTTTACCATCCGCAGCTCTCGGCAGAGAACAAAACAAAGCTTGCAGGTTTCTCGGTAGCGCTGGTCGACCACATTTCTCACACGACGTCTAACAAGCCGCCTACACCACTAGCGGTTGTCGAGACACTCATTCGTCACATCCACTCCCTCTCGCGTACCTATCCCGAGACCATTGCGAACGCATTTCGGTCACACCTGAAGAAGATGCACAGCGCCGGCAGTATCTCACCCGGGGACCTGACCATCCTAACTGCGATTGGCTCTATCTATCCAACTTCAGATCACTTTCATCAGGTTGTCACTCCAGCAATCACCATCATGGCTCGCTGGCTGGAGATGACCGTACCACAGACAGCGCAAGATCATGGTACCGGCGCCTACATCAGCGCGCTGTGTTTAAAGTACCAAAGCCTATCGAAGCGTTTCATTCCTGAGCTCGTGCGCTTCACCCTTGTCGCTCTCAATTCCTCTACCGCTCCGCCCGACGTACTCGAAATTTACGTTCAGAACCTCAACGCAATGGCCGACCTCTGGTCCACCAAATCCGCCTTCATCGAGGTCTTCAGTCCCGACGCCCTCGCGACTTTCAAACGCCTAGAACAAACCGCCACCCTCCGCCGTCTCCGGATCCTCATCGACCAAGCCCGTCTCCGGCGGCGTCCCCTCGCACTCCACAACCACCGGCCCCTCGCAATCAAGACCTCCGTTCCCAAATTTGAGGAAGGCTTCAATCCCGACAAGCACTACGATCCCGACCGCGACCGGGCCGACGCGGCGAAGTTGCGCGCGGAGTACAAGCGCGAGAGGAAGGGCGCGCTTAGGGAGCTGCGCAAGGATGCGAATTTCATTGCGCGGGAGAAGCTTAGGGAGAAGAAGGAGAGGGATGTGGCGTACGAGAAGAAGTATAAGAGACTGGTTGCGGAGATCCAGGGCGAGGAGGGGAAGGAGGCGAATGCCTATGAGCGGGAAAAGAGGGCTAGGAAGGGGAGGAAGGGATAGACGGGGAAGTCAGATGAGGTGCCTGTTATATGAGCTCCGCGCGGTACTGTCATAGCATCAATGAAACTCTACCACGTCTTTGTGATCACAGCATTTTCCTCTACACTACGTAGGGAATACGCGCTTCGAAACCATTTTATTAGATGTGACACCGAGCATGAAGGGGAGTCGTGAAGCCGCTGTGGTGGACACGGCCCGTGCACAAACACTGGCTTGCAGACCCCCGGACTTGCAGACCGCAACTCGAGCACAGCTTACCGTTTCTTCTCCATCGCTTCGATCCGAGTAAACGGCACGGAGCGAGATCCAGTCCTCAATTGGCTCTTGTCCAATGTACCTCCTCCAGGACCTGCAGCATTGTGCAGGCTTTTCGCGTCCCCATGAAACCGCGCTTACCTAGGTACGAAGACAGAGCTGAAATACCCTTGACGGATCATGCAAGCCACTTGGATATCGCTACATAACATCGCACTGAAATTGTGGCCTTGGCCGTGCTTACGCCTTAATCTAGACGCCTCTGTCAGCTCAACAGGCAATACCTCAAATAACACCATTAATTGGCTGGTTGTGACTCGGCATGACCGAACAGAGCACTAACTTCAGCTCCTCCATCCATCGAACTGTAGGCTATATTACGCAGTACTCCTCGGAATGATTTCACTCCTCAGTCCTCTGTCTTTCATTATCCTTCCTAAGATCTCGAACCTGTATACCCGGTTCCCTGGTTCAAAATGTTCATCATCAAGTTCGAAACGGACGCAATCGTCCCAAATGCCGTGGTGGTCCTCCGTACCGCGACGGATCTGTGGATGAACCGCAACGGAGAGTACAAAGATGGAGCATGGCAGTTCGTGCTGGATGAGGATACCTTCGGCAACGGCATCCAATTCAAATTCGTCGTGCTACCAAACCGATGGCAGCTAGGCGGCGATCTTTACGCAGGGCCTCAGAATAATGGTGCAGTGCTCACCTATACCGACGCGCAAGTCAACTTTCCGGACAATAATCCCGTCTTGGTCACCGAGAATGGCGTGGTAGCCCAAAGGCTACTCCAGCGAAGTGTCATGAACCTCTCCCCGGCGACCGAATACGACGTAATAGTCGTGGGCTCAGGCATGGGCGGCGGCATGCTGGCAGCCGCTCTAGCTGATGAGAGTGCCTCTGTTCTGGTGCTGGAAGCGGGTCCGTTGCTCTTCCCAACGCACGTTGGTAATCTACCTAGGCGGCTCCAAATCGGGAAGTTCCAGAAGCATGTCTGGAGCCTGTGGGAGGATTTCAAGGTCGTCAACTACACGAACATCAACGGATCTCAATACCAGGGAGCGCAAGGGTTCAATCTCGGTGGCCGCTCCCTCTTTTGGGGGAGCCTCATACCACCACTCGCCGCGTGGGAGCTTAAGGACTTCCCAAAGGACGTCAGGGACTACATTCTTGACCCAAGCAACGAAGGAGGATATGCAAAAGCTACTCGTGCCTTCAATGCAGACAAGCCTGCTAGCGCATACCAGGCTAATGCACGCAACTATCTGGACTCCGTGATCCAGGGATGGACCGCCTTGGATGCTCCGGTTGCTGTCGAGTACACCGGAGCAACGGAGTGGTCCGTTCCAGCAGGGATATTTTCCACCTCAGATCTACTCATCGAAGACGTTCTCGCGCAAGGCTTGCCGGTCCCGGGCGCGCCAGCAAGACAGCCTTTAATTGTCAATCTGAATCATGCTGTTCAGACCGTACTTCTGGACGGTAATCGAGCAACCGGCGTCCGATGTTTCGACACGCTCGCGCAGAAGCAAAGAGACTACAAGGCAAAGAAGGTCGTTCTCTGCGCCGGTACGCTGGAGTCTCCCAAGATCGCCCTGCAGTCCAACCTCAAGGATTCCAACAACATGATCGGCCAGGGCATAACCGACCACGCAATCCAGTTTCGGCACTTCGTCGTCCCAGCAAACCACCCCCAAGCCAGCGCCACCAAGTCCGCCAAGATGCTGCTCACGCATCCCGGCGCTACAGAGGAGGAGCACGCCTTCGACATTGTCGTCGAACTGAACTCCCAGCTAAATCAAGGCCGCTACGTCGATCCGGATCACCTCGCTACTGATGCTGGCATCCACAAAGGCGCGATGCTCTGCGAGATTGTCTTCCAGTACTACTCACCGCTCCTGCCCGGCAATGAGGTCACTCTTGCTGGCAACGATTCGGCCAACCCGGTCAACGTACATGTTATGCCTGCTACCCCAGCCCAGAAGCTCTTGGACGAGGCCAACGATATCGCCAAGCAGGTCTTCCAAGCATTCAATGCGCAGCCGATCGACGGCGAGGAGCCTCTTGTGAGGAATGGAAAGGCAGTGCTGTACACGGCGGCGATCGGCGGCGTTGCACATGAGGTCGGTACGCTGAGGATGGCGGACGACGAGAAAGGAGTGCTTGATGCGGATCTGAAGTTCTTGGAGTATGAGAATCTGTATGCTTGCGACAATTCGGTGTTTCCGGTAAGTCCGGCGGGTAACCCGAGTCTTACGCTTGCGGCACTGGCATTAAGATTAGCGAAGCATCTGACCAAGCCATAATGAAAGGGAATGGTTTGTAAACAGAGGTCAGTAAAAAGATGGGGCGCTGCAAAATGGGTGGCGTAATGACAAGTTAATGGATTCATATCGAATCTTCCGAATCTTCTTGTCTATGCGTACTTTGTGAGAGATAATGCGCTGCCTCGTACTGTATTACTCCGAGCTGGAAGGTAGAAACCCCATGAATCCACTCTAACCACCAAGAGCGAAGTAACAATACTGCGTAGCCGCTTGTGTAGAACTTTCGAGCCTAAGAGACGCCCTTGCCTATGCAGCGCAGCCCGCAAAGTCGGTCGCCGTCTTGAAGAATCGCAACGCTCCACAACTGTTGCAGCACAGTGACCAGGATCGATGGGTGTTGTTGAACGAACGAGGCGACACACGGTTTCTGATGCACCCTTCAATGCTAAGGTCTCGGATGCGGTGACCTCACATCATGTCGTCTGGCGCGGAGGCGCCCTGACTACCTGGATATTACTGCAAAACGGGCAGCGGAGTGTTTATGCGGATTGATAGATGCAGCCGCATTGCAGAGAAAAAGGGAAGAGTCGGTTATGACTGTGTTCTTGTGTTGAGCGGGGATGCGTTTGTTGCCGCAAAGGCATGTCCTGTTGCAAGTGGTTGCGAGCGGAATCTGGGTGTAGACTGTAAAGGAATTCGGAGATAATAATACATAAATATTACTTAATTATAGAAAGTTCCGCGACAAGTGTTGCGAACAAGACCATAAGCATGCCACATAAACAATTGTAGTTGTAGGAGGGCAAAAAACACACACGTGAACAACAAACACCAAGAAGAGCATGAATAGACATTTCCAACGTGAAAAACAAAACTGCAAAAATCAGGTTGTGCGTCAGGGTATCCCCCAACCAACTCCTACAAACTCAGCCTCACCTCGAGGGCCCTCGAGAATTCAGACTGCGTTTCCCCACATCCGATCTAGGACCGAACATGTGGTATCTATTAAAGCGTTGGAACTGATCAGGCTCGAACGAAGGGACTAATGTGATCCGGCAGGGGGTACTACGTCTTAAGATCCTCGATCCTCTAACCATCGCGCCACGGCCCTCTAAGATGAGGGGAAGATTGAACTTTAGAATTAATATAGTCTAGAAATCACCGAGGGGCTCTTCCGCTGCCGATGCAGTGCTTCCAATCTCCGCTTCACTGCACGAACGCTTTGAGTTTGGCGTGCAATCACAAACCATTCCATTTGTCACATCTTCTGGTTGTTCTGGTGTTCTTTTCCTTCCATTGGAGTTTTTCAGCCGTGCATCGCGGCTTCTTTTTTGCCATGCACAGAAGCTCGGCACGCAGCCGCACACTCACCATGCAGCACAGAATATGGAGTCTCACAACGACGTCAGAGCAACAACCTTTGGAGCGAACTGAATGCATCTGTGTTTGTTCTGAAATCGCAGTGTGACTGGAAAAAACTCAAAGAAACTATACACAGGACGATCGCACGAGAACATTTTGAAGCCACTGCGAGTTTACGAGATATCACAATACTTATTCCATATCAACGCACGCATAGACTACATTTACGAGTCCTGTATCACGGGATTTTCCCGACATCTTAGAGCGCTGGCTATACTGGATGTCTAAAGACTTCTGCGATGAGGTTGTTCACGGAGAAACTGCCCGGCGTGTGTCAAACCCAATCAAGCATCGCGCTTCTGGACCTGACAGGGGATTCCTCACCATCGAGCACATATCATCCGGAACATCGCATCGGCGAGGAGTTACGGCTTCAACAACGAGCGCCGGTTGACCTCCAAACAGTCTTATGAGCGACTGCAGTACAATCTAGGCCATGCCAAGTCTCCTCTAAACTGGCGGGAAAGCAATCATAAGACATCATCAGTAAGGGCAAGCGCGCGGTGCCTGACCTGAGTTCGGCATCAACAGGGGCCGCTCAACAGTCATGGAGTTGCCGGTCCACCACTGGAGATCTACGGAAGCCACAAGGGATTCTCGTAACCACAATATGAAGATGCGTGTGCTAGTTCATGTCTTCTCCAAGGCGACCAGCCCGACATGATCGCATAGCGCACCACAACAGCATGATTTCTAGTTCTTCCCGTGTTGGAAGGCATGTGTAGGAGCTGGGTATCCTTGACGTTGTCGCTTTCCTCGACTACCCGCTTAACATCAGCAACGCCGCTCCGGTTATAGCTTTGTGCTGTCTGTCTGCGCAAGTTCAGGTCCAGGAGGCGGAGGCAGGATTGTACAACCGGTGCATGTACACGGACTGTATCGAGACCGATGAGTCTATGGACGAGGATGCTTCACCTCCGCAAGGCGGAAGACGATGGGGGGTTTAAGCCGAACTCGCAGCGTCTCGTTTCGCAACGCACGATCCTTTCGATAAGGGAAACTCTGCGCACTCGAAGACTACGGATCTTGGTTCTGTTCTCATTTAGCTGCGGTAGCAGCTAAATTGAAATGGCTGTGCATTCGAGTAGCACTTTGGAACACTACCTAGGTAATCTGCAAGGTACATGCCACCTTACATGGGTCACACCATCTGTATAGACGAGTAACTGCTCGCTTATACCATCAATCAATCTATCCGTGTGTCAATCTATCTTATCGTCGACAGTGTCTAGCGAGGTCGCTTGCCTCCGATTCTTCCAGCTTCAAGTTCCATCGCGTTAATCCCAATTGAGTGTCCAGCACTTTTAAGGTCGGCGGCTCGGTCGCTATGCTTGCATACCAGCTTCTTCTTCATCGGTAGCTACATATATGTCAGTGACCTTGCCTCACTCGGAGAGATGTTCCGTATTAACCTCGATTACGATTATGTAGTCGGCAGGTGAGCCAGACGCCCGCAACGTCAACGAGAAGTGATACTAGCTCAAGGACTGTGGTGATAATAGCCTCGTCGGACATCTCGATATTCGGCGTAAATAGGAGGGCGGTGCTGTAAAGATATCGACAATTTCTACCCAAGTGGATTTGCTTGAACCAGTTGCTCGGGCCAGAAACCGATGAAGAGGTCGATGAAAAATTGATCAAGAACATATGATCGTGCATAATAGATTTGGCTTTTATATCGCTCAAGTACGAGTTTTGTTTCTCTCAGCCACTTTTCGGGAGGTGTCCATGTCCGCACTTCTGTTGCAGACCCAGTCGTGTTCGAGTCACTGATTCGACGGCACCGCTCTCGACTTTTGTTCCTCTTCCGCCGGAACGGCAAGGTTTCAGCCTTGCCGTTGGAATGGTCAACGAGGCAAGTTCAGTCCTGCATTGTCCATGATTGTAAACCGATGTCTGCCTTCTCGGCCGCCCGGCGGAGCCCCTAAGACTCTAAGAGCTTACGTCTACTCAAGCGATGTCGTCTAGCAACTTCTTGAACGGTTAACTAGGCTCTCTTCTTGTTGTATATGTATCATCTGAACTTGTTTATCTAGCGAACTAGTTACAACCATAGCCATAATCCCTAGCTGGTAGGCGCACGGGCTATACTGTTGATCCTGTCCAGTCCTAGCACAGTCGTTGTCGGCAGGTGGTCTTCGAGTGAGATGAAACCTTGACCCGATCTTCTATTGGTTAGAACGCGAGAGAACGCGTTTCTGGAACCTGTGTCGGTCGCGGGATTACCTTGCATATTCTGCACGCTAGCAACCGGCTGCGGAAATATGCTGTAGGCAGGAGGGCCGGGGAGGCAGAGTCCTATCAACTTTTGTTCGGTCGCTTCGATTTCCGTAAGCACGCTATTGTTCTGCAAATTCATGCTACATCTCGTGCAACCTGACCTCTGTTGTTGATCAAGCTGAGCTTGCAAACCGAACCTTCCACTCCGGCTATATTTTATGCTCTTCCATCGTGCTCGAAAGCTTTCATAATGCTGGGATCATTGACCAGAGCTAATCTTCCATTCAAGTGCCTGCGGATTCAATACCTTTCGAACGAGAAGCGTTCCATTCATCCTCCCCGAATCGCCTACACTTCCCGAAATGCTGAAGCCTCCGACGATACCGTGTGTCGTACCGGAAACCTATCAAAAGATCATCACCAGATTATACTGGGACGACTACAAAGCCTTGCGCGGAGTACGCAGGTTGATGAAGGAGCAATATGGCCTCAACACGGTGTATGTTAGATCTCGAGAGTTACGATCATCGTAACGCGTCGACTTCATCGACTAACGACTTCTGTGACAGAGAAGTGCAATGCAGACGTTAGTTCAACGAGTGGAAGCTGACAAAAAGGTTGACGGAGGAGAAGAAGGACTGCATCGTACAGAAGGACACCAAACGCCAACAAGGAGACAGTATTCTGATCTTACGGACGCGAGATCATACGTTACGCCATTAAGCAGTTCAACCACCATAAAGAGAGTAAAATGTGCCAGGAACCTCAAGTCGGCTCTCAAGATGGCTTCGGCCTGGATACATTGTGCAACAGAGTAGGCTCCCCAGGACCCCAGCTCCTCCAACAATCTGCACGTGTGTCGGCTGGAGCCCGAGGACCAAGACCGCTGGCAGGAAGGTAGAGGATCAGACAACGAGATCGGTCCAGCAGATACCGATCCTCTGTCTCACAACTGGATCAGTAAATCACTGCAGCACGGCGATAGGTCTCCGGCGGGCTTTAACCCTATTCAAGACCTCATCGAACAAATTCAGAGAGTCCCCTATCTTAGCTGCAGGGACCAGATACTGGCATTCGTCACTGGCCTGTAGTCAACGCTGAGGCAGATCAATCGCAATTTCCTATGGACAACGGCATGAGTAAATACGCAGGTAGTCCACATCTGTGCACATATGGAGGGGAGTCCTACGACCATGCTTCGGAGGTGATCACACGTCCAGCCTAGCTATGCTCACTCTGTCCCTTCAACCGGCATGGGAGCCACTCCCATCTATATTCAACCAACTATCTCGAGCCGAACAACGATTACTCGGTACAACAACAGAACTGTCTCACAATTTCGACATAGCGGCTCCCTGAAGGCCCCCATAAATGGTTTCTAGTATAATACTAACATGGCTAGTAATTGCTGCTTTGCATACTAGACGTCTTTGACGGCTGTGCATCTTGTCCGGCTTTTTTGCGTTGCTTCTGCTAGACTGCTACTATACAAGCCCTTGTCATCAGTCCGAGGTGGGTTGGCTCATTGTAGTCAGGGGAGACTCACACGAAAAGAGCCACCAGACATTCCTCTCCGTTCCCAGGATGGCTTGGCGGATACTACCCTGAAGCAGCTCCTTACATGTTGGATCAGGAGAGGTGGAACCGGGCAGGGTCGTTGAAGGTTGGGTTACTTTCGGTGTTGGCAGAGAAATTGGCCGATTCGGCATGGCGGAAAGATCTTTGACAACGTATACATCTTCCACGCGCCGCCACAAATCTCTATGAAACCGTTTTGTGATTGTGCCCGTCCCCATCCCCCATGACGTCGGCATTTGCAATGCGACATCACCTCCGAAGTAATTGAAGTAGTGCTCTCATTTTATCTTGGTGGATTTCACAGTTTGCAGCGGGATCATTCAAAAGACTGGTCAGCCCTCCACAGTCCCGCTCGAGGCAGAATATGCAATGGGCCGGCCCTGGTACCACTCAGTGCCACTGAACACATCAACTGCCCACTGAATCTATCTCCTAAATCTGCCCACTAATTATGCCCACTGAAGTACCCATTGGATCTGCGCACTGTATCTACCCATCTAGGTACCAAGTTCGCTCAATAAATTTGCCCATTGAACCCCCCGCTGGATTTGCCCACCGAATTGCCCCGGGTATTTGCCAATCAATCATGCCTAATGAATTCGCCTCGTAACTGCCTCCGGTATTTTACTTCTGGTATCTGCTTCTGTTCAAATCTATGCTGCCTCTGTGACGCCTCTATAATAGCTCGACAATGCCTCCGTAATGCTGCTGTATGCCTCTGAAATGCCCTGGTACGCCCCCCGATGATAGTCCCTCAGTTCAAACAAGCCTGTATCACCCTCTAGATCAGGAAGTAAGATCAGCCGAAAGCCCCCACGGCCGAGTATTACAATATCTCCCTCAATTTTTGCTGAAATCTCTCTCAATCCCCGTATGTTTCTTGCTCAGTTCTCGCCCAACTTCTCGCTCAGTCTCTCAATTTCAGGTCCCTGCTCAATGCTCCCAAGAGAAAGCCGAAAAGAAAATTGCCGCACCTCACATGTGATGTTGGCCAACAGGTGCAGCAGCTTTCTTTTCGGCCTTTGCTTGTAGCTTGCTTCTCGCACGTTATCTCGCTCAATGTCGCGCTCAACTCTCGCTCAATTCTCACTCAACTCTCATTTAATTCATGATGTATGCTCCCTCGTTTCTTGCTCAGTTCTTGATTTATTCGTGCTCTGTGCTCCCTTGTTTCTCGTACACTCAACTCATTGCTCAAGGTTCAAGAGCAAGTCAAAACGGAGATGGCCGCACCTTACACGTGATCCGGGCCCTGACGTACGCCCACCTTCATCTTAGCCTGCCCTTGGGCCTTGGTCTCTTGGTTCTCGCTCAATTCCAGCTCAGTTCTCGCTCAACCCTTGCTCAATGCTCGCTTGTTCCTCATTTCTCCCTCAGTTCGCCCTTAGTGTCCGCTCAATTCTCGCTCAATTCCCACTTGATCCCCGCTCAGTTCCCCCGTAATGTAGCCCTCGAGTTCTCGCTCAATCGGGCCCTTGTTCTGATGCAGTCGCAGTAAATTTAGTAGCCCCAGCCATTCCATAGCCTCAGTCATGCCATAGCCTCAGTGGTTACAATGCCCCAGTGTTCTCAATCCCCCAGTAGTTTCATAGCTCCAGTACTCTCACAGCCCCAGTAGTTTCACAGCCCCAGTCGGTCTTGCAGCTCTCAGTATGTTTCATAGCCCTCAGTGCGTTTTGAAGCCCTCAGTGTGTTTTGCAGCCCCAGTGTTTTCATGGCCCCAGTAGTTTCAGTAGCCCCCGGTAGTTTCTGTAGCCCCCAGCTGTCTTTGTAGCCCTCAGTCGACTCAGTAGTCTTATAGCTCCAGTAAGTTTTTCAGCCCTCAGTAGTCACTGTAGCCCCCAGTAGTTTCAGTAGCCCACGAAGCCCCACGTAATGCCCCAGACAATGCCTCACAAGCCCCCAGTGCGAACCGACCCCAGACCACACCAATCCTAGAAGCAAGGTCAGTGCAAAGCCTCAAGACGCGCGAGAGAAACAACAAGAGTCTTACCACCCTGGCCACAGCACCACAGCACCACCCGCCTCTATCTGCCTCTATCTGCCTCAGCGTCCGCGAGCCTCCTGGAAGCTGTAATTAGTAGTAAAGCTGTGTGTAAATTAGCTGTCTCAAGAGAGCATGCCTCTCGTGAGTCCCTTGTGCGGATACATACCAAGAAGAAACGAGATCAGAACAAGGAAAAGAGAAATCAAGAAAAAGAGAAAGCAAGGCAACGAAAACAAGGCAACGAAGACAAGGAAGACGGAAACAAGTAGAGAGGAAGCAAGGAAAATGAAACCAAGGAAACCAAACCATAATAGATCCTGCATGCAAGGTCAGTCAAGGGCCTCAGATTACAGGAGCACAGAATGCGAAACTCACCACCCCGGGCCTAATACCGCGCGCCACCGTCCGCCCCTATCTACCTCAGCATCAGCAAGCCCACCCAGAAGCTGTAGTTAGTAATGTGCTGTTCTCGACTGTAGCAATGTTAGTGTTAGTAAGGATGCGACGACGACAACGTCTGGGCGCCGGCTCCAGTTCCAGGTCCAGGTCCAGCCCAGCTCCGGTTCCAGGTCCAGTCCAGTCCAGTCCAGTCCAGTCCAGGTCCAGGTCCAGGTCCAGGTCCAGGTCCAGTTCCGGCTCCAGGTTCCAGGCTCCCGATCCGGCTCCGGCTCCGGCTCCTGGTAGGTCGATCGAATCCAGTATTAATATCCCCCATCCCAATCCCAACCCCAACCCCAATCCCAACCCCAATCCCAATCCGAAAACCGAACGCCAAAGACCGAAAGCCGAAAACCGAACCGAGGGGTGAATAGGTCGCTGTGAACGCCGTATATTGGCGATGATAGATGTAAGTTGATAAATAGTCGTGTGTGGGCCTGAAACCTGAAAGTGTGCCGCCGAATGTTTTGCCTCCGCATTTTCATTGCCTTTTGAATTTTTTTTGGTGTTTTATGATTTTGTAAAGTGTAAGTACGTAAGGTGTCGCCGGGGCCACTGTGCAAGTCCGTTGGCAAGGGAAATCTGGTTGTTGCACAGTGGTGGCGATGTTGTCGTGACGAGTTCTCGTGAGGTGATTGACATGGCCGAGAACTGTGGTGGAGCCGTGTCCGATCAGGTACCCAATCTGATCAGAGTTGGCGGGAGGAAGTGAGCCCAAGAGCCGTGAGAAGCCCGAAGAGAGAGAGAGAGAGAGAGAGAGAGAGAGAGAGAGAGAGAGAGAGAGAGAGTGTGTGTGTGCCGTGAGATGACCGAAGCGAGCAGGGCGGCGGCATGTGAAGTTGAAGATGCCATCAGAGTCCACGCAAATCCATTGACTGGTAGCTGGTTATTGCACGGTACAGTGACGGATGCCGCCGCGAGATCCCAATGATGCCGAGCAGCGTGTGACGATGCCGTGTTCTTGAATCCATTGACTGGTAACTGGTTATCAAGAACGACCGAAGCGGAACGCCGAAACGATCCGTGCCCTGATAGCATCCAACGCCATCCGGAAAGAACCCGTGATTGAATTGAGGCGTGCAGTGATGCTACCGGTCGTGTCTTCTTCCGAATCGTGATTGTCTGGAATGGTCGGAATCCGAGCTTCAGGCTGGCGCAGGCGTGGCGGAGGCAGAGGTGCAGCAGTTCGGGCACGTTCGGCTTGGTCAGCAAGGTATCTGGCTGAGGCTTCGCGCTCGAATGCCTCGAACATGGGGTCGTTGTCAATCTCGGCCTGCCGTTCTGGTGTGATCTCGAGCTTGGGGGAAGGGAGTCGGCCTTGACGCCGCATGCAGTGCGGGTCCTGACAAGTCAGGTCGCCACAGAGATGACAGGTTGACGCGCGAGAGATTGTGTCGTCATTGTCATCCGAGTTGTCTTCCACTTCCCTCCGCGAAGCTTCCCGGTCTCGCCTATACGCCTCGTACTCGCTCTGCCACGTCGACTTGTCATCGGTCTCATCTGCGTCGTTTGCGTCGTCGTCTTCGGATTGATTGTCGACTTCCGATTGATACTCAGAAGCCAGGTCAGTACACTCCGCGTCCGGAGCTCCTGAGAAAGACGAGCAACGCGAAACGGGCCGCGATTCCACCTGAGAAGGCTGGGCCGGCATCTCCTGCTTGTAGTAGTCGTATTGCCGCTCCCATGCCGAGTTGTCTTCGATCTCAACGCTGTCGTCCGACTCGGACTTGTCTTCAGTTTGACTTTGTGAAGCGAGGTCAGTGCACTTGACCTCAAGAGCTTCTGGAGACTTCCGACAGCGTCTTTTGATCGCCGCAAGAACTAGGCGGCGGTCGGGATCTTCACGTGACAGTCCCTTCAAGAGCTTCAGTGCCGCTTTCAACCATAGGAACTCAGTGTCGTCGGATTCGTAACCGTCTTCCTCTTGACTGTCCGAAGCTGGGTCGGATGTACTGGACCTTGTAGCTTGGCTGGAGACGGAACGATGCGATGAGGAATGGTGTGAGGCGGACCGAGAGGATACAGTCGACGAAGTGGTAGGGCTCCAACCATGTCCGACACTGGTAAAGTTGTCGAATGTGTCGAACTCGGATGTTCGAAGCTCCACTGATTGAGTTGTCGTCAAGTATCCGGTCGATTCGTACACTGGCTCCGACAGGGTGTGGGTGATGTCCCGAACGGAGTGAACAAACTCCGACGCCATGGACGAAGCTGATGAGGCTTCGTAGGTGTTTGAAGGCGTGTCAGTCAAGTCTGGCACCGGGCATCTGCGGCGAGGAGTGGGTGACCGTTGGCGAGGAGGAGGCGGCGGCTGGCGACATGTGGGGATCGGCATTGGAGGAGAAGGTTTTGGCTGAGAAAGTCGACGGCATTTCTCTTCCTCCATCCATGCGACATGTGGGCCATAGACTGGTCCCAAAACTGGGTCTGTGGCGAACTCGACCTTGAGCCTGTCGATTGTCGTGGGTACCCCCTGAGCTCTCCAGAATGGTCGTACGACGGGTGCTTTCTTGGGCTCAACGAAAGGGTCTGTGTCCTCGACAGACGTGGCCAGCTGTCTCTGCGGCAAGCTGGAGGTTTTCACCACGGGTGGCTGGGCGGAGGCTGACGACCGGTGGAGCACTTCGGCTCCGGGTTGATTGTAGTCGTCTGGCGACACCCTGAGACGTACCACCCGCATTGGACGAGCAGGTGCTGGCGAGGATGATGGGATGCGGGCGGGCCGACCGGTTTGAGGATCGATCGGGTGGCGGGTAATGCGTAACTTCGGAAGGTTGGTGTTGTAGTTAGACATCGTGACTGCCGTAGTTGTGTTGATCGTGATGAAGTGTTTGCTTGACGATAACCAAAGTGATAGATGTAGCTGCGTTATTCGATGTTTTGCTTTGCTTGATGAATACGCTGTATCTGTATCAGAACGAGTAAGCACATGTTCACCCGTCCCAGGGTAACAGCGACAGGAGGAGTGCTGAAGCAGCGGCGATGAAGCAGTGCTCGGCAGACAGCTGAGAATGGAGAGCGTGTTGCAGTGCATACAGGAAAGTGTGTGGTTGTGGGTGTTGGGGGGGTACGTACCTGACTTTGGGTTTGGGTGAAGAAGAGAAGAGGAAGAGAAGAGCGACAGGAGATAATATCCAGGCGCGTCCTGGCGGGAAAACACGCTAGCAGGTCGCGGGGGCGACGGGGTCGTGTCAAAACCGGATTCCTCGTGTTCCTTCCTACCTGGCCTGCTCCTCCCTGGAAGAGTAGTTTACGGTTTCTTTCGGTTGACCAGCACGGACATGAATGGGGACGCCGGCAAGGCCAACGCCCGACAGCGACAACGAGGGCAGCATGGAGTCAGACAAGGAGCAACGGCCTTGCCATGGCAGCATCCAAGCCCGATAGGGCTCGCAAAAGGGAAGTCGCCGAGCAGAGGATGGTGATGCCCCTCGAGATGACTTGGTTCAGAACTGCAGCAACAGCACTTCCCCCTGCAGAGCACAGGCTACAATTGAGAAAGGGCAGCACCGTGAGGACCGATGATGATTAAGATACTTTGTGAACGGCATTCAGAATGTTCTATACTACGCATGCCATATACACTTTTCATTACTGATGCGTTGTCTGACATAAGAACATAGCCCATGACAAGACGGCACGGAGTATGGCAGCCATGACTCTGGCCAAAGGAAGGTATCTTATTACGGTAAGGAATGTCAGATGACTTCAACGTATGGAGTGTCTTTCTCTAAGGAAGCGGCTACCGGCTTTGATTGATTGACTTCGAATCCGAGACCAAGCTGAAGCAAGAACGAACGAGGAATCTAACCAGACTCACCTACAGACGTACGCTAATTGAAATTCATATAGCGACTGCACATCACGCCTCTCTTGCCCTTAAACTGAAACTTAGTCGATGCATGGCACATACAGCCATCAGTCTTGAAAGCAATCAAAGCAACTTGTCTACCATTGGACAAGCAATACAACTGTAAGCGATGCTCTGGCCATCGAGCAAAGCACGCTCATTACAAGAGCAGAGTTGATATGTCTATACAGAGAATGGATAATCACGCTTTATCGGAGTCCTTACCAGAGCCCTTGGCGACCATCATATCCGCCTCCTTCTCGGCCTCCCTCTCCTCCCTCTCCTCCTTCTCGTCGATGTCTTGATCATCCTTGGGCGTGCTCGAACTTGAGCCCTGCGTCACTTGGCTCTGCTCGGCCTCCTCCTTGATAAGCTCTTGCTGCTCCTTCAGTACCTCAAGACGCTGCTTGTTTGTTGCTGCACCCTCGGCTGTGTGCACCTCGAGCTCGATCTCGTGGAAGAGCTCCTCGGGTATGCTGGCCAACACAGCTTGCAGGGCGTCGATTTGCGAATCAAGCTCGGTGTCCTTGCCTTGAGCATACATGAAAGCGTTGCTAAGGACCAACAGGGTAGAAGGCACGCCGTACTTCAGCCGCAGATCGAGCCACAGCTGTAGATCCTCCCGAAGTCGAGCGGGACTCACGCCGTGTGTGCGGATGCCACGGCTAGCGCAGGCTGATTGGAGCTCAGGTACCGACAAGGAGTCTACCCCTTCGTAAGAAATCGCCTTGTCGTCGCGCTTGGTTTGCCGCATGCGATGCCGGATTTGATACCGGAGAAGCGTATCGGTTCCAAACGTATTGAGGTTCATGTACCGGCACATACCGACCAGCTGTGGCCGGGAAAGGTTGTCAAGCGTGAGGTCATCCTTGAATATCTTGCAGACCTTGATGACATCGGCCTTTGTAGGGGACTCTCCCGTGCTGCGAACCTGGATCATATGTTAGCGGGACTGATTCGAAAGAGGCTTAGAATTGATTGTACTTTGCGGAAGAACTCAGTAAACTCCTCCCTTTGAGCGTTGGCTGCGGTGACTGGCAGGCCAGTTTCTTTCAATGTCTGCCGCAGAAAGTTGCTGACTTCTTTACGGGTAGCACGCAAGCTTGTCGCCTTGGCATCCTTGCTCTTCTGACCCTCGTACGTACTCGGTAGGAGATTGGGGAAAAGCTTCAGGGCAATAGGGAGAAGCAGCTCGGCGAAGGGCACGATGACGAAGACCGAGAATGGAACCAGCCGTCCGAGATCCTGAACAGTTCTCTGGAGCTAATGTCCTCAAGTCAGCAATCGCTCGGTCCAGAGACGCCGACTGAGTTCTTACCTGTCGGTTTTCTCTCCGCGTAAGCTCATAACCGGCCGCCATCTTCAGCGCAAGCTTGGAGCTAATCCTGACTTCAGTAGCCAGCAGCTTCGTGCCGTCCCAGTAGTGCGCCACCTCTTTCTTTACTTTTTGCCAGATTGTAAGCTTTTTGTCCTCCTTCTTCTTTTCTGCCACCATCTTGTCCTCCGCCTTGTCCGCCGCAGCCTTCTCTGCAGCCAACTCGCTCAAGGACTGATCCTCGGCAGTCTTCGTCTTCGGGGTTGAGGTCGCTCCATCCCTGTGGGCCTTGGTGGCCTCCTTGACGGTGTCTGGCTTCTCAGGATCTTTGGTTGACGACTCGTTCTTAGCTTCCGACACGGACTTGTCCTGCGAAGGGGTCTTTTGCTGCTCCTTCGGCAGGGGTTTCTTCGCCTGCTCGGAGTTGAAGCCCGGGGGCGGGAAGTTCGCGCCGCCACCGGAAGTCGATGTCTCTGTGCTACTGAAGCGATGCGGGATGAGAATGGCGATAGCAGGTATGTCGCGGTGTGCGCGCGGTGTGCGCCGGAAAGTTCTAGCACCGCCCCTTAGAAGCACAGGCGTCACCCTGGACGCAGTTCGGTTGAGCGACATGCCGAGCCAGCTCAGGCGGAAGAGGAAGGGTAGAAAGAGCCGACGGATTAAAAAGCTGGGTGGTGAAGATGTTTGAAGAGCGGTTGGTGGTGAGTGTGATGGAAGAAGGATGTTGGGTGAGGTTGAAGAAATGTTCGGGCAATAGCGTAAGGGCGACGTTGTAGGGCGAGGATTATGCGACTTCCCGTGATCGGCGCCAGGAACAGGCTCAAGGCTGACCACGGTTGCGCCAAGCAGCCCCCATCCCGCAGCCCGCGTCACTGGTTGAGATCGGACTCGGCCCAAGAGGGGTTCGGCGCTCAATCAACCAGGCTGACCGGCCGTCCCCCACACCCGTCAGCCCGTGTTGGCGTCCTCTTCACTAACACATCCTATCCCACCTTCATCCCGTTCACGCTCTAACTGCACCCATATATTCTTCGCTGTATCATATCCCGGGCTGTACTTTGTTAGACAAACATACACTTGCATCATGACTGCCCTCTGACCATCTCGTCCTCAACAATTGGCCTGCGGGCTTCCCTTCCGCCGGCCGGAGTAGAGCATACGGCTGTATCTCTAGCGCCTGATTATCCGCACAACCTCGAAAGAGTCTCGCCGTACAAAACTCGCAGCTGGTGCAGTGAGACCCCGGCGTGAAGCACCATGCAGCAGCTCTCGCGCGCCGCGCGCTTGATCCTGATCGGGGCCCCGGGGGTGGGCAAAGGCACCCAGACCGAACGGATGATGAAGCGCTACCCCCAGCTCTCCTCAATCAGCTCCGGAGACCTCTTGCGGAAGAATGTGAGGGATCGCACACCGCTGGGTAAGTACCACAAGTCTCGTGCTCAAGATGCGCAGTTGGTGACCTGAGGAACAGGCATTGCCGCCGAAGCCAAGATGAAAGCGGGCGTGTTGGTGCCGGACACGATGATACTCCGCCTGATCATCAACGAACTCACGAATCGCGGATGGCTCACGTCGGACGCTATCAGGCCTTACATGGTCAGCTATGCTTCCGAGGCTATGCCCAACGCCGCTGGAGTAGACGAAATAGTCATGCCGTCTGATTCGCGGGCGTCAGGATATGAATACTCAGATGAGCCGTCCGCATCATTTATACTGGATGGCTTTCCGCGGACCGCAACCCAGGCCTCACAGGTCGACAGGCTGTTCCCAGTCAATTTCGTCGTCAACATCAGTACGCCGGCCGAAGTCATCATGGACCGTATCTGCAATCGATGGGTGCACGAGCCTTCCGGCCGAGTCTACAACACGACATTCAATCCACCGAAAGTCGCCGGCAAGGACGATGTAACTGGTGATCAGCTTACACGAAGACACGACGACAATCCGGAAGTCTGGAAAGCCCGGCTTAAAGGTTTCGAGGAGACGAGCTTGCCATTGTTGGAACACTACGACAAGCTCGGCGTGCTGTGGACGGTCAAGGGGAACAGCAGCGATGAGATTAGTCCGAAGCTCTTCCGTGAGTTTGAGAGGCGGTTCGCGGCGTCGAGTTAGAGTATTTCTGCGGGCCTTGTCGGCTGAGCGTTGGCGTTGGGGCGCATGTGTTTCACACTCTTCTGTAAATACTTCTTTCGCACTTTGTGCATACTCAGCCGGCGGCTTCTTCAGACACGGCCTTAGCGAACTTCGTTCTTCAGCAGCGAGAGTGCAATCTAGCTTCCTGAATTGTGACAGCCAAATGCTCCATCCATGGATCGTCATCCGCGTCCGTGCGCCGACCTTTGAACCACCACGCACGCCGCATCTCATACTCTAGGCTGGGCTCATTAAACAACAACTCCACAGAACCCCCAACATGGATCCCCTAGACTTCAACGAAGGCCGGCTAGAGTGTACAGTCAACCACCCTCAGAAAGAGAACGACGGGACCAAAGACGCCTACATCTCCTACCTAGTAACCACACATGTACCCACCCCCCAATCCCATCCACCATATGCCCCTCCAGAAAGCTAACCCACCCCCCAGAGCGACTTCCAATCCTTCTCACGCTCCACCTTCTCCGTGCGGCGGCGCTTCACCGACTTCGTCTTCCTCTACAAGACCCTCTGCCGCGAATACCCCCAATGCGCCGTCCCGCCGCTCCCCGACAAGCACAAGATGGAGTATGTACGCGGCGACCGCTTCGGGCCGGACTTCACGCACCGCCGCGCACACTCGCTGCACCGCTTCCTCAAGCGGCTGACGCTGCATCCTGTGCTCCGCCGCGCGCAGCTGCTGCTCCTCTTCATCGAGACGGCGGACTGGAACTCGATCATGCGGAACCGGCCGCTGCGGGCGAGTTCGATGTCGGAGCCCGGGACGGGGGGCGTGTTCGATAGCTTCACGGATACATTTCTCAACGCATTTACCAAGGTGCATAAGCCGGACAAGCGCTTCATCGAGGTGCGCGAGCGGGCCGACAAGCTCGACGAGGACATGGCGACCGTCGAGAAAGCCGTCGCGAAAGTAGCACGACGGCAAGGAGATCTCGAGTCCGACTACGCCGACCTGGCGACGCAGTTCCAGAAGCTCATCAACCTGGAATCCGGCGTCGAAGGGTCTCTGACCTCCTTCGCGAGCAGCGTGGAGACGACATCCCAAGCCTTTAAGACCCTCAAGGAACACACGGACCAGAGCTACCTCGGCTCCCTGCGCGACATGGACGCCTACATCCTCGCCATAAAAGCGCTGCTCAAAACCCGCGAGCAGAAACAGCTCGATTTCGAAGGCCTGACCGACTATCTCGCGAAAGCAGCCTCGGACCGGGACACCCTCGCCTCGCAGCACGGCAGCTCAGGGCTCGGGGCCTCAGGCTTCCTGCGCAGCAAGCTCGAGGACGTGCGCGGCGTCGACCACGAGCAGAGCCGGCGCGACCGCGTCCGGAAGCTCGAGCTGCAGATCGAGCGGCTGACGTCCGAGGTCGAGAGCGCGAAGAAGACGACCGAGGCGTTTGATGAGCAGACCATGACCGAGATTGCGGACTTTGAGCGTATCAAGGCGGTCGAGTTTAGGGATACGTTGGGCGATCTCGCGGATGCGCATATTGGGTTTTTTGGTGAGACGATCAAGACGTGGGAGAAGTTTGTGGAGGGGATGGAGAGGGAGGGGGTTACTGCGGCGTCGTAGCATGATGTTGTAGCTTGAAGCCGCATCTCGGGAGTATTTCAGCGGTTTCGTGTGGCTGAAATCATGGCGTTTATGGTAATGGGCATGATATGGGAGACGACCTAACGTCTGGACTAGAAGCGAGGGACATTGTGACTCAATTATCAAAGCATGTTTGGCTCTATCCTGAACAGAGTAGCAGCGGCCGCCAATGAGCTGCGCGATAGGATTAGTTGTATCAATGAATATTGTCACGTAAGGGAGCTGATATAAGCTGCAGCAAATTGGGCACGTGGTGATTCGAACATCTTGCATTCCATGGACTCATGCTATCTTCTTCCATGAAAGAGGCTGCAACATCAAAAGAACGCCAAGCAATCCCTCCACAGCCATCGAAAGTAACCCCGAAGCTCAGTCGCCAACTCATGCAGCAGCCTGGAGATCCTTCTTGAGCGTGCCCAAGTACTGCCTCTTCTCCGCCGGCGTCTGGTAAGCACCGTGGCCGAACTTGGAGGATGTGTCGATCCACTTGAGTTCCACCTTCTCGAGCGATCTTCGGCTGGTGTGTGTGAACATTGACTTGCGGAGGGTGATAACCCGCTTCTTGACGCCCGGCACGGCGCCCTTGAGCAGGAGGAAGTCGTTCTTGACCTCGCCGTAGCGGACGAAACCGCCCATGCTATCGGATATTAGACGTAATGCAGTCAAGGGGGAAATTCGAAATCACTTACGGGGTAATCGTCTTCTTCGACACGTCGAACTCAGTGGAAGCATTGCCAGCATCCTCGCCCTGGCCAACGCGGTACACCTTGTGGTTGACGGAGGTACGGTGGTGATAGCCCATCTGACCGGCACGAGCAACAGTCCACTGGACGTGGGAAGGATGCCACGCGCCGATACAAGCGACCTTCCTGAGACCCTTGTGCGTCTTCCTCGGCAGCTTCTTGGTGCCCCACCTGGCCGTCACACCGTTGTAACCGTGGCCCTTGGTAACAGCAATGCAGTCGATCATTTCATCCTGCTCAAAGATGGAGCCAATCTCGACCGGCTTCTCGAATAGGCCGTGCGCGAAGTCGACCTTGTCAGCGATGCTGCCCCCGTTGACCTGGATCTCCATGAGGTGCGCCTTCTTCTGCTTGAGCGGCGTCTTGCTGATCTGGGTGTGGGCGAGCACGCGGACGACGGTGCAGTACTTCTTGATGCGCTCGAGCTCGCGCGTGATGGACTGGCCGCTGTTCTCAGAGTGCTTCTTCGCGTACTTGGTGAAGGCCTTCTTCTTGCTCTTGTACCAGTTCTTGTAGAAGCGCCGCTTCACCTCGTCGCTTAGGTGCTCGGCCCAGACGGTCGTGAGGGAGCGGAGACCACGGGGGGTCTCGATGTAGCCGACGATGCCGACAACCATCATCTGTGTGCGTGGGTAAGCCAATGCCGCCAAAATGTATGTCGAATGGGGTGTGCACGTACGGGAGGGGTCTCAACGACAGTGACGGCCTCGACGATCTCCTTCTTGTGCAGCTTGGCACCAGGTCGGTCCAAATCACGCACGATGGTGGTCATACCGGCCTTGTAGCCCATGGCGGCGGTGAGGTGGACGGGCTTCTTGGGGTCATCCTTGGGGAAGCTGTTGGCGCTGTTAGTCGAGAGGTTCTGCGTAGTTCGTGCAAACTCGAAGAACATGCCTCTTGACCTTGCCCCGATGTCTGGCGGCCCTCTTCCGGGGCAGGAAAGCCAGCGAACCGTGACGAGGAGCTTCGAACTTGCGGTGCGACCTGGTCTGAAGTTAGAATTGCGGTTGCTGAGATTTATGTCTAAATTGAGCGTGCATCGTGGGGGTGGAGTGCGGATGTTCCTCGAGGAAGAGGGTGTTGTGAAAGTCTAGACGTTCGTGTATCTGAAAGGATTGCAGAGGCTGATTGAGTCTTACATTCTGAATTTGGGTTGTCGCTCGTGATGCCGTAGAGGAAGTTGGTGCGGGATGGGTTGTGCGGCTATTTTTCGAGTGTGCGGCGCGCTAGGTAGGGTTGGCCGGAAGCGAACAAGCGCAACTTTCATCACCGTCAGTCCGTCAACGGCGCCTTACGAATCCCCGCCAGCTGAAGGTCCTCCGACACCACCTCTTGTACCCATACCCATCCCCATACCCACACCGAGCTCGCACCCAGCGTCCACCATCGCACTGCGCACTGCGTTAGTGTACTACACCTCCACACGCACCCGCTTCGCCCTCTTCACACGCCTTTCGACAGCTACCTCGCCGACAGCGACGCGCTTTGCCAAGCATACCGCATCACCAGTACCTGCCGCCGTGACTATTGCAGTAAACAGCTCGGTTCCCAGCCCACAGACCACTCACTACCCGCTCCCGACTCTCAAATCCCAGCACAGTCCTGTCGGACTCTTCTTTTCAACTCATACTACAAGCCTAGTCCGGACAAGGCTGAAGGCTTCGTCGGCGCTACCTCAAGAACGATGGTGGAAGCAACCGACGGCAGCGGTAGCGGCAGTGGCAGCGGCAGCGGCAGCCCCACAACATGGAAGTTCACGCAGTAAGCAACCCTTGGCAATTCCAGCGGGAGCAAGAGAGAGAGCTCCGGAAACGCACCGACCTTTCAAAATTCCCCCACGGCTACTCCGTCGGTGCACGGAGCCTCCTGGCGACCCGTTCCGGATAACAGCTGAATCAAGAACACGCGCTGACAGCTTCACCGCAGGTGCTTTGGCGACAAGGGAGATGTGGAAGATATCACAGAGGGTAGGTTGTTACGAGACGCAAGTCTTCTGACGGAAACCCGCTCCTATACTTTGGGTGCGCCGTGGCATGAAGAGAGCACTCCCAGCTGATTGTGTTACTCCACGCAGCCGACATCATATCAACGGTCGAGTTCGACCAGACGGGCAACTATCTGGCGACGGGTGACAAGGGCGGGAGAGTGGTGCTGTTCGAAAGGAATGAAACAGTAAGTGTCCACAGACAATTTTCCCTCGCCTCTCTCACTGAAGGATGCGAGCCTAATGCATGGTCTGCGTGCAGAAAAAGACTTGCGAATACAAGTTCCACACCGAGTTCCAATCACACGAACCGGAGTTCGATTACCTAAAATCACTAGAGATTGAGGAGAAGATCAATAAGATCAAATGGTGTCGGCGGCAGAACGCGTCACATTATCTCCTGTCAACGAATGACAAGACGATCAAGCTGTGGAAGGTGTTTGAGAAGTCGCTAAAGGTCGTGGCGGAGAACAATCTGTCGCACGAGTTGACCCCTGGGGGTGGAGTGGCCGGTGCTGGAGGACCTGTCAAAAATCCGAATGCTCGCTTCCACAGCGCATCGGACCTCAAACTACCTCGTCTCACCCAGCATGACACCGTCATCGCAGCGGTTCCCCGGAAGACGTACTCCAACGCGCATGCATACCACATAAACAGCATATCAGTCAACAGCGATGGTGAGACCTTTATCAGCAGCGACGACCTCCGGATCAACCTCTGGAATCTCAACATCCAAGACCAGAGCTTCAACATCGTGGACATCAAGCCGGCGAACATGGAAGAGTTGACAGAGGTCATCACAGCAGCGGAGTTCCATCCGCAAAGCTGCAATTGGTTCATGTACGCTAGCTCCAAAGGGACCATCAAGCTTGCCGACATGAGGGAAAGCGCCTTGTGCGATCAGCATGCTAAACGTGAGTCATCTCTCCCTCAAATTCCGACGAAGGGATGACTGACTGAAGTATGCAGAATTCGAGCAAGAAGAGGATCCCTCATCCCGGTCATTCTTCTCGGAGATCATCTCTTCGATCTCAGACGTCCGGTTCTCGAATGATGGCCGCTACATCCTGTCACGCGACTATCTTACGGTGAAGATATGGGATGTGAATATGGAGAAGCAGCCCATTAAGACCATTCCTATTCATGAGCATCTTCGGCCACGACTTTGCGACACGTATGAGAACGATAGTATCTTCGACAAGTTCGAGGTCGTGTTCTCCGGAGATGCGAAGAACGTGATGACGGGCAGCTACAACAACAATTTCATGATATACCCCTCCGACCCGGAGAAGGACACGGAAGTGGTGTTACAGGCGGACAAGTCGGCGTTCAAGGCTAAGAAGGTAGGGATACCGACGCCGATGAACTCCTCGACAAGCCCGACCAGCGGCACACACAAAAAGGGAGGATCAAGAGCGGGCAGCCCTGCGGCCGGAGCTGTGGGGTCGGCACAGCGGATGAGGAAAGAGACAGACGCGGATCACATTGATTTCAACAAGAAGATTCTACACATGAGTTGGCATCCGTTCGAAGACAGCATTGCGATCGCAGCGACAAACAACGTAAGCTCACCGCCCCCCTACTGCCCATCATACCAACAAACTAACACCCTCCCAGCTCTTCGTCTTCTCAGCATTGTAGAGCGAGCAATTGGGGTTCTCGAACTGGTCATCTGGAGAGGCGTTTTCTGTCCATCTAGCTCAGCGCCGTTTTACCTCTCTTGATTCTCCTTGCGCTCCCTCTCTACTGCTGGCAACTGATCGGTAGAGGCATTATCCCTATCGTGAGGCATACTCGAAGACTGATGAAGCCGCGATGTGGGCGCTTAATGTAGCATTGAAGCAAAAAACGTAAAAGGACGTAACTCGGAAAAGTGATAATTGTGCAATGGCCCCTGAAGAATTGGGGTTCAGCCTTCTTGTTCGCATCTGCTTTCTGCCTCTATGGTCTATCATGAAACTGGACCCTGCCAAAATCTCTCTGCGTTTTTTGGACCCGAGCAATCGCCGCTTTGGCTTGAGCCGAGGATAATCTCGGGTGAGTAGCACCTAAGTGAGCATTGAAGATGATAAGAACCTCTGGAATTAGGTAGAAGGAAGGTTTGGTAGAAATACAATTAAGAAAGTGCACCGTGTGATTGTAGTAGCTTGAACACCGCCTCGTGCCCTCGCTCTGTCGCTTGCCATAGCGGAGTACGTCCGACATTATCCTTAGAGTTCACATCGACGTCGACGCGCGCTAGTAGTAGCTCAACCGCCGCCTCTTGCCCTGTATATACCGCTGCCTGTAGCGGCGTTTGTCCGTAATAATCCTTAGAGTTCACATCGACGTCGACGCGCGCGAACAGTAGCTTAACCACCGCCTTATACCCTCCCGCTGCCGCTTCCCATAGCGGCGTACGTCCGTGATTATCCTTAGAGTTCACATCAACGTCGACGCGCGCGAGCAGTAGCTTAACCACCGCCTCATGCCGTCCCACTACCGCTGCCTGTAGCGGCGTCCATCCGTTCTTATACTTGGAGTTCACATCGAATTCGGCGCGCGCGAGTAGTAGCTTAACCACCGCCTCATGCCCTTCCGCTGCCGCTCTATATAGCGGCGTCCATCCGTGATTATCCTTAGGGTTCATATCGACGTCGGCGCGTGCTAGCAGTAGCTCAACCACCGCCTCATGCTCTCTCCATACCGCTCCATATAGCGGCGTCCATCCGTTCTCATCCTTAGAGTTCACATCGACGTCGGCGCGCGCGAGTAGTAGCTTAACCACCGCCTCATGCCCTCTCCATGCCGCTGTATATAGCGGCGTCTCTCCGTTCTTGCCCTTCAGTTCCCGGTCGACTGTCCGGTCGACTGTCCTGGTCGCAAGTAAAACCTTCACAACGGCACCTGCGCCGTTTTCGGCTGCCCATAAGAGCAAACTCTTATGCCCTTTGATGAATTCCTTTTGTGAGCAGATGTCACGTCCATTCTGGAGAAGGCATTCGACTGCTTCTTCACGGTCCCTGGCGGTAGAACAGGAGGGCTGATCGTGAGGCATATCGTTGTCAGGCCCGGCGTTGTCATATGGCATCAACAGTGCTTTTATGGCATTCTTGTTTTCGTTGGCCAAAGCCGCGAGTATCGGGAAGCCGTAGCGTTCCCCCTTGATGTCCATATGCGGGACTCGCTCGAGTTCAATCTGGATGAGATTCGGCAAGTTTTCCTCCGCAAAAATGTATAGTAAACTCGCATTGGGTGTGTGGCGGCGTATCTGATACCTCTCAAAGAGGTTGTCCAGGCTGATCCACTCTCCAAGAGGGAAGTTTTCGACAAAATTGTCTTGCGGGACTCCGTAGCCAATCGCAGCATCGGCGTGATGAAGCACATGCCGTACTGCGTATTCAAGGAAGGGGAACTTTCCAGATACTAGTCGGCGGAGATTTGCGGCCTCGTCGGAGGATGCAGTGGGCAGCGGTTCGGTTGAGGGCATATACTCGGAGAGATTGATTTTCATGTAGGTTTGACAGCACTGCTTGAGCTGTTCATGGCCTGAGTCCCGAAAGCTGCTCGAGAGCTCAGACTGAAGCGTGTTGAGTCCATTGCCCTTGAGGAGAAAATCCCGTACTGACTCGTGAATGAATTGAATGGTTTGATCTTTAGATTTCGTCACTTCTACAAGCCCCTTCGAGGAGCTTAGAATGAATCTTTCCATGACCTCGTTCGTGATCTCCTCGGGACTCCATGCAGCCACCGCGTCGGGTTCCGTTCCAGCTAAAACGGCGAAGTAGAGCTCCTCGCGTTTCAACGGCCGTTTTGCGTATAGTACCCATTGGAGGCAGAGAATCAAGTCCTCCATGTTTTCGCCGTCCCTCGTCAAGATGTCTTTGAACAACTCGTCCAACCCGCTCGGGATCTCGTTGAGCCGCTTCCGAAGTGCATGTATGCGGCCGCGATCAACCTCTTTGTTGAGCATTTGCACAACGAGGACAACCCACAGGAAGATTCCAGATGCCCTCTCGAGAATCTCGGCCCTGATTTCTTCGATCAGCTTGCCACGTCCAGCCTTCAACTCGCTGTGCAGATAGTTGGCCATATCCTGCCGATGGCCCTCCTGACCCTCCAAGACTAGTTCGACACTTTGTTCGATACTGATGTGTGGATAGTGGCGACTTGAGAAGCAGACACTGAATCGAATTTGAGATGAAACTGTAAGTTGGCCGAGGTGTTCGAAGAAGGCCACCATTTCTCGCACCTCATCTTCCTCACATTCGTCCAGGGCATCGATGAAGCAGGTTAAGTGGCACCGCCCGTTTTTTTCGATTGCGCTGCCGAAAAGATTTTTCAACGTTTCGATATCCCATCGGTAGACATCTCCCCGGTTTGGCACCGTTGACTCCAGTGAATCAAAGACGGTTTGGAGATCTGGAAGCTTTTCCAGGAGTTGGAACAGCAGGGATCGGTACATCCCTTCCACGGACTTCTCCAGATGTTCGCCTCTCGCGTTGAAGAAAAACGAAATGATGATGGTGTCTTTCATTGTTTTCTTGGCATTTGCAAAGGCGAACTTCATTATCGTCGATTTCCCGGTTCCAGGCTTGCCTTTGATCCATAAGAAGCCATGATGCTCGGGGATCTTGTCGACGTTGCGCCAGTCTTGATACTCGGATTTTGTGAGCAGCCATCTACATGTCTTAGCATGGGCGGTCTTGATAGTCGCGTGACGAGCATCGATTCGATCAAACCTCAAGGAATCTAGGTAGCTGCTTCGTTCATCTGGGTTGAGGACTGGCCTCACAGCTATCGGGGCCGGTCTTGCGGTAGCTTCTAGAACTCGACCCAGGGCGGCGACGACTTTCTTATACTCCACATCATCCAGCCCACTGAATTGACACATACCCATGTGGTTATTGGCAATGTGTTGAGTGACTTCGATTCCTGGATCATTCAGACAAGAAGCTGTGTCGTCAACGACCTGGCTAAATCAGTATCTCCAGTTAGTCGACGTTGGGTTTCTTACCTTGTCGCCGTTGAGGGCCATGACTCCGTATTGTTCTTGGAAAGAATGTACAGTCCATTTCTTTTGACGGACCATCGGGCCAAACTCGTCACGTAACTCCCTGAGCCGCTCCGAAGGAGGCAGCAGCGTGTTGACAATCTGCTCATTGACCGTGAAACCTATAGCTCTTCCAATCTTTTCGGCAATGTGCTGGAGCAGTCCTCGCGGGTCCGCACCACTGTGCGGCGTCCCGAAAAAGATAATGCCGGAGGTGGATTCGTAGATGCTGCGAAGATGATCATGGTGCATTTCACAGCCCCGGGATCGCCGGAGTGCTTCTTTGACGACAATGCCTCCAAGGCTGTGGGCAATGAACAATAGCGGCCTCGACGACTCTAGCCGGCGTTCTGCCTCCAAGTTGACCAAAAAATCCCATGCGATATCATAGACCGTGTTCCTGCTCACAGCAGAACCGAGCCGGTGACGGATGTGTGTGTCATATCCGTACGTGAGGATGCGCGCATCCGGAACGGTGGTTGGAATCAGGTCTTGTGGCCAGTACACGGCTCTGCGGACTCCGCTTCTCCTGCGATTGAACGATGTGGGCTGGAGGAATCTTGGGCGTTTCGACGGACGTTCACCGTCATCGTCTTCGTGCTCATGGCGGTCATTGCAGACTTCTCCTTTGTAACTCCACGTACGGTCAGGGTGACCGTTGAATCCATGGACGAACACAATACTCCTAGCAGTCAGTATGAGATGAAGCCTGCAACATAAGCGGGACTCACTCCAGCGCAGGTCTGTCCGGATTGACAAGCACCGAAAGGCCCTGGACCGAGGGCTTCTTGGGCGCCTGCAAGCTAGATCGATTCTCGCTCTCCATGACCCTGCTATTATGATAGGTGAGGGCAGAGATGAATGAGATCGGAACTGTGCAAATGACGTAGCACTCGAGTTTGAGATGTCGTATGTATAGCTCTCATTCCAGACTCGATTTTGTTCGAGACAAGGCTGAACGATTTGATGTCGTCTGACGGGAAGGAAGTCTCCGTAAAGACTAGAAAAGCTGAAGGTTGAACAGAGTCTCCATCGTCAAGTTATAAGTGTCAGCATGAACGGTCCGTTTATGTCGATATGATGGGTGGAAGAACCGATTGAGGTTTCCTGTTGTTCAGGCTGCCTCGCGGCTTCGTGAGCGTAGCTCAGCCACCTCCGCGCGTGCTGCGGAGAGCGGACACAGCCTTGTTCCCCATGATTAAGATTCAGCCCTAGCCGCTGCCAAGAGATTCGCTCTCCCGTTCCCGGGCCGTCTTTAACATTCCGATCCGCCCTGAGAAAGCTGCTGTAACGTCAAGACTTCCGTCTCTTGTCTTCCGTGAACCTATCCTAAGCGTTAAACTCAGCACCCTCAGCATCATGATAGCATAGTCTGAAATTTGCGTAACGGCCCTGTAAGTAAGATTCGATGCTGCGTCAATGATCATTGCCTACTGTGTTCCCCAAGCGCAACTCGCTCTCTATCGGTTCCGTCTTAGTGTATCCTCGGTCTTCCCGTACGCTCTACCATCGTGATTTAATCAACCATTCATTTCGTTGAGTCCCAGTAGCGACCACTATTTCTTTGGAAGGCGGTGGTTAGCACTGTGAATAGCTTGTCTCTCTACCCCCCTAGACCCCGGGTATCATATCGATGTGCTGCGCATCCTCGTTGTCCATTGAGGTCAAACCCCAACCGCTGTTGTGAAGTTCTCAATTGCCTAAAGATGTAGATACGATCGTGTTTAATCCAGCCCTTCAGAAATAGTCGCTGACAAGTCGAGAACAGACGGTACCCCTGCACATCTCCACAGCTATCTTTCGTGCCTCTTTGCACCTACCCAGATCGGCTCCGAAAAGACCTAGTAACATGTCTGCGCTTGCACCCGTGGGTATTGTAGCCCTGATATTCGGCGGTTGCTGCTCGAATGTAAGCTTCACATCTACCGGCTGCACCAACCATGCTGATCCCTCATCCAGGTATTCGCTCTGGAAGCGATAGTCAAGTGAGTCACTCCACGAGCAAAACCCCTATCCACTAAGCCGTAGCTAACATCTTGCAGACGCGAACCAGATAGCGGTACGCGACCCCCATCACCTCTTCCCCCATCCCCCCACCCCCTAACACGCCTCCAGGCCTCCTCATAACCCTAACCCAATTCATCCTAACAACCCTCTCCTGCCTGCCCTCCCAACTCTCCCCCTCCGGCCCTCTCTTCCTCAAGAAGCCCGCCGTCCCCTTCCACAAATGGGCCCTCAGCGCAGCGATGTTCTTCGCGGTCAACATGCTCAACAACTGGGCCTTCGCATTCGACATCAGCGTGCCTGTGCACATCATCCTGCGCAGCTTCGGCAGCGTCTCGACTATGGCGGCTGGGTGGCTGAAGGGGAAGCGGTATTCACGCCTGCAGGTTTTTTCGGTGGCATTGCTGACGGTCGGGGTTGTGGTTGCTGCGTGGGCGGATGCTAAGGGGAAGGTAATATGGCTGCGCCTCTCGTTTGTGCTAGTCCTTTGCATGAGGAGGAAAAGGACAAGAGCAGGAGTGCTGATAATGTGTAGGGCAAAAGCATGTCGACCTCTAAATTAGACCTCACCTCCCCCTCCTTCGAAGCCGGCCTCCTCGTCCTCCTCCTCGCCCAGCTCCTCTCCGCCTATATGGGCGTCTATGTGCAGGAGATCTACGAAGCGCACGGCAAGCACTGGCACGAGAACCTGTTCTACAGCCACTTCCTCAGTCTGCCTTTATTCCTCCCCTTGAGCTCGACCCTGCAGCGGCAGTACCACCGCTTAACACTGTCGCCTCCGCTGCAGCTCCCGTCCTCACTCACCGCACCCCTGCCCTCCGCGCTAGCGACAACCCTCGCGAAGACGCCGACGAGCGTCGCGATGTTGATGCTGAATGCAGTCACCCAGCTGCTGTGTATCTCGGGGGTGAATCTGCTGTCGGCGAATACGTCGGCGGTGACAGTGACGATCGTGTTGAATGTGCGGAAGCTGGTGTCGTTCATGTTTAGCATCTGGTTGTTCGGGAACAAGCTCTCGGGACAGATGTTGTTCGGGGCTGCGCTGGTGTTTGGGGCGGGGGCGCTGTATGGGTGGGAAACTAGTGTTGGGATTAAGAGGAGGGAGGGGGGGCGAAAGAGTGTGGAGAGTGCGAATGGGAGGGCGAGGAAGGAGTTGTAGTGAGGTGCGTGTGGGAGATTGACTAGACGAGACTAGATGGGGTTGTTTGGATAGATTTCATGACGTTCTGGGCTGCACCGTTGTAGTTGTCAGTCAGTCGTTTCGAACAGGAAAGCCGGCGTCTGATCAGGACCATGCTCAAGTGTTTCCGTTCTAGCCAGGAATAACCTCCCAGTGTCCATGCCATACTACTACACGCGTGGCTCAGAGCCAGCGCCCCAAACGCCAGATGCACCCTAAAGCTACCTCTATAGCACCAATGACTGAACCTGCTTCCTTAATACCTCCACTAATTATACTGCATATACGTCGCCGTAGAGTTGAACTTAAGGTTGCCCTTGATGACCTTGTCCACCGCCGCCAAAAAGTCCTTCTCCGTCGCAACCTTCCTCCTGGCGCGGATAGCAAACATGCCTGCCTCCGTCGCCACACTCCTGAGCTCTGCGCCCGTGCTATTCGGACACAGTCTGCTAATAAGCTCCCACCTGATATCCCTCTCCACGCTCATGCTCTTCGCATGAATCCTCAGAATATTCGCGCGTCCCTCCATATCCGGCAAGCTAAACTCAATCTTCCGGTCAATTCTCCCCGGCCGCATAAGCGCAGGATCCAGCGTCGACGGCCTATTGGTCGCAAACATGACCTTGATATTCCCCCTGCTGTCGAAGCCGTCAAGCTGCGTGATGAGCTCGAGCATGGTGCGCTGGACCTCGTTGTCGCCCCCGGCACCGTCGTCGAACCGCGCCCCGCCTACCGCGTCGATCTCGTCAAAGAAGATGATGCAGGCTTTCTTTGTGCGGGCCATCTCGAAGAGCTCGCGCACCATGCGCGCGCCCTCGCCGACGTACTTTTGCACTAGCTCAGATCCGATGACGCGGATGAAGGTCGCGTCAGTGCGGTTGGCGACGGCGCGTGCGCAGAGGGTTTTGCCTGTGCCGGGGGGGCCGTAGAGAAGGGCGCCTTTGGGCGGGTCGATGCCAAGGTTCACGAAGCGTTCCGGGGAGAGGAGGGGCATCTCGACGACTTCGCGCAGTTTTTCGATCTGGTCTTTGCAGCCGCCCACGTCGCCGTAGGTTACGTCGGGCTTGTCTTCGACGGTCATCATGGTTACCGAGGGGTCGATCTTGGGCGGGAGGGGGAGGAGGATCTGGTATTTGTTTCGGTCGACGCTGTTTGCATAGATTCGTTAGCTGCTGTATTGACTAGCTGCTGAGAATGATAGCGGGAACATACCCAACGCGCATGCCCTCCTCAATATCTGTCGGACTGACCCGCTCGCCCAAGTTGACGACAAACTTGGCGATCTGCTTGACGTTGATAACATATTTGCTCTTCTCCGCGTCCTTCTCGTCCTGTATGATCTTCGTGCACCGCGCCACCTGCAGCGGCTGCTCCTCCTGCATGCGCTGCCTATCCGCCGCGATATCCCACAAATGCGGCGGCGCGAGGCCGGTGTCCGACTCCTTGACGCCGATCTTCTCGTTGACGCTCGTCTGCTTCTCCTTGATCTCCTTCTCAAGCTTCTTCAGCTCCGCGGCGTACGGGGCGGCGCCATAGGTCTTGAGCACCTGGATGTCTTCGTCCGAGAGGGGGGTGATCTTCTTCTCTTCTATCTCGTCGTCGGCGAAGGTCTTCTGGTACTTCTCCCAGTTTTGGCCGGTGGCACTGGGCATGGTGGAGGTTGCGCTGTGGCGTAGGCGGGCAAAGACGGGATGAAGCAAGCTAGATTAGAGGTGATGTCGGTTGAAGAGGAAGTGATGGGTTTGGTTGTGTTGGAAGGTGGTGAAGTGGTTGCGGGAGTTGAGGTTGGTTTCGTGATGATGAAGCTCGGGCAAGTTCGACAAGCACAAGCACAAGCAACTCTGGCCGGGAGAGCTGCGGATCGGCGTTTGAGCTCGCCGACACGCGCCTGAGGAAATTCATCGCGTCGCCAGAAAAACAGCGGATAGGCAGCTAAGAGCAAACATTTATCAACTCAAGCTCTAACACCGCATTCCCCCTCATATACCATCGACTAAAGTATATCAGCACGGACACAGCCATGGCTCAAGTCGCCAGCAGCAACGCAGGCAATGCGGCTTTCAAGGCAAGCACCCCAAAAGCTTTACAGAGCTACCACTAAGTATTCTATAGGACAAGGAGAAGCCACGAGCAGTACGCACAGCCAACATCGTTGCCGCCCGCGCAGTCGCCGACGCCATAAGAACCTCGCTCGGCCCCCGAGGCATGGACAAGATGATCCAGACGGGCAAAGGCGAGACCATCATCACCAACGACGGCAACACGATGCTGCGAGACATGAGCGTGATGCACCCGGCCGCAAAGATGCTCGTCGACCTCGCCAACGCGCAAGACATCGAAGCTGGAGACGGCACCACGTCGGTGGTCGTGATAGCGGGGAGCTTGCTCGGTGCTGCGGAGCGGTTACTGGCGAAGGGCATACATCCGACGGTCATCTCGGAGTCGTTTCAGCGGGCGGCGGCAGCGGCGGTGCAGACGCTGCATGATATGTCACTGCCCATAAATCTGGCGGACCGGGCAACACTCCTCAAGGCCGCATCCACCTCGCTGTCCTCGAAGATTGTCTCACAGGAGCCGAAGCTGGCGCCTATGGCTGTGGATTCGGTGCTGAAGGTAATCGATCCGAAGACCGCAGATAATGTGGACTTGAAGAACATCAGAATTCTGAAGAAGCCTGGTGGCACGATAGATGAGAGCGAGATGGTCGACGGACTGGTGTTACAGCAGCAGGTCGTGAAGAGCGGAGGCGGGCCAACAAGGATGGAGAGGGCAAAGATAGGACTGATACAATTCCAACTGAGCCCGCCAAAGCCAGACGTGCGTCGCTACCACAACTTGTACCCAGGATACACTCGCTAACAATACCCCCACAGATGGAGAACCAGATAGTCGTAAACGACTACCGCCAAATGGACAAAATCCTCAAAGAAGAGCGCACCTACCTCCTCAACATGGTGAAGAAGATCAAAAAAGCAAAATGCAACGTCCTCTTCATCCAAAAGTCGATCCTGCGGGACGCCGTGAACGACCTATCCCTCCACTTCCTCGCCAAACTCAACATCCTCGCCGTCAAAGACATCGAGCGCGACGAGGTCGAGTTCATCTGCAAGTCCACCGGCTGCAAGCCCATCGCCGACATCGACTCCTTTACCGAAGACAAGCTCGGCTCCGCGGACCTCATCGAGGAGGTCCAGGTCTCCGGCGCGCGCATCGTCAAAGTGACGGGCGTCAAGGCCGCCGCGCAGACTGTTTCCATCGTCGTGCGCGGCGCAAACCCGCTCATCCTTGACGAGGCGGAACGCAGCTTGCACGATGCGCACTGCGTGATCCGCTGCCTGGTCAAGAAAAAGGCGCTCCTGGCCGGCGGTGGCGCGCCGGAGATCGAGATCGCGCAGGCGCTGTCGGCGCGCGCGCGCGAGCTGACGGGCACGGAGGCGATCTGCTGGAAGGCGTTTGCGGACGCTATGGAGGTTATTCCGACGACGTTGGCCGAGAACGCGGGACTGAATTCTATCAAGGTCGTGACGGATTTGCGGCATAGGCATGCGCTGGGGGAGAAGAATGCGGGCGTCAGTATCAAGAGTGGAGGTGTCAAGAATAACATCGCTGAGGAGAATGTGCTGCAGCCGCTGCTGGTGAGTACTAGCGCTATTGAGCTGGCGGCGGAGACGGTGAAGATGATACTGAGGATCGATGATATTGCGCTGAGCCGGTGAGGGGCGGTACGGAAGGGCACGCGGCAAGCACGATTCTAGAAGGATGGATGTGTAAATCAAATAGAGCAGCGCCATTGGCGCGGCAGAAGGCATGAGAAGACGACATCCCCAGGGACTGCATCGCAGCCAGGTTCAGCCGCTGTCACCATAGCGATCTTATACGGTGCCAATGTCAGGCGTGGGAGCATTACTAGGTGTGTAACACGGACCAAGAGCAGTCCAGCACGCATGTTACGTACGGAATGCAGCTTCGTGTGCCCAGTGTTATGAGTCAGACGTGCTATAACCTCCTTTAATGTCCGTGACAAGTCGTTTCCATATGCAACGCCGACCAAATGCTGAAAGAGCGCAATGCAACAGGCGGTCCTTCAAAAGTCATGATACTTTAGCCGTTCAGCTGTCCCAGATCCGTAGGACCTATATGCCCGTACCAGCAGCCAGATCCCCAAATGCATCCTCAATCCAACATGCCATTCTTACGCGTCACTAAGGCTCCGACATCCTCCGCAGCGAACCATCGCCGCCGGCATCAAGCCTCCCGCCCAATCCTCATTCGTCACCTCCGCCCGTCCTGCTCGCACTGGTATCCAGCAGATCATGATGCGCTTGCTGTATGTGGTGCGTCCACTCCTCAGGCTCTGGGAAGCACGCACCACATTCTGTATGTGGACATGCGAGGGGTCTATGGGTGCCCGAGTGCAGGCGCAGCTCTGCTGCATTGTCGAAGCGCTGTCGTGAGAGTTAGCAAGAGTGCTTTGAGTGATGAGGGAAGATGGGCGTGAAGATTGACCACACACCAGGGACAGTACCTCGTGGCAGCTGATCCAGGGGCAGTGGAAGTCGGGTATGGGTATCTTTCTCTCCTCCTCGCGAGGCTCCTTTGTCGCTGTTCTCTGTTCGGGATGTCCGTTTTGACGGGTCATGTCCTTCGAGTGATGCTGTGTTCTATCCAAATGGGGGCGTACGCACTCCGCTTGACCTGGACGGGTGTGATACGGAAGTGCCTGATGATGTAAGGTACTCTGAGAAGCATATCCATTCATGAAGCCATTCATGCTTTTGGTTGCGTCCGATAACGAACGGTGCGTCCCGTTCCTGAAGCTAGTGGCTCCAAGCCCGTCTGTCTCAGCCTCTCGGACCCGGCTTTCTGTCACGTCGGCTGTAGAAATCGAAGCTTGCTTCTCTATCACGTGCCCGAGTATCATCTTCAGTCGCACAACCGCTTTGCTGTCTAGCTGGTCAGTGCCGGCCATCGCTTCCTTGACTTGAGCTCTTGCTACTTGGACTGCAGGGAGGAGCTCGCCCCAGACGTCGTCCGTGTAGCTATTCAGGACGTCGTCCCAATCTGAGAGCCAGTGCTCGCGTTGCGTCGGAGTGGTGAAGTATATGTAGCTCTCCTCGCCGGAACCATGCGTGCTTACGAGCTCAGCAATCTCCTGCTGGAGATGAGGGTTCGGTGCGCCAAACGAAGCGAAATCTGGCCGGAGGTTGAGTGGGTGGTTGTGAGGCACCGATCGGTGTACCGGTGGCGCTGGTAGTGAGGATCTGATACGGTCCGCTGCATGCTGTTCTTCTTCGGAAAAGTTCTGAGGGAATAGGTCTGAGATGGACGCTTCTGTTGGATCTTCCATCGTCACATCGGTTGGGTATGTATCGGCAGTGAAAGTAGGGTCAGAGAGCAGCGCTCTTACTTCAGCACCGTCGTCATAGCTGAGTATGCTGTCCATAGTCGGATGTGCGCCTTTTGAGAAGGTTGGGAAGGATGAATGCTGAAAAGACTGTTGGTGGAACTGAGCCGTCCATGACGGTTCAATGCCAGCATTCAGCGCTCCTAATTCATTTTGATGTTCGGGCCCCCGCAAGAAGTCGTTCATGTCAAAGGCCTCGCTATGTTGCGGAGCCGGCTGCCTGAAACTTTCATAACCGCCTTGAGCGCCATTGCTTGGATGAGATGCGCTAGAGGAATGCCCATTCGTACATGAAGGTAGCGTCTCTGACCATGTTGAGGGTCCCGCGGATGTCTGAAAGCTTTGGGACTTGCCAGACATGCTGGATGAAGATGCCAGTGTCCGAGTTAGATCGTTCCCGCTCGAGCTTCCCACCAGGTCCTTAGCTAGACCGGATGCAGAGGCCGCGATTCGTGAGGCCATGGATGGCCCGTCGGCTTTTCGCGAAGGCGACGAAGTTTCTTTCCCTTTGCCGGTCTCCGACGGACGTTCCATTCTGTATTTCTAGTGGTTGTACAGATTACTTCAAATGTGACAAGAGATCGAAGACTTGATCAGACCATAGACTTTGATAGACTAGGGCGATGGAAGATTTCGGTCAATGGATGAAGTACATGAAGTGTTATGAACTTGTCCGTTATGGGAAAATTAACCTCTCACAAACTCAGAAGCTTTGTTATGTTTTGCCATGTCTGACAGGGCATATACACCAGCGGAGAAATGCGATACGCGAATCAGTCTGCTCTATCGGAGAATGCAATGTTGAAGATCGAGCCGCAACCGACCGGCCGAGGCTCAGCGGGAGTTCCCGAGGCTAATTTAAATTACACTTAAGCCTCATCTACAAGTCTTGTGGTTGTAAATTGAGCGACTTGTATCTGGTGCGAATTTGACAGGTTATTGCCTCTCCTTCGGACTATTGCCTTGAAGTCAGGACGCTGTCACGTGTCTGGTATTCTGAGTATTATAGCTTTATAGATGTTTCATGAACAACTCAAGATAGCTGCTATGGAAGCTTGAAGCCTATGTTCTTTGCCAGCACCAACCCTTTAATTGAGTTGAGCGGGCATCACCAACACAGTCTACCTCTTCCGATCCCGTCACTGAGGTCATCAACAACAGGTGCTCGTAGCACAGCTCGTAATGGCACCGCTAACTCTCGCTCCGAATGCCGCCACATAAGCAAGCTGGCTACCAGGCCATTAAGATAGCTTAGCAGACTCTGGGCACGGGTTTTGTATAGTAACGATGTTCGAGGCTGCTTCCAGAAAACAAGCTAGCCGGCAGCTCCCCATCTTACCGCAGGTCTCTAGCCTAAAATTCCTCTTTCCTTGGCATCATTTCTCGTTGCAAGGCTCAAAGAATGCACCGCGTTCCCAATCTTGACCTTCACGACCTCGACTAAAACCTGCATCTTACTGGTTTCTCTCTCCAAGATGGCCACGACCTCGCCCTGCGTCATAGGGTCCCTCAACTCCTCTTCTGGGGCTTCCAGACTCCACGCAATGCTGATATGGAAAGCGTCTGAGCAGTCTCTCTGTTCAACTTGCCTTCCGCGTATCTGCGTAGGTTTCTGGAACTTCCCCACAGATCCGTCATCCCGATCTCCGCCAGCAGCGAAACCGCCATTGGTATACAAGGGTGGTAATCCAAGAGTGGCGGCGGCGTCGTTACTCGCCTTCAAGAGCCGATTCAGCTCATCTCGCTCCGGCTTCTGTACTCCAAGCACGAGAAACCAGCGGGTGCGCTCGAAGTTCGGTACCCATTTCAATGAGGTGAAGGCAACTCGGAACGGTCGCACGGCGGAAGACCGGAGGTGGGAGGTCAAGGTAGTGAGGAAGGGGTCGCGCTGAGGAGTCTGCAAGACCAGCGAGCGCGAGAGGGATATATGCAGCGGCAGAGCGGCGGACAGGTCGGACTGGAGAAGAGAGTGGGCGGCGTTCTCAGCTCCTTCCGAACTGTGCTTACTGGTTTGGCGGACATTCACAATCTTAATCAGGTTGGTAATGCTGTTCGACTCTGGTTGGGATGGATGCCCTCGCGCAGGTCAGCCAAGGCCTTAAGACTATTTCTGTGCATGATCGATGCTCACGGCGTATAGAAGGGGGGTACATACACTCGAGATAGACGTGTGTCGGCCAATTGCCTTCCACATGTGGGACTGAGCGTTTCCGACCTCCATGTAAGCTAGGATCATCCTGCGTGCTTGCTCTTGTTGCTGTCGAGTAGAGGTTATGGAAGCCAGCTGGAAGAGGAGGCAGGTCTGCTGCTGGCTCTGGCGGAGTTTTGCGCTTCCTCTCCGAGATACTGCTCTTAACCGGATTTGCTGGGTTTATCCTCACGGTTTCTTTCTGATCTTCCTCAGCTTCAGAGTCCGAATAGTCGACCAAGACCATTGTTATCGCAGCATTGGACTGACGTCGTCGGCGCACGAGCTTGGATGTTGCTAAATTTGGGAATGCGCAGGGACTCGAGGCCGGCACCAACTCGGCCGCTGTCCCGTCGCGTTCCCCTATCGGATGACATCACGCTCAACCGCTAAGCTGCGCTGCCATGGATGATGCAGGAACTCCGGACGTGCCAGCTTGCGCGTTCCTGCCTGGCAAGCTTGGAAATATTTTACTGAGACGGGTGATCAACCTTTTAACACTTCCTTACCCAACAGACCAAGCCCCGTCTCCTGACTATTCTCCAATTCAATTGTGCAGAGGGCTAGAGTCTTCAAATACCTCTCCAACTAAACCAGAATCCGGCAAGACAGCACCATGAGCAGCGAAGTGAGCATCTTACACTATCAGGCCTCAGCTACCTTGCCCACTGACACGTACAGGCTCACCACGCCATCATCGACCCGCTCATTGAGCTCTCCCCAGCGGAGGAGACTGGACCCGGCACGCACTTTAGATCAACCTTCGCGCCCATCACTCCAACTGCGACCCCTCCCCCTTCCGCAGCGCCTAAGCATGGTTCTCCCGTCCAGATCCGCGAGCAAACGACTGGCAGCTCCGTCCTGAGCTCCAACAACCCCTTCCGCGACCAACCTCCCAAAACTAAGAACGTCACAATTGTCGAGACTCGCCGTCCCTCCAGCAGCAGCCGTGACAACTACCCTACACCTCCCACAACTGCTAGCCCCCGCGGCGAGAGATTCCCCACTTACCGCGAAGATGCCTTCTCAGGCTACAACGACGGCCGCCGCCGCAGCTCCGGCCAGGGCTCACCCGTCGCAGAACCCAGCAATGGCCGCCGAAGGGGCAGCTCCCTGACGGAACGCTTCCCAGGCGACACGTCTCACCGGCCGCTCGACATAATCAAGAAAGATAGCAAAGCCGCCAACCGCGCCCCCCACCTCCAGAAGCGCCACATCCCCGGCGCGGACATGGTCGACAAGCTTGACGCCGCGCCCGTTGGACAGACCTACCACCACGGAGGCCCGTACGACGCGGCTCTGCTTGCACGCAATACCTCGTTCACCTCTAGCCCTGTCGCAGCAGTCGCGGAGACGAACCACGAAGCGCTCAAAGCCACGTCGCCGGAGAACATTCAGGACTCGCTTGAACGTCACAGGCCGCTGGACGGTGTCGCAGCCGTGCCGCCAGGGATGAAGGACGAGTTTGGTCGGACGTACGAGTACGAAGAGGGGACGGACATGATGCGTGATCTCGGCGGGAACTACAAGCGTTGGCCTGGCGTCGTAAGTCTTCTTTCACATGATTCTCCCTAACCACCGTAATCGCCCAACAACCTATGCCAATGTTATATATTTATCAGGACTACCACCCCGATGACCTCAAGGGCAAAGGCGAGCCCTCTTATACGATTGATAAGCAGCTGAAAGAACACAAGGCACACGAAAACACCTACGGCGAGAGCGGCGTTGCAGGCGAAAGCTCTGGGATTGAGATGACGAGCCGGCCGAGAAACAAGTCGGTCAGCCACGCCGAGTCGACGGGGGCTACGGACTATCAGTACCAGCGTGTGTACGAGGAAGAACAGGCAGGAGCGAGTGTCGGCCGCACGAGGGGCAACAGCGTTACTGAAGGACTCAAGAAGAGGCTGGGAAGTTTGAGGAGGAAGAACAAGGATTGAGCTGGCTTTGAGCATTAAAAGATGGTAACAGAACGCAGATTGTAATCTGTAATGACTGTACAAGCATATCTATGCGGCTGCATGCACATATGGAAGGACATCGGTGGCATGTATATGAGAGGGTGGTCGGTAAATTCTGTACTACATGCTAGGATATGGTTGAGATGGGATCACTAGAAGGGCAAATAGCGCTGGAAAGCCGCGTCTTGTACGGACATATATCATGTACAATGTACTCATGTTAATGCACGAGGACTATCCAGAAATTCGTTGGCGCATCTTAACTGCTACCATGCTCGATCGGTATTAGAGTCACGATTGAGCTGGACTTGTGATCATGTGGAGGGTGTATCAACCGGACCAGTTTCATGTGATAGAAAGCACAAGATGTTCAGCTATTGAAACGTTCCAGTGCTTCAGCCACTTGAAGGATGCGAGCTCGATCTACCAACCGCCGCCCTGAGTCATCCACCCAGAGGTTTATGAGTTGCTATTAATGCGGCAACCTTCCTAGATTGCTGGATGGCCCTTAGCATGAGGCTCTCCTCGAGCCACGTGCCAGCTACCCTTTCAATACATAACTCCCGTGACACGGTCCAGAACCAGGACGTAACGGCCCTATTAGTCAACAGAGAAATCTAGTCGTGGAATCGTCAGTGTCGTTCTGTGAGGCGACAGAGTTCCCGTTTGTTCTTCGTGGTAAAACAATTTCCCGAGGTAAATCGTCAGTTCAAGTTAGCTTCGTAACTGTAGCGCGATGATTGGCTGGGACCTGGTGTCGACTTCATCGACTTTGGGGCATCTTCGTGACCATCTTGAACGTCAAAAACATCGCCTCCACCTCTATATTCACGGCCAGACATGAGTGCACTCAGCATGCGGCGCTTCGCTGCTGCTCGCCAGGTAAGCGACATCTCCATTAACGACATTGGCGCACCCAGCGGCGCAACGAGCTCGGATCGGAGCTGTCGACCCCGCGGAGGCGAGACATATCTCGAGCCGCATTCAGGCGAGAGCGATATGTTATAGCTGAGCTCTGCTGCGTGCTCAAAGGCATATACACAAGCGGAAGCTAACAGCAGTATTCCCAGCTCTTCCGCCCTCAGACCCGATCCTTCTCCTCCACCAAGCCCGTAGCCCGAATCATCACCAGCCAGCCACTCCGAGCGAAGGAGGCCTCGCCCCATGTCAGCCACAAGTACCCAGTCATCGACCATGAGTACGACGCCATAGTAGTCGGAGCCGGCGGTGCTGGTCTTCGTGCCGCGTTCGGTCTTGCCGAGGCCGGTTTCAACACAGCCTGCATATCGAAGTTGTTCCCGACACGATCACACACTGTAGCCGCACAGGGAGGCATCAATGCGGCGCTAGGAAACATGCACGAGGACGATTGGCGATGGCACATGTACGACACGGTCAAGGGTTCGGATTGGTTAGGTGATCAGGATGCTATTCACTACATGACCCGGGAGGCTCCTCAAAGTGTCATCGAGCTCGAGAACTATGGCTGCCCCTTCTCAAGAACAGACGACGGAAGAATGTAAGCTCGTAGAAGCATTGAATTACACGCAGTAGGCTAACAGAATGGCAACAGCTACCAGCGAGCCTTCGGCGGACAGTCTCAGAAGTACGGAAAGGGTGGTCAGGCCTACCGATGCTGCGCCGCGGCTGATAGGACTGGTCACGCTATGCTCCATACTCTGTACGGCCAGTCCCTACAACACAATACCAAGTACTTCATCGAGTTCTTTGCCACTGATCTCATCATGGAGGACGGTGTCTGCAAGGGCGTTGTTGCCTACAACCAGGAGGACGGCACTCTTCACAGATTCCTAGCTCACAACACTGTTCTGGCCACCGGCGGCTATGGCCGTGCGTACTTCAGCTGTACTTCTGCGCACACTTGCACTGGTGACGGCATGGCTATGGTTGCACGTGCTGGCCTACCCAACCAGGACTTGGAGTTTGTTCAGTTCCATCCTACCGGTATCTACGGCGCAGGCTGCTTGATCACTGAGGGCTCTCGCGGCGAGGGTGGCTACCTGCTCAACTCCGAAGGCGAACGATTCATGGAAAGATACGCCCCCACCGCAAAGGACTTGGCCAGTCGTGACGTTGTCTCGCGCTCAATGACTATGGAGATCCGTGAGGGTCGTGGTGTCGGACCTGACAAGGACCACATTTACCTCCAGCTCAGCCACTTGCCACCAGAGGTTCTTCACGATCGTCTTCCGGGTATCTCGGAGACTGCATCCATCTTCGCCGGTGTTGATGTGCGCAAGCAGCCCATTCCGGTTCTACCAACAGTTCACTACAACATGGGCGGTATCCCTACCAAGTACACCGGCGAGGTCCTGACCGTTGATGAGAACGGCAAAGACCAGGTTGTGCCTGGGCTCTTCGCCTGCGGTGAAGCTGCCTGCGTCTCCGTGCACGGTGCTAACCGTCTCGGCGCCAACTCCCTGCTTGATCTGATCGTGTTCGGTCGCGCCGTATCGCACACTATACGCGACAACTTCTCTCCCAACCAGCCCCACAAGGAAGTTGCCGCAGATGCAGGTGCCGATTCCATCAGCGTCCTCGACCGGGTGCGCACAGCCGACGGCCCGAAGAGCACCGCCGAGATCCGCTCCGCGATGCAGAAGACCATGCAGGTTGACGTCTCCGTGTTCCGCACGCAGGAGTCCCTAGACGAGGGCGTGAAAAAGATCCACGACGTCGATGCCACGTACGCAGACGTCGGTATCAAGGATCGAAGCATGATCTGGAACACCGACCTCGTCGAGACGCTTGAGCTACGGAACTTGCTTACCTGCGCCGTTCAGACGGCCGAGGCGGCGGCGAACAGGAAGGAGAGCCGTGGCGCGCACGCACGAGAGGACTTCCCGGATCGGGACGACGAGAACTGGATGAAGCACACGCTCACGTGGCAGAAGAAGCCGCACGGCAAGACGGAAATCGGGTACAGGGGGGTGGTGGCCCATACGCTGGATGAGAATGAGTGCAAGGCGGTGCCGCCGTTCAAGCGGACGTATTAGTGTGTGGTTTTGTGATGGTTGGGGTGTTCTAGTGTACATTTGTAGGAGAATACCATATGGTTGACTAAACACATGGATCTTGTATGGATTTGTTCTGCTAGTGCGTATTTACGGCTAATGGCCTGAGCTCGTGACTGGCATGTGTTCAGCCCCAGCTTCCGCCCAATGAACCCTGAAATGCGGGAGCCCTTGCTTGCGGGACGGAGAAACGAGGCCACTCCAAAGGGGCAGCTTCGAGCTACATACGTTGCACCCTACAACCATCGACTCAGTTGTGCAACTGCATTAGACTCTCCTTCCTTTTGTTCTGACGACTCCCTGCGATAGCTGTGCAACGGCGTTTCTCTCTTCCTCGTGCGCCACGATAGCTGGCAGCTGAGTGTTTTCCCGCATACCTAGCCCAGCATGTCCTCCCCTGCGCCCTCTACTCTGCGCCAGCGAGGGAAGGACTTGAAGAAACGGCCTGTTACCCCATCTACAGACGGCACGGCGGACGATGAGATACTATCAAAGGCTGTACAGGAGGTCAAGAGCGCGGTAAAATCAGAATGGGACTACAAGCTTGCGTTGGCGATCATCACGGTGCTGGCGTTCGTCACAAGGTTCTACGGCATAAGCCACCCCAACCAGGTCGTCTTTGACGAGGTTCATTTTGGCAAGGTATGACACACCTCCTACCTATGCAGCTCGCCATCTTACACTTTGGGACCAATTGCTGCCGCAGCGCAGAGAGATCATATGCTAACTCCGATCGTTTCACAGTTTGCCTCATACTATCTGCAAAGAACCTACTTCTTCGATGTCCATCCGCCCTTCGGCAAGCTTCTTTTCGCCCTCGCCGGCTGGCTGGTGGGGTATAACGGCGACTTTCTCTTCGACAATATCGGCGATTCATACATCACCAACAATGTGCCCTATGTCGCATACCGCTCGCTGCCTGCCCTCCTGGGCTCGCTCACCGTTCCAACTGTGTTCTTGATCATGTGGGAGTCTGGATACTCGTTACCAGCGTGCGTGACGGCTGCCGGGCTCGTGCTGTTCGACAACGCACACATTGGCCAAACTAGGCTCATCCTCCTTGACGCCACTTTGATCTTTTCCATGGCGCTGAGCGTTCTCTGCTACGTCCGCTTTTACAAGCGTAGGCATGCGCCTTTCAGTCGGAAATGGTGGAAGTGGCTCCTTCTTACTGGCGTTTCCCTGAGCTGTGTCATCTCTACCAAGTACGTTGGTGTCTTCACGTTCTTCTCAATCGGCGTTCCGGTCTTGATTGACCTCTGGGATTTGCTGGACATCAATCGCAGACAAGGTGCCCTTTCGATGCCCGAGTTCGGCAAGCACTTCGCTGCGCGCATGACGGGACTGGTCATTGTACCTTTCCTGCTCTATCTCTTCTGGTTTCAGGTCCATTTTACCATCCTTTCGCGCTCTGGGCCCGGAGATGACTTTATGAGCCCCGAATTTCAGGAGACGCTCAGCGACAATGTCATGACGATGCAATCCGTCGGTATCGACTACTTCGACTCGATTATCATGCGGCATAAGGAGACCAAAGTCTATCTGCACAGCCATGTGGACAAATATCCACTACGGTACGACGATGGTCGTATCTCCAGTCAGGGACAGCAGGTTACCGGGTATCCACACAACGATACGAACAACCAGTGGCAGATTCTTCCTGCCAAGCAACTGCCAGCCGCGGAAGGTCAGCACGTCAAGAATGGTGATCTTGTCAGGTTCCGGCATTTGGTAACCGACACCATTCTGTTGACCCATGATGTTGCCTCGCCGTACTATCCCACCAACCAAGAATTCACCGCCGTACCTCCAGACGTAGCCAATGGAGATCGTTACAATGATACCCTGTTCGAAATTCGCATCGAGAATGGCAAGGCTGGTCAAGAGTTTAAAACCATGGCATCCCATTTCAAGCTCGTTCACCATCCAACCAAAGTCGCCATGTGGACGCATACGTCACCTCTCCCCGACTGGGCTTACAAGCAAGCCGAGATCAACGGCAACAAGAACGTCCAGCAATCCAGCAACATCTGGTACGTCGAGGAGATCCCATCCCTCCCAGCCGACAGCGACCGCCTGAAGCACGAGGTGCGCAAGACAAAGCATGTGCCCTTCCTCAAGAAATACTTCGAGCTGCAAAGAGCAATGTTCTACCACAACAATGCCTTGACGAGCAGCCACCCCTACGCCAGCTTCCCCATCTCCTGGCCCTTCCTGCTCCGCGGCGTGAGCTTCTGGACCGAGAACGACACGCGCCAGCAGATCTATTTCCTCGGCAACCCGATTGGGTGGTGGCTCGCCAGCAGCCTGCTCGCCGTCTTCGCGGGCATCATAGGCGCGGATCAGCTAGCTGTGCGCCGAGGTATCGATGCGCTTGATGACCGTGAGTGATACCTCCGCCTTCCCTCCCCTCGCTCACCATATTTCCTTCCCATCCCTGACACAAGCTTTTCTAACAGTCTGGGGACCAGGCACCCGCTCCCGCCTCTACAACAGCACAGGCTTCTTCTTCCTCACCTGGGCCGCCCACTACGTCCCCTTCTTCATCATGGGCCGCCAGCTCTTCCTGCACCACTACCTGCCCGCGCACCTAGCGTCAGCGCTCGTAACGGGCGCGCTGATCGAGTTCGTCTTCAACGTCGAGCCCGCTACCCTGGACGAGGTGGACGCCAACGACAACGGCAAGGCGAAGAGGAGGGGCTCCGCTGAGAAGCTGGCGTCGGCGGCCCCGTCTGTTCGCAGTCGTCCGGTCAGGGAGAGGCTGGGCTCGCAGAGCTTGTTGCCCATGTGGGCGGCTACTGTGGTCGTGCTGGCGGTGGTGATTGGGAGCTTTTTGTACTTTGCGCCGCTGACGTATGGGAAGCCGGGGTTGAGTATTGAGCAGGTCAATGCGCGGAAGTGGCTGAATTATGATTTGCATTTCGCGAAGTAGGGAGAGAGGTTGTTTGAGTAGGGGAATTGAGGTGGCCAGAAAGACGCGGCGGGTCATTGCGTGGTGTCAGGTTCTTATGCAGCGTTCGTTCGAAGTAAGGTTGGCTTTGTAGGAGTAGGAGTACGATATCATGTGGGTTGGGTCAGGCTATCGAAGAAACTCCTATCTGTCGCTCCTAAGAACTCGGCGCCGTGGCATTCGTGAGCACTGTATATCTTCCATTCCAGCATCCACCCAGCGTCCAGATGAATGGTCCCCGAACATTCTCCTTGCTGCTCTATCGCAACATCGCACTTGAACAAGCACCTAGAGGCTCCTTTGTGCGAATTCGGCTCATTTGCTGATAAATCCCTGTACGAGTTGCTGGAGCTTTCTGATATCATAGGCAGGCACACAGCCATAGAAATTTGAGAAGCAACACATAATGTTAGAATCATCTGTTCTGCCACGTACGGCCATAGATCAAAGAACACTGGGCATCTCGTTTGCTCTGCCACCACATAAACTCTGAATCGGTAGATTAATAGTTAGGTGACTAGATGTCTAGAAGTATCTGCGAGGCCGTCGTCGATACCTTTGATGGACGAGCATGGGCGAGCAAGGGTGAGCAGGAGTGAGCACCCCAGCTCACCCACTTAAAGCAGCATCCCGTTGTGACCCACATTGCCCACTGACTCACAGCCCGCCCATAACAGGCTCCTTCCGGCGCCCTTCCAAGTGCTATTTCAGAATCAAATGAAGCCCAATAGGGATCCTAAGGCTAACTCCATTGGTGCTGAGACAGTAATAGCATGGACTTTTGGCGATCTCCTCTTTGCTTTCGCGTAGACCAGGTAGAGTGTGGGGTCGACCAAGTCGCATAGGGCGTACGGCGGCGATATGGTAGGCTTTACAACACCAGAGCTGCTTCCTGTGGGCCCCAAGGCACTATGGGCAGCGTCACAATCATAGACAACTAAGACCTGTTGTTCGATTTGGGATCTGAGTGGCAGCTGTGTAATGCATATAACTTTCAACACAGCTTGGGTCGTCTTATTTAGAACAAGACGTACCTTGGAGCCTTCCAATGATACATGAAAAGGATGCTTTCGCATTCGATGCTAGAACATGGCCGCCACCGCCTCCCTAAGCTGTTCCTTCCAACGTCTCAGCGCAACCCTAAGTCAAATTAAAACTTTGAGACACCATCCGCTCTTCCAGCTCATGGACTTTATCATGTTCCTCCTGAGGAGTAGTATGCTTCCAAGCTCTTGAGGTGCGGCCGCTCTATCGGGGTAATAGGGGAGCCTTTCTCTTCAAGAAACCAGCAGAGGGTTCCATCCAGCAAGAGTAATTCTCCTCTTTGAGACATGGTTACTTCGCTTTGATACATTGGCTCCTAAGTCTGCGTTCGTTTCGTACCGCAAGCTGTACTATTTTGTACCCAGACCGGCGTTCACACTATCCAAGCCGTGCGACGTCGCATGTCACGTGTTTTCCTCCGGGAAGTCCGCACACAGCCATGGATCCTTGAGCAGGTCCTTCGCCATGCTTCGATCCTCTGGTCGCCATTTGAGCATCTTGCGTACAAAGTCAAGGAACATCCTTTTATCCTCCCCGTTGATCTTGCTGAGGGAATTCTCCAGACTAAAGTCTGCCGGAATGTCCACTGGGGGCTTGAGCTTCGCTGCTTAAGGAGTAAATGACTGCAGCATAGTGATATTAAGAGGCTATAAGCGCTGTTTACCTTCAAAATCATAAAACAACGAAGTCCTCTTTCCCTTGGCGAGAAGTTCTTTTGGCGGCGGGCCTAAGAGCGCAGTGATGTGCGCAAGATGAGCTTTGTCATCGTACTTGGTTTTCAACGGGTCGACAGCTTCGAAAAGGGCCTTGTTCTCTATCAAGTCCCATAACTGTGTCGACCGTTAGCTTGCAAAACAGTCTGCGCGGATTGAGGCTGAAGAGCACCATGACACCCAAACTCCATATATCAGCGCTGTACGTCCAGCCAGCATCAAGAACAACTTCGGGTGCTCGGTAGGGTTCGGCTTGGATGCAACCATAATGAAGACCGTTCCCCTCAGTGGAGAATCCAAAGTCCGTGATTGAGACTATTCCCGGGATCGACTTCGGTTGTCCGTAATCGTTGCGGGACAGATAGATCGTTCGATCGTCACGTCGCTTCTGCGGAAGTGGGTTCTCAAATTCGTCCAGGGCAGATCTTTCTAGTATAGACTTGTCTTCAAGCCTAACTAGAATGTTGTCGGGCTTGAGGTCTGTTGCATGAGTAAGCTATCCTGCCTGACGAGTGCTTTCACTAATCTGAGCTGCAAATCCAAAGATCTTACCGGTATGGATAACACGGCATGTGTCGTGAAGATAGTCGAGACCTTTAAGCAGCATTTGAAGCATGATTTTCAAAAGCTCTGAAAGAAGTGCATCCCCATCGAATCTCCTCTTCAGCAGCCAGAGTGGTTCACGTAAAGGCTCAAAAACGAGACAGATATGATTACTAGCCGGCCCTTTTAGCACAAAGGAGTCCAAAAGAGTGCGGACGAAGTTCCAGCCTTCATGTCGCGGATTCGCCTTTGTAATCAGCCGGGTAATGTGTAGCTCGTTCTCAGCTGTTCGTTTAGTAAAACGATCTGTAGCATTTACCTTAACTGCAACAAAGCGTTCAGGTGACCACCGCCATCTTAAATTATGTTAACTTAAAAGCTCTAAGAATTGTAAGTGGAATAACGCACTGGGACAGGTCCCTGGCAAGCCATACAGTCGAACTGGTGCCGTAGCCGAGTTTAGTAGCGACTTGGTATCTACCATGTAGCACCTCCCCTATTTGAGTTGGATAGAAACGCTTCGGGTCATAATATGGCGTCTTCTCTTCCTCTATCGGCTGGCTCTCGTCGAGAAGCGGCGGTACGGCTGTGGACAGCGGCCACGGTTGAGACTGTAGTACCCTAAGAGGACTTATCATCCAACTTCGCGATGGTAACATTGCATGAATGGCGATGGCAAGGCTTAATCAGTCACGGAAATAATTTGGCGTTGAGATGTGCGAGAGCGAGACGGTCCGAGGCGCGGGCTCAAAAGTCTGATGCCAAACGATTTGGCAAGAACAGCAGTCTTTATCCAAGGCTACTCAACCCACAAACCACGACACAGTCTTTGAGATGTCTAGATTAGCTTCGAAAGGGCTAACTTGACACAAGATAGTCATTTCGTATAGTTATCATGTCAAATCGCGAGTAAATTGTGGTTTTGAAGCGGAAGCCGCTTGGCACCAGACTTTTGAACCCGCGCCTCGGAGTAACATGGACTCAGCCAAATACCAACACCACGACCTAGTCAACCATCATAGACACACTCAGATTGAAACCCACATTAGCTAACCGAAAGATGATTGTCCTACTCTCCCTAGCTAAAGAGCCTTGCCATACTGCACCACCAGTTCTCTCGCCAGGCTCGTTTCTTGAAAGGCCCACGCCCGTCTAAGCCACGGCCCCCTCAACACCAAGTAGATGACGACCGTTCTGTGATGTTCAACTGTTGTTGCATGCATCCATAAGGTAACACCGGCCACCCCAGCCGCACGGCCCGCATCATCCAGAGAAACGTCTTGGTATTTGGAAAGAGGTTCAAGATTTCCGCCAGCAGTCCCGTATCTGCTCTTTGCCTGATCATGGGTTCGTACACAAGATGGGTTTCGTCTTCCCCCAGCCAAATCACCACCCGTCGCGCCTTTCGGTAAATCTTCCCCATCAGCTGGATCTGCTTGCCTCCCTCATCATTATTCTTTTGATCGATGCACAGCTGGTCGATCCATAGCCTGTTCGACTCCGATGACTGTCTCAGTCTGCGCAGCGCCATCATAAGCTACGGCGTTGCCTACAACGCCTTTTCGGTTACGTATCTCAACTCATCGTTCTCTGTCACGGATATGGGGAGGTGGCGATGCATGCTCCCCCACATATACGACAGCGCCTCGTACTCCGAGGTTCGTCAAGCGAATGAACGTTGATTGTACATTGGAGCGGCTCGTCGCTGGGTTCTATCGCCGCAGCTTTGTGCGGTGGCAGCAACTCGATCAGCCGAAGCTGACAATCTGCGTCAATAGGTGGGAGGGTGAATGGCTCCAGCTCGTCAATGCCAAGGATGTGCGGTAGGCGGACTGGGCCTTTGTCTACGGACATGACCTCGTCGGTCTGACCTGGCTCGTAGAAGCCATATATGTCCTGAATGCAGCATGGCAGGATTGATGCTGCAACATTGTGTGGTCGCTCATGGGACATGGGAATTCATACTGTTGGAATATGGGGCAGTTGAGGTTACCATATTTGGAGCAAGGCAGCTGAGGATGCATGGGTGTTGTCAGAGGCGTAACTTGGCAGCGGGCGAGTGTGAGCAAAGCCAAGTGGAAAAGAAGGTACCTAGATGGCTGCTTATATTCTTCTATCAGCTCGGGTATGGAGTGACTAGAATTAGTTCATGTGTTCTGCTGACCACCAAATCCTTGAACGGCAAACCGGATATAGATCGCCCGCATTCGAGGTTAACTTTCGGCGTAAGTAAAACAGGTTAGGCCACTCGAGGCGGGTCATGTTCGGATGGCGTCAGTTGTGTCGTTGGCACGTCACTGGAGTTGTACGAGAGGTGGTAGAAGAATGGTCTGATGATAATGCTGCGACTTCGTAGTACTGTCATTGAGTGATCTGACCGATTACCATAGCACTCGTAGATGATTATACGCAGCTGTCAGGACTCCTCTGCCCCGTAAACAACATCTACCGGCCCCTACTGGAATGTCGCGAGCCACGCCCTAAATAATTAACCCATCATTAGTCAATACTCCACAGAAATACTCAACCAGGCACGCCCGCCTCAAGGCGTCTCCTCCCCCTCCTCAGCAACCGCACCATCCCCATCCACGCCTGCACCAACTCCACCCTTCCTAAAACCAGACCACGCACCCCCGGGTGTCGCACCCGCGCCCGACCACCCGCCAAACGCTCCCGCAGCATCGACCTCCTTCTCCGAATACTCTCTGCTCCCCGGCCTCTGGATGCTGCTCGTGCGACGCCTACTCACAACGCCCGGGAAGATGCGCGGCTCGCCGTCTGTTGTCGGAGGGGAGAAGACTACTGATGATGAACGTGCTGGTGGGCCACCGCCGCCGAACTGGGCCGGGTCACGTGTCGGGGGCTGTGGGATGCCTGCTGAAGCGGCGCCAGCCATGCCTGTAAGATCGTGTGTAGAAGCCGACGGATGTATCCGGGCGGCTTGGGCAGGGAACATGGGGGCGGTGTTGGCGGTGGGGATTGCCGATGACGGGAGGTGCGGGAAGTGCGAGACACCGTCTGCAGTTGGGTTTGTGGCGGAGGGATTGGTCACCATTGAGATGGATGGAGAGGTGGGCGCGGGCTGGTTCGCGCTATGAGGCGTTTGGAGGTTGCTGGCGGACAAACTGTCGACTGGGCTTTGGGTGGTGTAGCGTTCGATCCTAGTTTTGTGCTGTCAGCAAAGAAACGTGTATCGGGCTAAGAACATTCGTTTCTTACATGGCAAGCTCTTGGATTAGGGTTTCATGCCGAAAAGCCTCTCTGATGTTCGGCACATTCACCTTCGCCATGTCGTTTCCTGCCACACCGGGCAGCTGATAATTCTGACCGAGCCACCGCTGCTTAACCGTATGTTCGAAGCCGCTCTGCACGACCGAGTGCTTCGCTAGCTCGCACATGTCGACAGCGCTCAACTTGTATATCTGTGCCGCAACGGAATATTCCTCGATGAGCGGCTCCTTTGTGAAAGCGAATTGCAATGGGTCGTCTGTGGAGAGCGAAACATTGAGCCCTCGCTTGAAGTATGCGAGGAACGGGTTTCTTTCATATGCAAGAAAAAGAGCGTTGTTGCTCAACGGGGACATGGCAACACCGATCTGCTCGAGATAGAAGACGTACTGAAGCAGTGGCACCTTTCTCAGCAGCAGGCCATGGCTGATACTGTGGCAACAGAGTACCGCTGCCGCGAGATGGTCTGTGTCGCCCGCTTCGCCGCAGTGTGGCCGTAGCAGGAAAGTGTTGAACCCACGCTGTTTCCGCCAGAAGTTGAGAGAGGCGATGTTGGCAAAGAGGTAGTAGATCCAGTAGCTGTATGGTGGGTTCTGCTTGGTGTCCCAGGCCTTCGGCAGCGGAAATTTTCTATAGAGCCGTCGTTCAACCTTGCTTTCGTCATCAACGCTGTCGAATCCAATGACTCGCTGGAGGAAGATATGGAGCTTGGGGTGACTGGATGGATCGCGGGTGGCCTCGAAAAGTGGCTCGAAGATATTTCGGATCACTTGCTCAAAGTTGTCCATGAGTCCAGTCGATTTGTATACATCATATAAGCGCGGCACTTGGACCAGCCAGCGAACATTGGGTGAGAACAGCTTGTTGTCAACCACCCATGCCGCTAGCTTATCCCACTCATCCATTGTCCGGCCGTAGATGGAAATCCGCCACTCGACCATCTGGTGCTTACTCGACTCTAGATCAGTTATGACCTCTTTTGTTATTTCTGCTAGGTAACGACCGTGTATATAGTTGTCAGTCTTCAGGAAGATGGTTCGAAGGCGAGACTCGCCGACCGGGTTATACTTCAAGTTGAACTTGTCAAAGCGGTGGAAAGAATCCGTGTGAGCCTGCAAGAGTCAGATACTTGCTGGTGTGCCGGCTCAATTGCACTCGGTAACCTACATGCATATCAAGCGTATCGATGCTAAGATCGTACGCAGTCAGGTTGATACTCTCGAACACTTCCCTAAGCGTAAGGTGTTTGCCATCACGGAAAAGAACAACCTCGTCTGGAGACTTCTTCATCTTCGACTTGATGAACCGGAGTAAATGCTTCTGATTCATGCAGGCGGAGTGATGGACGTGCGTGTCGACCTTTCTGACGTTGTAGAAGTCTCTGTGGGGCACCCTCTTGCTATCTGCAATTTCCTGATATTCGTTCAGTAGATAGTAAAGATTGTACTTCCCCTCTAGATACTGCAAGCGGCGATAAGCGAAGCTTTTGCTTGGTCCGTCGGAAGAGACGTTCTGTATCGTGTCAAGGTCTATGTAGAACTCTCGAATGTCGGGTACGTGCACGATCGGTTCTTCCAGCTCTACAGACCGCGAAGTTTCGTAAACTTGGAAGACGCTTTGATGGTCCATTCTGTACGTCATCTCTGCCGGTCCAGGGAGCGGTAGTAGCTCATCCATATTAAAATCTTCGCCGATATCATAACCTGGCTTCCTCGGCGGCTTCAATGGCGTCTCCGGAGATTTCTGGTCCTGGCCGTCTTTTTCCAGAACCACACTGTTCGTCATGCTGTTCATTCCGTTCGTACCTAGGCGTGACTTGTATTGATCCCATGCTGACTCCGGCGGAGCGGGGTATATCCGCCAGCCGGGCTCGTCCTTCGGGTTATCGGTTGGGCCCTGTAGCGATAACCTGATGTACTTGTGCCGGATATCCAGAACCTTCTGTATGTTTGTGTAGATGGCGGTCAGCTCGGCAGTGACGTTGGCATCACTGCTAGCATAGCCTCCAATGCCTCCCCCAAGTCCCACGCCAGCTCCCGCGCCGTGCAGTCCCTCCGTAGCGAGTATCGACGGCTTTTGCTCATGTGGAAGGCCTGGATGCTTGGAGTGATCTCTTGCGGACATATCTGCCCGTAGATAAGGATCTTCTCCCACTCTCCTGTGGTGATGGTAGCTTGTGTCCAGATGTGGCAGTCCCAGTGTGTGCCCATCTACAGCAGTAGGCTGCTCCGCATTTCCGAGGCTCGCCGGCAACGCAGATTTGTAAATGGTACTTTGGGCGAGAGAGTGATTGCTGGGTCGTGATCGTAGGCTACCTGATCGACCAAGCCCCGTCCCGAAGTTTGCAGGTATAGTCTTTGCTCGAATGACCGGACTGAATTCGTCTTGCGAACCGCCATACTGACTGTCCAGCTGATGTCTTTGGTAAAATTGTTTTGCTTCGGTGTTGCTCATCTGCTTCTCCGCCGTGTAATCATAGAGAGCCGTTTTTCGCTGCCTGTCTCTGGGAAGCATCCCTACTTGATTGTCATCCAGGGAAGCGTAGAGATCCGCTTCTGGGCCATCTCCAGACTCTCCGCCTTCAGTGGTCGTTGGACCTGTCCCAGAATTCCCGCTCTTCATCTGTCCGGAGGTCGGACCCTCGTTTGAGGAGCTCGAGTCCGATTCGTATTCGGCATCGTCAGAGGACGAAGCGCCATAAGTGTCGACGTGGGCAGGGCCCAGAGAGGGGGATGCGTCGTGCGAATGCGTATGAGGAGCTGTAAGGTGAGGAATACCATTAGCGAGTTCGATGTGGGAGCGGTAAAAGCAATCACATACCCATAAGGATTTGCTACCTAGGTACTCACGATGCTACCTAGTCCGCCGCAAGACAGCTTCGTGGAAGCACGGGCGTTCTTTTGATGCCAGGAATCTGAGGAAGCCGCGTCGTGGACAGCGCGTCGCATTACGGACTCCTCATTGGTCAGATATGCACCAAACCACTCACCCACTTAAATTCCCTTTCAGCATCAGAACATGTGGATCAACCTATGATGTTACTATTTATAACTTGTAAACAGTTTCCTAGCGAAGCTGAAAAGTGTTTGTTCGCAGACTATACTCGGGTCGTTTCCTCAAGCAGTGAAGCTGAACAAATCCTGTAATTATCTATCTACTCCAGACTGCGCGCCATGGCTCCATCAAGGCCAATGTCTGAATTGAGGACCGCCAAATACTAACGCCAGGTAGCAGACAACCAAAGCCGAAGAACATTAGAGAAGTGCGAAAATACCATACAGTATCAGCGCAACGACAAGACAAATCACTCCAGCTCAAACCTCCCTTCCGTTCCCTACTCTTGCCCCTTCGGCGCCCTAAACCCCAACCCAGGAATACTACTCCTCAGCGCCAAGCTACTGCACACCACACTGACAGAGCTCAATGCCATCGCCAAACTGGCCCAAACAGGATCCAGCCTGATGTGTCCTCCACTCCCCGTCCGGAGCGGATAGAGCACGCCGGCAGCGACCGGCATCGCAATGACATTGTAGACAAGCGCCCAGCCAAAGTTGAACCAGACACGGCGAAACACGGTACGCGAGAGGTCGATCAGCGTAAGCAACGAAATCAGGTTCGAGTTCACAAGCACGAAGGAAGCAGAAGAGATGGCAATGTCCGAGCCGGAGCCGATGGCGATGCCTACGTCTGCTGCTGTGAGAGCGGGTGAGTCGTTGATGCCATCGCCCACCATGGCGATGGTTGCTCGCTTGGGCACTCGCCTTCTAAGGCCGAAGAGGGAGCGCCGCTGAGGCTTGGTGAGGGAGCGCTGGAGGTACTTGATCTTTTCTGCTTTCTGGTCTGGCAGGACCCCTGCGATGATGTTGGTGCTTGGTATACCGACCTGAGCGCCGACCGCACGGGCGGTGAGCTCGTTGTCGCCGGAGAGGATCCAGACGTTGATGCCGCGGCGGTGGAGGGCGGAGACTGTGGAAGCGGCTTCTGGGCGGAGAGGATCCGCGATGGCAAATATGAAGGCAAGCTTGAATCGTGGAGAAGACTCCGGAGCCAGATCGGCTGAGATTCCGAAGGCCAGTAGCACAACAGATTTCCCTTGAGTCTTCCATGTGTGCAGATATTCCGCACATGCTTCACTGATGTGGACGTCGTAATCCGCCATCAGGGCCTCGTTGCCCACGATGACATCAACACTCGAGCTCGAGGATGAGTAAACCTTGAAAGTTCCCTTCATTCCCTTGCCGGGCAGTTCTTCAATGTTTGTAGTCTCAGCCTCGGCTACTTCGTGCGACGTGCAGAAAGCAACGATTCCTTTGGCAATAGGGTGCCCGCTGTTTTCTTCTAGCTTCTTCGCCAACCCAAGAACGTCGTACTCAGCTGCCGCGTCGACCACCTTGAAATCCGTGACTGCGGGGTCCCCGCCCTGCGTCAGAGTACCAGTCTTGTCGAACACAACGCAATCGAGCGAGCTGGCTTCCTGGAAAGCCTCACCGCCGCCTTTGACCAAGATGCCGTGACGAGCAGCCAAGCCACCACCAACGAACAGAGCTGTCGGTGCAGCGAGGCCTATGCCGCAAGGACACGCAATAACGAAGACAGCTATGGCGAACCGCAGCGACCAGAGCGGCCATCCACCAGACATCGAATCGCGATAATCTTCTGGTAAAGCTCCGGATACCCCAAGCGACAACCATAGCACCCAAGTCAACATGGCAACGGCAACCACGAAAGGCACAAAATGTGCAGTGATAATGTCCGCCACTCGTTCTACTGGTGCCCTCCTTGTTTGACCTTCACGTACCACTTTGATGATCTGATCGAGCATGGAGGTACCGAAGATGCTGAATATGCGGATTGTGATCGGCCCGCCTTTGTTGACGGTGCCAGAATAGACGGTGTCCCCAGGCGCTTTACTCACTGGACGTGACTCACCGGTCAAGCTTGACTCGTCGAACTTGGACTCTCCTGACAGTACGACACCATCGAAAGGGGGCGAGCTACCATTCGGAACTCGGACAATGTCGTCGATTTCGAGAAGGTCAATAGATATCTTCTGGTCGTCGACTCCATCCGCGGCAACCAATGTCGCCTCAGTAGGTCTGAGGTTTCCCAAAGAGGTCACCGCATCGCCTGTCTTTGCCTTGCTGTATGCTTCTAGGAAGCGACCAATGAGTAGGAACATCGTCAGGAAGACGACGGAGTCGAAGTAGTACGAGCCCTCCATTGCATGGCGATTTCCCGCTGCAGCTATTGCGAGCTCGGTGATCGAGGCAAAGTATGCGATTGATGTTCCGAAAGACATCAGCATGTTCATGCTGCCGAACCGATAAAATCTCTGAGCTAGAGGTGTCGGGCTCCCTCGTCTCCACAAAGCGCGCATCTCCCTTAGAGCTCGACGATGGAAGGTGTCTGCAGCGAAGAAGTAGACCGGAGTGGACAAGATGAAGAGCGCCCATTCGGATCGGGTAATGCCGCTGATCCAGAGAGGCTGTTCCATGAAATGCCGGATCGGGTTGCTTGGCTTGACAAGATCCATCCAGACGATGCCGATGATGAAGGTAGGAATGGCGACTACGACAGACAGCGCAAGGCGAAGAAGAATGCGCCGCCGCTCACGGGTGTGCATTTGGCGGGCCCGCTCTTCCATAGTAGGCGGGTGGTGAACTGATGGCTCCAAGGCAGGATCGGTGGCTGTGATTGCGGCTATGATGTGCCTGATAGTTAAGATGGCTGGTTGTGGGGAGTAACGGAGCTTCAGAATTGGATCCTTGATTGCTGGCGCCTTCTCAACAGTGATACCTTTCTCCGAAAGATGCTTGAGGCTGCTCATGATGCGTTCAGGGCAGTGCTCGCAGTACATTCCGGATATGCGGATTGCTACAGATCTATCCGTCTTCTCTTCGTTGCCTTGTCCAACGTTGATGATTGTATCTAGGTTTGCTTCGTAACCCATATCCTCGATGGTATTCGTGATAGTGTTCAGATTGTGCCTGCCCTTGAAGACGATGGTACCACCATGGGATATCAGGTTAATACCGACGCTTTCAATCCAGCCGTGTTGCTTCAGAGCTTCTGTGATGGCGGTCGAGCAGGCACTACATGTCATACCTCCAATGGCATAAGACGCCCGCCAAACGTCGCGGTTGGTTGCTGAGAGGGGGCTGGTGCTCTGGTCAAGTGCTTTAACCTGGACCAAGGCCGCATCGAATCCAGCTTCCTGGATGGCGTCGACAACCTCTTGAGTGTGTTGCTTCCCGCTGAAGACAATGGTAGCACTGTGGGTGAGCAACGATACGTTGACTGATCGCACCCAAGGCTGCTGCTCCAAAGCCCAGGTGATGCTAGCCACGCAAGCGGCGCATGTCATCCCCGTTATTGACACGTCGGCTTCATATTCAGAGGATTCCGATGCCGTGTCAACGACAACAAAGTTGTCTTCCATGAGACTGGACGGTGGTGAATCGATAGTCGTTTTTACAGCCTCCGGTAACTTCTCCTGGGACGCGAAGCAGCGAACGGAGGAGAGCGCCAGACTGGAATAATCTTGCAAAAGCCGAGTGTCATCTTTCTCTCCGGCACTGGAACGACACAGCCTACACTGCTCGATGTGTTTCTGCCTCTTCTTCATGTCATCGGTTTGAGAGGTCGTGGCACCTCTCCAGCAGTCACGCCAGCGGCGAACAGCTTGCTCGAGGCTATCTTCCCATTCGGTATCGTGATGTCGTGGCTGTTCAGTATCGACCGCCTCGATGTCGTCCGAAGAGTCCACAGACGTGCTGTGTACCTCAAATCCAGCAAAGTTGAAGGCCTCAACGATAGCTGCTACGGGTAATGCGGAATTGTGCCGGACTATAACGGAATGCGAGATTATGGAATGTGACACCAAGTTGGGTCTCGGATCGAGAGCCGACAGGGCGCCTTCGATATTTTGAATGCATGACGGACAGTGGAGGTTCGACACAAACAGAGTCAAGCTCGAGATCGAAGATTCTGAGCTGGAGGGAGAATGATCGATGAGACTCGAAGACATCGTAGACTATCCAGAAGCTTGTCTTGATATGACGAGGGCAAAAGCGCAAATGGCTGTAAAAGCGGACTCACAGTTGTCGCACGAAGCTTGGGAAACCTACATCTTTATGCAATCAAGCAAGGCAGACCGCAGAAAAAGCGCAATGACTCTGATTTGGCTGCAGAACTTTCTAGCCATGCAGTACTCAGTCAAGGTGGTGATGGAAGGGATGCTTGGCAGCCGCACAAAGCGCGCAACTCGCCACTCTGGAGCTGATTGGCTCGCGCAAAGTGCTCAATGACAATTACGGAGCTGCGAACCGTATCGCATCGCCAGCTACAGGAGAAGAAACATCAATGATCATGACGGCGGTCTTGGTCATCAGATGTTCTAAGCTCTCTACTGTCTAGAATCCATGGCTGTTAAATTCATGCCTAAATGGTCTCAAGCTTCCCGCATCCAGATGGACGGTAATGCAGGTAAATCGTCCTCTGTCGGGTGTGATATTGCTCATAAACGCATGATTAGTCTCACATATTGAATTTATCAGCAACACGCCTGTTCTCTTAGGATCATCAAGTGGGCAATGTAATCTTCATACCTCATTGTAGCTTTACTGTTACGAAGTAGAGCCATGAGCCCAAGAATCCGCTGCAACAGATCGCATAAGCACCAGCCGTTCCCCTCTCGTTGAGCGTAGGAACTGTGGTGGTAATGAAGATCTACTCAAACAGTAGACGCCTAAAGCCTTATCCAACGTGATAAATGGTCGGCCTCTGAGTCTGCCCTGGGAAGGAGATCGCCGGCCAGCGATCTCAGGGTCAAATGATGCCGATAAACTTGCAAGTCTTCAGCGCTCATGCTCGCGCCTCATACTGAAGTGCCACGATGGTCGAGCCTTGGAGAGCTTTGCTCCGGCTGCTCTTTGCTTTGGCAGAGCTTGACCAATAGATTGGCGAGCGAATCAGCCGCCGAGCAAACTCACAGCAAGGTGGATCATTCTCCGAGCGATGTTGTATGTATGCCTGGCTGGTCAACATCTTGTAAGTATGATGGTCGACCCTTTTGTTGCCCAATGCCACATCGCCACTCAGAGTTCTCGGCGTCGGATGTGTTCTTCTGACGGCCGGATTCAATCACGCGAAATCTTGGCTTCCTTCATCTCAACCAACTTCGTTCTCTTTCTCCCATCTCAAATGCTGGGCAATAGCCTTCTCGGTCTCAAGTTCCGCTTCCAAAGTAGCGACGCGGAGCTCGAGTTCAGCGATCCTGGCTTCTTTAGCCTTTATCGCAAGCCGGGAAATCTCGCGTCCCTTTGCGATGCCTTGAGTTTTCAGAGAATGCATGGTAAAGAGCCGTTCCAGCGACTGTGTGGTTTCTTGCTTCAATATTGCGTTGCTCTCATTGAGCAGCTTGAACACATCTGTGGCAAGCTGGCCCTCAGAGCTCTCTCGTGCTGGCGTGTCCAGAAACCGAGATGGAGTCGGCGTGGTGTAAGGTGACGAAGTAGCATTGTTTTCAGACCTAGAACCAACGCCATTGGCGATCGCTGGCTCCGACGACGGCGTGAACAATGTCTTTCTTGGGCCCGTGGTTATGGGCGTGGGAAGCCCGCTTGCCTCATCAGTTACCCACGGAAGCTTCCGTTTCCCAGGCGTCGAATACGCATCCACCTTCTGAGTCTTCCGTGGAGTCTCAGGTGGTGGCATGATGCTCGTATCTGAGTGGCCGTCATCCTCGTGTCCGGTAAGTGGCCATGGAAATGCATCGTCGTCCCCGAACTCATCCTCCTCTCTTGACCGCTTCCTGCTGATTGTGCCATTACCTGCTTGCAACGAATACACTGGCGGGGGTGTAATAGGCCTAGTAGCACCTGGCACAGGGTTTGGCGCGGGATGAGGTTCGTCTCTCGAATTGCTTAGGACCGCTGCTACTTCGCGGGGTTTGGCGTCTTCGTTCCATAGGAAGAAGCTGCATCCTTTGCCTTTGCCCTTTTGGCAGGTATAGACTGGTCGCTATTTTAGCGCTTTATACGTGAAGTCAGGGAGATGTACTTACACCAGCGGCCGTTGTTCGGGCCTTCCTTCTTCACCTTGAAGTGTGTTGCCGGTAGAGGAGGGTCGCATTCGCCTGGCCTCTGTTAGCAAAGTCTAGACTGGTCGTATGTGTCCTCATACAATGCCAGCCACCATCTGAGAAGACTCCTCTCGGCTTGGATCGCGATGCGCCGTTGAAGTTCCCGCGAGCTGCGCTTCCTGCTCCCCGTTCGGTGCGGGCGCGAAACATCCCGTGACTTGGCATCGCGGAAGTGATTACGGATATTCTGAGACGCTTTAATGAGAGATGTGATAGAAGAGCATGAGAGAGAGACGCAATGCCTGAAAGACTTCACATGGCGCAGACTGTTCAACAAGGCTTCATGTGAGATGGCTGGGCGAGGCTGATATCAAAGCGGCTGGAACCGAGAAAGAACCGGGCGTCTAAAGTCCGCTCGAACTTGGGTTTCCTTAGAGAAGAATCCGTATCAGAGCTCCTTCACATACGAATCGGTTACCCGAGAATGCGATGCTACGTAGACAGAAGGTTACTCTCGAGTAAAACCGCGTTCAGACTGAGATCTCCCCGCGCAAGCTGGTCCCACTAGCGGCCCACCTTTTGCCGGCCTTGGCAACGCCTTTCCCACGCCATCCGTTCTCCGAATCATCTTTATCACCACTACAAAAATGTTTCAAGAACCACGAGATAGGCCAAACAGCCCTGCTCAAGGTGACACGCGGAGAGGAGGTCACCAAAGGGGTAGAAGCAGAAGCCGAGGAGACTACCGCGGCACCAGAGGCCGCGCGAACTATAACAACCGCGCTTCACCAGCATATCCTCAGAATGTGCCCACGATCCAGCAAGTCGCACCAGGCGCTTTCGTATCCATAGTCCTCAAGATGGACCAGGCCACTGGCCGGGAGGTGCAAGGCACGGTCTCCGAAGTCCTTACGAATGGCAACCATCCGCGGGGCATCAAGGTGCGGTTAAGGGACGGACGTGTGGGGAGGGTGCAGAGGATGGTCCATCAGGAGGAGGCAGCAGCTGGAGAGGCGGGCTTGAGTAATCTGAGCAGAAACGGAGAGCCTGCTTATTCCACAGGAGTGATGGGAGCTAGACCCTCGCGCTTCACGGCACGATATTCTGATGCGCGAGATGAGTGGCATCCTGACGCGCCTGAGAGACACACCCTTAGCTTGGGAGATTACCTCAAGCCGGGCTCAAGAAGGTTGGATGAGGAGGATCAAGGCTATGACAGGCATACAAGTCAGCCGGCTCGCATGGAGGATGCGAATTTAGTCTCAACGACTATATGTCCACTGTGTAACACTTTCGAGGGCGACGAGACTGCTGTGGCGCACCACATCGAGTCGCACTTTGCCGACTAGCGGCCAGACTGAACGACCGGATCTTCCCACCCAGAACACTACGTGAGCTCATGCGTGCCGCATCGCTCTCATGACCAAGCTGGCCCTGTGCCATCTGCCATGCTTCCTACCGCATCTCTTGCGGCAGTGCCAGATGCGATGGACGTCGCTGAATCCTTCTTGCCCCTCTGCCGCAGCCCTAAAACCGGCGTGCAGCTCTTCAACCGTCCAGAATCCCACTCTCCTTCAGACTCCTAAATAGCTCCGGTTCCAAGAACTTGCTGATCGTCACGTCCTCCGCCAGGCCCTTCCTCCTCCTTGTCTTGAGTACAAAATCCCTCGCAGTAGCTTGCGCAGACGCCGGCTCAAGCGGGCGAAGCTTGATGTCTTTGTCCAGCGGATCACCGGGAACGATGGACCACCTGTCGAAAACAAGGGACACGGTTGCTTGGCCCTGAGTATGGATCTGCAGTGCTCCGTCAGCATATAGCTTTGGCACATGTGCAGAAGGAAGCTTACCCTAAGATCTGTCTCAAAACCAAACGAGTCAATGACAGGTATTAACCCCTTAACACTGTACAACGGCGTCCCAGCAATCGGCCCATCCTGCAGCACGTGCCCTCTCCTCCTCGCCAGCACCGTGTACAGCGAGCTCACCGCATCCGCAGGACCAATCATGCTGCACTCGTACACCGGCTCCATGAGCCTCGGGCTCGCCATCAGAAAACTCGAGTACGCGGCCCTCCTCGCTGTTGGGATGATCTGCCCGCCACCCCTTAGTATCGGTTCCGGCGCCAGACTCACATCCATGATGCGGAATTTAGTGTTCCGAATCGGCTCCTCGCACAGCGGACCCTCTCTAGTCGCCCAGCTGAACCCCTGTTTGATGCTGTCCCTGACGGACTTTAGCAGTTTCTGATCTACATCACTCGGCAGCGTGTCGTTCTGCAGAATATTGGGACCCATATCATCCGGTCCGAACGCCCAGATGTTCCTGGAGGCCAGCAAGTCATAGCCGTAGTTCTCCTCGAAGAACTTGCCCACCTTCCGCACCGGATCCTTGATGTTGACCTTGCCGGCCTCGATGTCCTCCGCGATGCCCGGGTCCAGCGGTTCGGCAACCATGGTCAACTTGTTTTTCTTGTTCGGCGTCAGGGCATAGCATTTTATCGCGCTCGTCTCAACCACCGTCTCGCAGAACCTGGTCACGGGGTCGGAGACCTTGATCTCCATTTCGGCGTAGAGACGACGGAGGTCGTGCAGCACGCAGTCCATATAGAGCTCCCCAGTGCCAAGAACAACGTGCTCGCCCGACTCCTCGACCTTCGTCGTCACGAGCGGGTAAGATTTGTTGATCTTGCGCAGCCCGTCCAGCATCTTCGGGAGCTCAGATGGGTTGATTGGCTCGACTGCGACCTTGAAAACGCTCTCGAAGAAGTGCTTGACCGGCCTAAAGATGTACGCGTCTTCGCCATTAGGCAGCTTCGGCGCGACGAGCGTGGCGGTCTTGACAATGGAGTTATCCACACCCGACATCAGGACCCAGTTCCCAGCCGGGACGCCGCTGACAGGGATGTTGTAGCGCGAGTTGCCGATGAAGGTGTTGTCGATGACGGCGGACACCATGTCCTCTTCGTCCTCGAGCGTGTAGCCCTCGCCTAGGACGCGAACGGCGTCGCCGGGCCGCGCGGTGCCGCTCATGACGCGGCCGAGGGCGTGGAAGGCTTTTGCGTCGGTGGTGTTGAAGAGCTTGGTGATGTGGACGATGAGTGGGCCATCTTGATCGCAGGATGACATTGCGGTGGCGGTTGTCGTGTCGAGGGGGCCGGCGTAGTAGCGCTCGAGCAATCGCTGGGCACCAGAGAGAGGCGAGGGGATGTGCTCGACTACCATGTCCACGAAGCCGTGTGCTGGACCGAAGAACTGTCCGCATACTAGCTTCAGGAGGTCTTTCGCATCGATTTTGTACTGTGACGGCTTGAGATGGATGCCCAGCGTAGCCAATGTATCCTTGAGGTCCTCTGGGCTCTCGCTGATTGTGTGCGAGTACAGCTTGTAAATCGGCTCAAGAACGAAGTTGACAAATGATCGCTTCGACCCGTCTTCCATGGCCTTTCGCGTGAATTTGCGACTTCGCGGATTGAAGAAGATGTCGCCCCATAGCCGCAAAGCAAAATCATCAGCATTGACTTTTTCGTAGCTGTCCGCGTACATCTTTGCAAATGATTGTAAGGTGAAACACCACCCCATGCTTGTACAAGCAAACGCGACGTTGCCTTTCTCAGGACTCACACGCCGCCTCTCGCCTCGCCCGGGTATGGTGTTTTCTATCACCGTATTGACCTCCTCGATGACATGTTTGAGCTTGAAGTAGGCGTCTGCTGGCGGAAGCTTAAGTTCCAGTATTAACCGATCCATTTTGTTGACCACCAGAACCAGCGGTAAGTCTTCTAGTATGGCGTGCTTAATGATCTGCTCAGTGTTCACCTGAACACCTTCGACAACATCGACAACAAGAACCACACCGTCAACAAGCCGTAGTGATGAGGCGACCTCGTCGACGAAGTTCACATGTCCGGGTGTGTCTATGATGTTGAACAGATGCGATTTGCCCTTTGTCCCCTGCAAGACCAGGCTCATCGGCGATGCCTTGATCGACAGCCCCCTTTCCCGCTCCAGCACATGCACATCCGTATACCGCAGCTGCTCGTCCCGCTTCCTGCCTGTCTTCTTCTCCAGCCGGTCCTGGATATCATGTGTCTCCAGAACTAGCATATCCATGAACGCTGTCTTGCCATGGTGCAGATGCCCAGCGACCGCCACATTCCGTATCTGCTCGGGCAAGTTCATCAGATCCGTCATGAACTCCCGCTTAAAGAACACCGGCGGCAGGTCGGCCTCCTGGACTGTGAACTTCTTCTGCACCACGGGCGCTATAATGGGTTGCGACAGCGACTGCGTATCCTCCTCTTGCACCAATGTCTCCACATCCGGCCCGTATACTTGTTGCGCTGTGGGATAGTATTGCTTGTCCTCGTGCAGTACTACAGCATTGGAGGGTCCATCGGCGTCCACCTCCATGAGCTGCTGGTCCCGTGCTTCCTCCTCATCCTCGTCTATCGGCTGGTCATCGTAGACGTACGCGTCTGCTGCCTGCACGCCATGGTCCGACTCTTCCTCGGACTCGGCCTCGCCTATGAAGTTTCCGAACTCGTCGTAGAGGTCGTCCATGGTGGGTCCTGTTTCTCGGTAGAGTTTGAGGAGTTGAGATGGCTACGCGACGGGGTTAGAGGTGTAGGAACTGCTACGAAGGCGGAGCGGCGAGCTATTGCAGTCTATCAAACGCGCTTCGAGCCTTGGAGCCTGGAGAAACTTTGTCGCGCCAGGACGGGATGTCCCGGCGCCACAGTGGCGCCCGAAGCGATCAGCGCGAGCCGGCCGTTAGAGGCGGATGCAGGGACAAAGTGTGGCTGCGTAGCTTTTCGACACCGCCCTCTCAACAAACCCGAGCTGATATTTGCATACATAAAACTAACATCGACCGCACTGTCTTCTTTTCCACTCCTCATTGACTGTCCAATACCACACGAGTCGAGAGAAACACCGCTAGAATGCCAGAGCTACCGCCTGTATACATCGTCTCGGCGGCCCGCACGCCTGTGGGCATGTTCCAAGGGTAAGCAGGGAGCCGTACCAGTATTTGGGACAGGGCAGCTTGAGCTCACCAACAACACAGCTCTCTGGCGAGCTTGAGCGCTATACAGCTGGGCTCGCATGTTATCAAAGGTAATGCCCCATCAATCGAGCTTCTCTACCTTCCTTCGAAGCGTTTGAGCTAATTGAACCCTGCAGCTGCCGTTGAACGCGCCGGCGTTAAGCCCGAAGACGTCGAAGAAGTCTTCTTTGGCAACGTCCTTTCGGCCAAGTATGCCTCGATATACACCCCCATATCACAGCAACACCTCTCCTAACTCTTTCCCAGTCTTGGCCAGAACCCCGCCCGCCAGTGCGCCCTCGGCGCCGGCCTCGGAGAATCCACAGTCGCAACCACCGTAAACAAGGTCTGCGCCTCCTCAATCAAGGCCATCATCCTAGGCGCCCAAACCATCATTACAGGCAATGCCTCCATCGTGGTGGCAGGCGGGACCGAGTCTATGTCAAATGCGCCGCACTACCTGCCCAACATGCGGACGGGCGCCAAGTTCGGCAATCAAACACTCGTGGACGGCGTGCTCAAGGACGGGCTGACGGACGTGTACAAGAACGAACACATGGGGCTGCAAGGCGAGGAGTGTGCTAGGGATCATGGGTTCAATCGGGAGCAGCAGGACGACTACTGTATTAGGAGCTACAAGAAGGCGCAATGGGCGCAGCAGAGTGGGTGGTTTGGGGAGGAGATCGCGAAAGTCACGATTCCCGGGGCTAGGGGGAAGCCGGATACTGTTGTTGAGCACGATGACGAGCCGAAGAACGTACGTTTGCGTGCCTTCCTGGCTCATCTTTCTTCGGTCTAGAGGAGAGCAGCGGACTAACACCTCCCACAGTTCAATGAATCCAAAACCCGCAGCCTCCGCCCCGCCTTCCAGCCGAAAGACGGCACCGTCACCGCCGCAAACGCCTCCCCGCTCTCCGACGGCGCCGCAGCCCTTGTACTGGTGTCAGAGGAGAAGCTCAAGGAACTCGGTCTCAAACCTCTAGCCAAAATCCGCGGCTGGGGCGACGCAGCTCAGAACCCCTCGAAATTCACCACCGCGCCCGCGCTCGCGATCCCCAAGGCACTGAAGCACGCAGGCGTGAAGCAGGAAGAGGTCGATGCGTTTGAGATCAATGAAGCCTTTAGCGTTGTCGCGCTGGCCAATATGAAGCTACTGGGATTGGAGGAGGAGAAGGTTAATTTGCATGGTGGAGCTGTTGCGCTGGGACATCCGCTCGGAGGCAGTGGGGCTAGGATTGTGACGACGTTGCTGGGCGTGCTGAGGGAGAAGAAGGGGAAGATCGGATGTGCGGGGATTTGTAACGGGGGTGGAGGGGCGAGCGCGCTGGTTGTGGAGATGGTGCGGTAGGATGTTAATGGTGCAACTGGAGACGGTTAGGAGAGCGGGTTAATCTGGTGCTGTAAGTCCTGTATAGTGCGTTTCAATGCATGAAGCGTTGCAGTCATCCACGTACAAAAGTCACATGTTAATTGATTTTCTGGAATACAATGAATTTCTCATGCGCTCACCGCCATTCCACGTCCCCACATTTCGTCTTGCGTCGCACGGTTACATGAAACGCGGCGACTGGGTGTCCGCAATCGCGGTATCCTAACCGCTGCTTACACGTCTACGGTCGCGATCGGAAACATGACACGACTCGGACGTCCGCGCGGGCATGACGGAAGACAGTGAGAGCGTGACTGAGGTGAGATTTTTTCGACTCGATCATGCCCTCGGTGTTCACTGCAGCCAAAGTGTAGCTCGTGAGTATGCGTTGGCAGTCCTCACTCACCGTCATGTCTTCGTCAGGACGCATTGGAATTGCCATATTGGTTTGCAACCCTGAGCAGGGGCAGATATTGGCAACGGTCTCGCGCTCGTCCGCTGTCAGATCACGCCTGCAGCAGGTATGGATGAGAACACCGGGTTCTGGGGTTGGTAATGGCCATGTGTTCGTCCGCAGCTAAGCTTATCTCGCGCAGTAGATGGGCCGCTCTCCCTGCAGACGAAGGAGCCCAAGCTTAGTAAACATCTCTTTGTCTCCAGTAATACGCCGTCTCAGAAGAAGCCCTATCAAAACGAAGGTCCCATCCTGGATAGGTAAAGCGAAAACTTCGTCTCGTGATGGGTCTACCGCCTCGTCCAAGCCGAACGTGCCTTCGTAGACAAATTGTATGTCTTCGTTTTCAGCCGTAACACGATCAGTCGGAAATGTTCCGCGTCCAGTGTTAGAGAAATTGAGACGTGTGCCAGGGCCGTCCCGGGCGTGAACATATGTAGCTGCTAAAAGCCGGCCTCGCAGACGGATCCAACCGTCACTCACTTGGCCAGTCTCGTCGGCGCCAGTGGTAGTGACGGCTGCGTCCTCGATAGTGGCTAATAGCTTCCCGACCTGCGCCCGCAAAAGCCTGCAAATCCAGCCAGGCAGCCTTCCCCCTCCACCCGCGTGACGCCGAGCTCGAGATCATAGAGATCGAGCCCAAGCCCGCCTTCCTGCACAACATCCTCCCGCGCCTGCAGTGGTCCGCCCTCGTTACGCTGTGCGCGGGGCTAAGGGTTGCGGAGTTGCCGGGGGAGGCGCCGGAGGTTGGTGTGCTGGATGAGGAAGAAGATGGGAAGATGAAGGCGGAACTGCATAGGCTGTTGCTGGAGACGACGGTGAAGGAGGGGGCGCTGATATGTGGGAATTGTGGGCATGAGTATAGGATTAAGGAGGGGATTGCGAATTTCTTACTGCCGAGTCATTTGGTGTGAAGAGGTGGGCAGTTTACGTGAATAAGATCTCTCTGCAAGGCACTTCTGGAAATCTTCCAGAGGCGGTAGATGGGGTGAGCCAGCATGCACCGCGGCGACGCGGATCATGAGCCATGAAAAACGCATAGGCAGTCATATTGATCTGCTTTGCTAGCGACGCAATTGTTGCTTCGAGGAAAGTCACGTTTACGAGGGTGAAGATGGCGGGGGCAACCGCAACGAGCCGTGCCGGAAACTCAGACAATCGGCACGGAAGGTGCGTTGCTTGGTGGGCAGCTGAAACTAGATGAACGTTTACCAAGCGGTAGAAGGGAGACAGGGTGTTCTAAAGCGTGGGGGAAACTGATGGGTAAGCGACCTACCACAGAGGTTTAAGCGCTTGGCTACTTGAACCTGATCTGTTATAAGTGCAAGAAGCCTGTTTGCGCCTCCTGCAAGCGCTTCGAGTTCTTGGACATAAAGGATCCGGGCCGCCGCGGACATGGCGAAATTGCTGATACGGAGCTTGTCCCGTACTTCCGTATGACGGTTGCATACTGGCGGCTGATTAAGTCACAGGTATAGAGGTTCTGCGTAATGCGCTGGTCTCTACAAGAGCCCCTCCAATGCTAGAGTGGAACGTTGAAGCATGAACAAAAGCAATGAGGAGCTGTGTGAAGTCCTAATCAGAAATATATGGGACCATCTCGACACGCAATTGAAACATGAATACAGAGACAACAGCCAGGAAAGGGCTTGGTAGAGAGCTACCCCCTCGAGGGAGGCTGAAGGAGCTGAAAGGCAGCCAAGTCATGGAGCTAGGATGCACGACCTCCCCGCTAGACTCCGTATATGCCTAGCCTTGGCGCATATCTACGAGTCTGGAAATAGGTACACGAGCCACTCGCGATTGCCTTCTTTGGGGGGTTGTTTGCGAGGCGTCTTGGATGTTGTGGCCTCTGGGATGGTTACCACAAGGGTACGAGGCTGGAGGTCAAGCCCGCATCCTCACGCGAGAAGTGCTCAGCAGTGTCTTAGGGTCTGATATATTACACGACCCCCCTGCACTCCAACGCTACATTGTCGATCTCAAGACGGATACCCGACCTTGTAGAAGCAACATCTTCTTGAAAGTGAGTGGCTATTCAACTTTGAGTGTTCTCAATGCATCATGAATTGTTGGAACCGCATGAAACCACAGGAGCTGAACCAAAGCACAGCTTATACAATTCAGAGGCTATATATCTCAAGAATAACATCACTATACTGCTGCTCCAAGAAGATAGATCATGCCCCACTGTTCCTCCTTTTCGCAGTCCACTCCATGAAGTATCCAACGTCCTTCACAATCGCACCTGGCACACCCAACTTCTGCAACCACATCGGCAGCCAGCCCTTAGCGTCGCTCGCAGTCGCCATAATCCACGATATATTACCGTCCTCTGTAGTCGCCCTTTCAATGCTCACATACTGTCCCAGCACTACCCTCTTCCGCTGTACTGCCGAGTCACCGTCACGGCGATTTCTAGCATTGCTATAGAGCACGCCGTTGGATGGGTTTTGGGGCAGCTGGGTGAGATCGACCGGCAATTGTACTACTACGAATGAGGATTTCGAGGTCCGGGCGTGGACAGCCAAGACGGGAAAGACGCGGTTGTACAGCGGAAAGGGCATGTGGTGATGCATCTCGTATACTACGTATATATCAGCATCATATTCACTTCTTGGAATGCTGTGTCATGAACATCTACACGAGGCTGGAAGTGACCTACTGCTCATGCTAGCCTCCTCATACCCATTTTCCTTCAGCCAGTTACGGCCACTATCAGCGAGCTCTTGCTCCCAGTCTACAACCTTGTGAGCGTCAAGGACATTCGGCGTATACTCCATCTCATGGTTCATGTGATCAGCCCTCAGCCCGCTATCGAACTCAGCCCAGTCTGCGGTCCCTTTCTCGCGACGGTTGGCATGAGTGCTACGACGCGCGAACCATGCTTCTTTTTTAACACTGCGTCTGCTGCTGGACAGCTCGGAAGGCTTGATTGTGCGCGATAGCTGATAAACCGTGGCTGTCGCAGGTGGTGAGGTTTTTTCGCCCCATGCGCTGAAGGTCCCGAGGAGAGTATTATCGTCGACGAATGCAATGGCTTGGTCAAGGACTGCTTTTATGAAGGTGGTGAGATCAGGAGCGTCACTGGAGCGCTGTGCGTCACGGAAGGCGGGATGGTATGGAAACTCGCTGATGCTCAAGGGGTACAGTCGAACGAGGTTGTCCACTGGCGTGCGCGGCATGATGGACAGAAGTAGGATTACCAAAACGAAGTCCAGATGATAGCATAACTTCGACAAAACCTGAACGGCGAGCCGTCTACGAGCGCTCTGAGGGGCGAGTGTCTCGAAGTAAATACATCGTGGTCATTCCCCGACGAATGTTCTAGCATCCTCCATCCAAGAAGCGCAGTCCACATGATGCCGAGTGTAAGATTGAGACATGTGGGCAGGATGTTGTTGATGGCGCGGTAATCGTGAGATCCATCATGGATGATGCCCCCGCATGACTAAGCACCAAGACAGTACTCCACCTGAGCAGGCACGTCATCGCCAAAAATACCCCGACTCCAACCATGAACATCACCCTTCGACACGAGTTGGAAGTTTTTCTGAATTAATGCCAGCTCATATATGTATTTAATTAGTATTAGAAACACACTTTAGGATCTACACTCTGCTAAGCAGACTATTCTTCATTATGTTTACCCTGTGGTAACGGGTTGATTTTTCATGCTCATAAGCCTGGAGTCGGCGTTATTTTGGCCACGACGTGGCAGGCTGGGCGACGTGACAGCTGTGTCCGCTGCGAGATCCTTGACTCACCGAACTCGGTTCAACGTCGGCCAGAGTGAGGAATATTACACGGATGCCGGGGTAGACGCATGTATGAACGACTGGGAGCGTTCATTCGGACTACTTCTATCCACTACGCTGCACGTAGATCTTCTGAACCCAGAGCTGCTAGGTACTGTAGCCAGGTGAAAGGGAAACGGGAAAAGAACGAGCTTGGCACGGAGCTTGTTCCATGAATTGACACTTCCTGCAGGAGCATCAGCTCTGGACATGGAAGCGAAGCATTCTGATATTGCATTATTGTGACTTCGCCGCTATCAATTGAGCACCAAGGGGCCAAGCTGACACGAAGGAAACAACCCATCCATAATCGACACTCTGCCTTCGCTATTAATCACGACATTCAGACCATGGTCGACGAACGAGCCACTAGCTGCCCTCGCTCAGTGCACTTTATTGAGTACGGACTCTAAGAAGGCCTCTCGTTGTACCGTATCGCTGACTTTCCGTCCAGGAAGATACTCGTACCTCCAAAATGGCAGAGCAAGCCCCCGAATGGCCTCGCCTCTTCCTGCTCTCACTTATAAACAAAGAGTAGTTCGACAAGATGTACGCGCGTCTTATAAACTCCCTAGCGGTTCTAGCTACCCTACAACGAGCGTCTGACTAGAGGCAGCAATCCGCTACTTAGCAAGAGTAAAACTTAGTATCAAGATGAAATTTATTGGGATAGAATACATATGAACTCGTCTACAGTCGGTGGAATAAGTAGAGTAGATACATTACTAATAGCTTAAAGAAGTAAAGGAAGTAGCTAAGCTAAAGGTAGTAAGCTTAGCTAAAACATATTTAGAATACTAGACAATACAAGAGCCTCTTTTGGCTCTCTAAAATATAGATGAGTTAGAGTGAGGAATTACCTATACTTACCTACACTTATCTTAGCTCGCGCGAGTATAGAGCGGCGATGCTTACTCTCTAGAACAGGAAAGAAACCCCTATAAACGGCTGCAGGTAGACTATCGGTAGGTAGGATTAATGACAAGATGATAGACTCGAGAAAATTGAATGAAATCCGCACTACTGCACTTCGTGGGGAAAAAAGGAGCCGAATCCTATCACATGCGAGTCTTGGAAAAGAAGCGAAGTACCGCCTGAAGCTACCGTGCGGCAATCTCTCTAGAAGTTACGGAGTACAGTGGCAGACATGCAGAGCTAGCTTACTCTCAAGAGAAGGAACACTAGCCTTACGATTTGCAAAGTTGAGGCTGAGACGGGCAGGCCGAGCTGACGCCATACTAAGCCCTAGCAGGTGATCCGCTTGACACAATCGCTTTGTCGTGGAAATTGACAGTCTGCCATCAGGAGGACATCCGGAGCCGCACCAGCCTTATTCGTGCCAGCGCCGGATGTGGCTGCCGAGAGCAGCCTGGGTGGGCCCAAACGTTTATCGTGCGCGATCTTGGCGTTTGCGACTCCGATCCAGGCATTGGCTAGCGATTCAATAAAATGAGATATTAAGACGCCGTTTCAGTGGTACCCACTAGCTGTGCGAAGTGGACCTTCCGTTTCAGGGCCGTTCTGTCGAGGCTCGTTGCACAGGCAGGGTTGGCCGCGCTGCGCATGATGGAGTCATTCTGCTGCGCGCCTCCAACGGCTTCATCTCACGGTGATACCGACTGCGGTCGCGTGTCGCTCTCCATCATCGCGCATAGGGTTGCATAGGGTTGCACATCCCCCGCTCTCTGTACTACGGAGCTGCCTCGTCGAGAAAGAATGACAGCTCACGCGGACAGCGATGGACAGCGATGAACAGCGTGGCTGTGGCATCTGAGCTGATTGACAGCGGACCGACGGCCGGCGGCAGATGGGCAACCCAGCAGCCAGGACATGAGTCTCCAGCGCTATCGAAGGCCCGCGCCGGAGATTCGGACGGGAAATGGCAAGGCGTGGTGGTTATGAGATGGATAGGAGGCGTTTCAGGGCGATGATTGGAAGCGTTTGTCCAGACGTTGCCGCGCGCTGGGCTCGCGCTGAAACTTTCCACCGACGTGCCCCCGCCAGACATCCAACCTCAAACGCTCTTCTCACCCTCGAGCAGCGTGAAACCAGAACGCTCACCTAGCCTATTCCTGTGATTGTTCTTACCCGTGGCGCTGCTGGCCAACGGACAGTCTACGGATGTGGTGCTCGCCGCGACAACATGGCGTTTGAAACGCTCGACTGCCCCGATATCTGGGCTTGAGACAGCAATGCCGCGCAAGTCTGGCGTTTCCATCACCGCCCGTTCGAAGGAAGCGGCTGCTACACACTGCTCAGTGGCGGTCAAGCTGATGCCTGTTGTGATAGTGGCTCTACCGTTGAGGTACCTTGCAGGCCATTGCACCACTGATGACCACTAAACCCTCCACGTACGCTGGGCCGCTGACTGGGCCAGACGGTTAGATGATCAAAACGAGCCGTAGCTAACCCCGTAGGCTGACGACATTCTGTAAACTGAAGTGAGGGAGAAACAGTCGTCGTCGAATAGTGAGCCGAGGCCATGTTTAGGCCGCTGCTGCCCCGTTCACTAGCCACAATGGCATTGACAGGATTCACGAGGCACCCCTTCGCCGCCCAGTTCATTTACCCTTTTCTTTATTCACTTATATAGAGAGGTCATTGTTCCACACCTCATGACCTCCATTGTCACACGGCCATAGTTCGAGCCTTCCGTTCCACCTGCCTCTTTGTTCCTCTTTCTTGCTACATATCTGCAGCGCAGAGTAGCATAGCCATTCATTCAACCACTATGTCTTTCTCTACACTCATTTTCGGCCTCTTGGCCCTTGCCAACTTCAGCATAGCGGGCTATGTTCTTCAAGACAACTACACTCCCAACAACTTCTTTAGCATGTTCGACTTCTTCACTGCACCCGATCCCACTCACGGCTTCGTCAAATATGTCGACCAAGCCACTGCTCAGCGTAGCGGCTTGATCAAGACCGCCGCCGGCTCCGTGTACATGGGCGTCGACTCTACCAATGTCACCCCAGGCGGTCGCCCAAGTGTCCGCATCACCAGCAAGAAATTCTACAACACTGGTCTGATCGTCCTGGATCTCGCCCATATGCCTGCCAGCATCTGCGGTACGTGGCCAGCGTTCTGGACGGTGGGTCCGAACTGGCCCAACAGCGGCGAGATCGATATCATCGAAGGCGTCAACGAGCAGCAATCGAACTCCATGGCGCTGCACACCGGCCCGGGCTGTGGTATCTCCAACAACGGCGCTTTTACTGGATCTATCGTCTATCCAAGCTGCGATGTCAGGGCTAGCAACCAGCCTGCAAATTCCGGATGCTCTATCCACTCCAGCAACACCCAGACCTACGGCAATGGCTTCAACGCGGTTGGCGGCGGCGTCTACATCACCGAGTGGACCAACAAGTACATCAGCATCTTCCACTTCCCTCGCAACCGCATTCCTGCGGACATCACCCAGGGCCGTCCGAATCCTGCCGGCTGGGGCAAGCCACTCGCTCAGTTCCAGGGCGGCTGCAACTTCGAGGCCAGCTTCAAGAACCAACAGATCGTCTTCGACACCACCTTCTGCGGTGACTGGGCCGGTAACGTCTGGGCTGGCAGCTCGTGCGCCTCAAAGGCTCCCACTTGCAACGCCTTCGTCCAGAACAACCCTTCTGCATTCAGAGATTCCTTCTGGACCGTGAACTCCCTTAAGGTCTACTCCAACACTGGTGTCTTTGAGGCCCCGGACAACACTACTGTCCCCGAGGAATCGTCTGCAGTCTCCACTTACCCTGCTGTCTCGACGACCTTCGCTACTCAGACCTCAGCACCCGTAAGCGCATCATCTTCCCTTTCCTTTCACTTCTGGCCACGCCCTGGCGGCAATGCCACAAAAACAGCACCCTATCCTGTTCCCAACAACACCGCAGCCCCCATCGGCACCGACTCACCCCTCCCTCGCGTGACTCTCACAACAAGCATCTACATAACTGTCCCCGGCAACCTTTCTCTTGCTACTCTCAATCCTGTCACTTCAACCACAACCGCTTACACAACAGTATGGTAGGCCGAGAAGACTACCACTGCCGAAAAGAGTTCTACCTTCGAGACAAGCCTTCCTGCTGAGTCAACCTCTGCTGCTGAGCCAACCTCCTCCGCCGAGTCCAGCGCTCCTGCCAAGACTAGCGTCCCGGCCGAGCCTACCGCTGTCGCTCCCGTAAGTAACCGCAGCGCTATGAGGACCTTCACAACCGCTTACACAACCGTCCTGTAGTCTGTAACCAGCGCTCCCGCTTCCACTGCCGAGCCTACGTCCCCAAACCCGACGGCCACCACCAGCGCGCCCTGGGGCTACTACCCAGGTCGCCGCAACCGGAGGCCGAATAGGAGACACTTGATGGAGCACAAACGCGCGCATGGCGCCGGTGTTCTAGCCTAGATAGATGCCTGCCCGCAATAGCGGAGCCTGATACACGAGACGAGACGTTGGCAGGGGCCATTCTTCAACTTATTCTTCTTGTTGATACCTTGGATACATGGTGATTTCGAATCTTGGGGGTTGGAGGTCTACATTGGGCGGCTTGCATGTGGGGTTTGATGCCGGTGGCTTTATGGTACATAGCGCTTCACGAATATCAAAGAGATCTTGGGCGGAATACTTGGTCATTCAAAGTGATGTGTTGATGTGTGCGGTTGCAATGTCCCAAGTCGCCATATCCCTATACCGCCAGACTGATTGGAAAAGCAGGAAAGTGATCCCAAATTCACCATGCACTCGCAGCAGCACTCCCTCCCCTGCCTAAATCAATGTGAGTAAACTCTCGTGAGTCATCCTCGTACAAGTCGCCAGCGCTCGACCGGAAACCGCAACGACATCAGCGACAGCGGCATCGTCTCCGTCAACCTCAGCGACTCATCAAGCCCAAAACCCCCACGATCGAATTCAAGGAGGCGGATCCGACGGCAACGAAGCAGTCATCTGCCATCATCAACGCTTTCACCCACGAGAGCGAATGTTTGAAACTCTGTCCGACCCGCTGTTCGCTTCCTCCCCGGCAGCAGCGGCGAATAGCTCGACGAGGGTCGTCACGATGACGTCCTGACAGGTTGCGCGACCGAGTCGGGCCGGGACAGAAGGGTAGCTGCAGAAACCGAGCTGACGGGCCGGGAGCAGCTCTAGAGTTGGGGACAAGGAAGCAGAAGGCAGAGGACGGGGAGGAGGATGGAAGTCAAGTGGGAGATTAGTCTTGATGAACTGGCGAGGGTCGAGCTGTGATGCAGTGAGGGATGTTCTGCGCGCAGACTTTTCTCTCCTCGTTATCTGGAATGTGGACGTTGGACACTGGGCTGCTTCGCAGTATTAAGTCCCCGGTTCGAGGACATTGGGCGCCGGGAATGGAGATCTCACTGGACGGGCTGCTGGACGTGCAGTGTCTCCAGTTGCGGGATTGCGAAAGGACTCAACAGCGAGATGGTAGAGTAGGGGTGTTTAAAACAGCGAAGACGATGCTGGGAACAGGTGTGAAAGGGGACAGGATCACTATAATAGAACTTGCGTTCACTAGAGATGCGCCGCTGACCGCGCCATCTCTTTTTCCATGTTGATTGGTACTCCAAGAAAATGCAAGAATGCCTCCACTATGAGACAGGACAAGGCAGGATGGAAACGCGCAAATGGAGAGAGGCAGCAGCCCAGCATGCGAGCAGTGATTCGATGACAACAATCGGGAGAAAGTGGTCTTCACCTCCCATGCGTCTATGTAGATAAGAGTCATGCCCGCACTTATGAGTCAGGTGGGTCGACGACAATGCTAGATACGGATTACTCAATGATTTGCACTACTTTGCTCTTTCTACCACGACAGGCCTCGTAACGTCGTGAGAAGAGCCCTAGTGTTCGCATGTTCCTTGGGCGCTTCTAGGTATGCTGAAAAGGCAGTAATCTCCCTTTATTCGCACCGGTTTGAGTTCGATCGAACCAAATGATGTTGTTGCTGATCGGGGTTGAGACGGGAGTTGAGACGGGCTCCGCGAGCGTAAACGGTTGCGAGGTGATCGCAGGATGGAAGAGACTCTCCATGATGATGCTGTCTCTTAGAGCGAGGGCCTGACTGTTCTAAAAAACTCTTGTTATATGGGGACTATGCCTCATAGCTGCATTCTGCCGGCTCAATCGTGGTGGACGATAACAACTGAAATGTCAAAACACGAAGTCCAAAAGCCTCCTCCTCTCAGGTGCGAAGATGCGAAGGTAGCCCTGCAAAGACGCGAAGGAAGATGTGAAAATGCGAAAGCCGTGCATTGTTAAATGTGGCTTGCAGTGTGTGACCTTTACTAGACGGTAGAGCATCAGCGGTCGCCGTGTTTCACAGTCCCCTCATGTATATAAACCTATATGCTTCTTTTACAATGTACGGAAACGTTATCCTTCAGAGCTCAAGGCAACGGATGCTCACCGAGACCGTCGCATTCTAAGTCAGTCTCGTCTTACCGAGTACCTTTTCGCACCCACATTTGGACGTCCATGTCCGATTATCGGCCACAGGAACAATACTTGATATCGGAGAATGGCTTCAACACCCAATGTCCGATGCTGAAGTGCTCCGGATGCTGAGTTGACAAGGCCCGCGTACGTACATACTTGAGCAAGGATTGGCCATGGTGACTTATGACTTTCATGGTGCGAGACCGAACATCGCCCCTGGCCGGGACCGGCATGTGACCGATGCATCCAGTACAACCACAAATGTGGTCCCAGTGTGGCTCTTCCCTTCTGAGGTGGAAAAGTCATGGCCCAGGGTGAACCGGGTAACCGTAAATTCCGGTCAACGTATGTCCAATTGCGAACAGCGCCCTTGGATTCTAGGCTGCAGCCTCGACACATCATGAGGTGTCTTCAGCTACTTGCAGAAATCGTCTGGGATATTCATATCGGCTATGTTGATCACAAGCCCGACCAGAACGATCTACATGCAAGCTTCAGGTCGTTCGAGTCCATGACGCTGGGTTATGTACGCGGCGAATATAGTCCTGGAAACTTGATACTCCATCGTATTTGAGAGCGTCGGAACTATCTTTCCGTTGTGGGACGATTCGAAGAGATCTTGCAAGCCAAGCAACTGGACAATGTATACTCTTGCTCACGCCGAGACTCTCGCCGCCGCGTGACACGTGCAGGAAATTGTCCGGAAACAAGCTGAACAGTCGTCCGAGATGAGTTCACTAGCGGACGTGATACAAGCTGTTACTCATATCCAACGGTGAGGCTCCCGTTGGGCGGACCTGGTAAATGCAGTTAATCGATCGAGATTCTGTTTATAGATCAAGACGAGGACACAGGTGTCGGAGATGTCCTTGAAAACGGTGACGATGGAAAATTTGAGAGAATGAAGGCTCATCTTTTGACGTGCGACCGCAATGTGAAAGATATCTGTTTACGGCTTTCGGGTATCACGGGAATGATCATAAGTTTGGCGGAATCAAACAAGGACGCGGAGATCAGAAGGTATATTTCAAAAGGGATCGATCGTCGCATCAGGAACGTATTCGGCATGTGGATTGATCTGGGAGGTGAGAACAACCTGGGATTAGCGAAAATCTTCATCAGCCGCCCTCAAAGCGATACTGTCGATATATTCGCTATTAGGATAGAGTTTACGCGCGCTCCGCCTAAACAGAAAGGAAAGAGTGCAGAGGAACTGTTGGATTCGGAGGCATGGAGGCATATAGACGCACAGCAGCATCCAAGCAACGAAGAAGCTTTTCAGAAAAAGCATAAGTAGATGCGGCCTGAGAATATTGCAAACATTCATCGTCAAAAGGAGTCCGGGAATGAACGAAGACGACCCGAATACTTGAACTCAAAACGTTGACTGAGAGACCTAAAAGAGAAAGCTAGCGTTTATGGGCGCAAGTAAGCTCAACTGGCGTTTCTCCTGACCCCATTACAGCTTGGTATTAGGAAACAGCCCATGAGCTGCCAAGCAAATGTTGCGCGTTTCCACGAAGTTGGAATACGGGGGCGAAGGGGTCGAGATTTCAGGAGAGGATAGAGTCGCGAGCATCCTTCAGTGAGGAAAGACTTTTGCTGCGCACAGGCACCAATCACATGTTTCTCTTCAAGCACAAACTCTGCCAAAAGTCTTCCTGCAGACAGACAATACGCTAAAGGGCTCACCTTCCACAGATCGCCCACGTAAAGTCGCGCAATATATTAAATGACCGATTAGGAAAACGTCTCGAACGCAGATCATGAGCGCAAGGGGATGCTTAAAGCAGCGCTTGGCATGTGAAAGGGCAAGTGCATACATCGTATTCGATGTTAAAGCATCGTTATGGGCCCGTGCAGTCCGCCAACGTCTTTTTGAAACCAACGAGCTGAGCAAGGACCTTCAACCCTTGCAGCTTGAAACTGGATCACAGAATGAACTAACGCAGGAGACACATGTTAACACACGGTGTAGGGCCTTGCCAATTTCTCGAAGTTGGTGCGCGCGGAGCCCAGTGCGATGCCATGGTCTTGCTTTACTTCATCGATAGAATGATCATGAGTCACTTTCTCGAGCTTTCTTCTGGCATGTAGTAGCCTTAGAACGAGGGTGCAATGCAACGACAGTACTTCTTGACAGGGTAAAGAGCCCTGCGCAGCGCTCTCTCCGCTTTACAATATCTCCTTGTGGTAGCCTTCGAGCTAAGAGTGTGCCATCCATGAAGCTAGTGGGAAAGCCTGTGGAGCCGCGCCACACTAAGCAACGTCTACAAGGGTGTATGCACAAGGCGTTGGTGTGCCTGAGCTCTGGCGTCTAGCGCGCAAGGCATGAGTTGCAGTTTGCACGTGTGATCTCGTTGATGGACGACATCGACGATCTTCGAACTCGATTTGCCAGTCTCTTGCTACGTCCAGCATCGCGCTCTACTTCTTTCGGTAAATCCTTCCTTCGCGCTTGGAATCTCGAATTCTGACAATAATCACATGACGTGAATTCATCTCGTCGTGTCCTCTGTGGCGTCTCGTCGTGCAGGGAACAGCTTTGGAAGCTTCCGCATATGACTTAGATCATTCGCAAGTCGAGAGCATCTTCTTCAACACGCCCATTAACGTCCCGTTCTCCAGCGCGGCAGCCACACGCTCCTTGTCTCCAAGCTGCTTATTGACGGCCTCGTCCGTGCTATGCGTGCCTTGCTTGATCCGCACATCAACGCGGAAGCGGGGAGGTAGCGATTGTTCGAGTCGCACGCGCACGCCAAGCCCAATCACTGTAGCGAGCGAGCAGTGGGTGATTGTGGGCGTAATCTCGACAAGAACGGTACTGATAGGCGATCGCGGCGAGCTTGGGGGTTGGATGTGGATATCTGGGAGGCTCACAACGGCCAAGGAACCAAGTGATAATGGGTGCTCTGGGTCCGAGATTGTGGATATGAGATCTGAGACGACTGTTAGCGGCGTCTCCCAACACATCTGGTGCCGGCTCCGAATATTGGTGTGTATACCGTAGATTTCTTGCTCATCTATCTCCTCGACCGAGTCATCATCGGTATCGGAGGACGACGCTTGTTGAGCAAAAGGGTCGTTCAGGTACGTGTATGCGGGCACCAGACTGTCAAAGAGGCCCGTGCCGCCGTCATCACGCTTCTTGACTCCGGAATCACTCCGCCGTGATGGGAGATCAGACTGGTTCAAAATCGTGGGGTTTGCGTTATCCTTGTTGGCCTCCATAGTGTTGCGGGTGTAGCGGGTGTAGCGGGTGTAGCGGGCAGACAGCTTAGTGTATTGTTGCTATCTATCCCTAGATCCGTGTGTTGAGGTGGAGGCGAGTGCGTAGTGGCTCTGGCGAGGTCGCACGATGATGGAATTCAATAGCGTAGGGCTGAGGCAACCTCGGACTGAGGTGCAAGGGTGCATCGGAAGCGCCACGGCTCCGATCCGATGTCACGAGTTCCCTGGCTTCGGGTCGCGCTAACGGTCTTGGCATGAAGTCTCTCAGGACGGGAGCTTCCCCCTTCCCCTTTCCCCTGACGATGCAGCCGTTGCTGAAACGGCGACGTCTCTTGAGCTCTGGTCAAGTAACGCTCGTGGCTCACCTTGTCAAGTCTCGCCCGCCTCGCACCGTCCTCACAAGGATGCGCTATCTGTCATGTCATGCAGCGCAAGCGCCAGGCACTACCACAGCTTCCTCTCCAATGGCAAAGCGTCTCAAGGTTCACCCAGGAAAAGCGCTCTGGTGGCTTGCCATATGTTGCAAAAGAACTTCTAGAAGGACCGTGCCGCACCGTTAGCTTGTGAGCTGCATGCAGGTGCGTAGAAGACCTTGGCGTCAGCGACGTTGAAAGACGGCAGCGAGGCAAGAGCGCTTGACCCTGTGAGCGACGCGGGAAGCTTTTCGCGCTCTCATCTACCGACCGCATGGCGCGCTTTTATAGATTCAGCGCGCAGCTACCAAGTCCAGGTTGCTGAGGTTTCATTAACACACGATGACAAGAAATCGTTCGCAAGGTGGGAGAGCATACGCAGGCTGCGAAGGGTGATCAATAAAGTAGACACACGGTGGGGCTCAAAGGATACTGCCCGTTCGATGCTAGGAATGAACTTCCGCGCTTCGAGGCATGCGACCACTCAGCCATCTCAAAAATGGAGGGTGGTTAGAGAGCATGCGTGGGATGCCTTTCGCTATAGTCAGGCATCAGGGCGTTAAATCTTGCCTTTTACGCTGCCCTTGTCCGCGCCAGGAACGTCTTGACGCCATTCTTCAGAGTCCACTGGACTTCCCCAGAGCCAGGCGGTCGCTAACTGGATGCTGGAAGATTGCAGAAGGCATTTTTCGTAGTTGATAGACAACCACCCGTGTGAGTGCACGGGGGCGGATAAGCCGAGATCTGCAAGAAACCCATACCCACTCATCACTCGCAGCGTTAGAGGAGGAGCTTGGTCCAGCGAACAGTGAACGAAGGGTTCCCTGGTAATGACATGCGTGATTCTGGCAACCATCTTCCATGGCTGGTCGAGAATGGCTGGGGTTAAGACTTCAGCTGAACAGCTTCGGAGAGTCCGTAAGCCCAATAGACACTACAGCCATGCTCTGCTCTCCAGATGATTTACGGGATTAGTAATTGCAGCGTCCTCCAAGCCCGCCGTCCAAGGTTGTGGTGCGTGTGCCGATCCAGTTAGCAGGTTGACATCCCACGTTTCGGCCTCGGCGTGCTCGGCTACGAGCCTTTAATCAGATGCGGGACAGCCAATCCTCTGCCAAGCGCGTCTTCTAGCTGTCAACCGCAGATGCAACCTTGGGTGCTCCACCATCCTGTCCTGCCTCTGTGCGCGCCGTGAAAAGCGCAGCTGGGGCCCGTCAGTGCGCTACAGAGGCGTTTCTTCTCGACACTGGCCAGAAGCTGACGTTGGTGCGGTGGGCCTTTGTGTGCACTCCGCACTCAGACCGCTACGCCAGACCCTGTGCCATCGAGACCAGCGTTGTACCGCCCCCATCCCGCTCAGCACTGTTGTTCCACCTCTTTCGCAACCCGATCTACAGCTTGAGCCGTCAGCCTCGCTGCTTAACCGGACCTGCAAGCACTTACATACATCCTAGCGCTTGACTCTCCCTTTCCTTCTGTCACCTCTCGCACCCCCTGCTCAGTCCTGATACCTCGTCCTCCTGCTGCTATTTCCGCTGTGCGTCGTCTCCCGCACGCGCCCAGTAGCCGGCGCCAGGGCCCGATTCTGTAACATCGAACCTCGCTCACTTCTGGCCGAATAAGCCCTGAGCGACCAACTCCGTCCAGGCACAGGAACGCTACTGTCCGCCATCCTGGCAGCCTTCTCGCGCAGCTTTTCCCCTGCAGAGGAACATCCTGGCTTCCCTGCTCAGGTCTCTGCAGATTTGCGGCGGATATCCGCCGATCCCAAGCTTTCTCGATTCGCGCAGATAATATATTGTCACCAAACCTAGAGCATTCTTTGAATAAGGATCAACGACACCCACTCCTAGAACCTTCAGACCTCCCTTCTGAACCGGAGATCTGTCCGGTCCTACCCGCGTTTCAAAGATCTAAGACTGACCGCTGGCTGGCCGCGCAGAGCGCAACACGTCAGCAACATCAAGTCGGGAGCCTTCGGCTACCTTGCTATGACAACCCAGGCTGCCGAAAGATCTCTGCTGCCACAGACCGCGCAAATGCAGAGCTTCGTGTTCGCGCCGCCAGCTATGGCGCCGCGCGTGAATCAAAAAAGTATGGCCCTTTACGCAGACCTCAGCTATCCTCATATTGATCGAGATTTCTGACACTTGCGCCCTTAGACTACGTGTTTGTGGACGAACACAACCGGCACAAAAGGCTGAAAGGTCAGTCCTGACGCACTACCGCCATCCAGCTCCATCGCCACTAACCCAAGCGCAGTCATGCGAGCGTGTGAGGGATGCCGCCGCCGCAAGATCAAATGCGACGCCGCGACGACGAACTCCTGGCCGTGTGCAGCCTGCATCAGGCTGAAGCTCAACTGCGTTCCTCCAACCGTGAGCTACGAGAAAGATCCTGCCCCTGGCACACATACGTTTGAGTTGGATACTACAGTATATGACGACTCTGGTACCGGCATTGTACAGGATTATCAAGTCAGCCAAGAAAGCCTACATCACATGAGTGAAGAGTTCCACCCTTCAATCTCACATGCTGTGGAGCAGTCTTACGGCTACCACCCCACGGGGTACAACGATCTACCCGCTCATCACAATGCCATTCCATACGGAAATATAGCGCTTCCATCGACAAGCGCTCCGGAAATGCACTATCAGTCTCAACCAGTCTATACCGGGCCTCCGGCGCATCAATCAGTGTCGGCAGCTAGCGGGGATGAAGCTTGGCGTAGCGACGCTCATACCGCTAGTCTCACGAAAGCTATGGGCGACCTAGAAATAGGTCACACCGCCGTCGGTAAGTCTCATCCGTGCTGGTCGTCAAAAGTTCTTTTTTTTGACATGTCGCAGCACCCTACATAATGAAGGAGCGTAAGGGATGTGGGGACGATAGACCTGTTGAAGAACAGCAGGTTATTCTACCGCAACACGTCAACCAAGATTCTACTGTCCACATTCCGCCGGGTATGATGCCCAGTCCAAAGCAAGCTAGAGAATACTTCGACTACTTCTTCATAAACATCCACCCGTATGCGCCGGTGGTTAATCCAGCATGGTTCTTGGAGCAATGGGAAAACGACCGCAATGCTTTGTCGCCGCTTTTGCTCGGGGCTGTTTTCGCCTGCTCAACACTGATGCTAGGAGAATCTGCGAATGGGAACCAGTGGCTTGCTCTAACTTCAAGTCAGTATCTACCTTCTGCCCCAGTTTGTCTATCGTCTGCATTTGGCTGATTTATGTAGGGCATGAAGAGAGTTATAGAGACGTACCACGGCTGAGCACCATTCAAGCCATGATCCTGCTGCTCAAAGCCCGCGAACACCAACCGAAACGTGGATACTTTTATCGATCCTGGATGACGGTTGTGAACTGTGTGATAATGGCCAAAGATCTCGAGTTAGATGAGCACTTCGAGCTACACCAGTCTGGAAAGCACTGTAACTTCACTCTTGCCGAGTGCGTCACGAGGACAAGAGTGTGGCAGAATCTTTTCGTTCTAGAAATCATGATCGGTGGTCCTCAAGGTTTGTTCCTTTGTTAACGCTTCGCGTCCATGTGCTGAGACATTTAGGTCGCAACGATTTCGGTGTGGATGCCGATACCATCGACCTCGATATCCCTCCGCACTATTCCGGGCAGGCTCGCTCCGAGGCTCAGGTCTCCCGCCAGTTCACCTACCTCGCCCGCATTGTGAAGAACATTCAGGAGACAACCTACATGCACTCGAAGCTGAAGAAAAAGAAGAAGGACTGGGCCATCGACCCTGGCTTTATACGGCATAACGAAGACTTCACTGCTTGGCTAAGAGACCTGCCTCAGGATCTCCAGATTGTGTACCCTGATGATGGATCTTCCCCGTGGATTCCATCGCACTTCATCGGAAACATGCATTGCTACTACCACCTCTCGATCATAATGCACCACAGACCACAGCTTCACTACTTACAGGAGAACTTTGACGACAAGTGGAAAAGTCACATGCTCCTATGCTACTCTTCGGCGAAGAGCATGTGCAGATTACAAGAATCTATTTTGCAGACTTGGGGTCTCCCGGGCCTCATGTGCATGCAGAGAGGCATGAGCTTCACGATGTACGCGGTGTTGACCTGCACAATGCTGCACCTAGTAAGTTCGCATTACCATTCAAGCTTGGTCCCTTGCTCATCGTACGATACAAAGGTTGCCATCACTGCTCCAGAACCCGAGCTTAATGCTGACGCGCGCGACTTCTTCGTTCGCCATATGCGAATCTTGGAACAATGCGCACCTTGGTGGCCCTTACCAGAGTTGCAGGCCCAAGTGGACGCCCTCCGCGAGGCATTCTCTGCCGACATCAAAAAGCCGTTTGAGCTCAAGCCGTCGTTCCCTCTTGGCAGTCCGGCAGTTCTCAACGATCCGTCTCCGTTGAATTCCGATGGTATGTACGGCCCGCGGGTTTCCGGCCACGAACCGTTACTGGACACTCCAGGTCAAGTGCCGAGCTATGCCTATCCCACAACACCGCCAATCTCCGCAACCGGCACGGATCACCCGGCTGACTCTCCCGTAGTTCAGTCGCTGGCCATGATGGCGACCAGCCAACGGCATCCGTACCAGCCCTCAAGTGTGCCCGTCCAAGAGCCGGTGCAATGGAATCCTGGCAAGATCTTCGAGTGAGTCTACCCACCTTCACTCACTCTGGCAGGATTTTGCAGCTGACTCACACGTCTCCAGTCAATGGAACGCAGCCTTTGGTACGCCCCCTCCAAGTTCTACATCCCCGTGCTCCCCTCCTCTAAGACCGCCCGCTCCAGGAACCTATGATCTTCGGACGCCGCAGGAAATGCCGCACCACGGTTCCTACCAGAGCCTGGGCTACTCACCCCATGACAAACCTGCACCGCATATCCCAGCCCAGGTGTCGCCACCGGTGACATATACGCCGCAATCGGCGTCTTATGTCACCCCGAGCATGTGGCAAGAGGTCGTCGCCAGTTCATTCGGCGACGGTCTCAAGCGGCGTTGGGATTATGGTGGCTCTGGAATCATGGATCAGGGGCAGGGAGCGAAGCGACGTGGATGAGCCATACGAGTTGATGCTTTTGCTCCTCTTGATTGGAGCGCACTGGAGAGACTTTCCGGAGCTAGTGCCCACGACGGCAAGGATGATGATTTACTGTCTGGATTTCCGAAAAGGCCATTTGCGGATACTGGCATTTACGGAGGCGACCGCGGTCCCCCATTCGCCAGGAGCCGTCAGGCCTGGGTTGCACGAGGGTGCCAAGGAGTTGGCTGGAGAATCTGTTTGGTTACAACGGCATGAGCTTGTGACTCTGCATCCCGGAGTTTGTCATTTTAGGCCGGAAGTCTGCATATGCTGGTAGCTAATTCACGACTGATATTTGCTCGAATCTCCCTGCTTTGGGAGAAAATGGGAGCAGATATTACCACCTCCGTCGATACTCCCTGGCACCTGACACATAGCGCGTTTTGGCATGCGTTCTTGCGTACCGTATCATCCGTCGGATCTGCGTAACAATGCTGACGATGTCACTCCGTTCTGGACCGCGGTTTCTTCTCGAACCCCACTCGTTGGAAGTGGCGCTCAGTACTCCCACCTGGCGTGAGATGCCACATTGGATATGCGCGTCCGGATGCTGCGCTGGGGAAAAGATGTTACTGTAGTATGGAACGGCTGCGGCCACACCTTTGGATTTTCATGCCTGGCTTGAGAGCCTGATCTGTTTATTTCCGTAATGATGATTCCCTTACATCCAACCCAAAAAACCGGGGCGGGGAAAAAGGAAAAGAATTCCGCGTTCTGTTTTAGCAGTCCCAGTTCTGTTAACTCCAATCATGGAGAGCGGTTGTCCAAGGGGTCAGGTCTTTTCTGGCTCCCCGATAGGATGCTCGCATACTACCTCACGTATCCCCCTTTCCTCTCCCCATCGAGCTCCCTACCTATCACTCGCCCCTCTCGCTCACACACTGCCATTTCCACGCTCCCTTCCCCGTTGCGCTTGAACATGTCCTGGCCGGCCCGCAAGCCCCCCGTCCAGTTCGGCATTGTGATGAAGCCAGCCCCGGAGTTCTCTTCCGCTCAACCGGTTCGCCACTGATGCTACCCTTGGCTGTCACCCCACGCACTGCGGCATACCGCCTGCTGCGACCCCGTGCTTAGGGCCTTGTCGCGACGTCGACGAGCACGCCATTGCCCTCATCGTGTCTAAATGTAGGTGCTTAGTAGAAACATCGTGCGGGCGGGAACCAGCAGTGTTGAGTGAAGGACGGCACTACCAACAACTGAAAGGCATGTCGAGAAAGGCCACGTTGAAGCTGATATCGAATTCAACTATGAACGAACTACCTCCCTCCCATAGGTAGAAGTGGAATGCTCCAAAGCCTGAGAGATGCCTACATCGCGCCACTCCGCGCCACACGAGTAAACCAGCGCCGATACCCGCCCGCCCCGCCTTGATGCCCCGAGCCGTGACCCTAACGATGATGAACTCCAGATCGCCCCAGCCCCCCATATCCGCATAGAGAACCCCAAAAAAGTTTGAAGCGATCGTCGCAAGTGCGCCCACCACACCAAAGCCGCCTCTAACTCCTCATCAGATGCACAAAAGCCGTCAACTTCTCCCCCTCGATGCCCCCCGCCTTCACCGGCGACGCCCTCGCCTCCGGTCTGGCGACCTCCGCTACGACCTCCACCTCGATCCTATTGACCTTCCCCGGCTCCAGCCTCCCCTCATAAAGCGGCTTCCCCTTGGCACGATCCGGCTTCGTGACCTCGTACAAGCGGTTATGGTTGACCGTGACAAAGACCTTGAAGGCGCGCGAGGTGAGCGCGACGGGGATGGTGGGCGTGATTTGGATGAAGTAGTGCGTCGAAGGGAGCGTCAGCGTCACGGACTGCTGCGTCAGCTCCGGCGAGGCGGGGATATCGAGCTTCCAGTCTTTGGCGAGTTTGAGGCCGGGGTGGGCGCTGAGGCGGATGTTGGGGAGGAGGGCGTCTGCTGCGGCTGCGTGGGGTGTTAGTCCGACTGTGTAATCTTGAGAGGACACGAATGACTTACTCTTGCCTGGTGCGCGGTGTTTGTTGGCTAACCCGGGCGCAGGCGCAGCGTAGGAGGGATGGTATTGGTATCCCTGCTGCAGGTGTGAAGGGTGCGGGTGCGGACTGCTACTCGGGGGTCGCGGCGTCACGCTTGGGGGCGGAGGCATAGCTGCTGACGCAAGTTGGGGTGTTTGCGCTGGTATACTGGTTCTCCGCCCGTCTAGCACCGCGTCAGGTGCGGCGCTGGAAGGTCTGATAGCAACCAAAGCAGGTGACTGACCGGCCGGCGCTTCATGCTTCACGCCATTCACTTGAGTTGGGGGAGAAGCGCCAGTTGCGTTATTGTGGTTGTAGCCGGTCGCTGGAACCGGTGTTGAAGCGGAGCCAGATCTGGCGTCGCCAGACGCCGGAGTTGAGGAGGAAGGTGGCCTGTGGCCGTTCATGCCGGCCTTGACATGTAACTTCTGCCTCTCGAGCGCTCCATTGTCCACCATAACACCAGAGGTTGCCGAGTTGCGCGCTGCTCCAGGGTCAGATCCAGGTTGAGGTGCCGGGCTCGGCTTCAGGCGGAGCTTGATTGTCGGTTTCGAAGGTGCGGCAGCTGACATATTCAGCTTCATGGTCATCTTTGGAGGCTCTTGGACCTTGGACTTCGCCTCGGCGAGCCGGGCATTGAAGAATTCCTATTTGAGTCAGAGACGCAACTAGGACGACCAGATGCCTGCACCCTTACCTCGAGCTCTACAGACAGGTTGTAGATGTCGCTCCCGTCCTCGTTGTACAAGCGGGCGTTCTTCCAGATCATGCTGAACTCCTGTTCGAAAGCATCCCAAGTCTTGAGGTCCGTTTTCCACGTCGGCTGGTTTCTGCCATGTACGCCTCTGACCCTCTTCTGCACACCCTTCAGAGAGACTGGATTCTTGATTGTGTGATAGTAGTCCGTGAGCGATCGCGGCGGCAAATTGACAAAGGGTTGAAAGATCTCAAGGCCACTTCTGTGAGGTCTGTCAGAGTAACCCTTATCGTGAGAGCAGACGACTCACTGTGGCTCTTTGTACTTGATAATCCCCTCCACGATCTGGTCTTGAGCCTCCATAAAGGTCTTGCTCACCAGTTCTACATCTACGCTGGAAGGCTCCCTTTCACCTGAGGTTCCTGGGCGCTTCTTCGGCCTTGACGCAGGAGTCTCGGGTGCAGCCGACGACACAGCAGCACCACGCCTCAGCCGCCCACCGCTATCATGAACAGCGGCTCCTCCGCTGGCGCCCAGAGGTGTCGATCCGTTCAGTAGGCCCTCTGGTATTGGTGTTGCAACGGCTATGTAATCAGCGTCATTGTACGCGGGATTGTGTTTGACCATCCAATTCGACGCGGTCTTCCGAATCCGCTCCGCATCTTCGTAGAGGACTGAGGATCTTTCGTTGTAGCTTTTAGCATTCGTAACCATGCGTTTGAGGTCGCTCTCCACGGCTGAGAGGTTCGGATATTCTCGGCGGTTGAGTTTCGCCTGCATATGTGGGTTGTATTAGCCACTGTGCGCCACGGACTTGGCCAGGGGAGGGGGAGCTTGTCGGAATGCCTGTGTAGTAGAAGACGCTACAAGGTCAAGGACCAGTACGATGGAGGGAGTATCCCGTACCTCGATAGTATCCAGCGCGATTGGAAGTCTGATTCTCTCATAGTAGTCGGGAACGACATTCTAGACAGGAGCGAGGTGTTTAGCGCAACAGCCTTGGCTGCGGATGCGGGATGAGCGTACCTTGTCAGGCAGTGTGAGGAAGTTGGTCGCAATTGGTCGGCCTCTGTAGCATGAGGGTTAGCGGGATATCGCAAGTACACGATACTGAAGGCATCGCCGGAGAAAGATTGTTCTGTTCCAGTTGGGGCCCTGGGGGTACTCACGTCTTGTCCTTCGCCTGCTTCATGGACTCTATGAACCTCAGGCCCGCCTCCGTCGTTGATTCCGTTGTCTCTATTGCAGTGCTGCCGTTGCCCTATTGCACAAGAGTGCAGCGTGTCAGCCATTCTGTCGAAATGCATTTTGTGAGGTTCGTAGGTGCGCGGAGTGAGTGCTCTGCAGCGCGGAGGTGCCGCTGCCCGCGGCGTTGGAGGGGTGAGGTAGGTTATGGCGCTGTAGCTTGTCGAACCAAGCGTCGCGACAACCGCTGCTGGAGCATCCTCCAAGCTCCACCCTCTACCGCGCTTGCTACCTCCACGCCCTGCACGAAGCCAACACGACGTAGTGCGCGCAAACTTACCGGCAGCCTTTGCCTCTTGGATGGTCGGCCGTCAGCACCCGGCGATGATGCTGGGGGCGCTTTGCGCTTGGGTTCCCGCTCCATCCTGTTCGTGAATGTGGTCGCATGCAGATTCGGCACGGTCTAGGGCTATTCCAACGACGAGATCCGGGTTGTGGAAGAGTGCAGCGCTGTTGTGCCTTGTGGATTGAGCCGCATCCCTCTCTCGCGTTCGCAGGGCACAATAATCCTTGGTGTTTCCTGGCGGATATATTACAACACCTTGCGCTTACTAAGCGTAATTATCACTTCACTCGTGCACCCAGGTAACAGCTTTACCATGTTAGTATGACAAGGGGACTTGCTGGATACGTGCCGAGTCTGCTGTTGCCAGAGGAAACAGTATTATAGATTTTCTACAGGGTATCGCTGGAAGAAGAGAGGATCGTATCCCGCGCACTGTAACTGTAGTGTTCGTTCGCTCAATGGCAACGCTGAATGATGACAGATTTAGGGACAACAGTGTAGAACGCCTACACCAGGTCGATGTAGAACTGGCAAGCTCTCTGCCGGACCAGCAATTGGCGAGGGTGCTGCAGCAGAGTGAGCCCAGAACCATCATGCCCAAGCTCACCATCCACTCATGACGTTTTGGTGTACTCTGAGGCGCTCTTCGCGAACTTCTCCTTAGCCTCTTCCTCCTTTATTTCGCGCACCTTGGCTAGCACAATCTCTCGAAATATCGCACCCTTCGCAAGCCTGCTCAAGCTTTTCTTTTGAGGTGCTCCAGGCTGGTCCTCTGGTACATTCAGACCGCGAGCGGTGCTGTGTGCGGCAAGCGCCTCACCAGCTGCCTCGCGAGCATTTGACGGCACGTCGGCTGCCCCAGACGCATCCTCCTCGTCGTCTTCCTGCATCTTGAGCGCTTCGATACGATTTGCGAGTTTGACGAGCTCGATGCCGCGCTTGAGGCGCGCCTTGGCGACGTAGGCACGGATCTCGGGTAGCAAGTTGTAGTTGCTTGCCGTCTGGCCAGTGAGCCAACTGTGCTTCATTGCTTGCTAGAAAACAGTCAGCGTTAAAGCGGCAGAGCTGGTGATGCGCACATCTTACCTCACTGGTGGCCCGCTTGTGCGGATCCGGAGTCAGAAGCTGGTTGATGAAGTCCTTGGCATCCTTGCTGACTTCCTTCCAGTAGCGCTCGTGGTAGATGACTCTGCCATTCTTGCATTCTTCGATCAAGTCTGCCAAGTTCTCGCTTCTGAAAGGGGAGTAGCCACAGAGCAAGGTGTAGGTGATGACACCCAATGACCACATGTCGACAGGCTTGCCGTGGCCTCGCTTCAACATGACTTCTGGCGCAGCGTAACCGAAAGAGCCAGCCATTGTGGTTAGGACCTCATTCTTCGACTCGAGCATCTTAGCGATACCAAAATCGGCAAGAACGAGAGATGAATTGGGGTCCGGCGTTAGGTATAGAAGATTTTCTGGCTTCAAGTCTGTGTGACAGTCAGTATCATCCGAAACGCTCGAAGCACGACGCGAATTTACCTCTGTGGACTACATTGTTCTGGTGTAGATAGTCGACAGCTTCGAGGACCTGGCGAATCGTCTCCGCGGCGTCTTTCTCTGTGAACTTGCCCTTCTCGCAGATTCGATCGAAAAGCTCTCCGCCGGTTGCAAGCTGTGTGACAATGTAGTACTTGTCCTGTCGACTGCTCGTGAGTGACTTGTCTGACCGCACATAGCTGCTAGCGTACGTACCCTTGACTCGAACCAGTCGTGGAATCGGACAATGTGAGGGTGCCTCAGCCGTTGCAGCAGGTCCAACTCATCCATCACCATCTGCTCATTGCCCTTGACGTTCTTCTTCAGGATGATCTTGACCGCAACCTTGCCCTCAGGGCAATCGGCCTCACGAACGATGCCATATGTGCCTGCGCCCAGCGTCCTCCCCATTCGGTACCGTGATCTATGATGTAGGCGTTTAGCGTTTGCGGCAGGCGTCATGGAAGGGTGGATCGTACTTTTTGTCATAGCTGTCGGGCTGACCGTGGAGCTTATTGAGCATGCCCGTCATATCTGCGATGGTCAGCCAATGTCCCAAGAAGACAGATGAGTAGATGTTGCAAAACGGCACCTACAGCTCATGTTGCGACTTGTTTGATCTGGTTGTTGTTGTGGCCTTGTCTTATGAGGCTGACGAAGGGTTGGTGGTATTGCAGAGTATGCTCAAGACTCAGGATAGTAAGCACTGTAGGTTTGGTGGCGAGAGTATGGATAACGAGGTAGTCGAAGGGGTGGAGTAGGTATCAAGGAGCTTGTAGATGTGGAACGGCAAGGCATATACACAACGCCAGATGTGGTTTCCAAGAGAGCCGTGTCCAGCTGGCAAGCTCGAGTCAGGCATCCTGCAGGAGCAGCGGGGCTGATCGCTGAGGCTGAGCCCCCGAGGCTGTGTTCTGGGCTCCAAACAACAGCGACTGTATCAATCCCTGCATGCCAATGTATTAATTAAACTTGAATCATCCTGTTAGTCTTCAAGCTTTGCGCAGTGCTACCACTGTACTTATAGATCGCACCTGCGTGCCATGCTCCCTGAGTTTGGACCCTGTGCCCCGCGATGGATTTTGTGTTGCGGTTCACAGGCCAGGTTTTCCAAACTCGAATCCCCTCCAACGACTGGACAGTTGACGTCACCTCTATATAAGCCTGTCACTCGTGTTTGGGCAAAGACAATCTAATTCAACGAATATCATCCTCCAAGCAACTTTTGATCAAGTTCTACGTGCTCAAACCTACCATCAAGTCCACATCACCCTGCAAAAATGCCAACTGCCACAGCCATCGTCACCGTCCTGGCCGGTATTGTTGCCGTCCTGGCTGTCGTAGTCTACTTCTTCGGCATCCCCCCAGAGCTGAAGCGCAAGATGGAGAACGAAGCGCTGAAGACGATGGGCGAGAACAAGGCTTCCTACGTTGTCAAAGGTACCTAGTCGAAGTTTACGACCGCCTTATATCTCATAGCCGTGCACCATTACTGACCAACCCGTTAGACCAGATTAACAAGCTTCCAGCTTCCGACCAGGAGGATATCAAAGACTTGAAGAAGGGCTTGGGTAACGCCCTCGGAGGAGGACTCCAAAACCCGCTGGGCAAGACCGTGGGAGATGTGGGGGATGATCTTACGAGGGACTTTACTGGACGCTGAAGAAGTCCCGGAGATTGACGCGCAGTATTGGATCAAGCACTCGCATAGCGGGTCTGCATCCATGCGATGATTCAGCGATGATCATATTGAACAGTCTGCATGAGAGCCATAACACCAGATTCTGGAGTCTGACAGACAAGGAATTACCATCGAAGCGTCCGAAAAAATTCCTGTCCTCATCTCTGGATGATCTATATTGGTCAATCACGCTTCGACAACGGTGCTGCGATTTCGAAATAACGTTGTCGAACCCATATATTCCTCTCCTATGCCTTGCCAATGCCCGGACTCAGTATATCAGCCGCCTTCGCACCCCTATCTAGGCAGCGGTTCCGCTATGGGGATCGTGATTGTCCGAGCATAAAACCCATCAAAGCAAAAGACAAAAACGTACAGCAGTAGGTATTCGCTAGTGGTCACCCACCTAACTACTAATCTACCAATTCAAAGCTTATGTGGTGGCAGCGAACGGGATGCCCAGTACTATTTGACCTATGGCCGTACGTGCTGGATGATGGCGAGTTTTGTAATATAGAAACCCGTTAGAAGCTATTGACTGGACGACATAAATTCTTGAAGATGGTACGATTAAAGGGCAAGACCGAAATCAAAGGGTGTCTGCTATTAAGCTGACTTGCCCAAAAAGCCGAGTGCCAGCAAGACACATCAGTAGCCACTTCATCCTCATTTCCCTTTGCACTCGCTGGAGAGATGTTGAAACCGATAGGATTCTCGGGAGTTTCGCGGTCACGTGCGTGTCGCAGGGATCGGTTACCGTTGCTCAAAATTTCGCGCGAACTTTTGCACAAAAAGTCAACCCACCGTCAGCAACGCCGACTTACCTTCCTCAACCACAACACCTCCCCCACTCCCATACTGCACTAATTCCAAGATGAGCGACGAGGTCTACGAGGGCGCGATCGGTATCGATCTCGGTACCACTTATTCCTGCGTTGCAAACTATGAGGGCACCAATGTCGAAATCATCGCGAACGAGCAGGGTAGCTTCACCACACCGTCTTTCGTCTCTTTCACGGCGGAAGAGCGCTTGATTGGCGAGGCGGCGAAGAACCAAGCTGCCATGAACCCCGAGAACACCGTCTTCGATGTCAAGTGAGTTTGGGCGAGACCTTACATTAAGATATCCAGCTGACCGTCATATCAGACGTCTTATTGGACGAAGATTCGACGATGAGACCGTCAAGAAGGATATCGAGTCGTGGCCGTTCAAGGTCACCAACAGCAATGGCAATCCCATGGTGCAGGTCGAGTACCTGGGCGAGACGAAGAGTTTCTCGCCACAGGAGATCTCTGCTATGGTTCTTGTTAAGGTACGGCTTCAGCTCCGACATGGTGAAGAGCGATTGCTGACTGAGCGTAGATGAAAGAAGTTGCGGAGACCAAGCTCGGCAAGAAGGTGGAGAAGGCCGTCATTACCGTCCCCGCCTACTTCAACGACAACCAACGGCAAGCCACCAAGGACGCCGGCTCAATCGCTGGCCTTAACGTCCTCCGCATCATCAACGAGCCCACTGCCGCCGCCATCGCCTACGGTCTTGGATCTGGCAAGTCTGAGAAGGAGCGCAACGTAATGATCTACGATCTTGGTGGTGGTACTTTCGATGTGTCCCTCCTCCACATTCAGGGAGGCGTGTTCACCGTAAAGGCTACGGCTGGTGATACTCATTTGGGTGGTCAGGACTTCGACACGAATCTGCTGGATCACTTCAAGAAGGAGTTTCAGCGCAAGGCTAAGAAGGACATTTCAGGAGACGCGCGTGCCCTTCGTCGTCTCCGGACAGCATGCGAGCGCGCCAAGCGTACGCTCTCCAACGCCACTCAGACTACGATCGAGATCGATTCTCTATTCGACGGTGAGGACTTCAACGCCAATATCACCCGCGCTCGTTTCGAGGACTTGAACGCCAAGGCTTTTAACGGCACGCTTCAGCCTGTTGAGCAGGTGTTGAAGGACGCCAACTTGGATAAGAGCAAGGTTGACGAGATCGTGCTTGTTGGTGGTTCCACACGTATTCCGCGGATACAGAAGCTTCTCAGCGACTTCTTTAACGGCAAGAAGCTCGAGAAGAGCATCAATCCCGACGAGGCTGTTGCCTATGGTGCGGCTGTGCAAGCCGGTATTCTTTCCGGCAAGGCGCAATCCGCTGACACCGCCGATCTCCTCCTGCTCGATGTTGTTCCTCTTTCCCTCGGTGTTGCCATGGAGGGCAACATCTTCGCCCCTGTCGTCCCTCGCGGCCAGACTGTCCCTACGATCAAGAAGCGCACTTTCACCACAGTTGCTGACAACCAGCAAACCGTCCAGTTCCCTGTGTTCCAGGGCGAGCGTGTCAACTGCGAGGACAACACCTCCCTCGGCGAGTTCACTCTTGCACCTATCCCACCGATGAAGGCTGGTGACGCTGTCCTCGAGGTCGTCTTCGAGGTCGATGTCAACGGTATCCTCAAGGTCACTGCCACCGAGAAGACCTCCGGCCGCAGCGCCAACATCACAATCTCCAACTCTGTTGGCAAGCTGTCATCGACCGATATCGAGACCATGATCAACGGTAAGCTTACATCAAGTGTTCAAATAGTTTAGTGATAAGCGCTGACTTTCATAAACAGACGCTGCCAAGTTCAAGAGCAGCGACGAGGCTTTCAGCAAGAAGTTCGAGACGAGGCAACAGCTTGAGGCCTACATCTCCCGTGTCGAGGAGATGGTCTCTGACCCGACAATGTCCATGAAGCTGAAGCGCGGCCAGAAGGAAAAGATCGAGTCGGCCCTCAGCGAGGCCATGGCTCAGCTCGAGATCGAGGACGCGGGTGCCGATGACCTCAAGAAGAAGGAGCTGGCTCTCAAGCGCACCGTCACCAAGGCGTTCTCCACCAGGTAGAATGTCACTGCATTCATATGCGGTAGAATGTGCGATATACAGGGAGAAGGAATGGGAGTCTGTACTGTTTCTTTCTGCGGCAAGCTAGACTGGATGGTGTATGTGCTGGGCTCTAAAAGCGTCTTTGATCTCTCTTCTTGCCCGTTGTAGCGCTGCGACTCTTACTCGCTTCCGGTTTGTGTCTTGGTTCTTCGGTAGCATCTTCAGCGATCGGGTTACTAAGGTATGAGACGAATGGACATGAGACGTTCACAACCGTGGTGCTTGGTTTTGATGCATGGTGATTTATCTTGCACATATTAGACATCACGGTTTCACATGCAAAGTCTGTGGTGTGCCCTGTCGTGCCTGAACCCCACGTGTCGATCCATCGAATTGTTTTCTGCGAGATGTGTTACTGCACCCGACAAAACGACGTTGGCTTGGCCAAACACCTCGCGGTTTAGTGTTTTTGGTGTCTTACATGCTTCTTTACTCAATTCCCTAGCTTTGGCTCCTTGGGAAACGCATCGAGTTCGCAATGGGAAAGAGTACGTTTCTGTTTTTCCGGGCTCCAGTGCTTCCTCGACCAGCGCGATGCCCTTTACCTCTTTGAGAGGCCGAGTTTCTCAAACACCCGCTCATTGCTGACCATAGTGTGCTGGCTGCAGGAACAATGGCCCACGAGTGCGTCTCGGACGAAGCCCTGGTGCATCTCAAAACCTACAAATACTCCGGCGTCGACAAGTCCTATATATCACACTACATATTGAGGCACTACGTAGGATAGCCCCGCTCCACTACGATATCGCCTACGCTCAATACAACAAAAGAGATCTCTGACGGCCTACACACTCGCAGTGGAACGGCTTCGTGGAACTCCTACCGCTATGGCTCGCCCCCAACATGGTCACGCTGCTCGGCTTCTTCTTCATACTGGCGAACGTAGTGCTACTAGAGATATATGTGCCGGATCTGGTTGGACCAGTACGTCGATCTTCGTTCTCAAGACCGGGAAGACGAGGAGATACACCAAGGGTTGGAACCGACATTCTGACGCTTGGGCTGTAGGCGCCTTCATGGGTATACTACAGCTTTGCCTTTGGCTTGTGGATGTGAGCAATGTTGTGTTGTCCCTTTCGCTCTAGGGAACATGCTATGCCGAGTCGTGGCTGGGTACGGACTCATCAATCGCTATGGCAGGTACTCTACATTGGACAACGTGGACGGCAAGCAAGCACGAAGAACCGGCACTTCTAGTGGCCTTGGAGAGCTTTTTGAGTACGTGAAGCGGACCCTTGGCCGACTCGTAGGGGACCACGGCTAACAAAGTTATAGCCACGGCATCGACTCGCTCAATTGCACACTCGGCAGCTTGCTCGAGCTGGCAGCCGTTGGATACGGAGCTACTCGCACAGGCGCTTTCACTGCCCTCATCCCGTGTTTGCCCATGTTCTTCTCCACTTGGGAGACATATCACACACACACGTTGTACCTAGGGTACTTCAACGGTCCGACAGGTAAGACGTTTCATCTTCATATCCCAAGACCGGATCTGCCGTTGCATGGCGATCCACGTCACGCTGCGAAAGCCCTACAGTAGGAATCTATATCTAACAAGCGATGTGCTGACATGCCGACAGAGGGACTCATCTTGGGTTGCACATTCATGCTCCTTTCCGGAGCCTACGGTCCGCAAATCTGGTCCGCGCCTCTGGCCTCCCTGTCACCCACCCTGGCACGCTTTACCGGCGACACCCTAACCTTCCGTGACCTCTGGGTTCCCATGCTCAGCGCCTCATTCTTCATCGCGCATCTCCCTGCCTGCGTGCAGAACGTCCACCGCGCACGACGCGCTAAGAACCTCCCAACGCTGCCCCTGGTGCTCGAATGGACGCCTATGGTCGTTCTCACATGCGCGTCCGCAGCGTGGCTCGGCTCGCCGCATACGGGGCTGATTGGAGATGGCAAGGGCGGACACCTGGTCTTATTTTGCATGACTATGAGTCTGGTCTTCGGCCGCATGACTACGAAGATCATCCTCGCGCACCTGACGCGTCAACCGTTCCCTTACTTTACGGTCTTGCTGGTGCCGTTGGTGGGCGGGGCGGTTCTGGCGAACTTGCCGTACATCGCTGGCTTTCTTCCCGCTTCTTCTGCGGCAATGGCGAAGCCGTTCTTCGGCGGTGGTAAAGAAGCGGAGCTGTGGTACCTGCGTGGCTACTTCGTCTTCGCTGCTGTCGTGTATGGGCGGTGGGCTGTGCTTGTTATCGGGCGGATTTGCGAATATCTGGGCATCCAGTGCTTGACCATACCGGCTGAGAAGAGGCGGGAGGCTGCCAGAGCTAGGAAAGAGGGAGAGAAGATCGGGCCTGGGACGATAAAAGTGGAGAAGGAGTCTGCGAATGGGACCGTTGGGGGAAAGAAGAATCGCTGAAAAGCTTTCACAAAGACGTGCATTTGGGAGGCGTTTAGTATGATTGAGCAACATGCAGTTTAGCCGCCATCCATGGCGCGAGGTAATCAACTTACTCTCAGCGAAGGGGCGTCTGAAGGGAATTGCTCTGGCTATAGTAGCGGCGGGACAGGTCTCAGACAGCGTATTGGGTGCGAGTAGACAGGGCGACTACCTTTATCTGGATAGAAAAATATGGCACTCATCCTCCTGGAGCGTATCCGGTCCAAGCTGTTCCACTGCAGATGCACAGCTGTTAGTCGTCAGCCGGCCCGACCCTTCTGGACCATGTCTTTCGCGGCTTGAAAGACTTTTTAGTAGCCCAGACAAACTTTGAGCAAGGCGGTAGTCAAGCTATGCAGTTTCCTTAGCGGATGACTGCTAAACGGGTTGAGGAACCGTTGTGCCTTGTCGCCTTAAGATCCCGGCGGATGCCGGATCTGCACACCCAAAAACTCCCCGCGATCTTCACGACGCAATTTTTAGCCACTCCCGCACGCACACACGACGCACATCGAACTTCGCTCCCAGCTTCAACGCGAGCATCTTGCGTCTGCATTCCTTTGGCTCGCGAGTCACAGAGTCACGACATACACTCAAAAGCAGAGTCAAGAGCATCGACTGCCTCTTCAGCCAGCTCTTTCTCATTCATAATAACTGCCGCCTCGAGCACATTACACCACCTTCAACTCGCACAAAAGCCGATGATACCGCGGCGCTGGTAGCCATGGTGTCAATCACCGTGCCGAGTGCTGCTCTCACCGCGGCCTCCATGACGGTAGAGCCAAGCTTAGGCTCAAAACGAAAATACACGGACGCGACTCCTGAAGACGAAGCGCTATCCTCCAGCCAAGGCAAGCGGCAGAAGGTCGCTTTCGATCCGGATGTCGAGATACGCGTGCTGGAAGACTGGAACGAGAAGGGCATCGAGCTGGTACGGGAGGAGGTCCGACGCGGGATTGAAAAGCACCTGGCGGGCGACAATGCGGCATACGACCAACTGAAGCAGCTATTCACTGCAAAACCGTTCGAGGAGGACGCGCCGTCGACGAGACTATTACAGAAGTACCTCCATGCTCTCACCGGGCACGCCAGCTGGCTGAACAAGAACTGCTCTGGGTTGGTTCACGCGGTGCTCGATTGTCAATGGCTACTCCGCGACGAGAGCTTCGTCCAGTCTTATATCCGCTTTCTGGGCGGTCTACTATCTGCTCATGGTGGGTATACTGGCCTAGTACTGAGGATGGTGGTGCAAAGCTTCGTTAGCCGTAGGTGTCTTGGTGACCCACCGATGATCCATGCTAAGAACAATGTAGTACCGCCCCAGTCTCTTCGCGCACCCAGCGATGCTCCAGTGCGCCGCACACAAGCTGAAGCACGCGTCCACAGTTGCCTGAAATACCTCCTACAGCTCATTCCATCCGCAAGTGGGGCATTACCATCGATATTATCCTCCTCCTTCCCCTTTGCTACCGATTCGACGAAAGCGCACGTGGACTACGTTCGCAACCTGCTCAAGCTGACTGAGTATGCACCGGCGCTCAAGGGTGCAATTCTGGCGTTGGTCACGGACAGACTTGTCAAAATTGATGTTCAGATTCAGGTCGATATGGAGGACTTGGAAGAAGACACAGAAGAAGAGCTGGTACGCAAGGTCCTGGAACGGCGTGACCAGGGTCCTGACGATGCGGAAGAGGAGGATCCTGATGCCAGCGACAACGAATCTGTTTCAAGTGCGGATAGTGATGGACCCGACGACGAGCGCATCAAGGACTTGAAGCAGGCTGTTGTCACCATGGACTCCATGCTGGACGTCCTGTTCGGCTACTACCATCCCATATTCACAAGCGGCATGATCCTCGACGTACGAGACACATTCGAGCATCTACTCGCGCAATTCTCCAACACCATCCTCCCCACCTACCGCTCTCGCCACACGCAATTCCTGCTCTTCCACTTCGGCCAAGCTTCATCATTCCTCATGGAGCGCTTCACCAGCGTCTGCCTCGACCTCTCCTTCGACAAGACACGACCCCACATCCTACGGCTAGCAGCAGCATCCTACCTCGCCAGCTTCATCGCGCGCGGTGCTCATGTCCCGCCCCCACTCGTCCGCCAGATCTTCGACCTCCTCCTTGAGTACCTGGAAGACATGCGCCTGACCTACGAGCGCACCTGCACGGGCCCCGACCTCCGCCGCTACGGCGGCTACTACGCCATCGCGCAGGCACTGCTGTACATCTTCTGCTTCCGCTGGCGCGACCTGATCCGCAATGCAGACGAGTACGCCGACGAAGACGACGAGAGCTTGCTCGACGGTAGCCGCGAGCTAGTCTGGGGCCACCGCACAAAGGAGATCCTGACCCGGAATGTCTACAGCAAGCTCAACCCGCTCAAGGTCTGCTCGCCGGCAATAGTGGCGCAGTTCGCGAAGATCGCGCACCATCTCCATTTCATGTACATCTTCTCGCTGCTCGAGACGAACAAGCGCGTCAGGCTGTCGCGGGCCGTGGGGTCCGGTGGCGCGGCATACGGCGGCATGCCGGAGCGCGAGACGGCGCTGTCGGGGCGCAGTGGGGAGGCGTCGTTGCAGCTGGATGCGTATTTCCCGTTTGATCCGTATCATCTTCCGAGGAGTAAGCGGTGGTTGGAGGGGGATTATAATGAGTGGAAGGCTCTGCCGGGCTTGGAGGAGAAGGGAGTCGAGAGTAGCGAGGAGGAGAGTTCGGAAGATGAGATTGAGGATGGGGAGGTTGATGGAGACGTGGCGACTGAGTCGAGTGGGTAGACTTTATCGTTGCATTTACGCGGAATGTTCATTTGATGAAGGCTTGTTGATGGGTTTTGGTTGCATAGCGGCCCGGTGTTTTGGAATCGTCATTGACTGCGGCGTTTCTGGCGGTCATGCTGTCTGCCCCATGCTGAATGCTGCATTTCGCGCAGTTTGCTTCGCCATGAACCTCCGAATCGTCATTGTTCCTTTTCGGAGTATGTTCCAGCTCCATAGCCAAAGCCTCCAAGGACTGAAATCTGAGTGATTTTTGTTCCCATTCTAATTCCTTCTCAGTCCTTCGCTGCAGTGACTGCTTTTGCGGGTGTGTAAAGTGTCCTGGGTTGCTGGGTACCGCCTTCTTATGGCGGCGCTCCAAGTAGGCCTCTACGAAGAAAAATGTTCTTGTAGCAGCGATGCAAAAAGGAAAGAGTGGAAAAGAAACGGTCCGAGCAAAAATCGAACCAGAACGTAACTGCCTTTTCATGGTTACGGGTGGATGGCTTGCCTGTAACCGCATACCCTTTTGGGGTAGCAGGTAGCAAGTACCTGTGTCCCGCATTCGCATGAGCCAACGTACCAAATCTGGGATTTAAAGCAAGATCCAACTAGTCGTTTTATATAGTTAGACTGCCTAAGCCTTAGTCTCTTCAGCCTTGTGTGACAGAAAATGCAGCTTATTTCTTGTGTTCAATGAATGCATCTTACAATAAATTTTGAATCCGGTTACCACCATCTTCAAAACAAATCTAACGTTCGCAGTCGCACTCCATCTGACGCTGCCCATCTCTCGAGGGCACCTGGGCAGACTCTGGGATACTGCTTGTCTTAAGGGACGTAGCTCGAAAGTCCGTCGTAATGGAGACAGTTCTTTCGTTTTTTCCTCGTGTTTTCTTACAGAAGCGCAGAAACCATTTACGTGAGTGGAATATCCAACAAAACGACGAGAATCCTCCAAACTCCTCGGCATCGTCGTACACGCAGCCGCGTTCCACTTCTTAAGAACCCAGCACAAGATTCAGCCTATTCACCACATGATGAGCTTCCCAGCGCGACCACCACAACCCCCTACGAACCTCCCCTTTCCACACGTCGCATTCCCATCACAGCCCCGTGTCCATCACAGCTCACCCCCCCCTCCCCCGTAGGCAGCACTCCTACAACCCAAGCGGATTGCTCCCTGCCCCCCTCTTCGCCACCATGCCGCCCGCAAGCCCCTTGGCCTGGGCAACGGCGCCCTGCGCCGTGCTCGCCAAGCCGAGCGGATTCGTGCCCGTCGGGGCGCGCGAACCCTTTGCGTTGGTGGCGTCCTTGATGCTGTTGCCGTAGCCGCGCACGCCGTCGGCCCAGGTCTGGGTCGTGAACGCCACGCTGGGGGGGGTTCTGTTAGTGTTGCGTCATGACAAGGGAAGTGTGGGGTATTAGGGGGTGGCGGGGTGGAAAGAGAGTTGGGGGGTTTGGGAATTGGGTGGGAGGGCAGACAGAGTATTGAGGGATTGAAGGAGGGAGGGGGGAGAGTTGGATGCTTACCTCTGACCAACACCCTTGCCCGTGCCGATCACGGTGTTCCCGACCCCGGTCACGAGACTGCCGACTTGGGTCCCTACGCCTGCGATGGCGGTCTGCACGGTGCGGTTCAGCCAGTTGCCGGTTTGCGCGACCGCCGAGGGCGCGCTTTTTGGTGCGGAGGGCTTGTGTACCGCGGGAGAGGGTGTGGGCTTGTGCGCTGCGGTGGAGGGCTTGTAGGCGGGGGGCTTGTAAGTGGAGGGAGTGGCCTTTTGGACGGTTCTGTTGTTGTTTGTGGTGGTGAGGGCTTTGCTGGTCGTAGGAGCTCTTCTGGCGGTTGTGGGAGCTTTGCTTGTGACGGGGGCGCCGGGCCTGCGCGCCGGTGGGCCGGTTTGGGGGCGCTTTGTGACGGTCGTGGACATGTTGGTGGTGTGTTGTAGTGTTGCAGTATGGGAATTGGGACGGATGTTGAACCAAGAGCAGTCTTCAAAAGAAGAAGTACACAAGTACCATCAGCAGGTTTCTGTGTGATGGCCATTGCGTCATAGGGCTTTTTCGTGCGTCTGCGGCTCTGGTGGAGAAGACCCTGAGCGGTCGAGCCGCCACCAAGCAGCCTTGCTGCAGGCCGCCGACTCGTCGGGTGCAGCCGCCACAACGCCCCCGGCACTTGGGCTTCAGGAACAGGCAATCACCACCACCTCCCACCGCCAAAACAACCTCCACAACCTCGCGATACCACAGAGCACGTGTCCCGTGACAGCAGCTGTACTCGCGACTACGCCATCCCTTCCGCTTCTCGATGAAACCTGCATCCGCCCCGTCGAATCGGCTTTGCTCCAGGATGCTTGGCACTCACACGTCGGGCTCCAGCAGTGTCGCGCCCATCCCATCCTGACCGACGAGGCCTCTCTCCGGGAAATGGGTTTGCGCCCATCGCATGTCGTAGCCGTGAGCTGGTACCTGCATTAGCGTCGAGGTACGCAAGAGTTCGGTGTGAGTGAACTCACCTTTTCCAAGTCAACATCTTCACCGCCATCCGAAAGCCCGCAAAATAGACAGAGACAGACGGGACTGGGACCGGGCCTGACCAGCCATGGAGGACCTCCGCAGAATTGGCGGAAGCCTCCAGAGAGGCCTGCAAAGGGCCACGCGCCGAGCGAGCAGAAGCGACGGCATGACTGATGGCACGGACAGAGATATATATGAGCAAGATCTAACTTCACGTGTAGAGCGTCCGAAACCTACACTCCGCAAGATTAGCTCTGCCCCGGCGGATTACGCCAATCACTCCTTCCGTGACCCCGAGTACATAGGGCAGCTGACCCACGACCGCGCCCGGCACACCGTCATCCGAGTCCAGCCGACTGTTACAGCATCTCCGAGCGAAGAGAGTCCAAGGACACCATCGCCATTCGCCGATCTGCTAGTTACGGCGCAGGAGCTCGCAGACTTTTGGGACTCTCCCACATACTATTCCGTCCAGATACCCCCGCTGTCAGCCACCGCAGACATGTCTTCAAGCTTCCTCGACCCACGCGCAAGCGTGACAGCGGGCACAAAGCACAAGCAGATCCAGGCGGCGAAGGAGATGCAGCAGGCTGTCCTCGAACGAGCTCAGCGGACCGGCAAGGAACCGCCGCCCTACGAATTCCTGGAGCTCATAGGCAAGGGCAGCTTTGGCAGAGTCTTCAAGAGGTTGCACCCACCACCTTCACCGCGGGAACCTTACATCCCCTAGAGGTACCAGGAGGCTGACAGTCCGGTGTGCAGCAAGAACAGGAACACCGGGGAACTGGTCGCCGTCAAGATCACAGAGATCGACAGGTCAGACTATGAGGAGCAGGACCTTGGCTCAAGAGACGATACGTTCAAGTCTTTCCTCAAGGAGGTCACTATCCTACAACAGCTAAAGGACAGCAAGGCGCACAACGTCAACATCATCCATGAGGCTTTCTCCTTGCACTCGCAGTTATGGCTGGTCTGTGAATGGGTTGCTGGTGGAAGCGTGCATACCTTGATGAAGGCTAGCCCACGTGGCCTCGAGGAGCACTTCATAATTCCTATCGCACGAGAACTGGCCGTCGCGCTGAAGCACATTCACGATGCCGGAATCATACATCGTGATCTCAAGTGTGAGCTACCCGCCCACCCCACCCAGAATACAAAACAGTGAACTGATGCGTGTTAAATAGGTGCAAACGTTTTGGTAGCGGAAGATGGCCGCGTGAACTTGTGCGATTTCGGCATATCCGGTGTTCTTGAGAGTCAGGTGGCGAAGCGGTCAACAATCATCGGCACGCCAAACTGGATGCCCCCTGAACTCCTGCTGCAGATGGGCCAGGCCGCAGCTACCGGCTATGGCGCCGAAGTGGACTGCTGGGCGTACGGTTGTACAATCTACGAGATGGCCACTGGCATGCCCCCGAATGCCAGGATAGCTCCCGCCATGATGGCGACGATGCGCGCACCGCGTCTTGAAGGCGGAGATTACTCTGATGAACTTAGAGACTTTGTGTCATATTGTCTGGAAGAACGTCCGAAGGACCGTCCGCGGATGGAAGACATTCTCAATCATCCCTTCCTCGCTAACACATCCAAAAGCCATCCCACTGAGTCTCTTCGACGGCTCGTGGAGCGTTACCGGTCCTGGGAGCTATCGGGTGGTCAGCGCATGTCTCTATTCAATCCATACGGTGCTCAAGCTCCGGACCCTCTGGCACCTCAGGCAGAGTTCGATGACGAGTGGAACTTTAGTACTACCGACGAGTTCGAGAAGCGGTTCTCCATGCACAGCAGCAGGCTGTCGGATCCGTTCGAGGAGAAGTTTCAGTTTCCCGCCAATGCTGCGCCAGTAACGGCCATGAAGGACCTCACGCCTTTCGAGAAAGCCATGGAAGAGGAGAGAATTCGAAGAGGTGGACGAGCCATGGAGAAACTCTTCAATCCCAACGCAGCGCCCTACGGTTACGATTTAGGTGACTCCTCACGACCACTCTCCGACTTACCGTTGCGCAATATCGAAAACGATCGTTCATCGCAGCGTCTCACTATGATCGATCTCGATGAGGCTGGTGCTGGCTTTACTGAGGTGCCAAGTCTCGACCTGTCCGAGATATCTACTCTGAGGGCCAGCAGAGCGAATCGCTTCCTAAAGGATTCTGACGACGAAGATGAGGAGGAACAGAATCAGCGCGAGCAGTTGACGCGGCGTGCCACGCGAGATTGGACGTTCCCAAAGCCAGCTGCAGCATCCCAATCGAACCGTCGGACTCGGGATTGGACATTCAGCAGTGCCCTGGCCGAGGCCAACAGTCAAGATTCAGGTTTGCCTGCTGGTCAGATTGCGCGGCGCCGTGCAACCAAAGAACTAACATTGCCCATGTTAGCAGTCCCATCTGCAGACAACCCTAATCGGCGGACGATGGAGTGGACCTTCTCGACTGCGCGTCCGGCGGGTGGCCAGGAAAACGTTGTGCCCGCTCAGGAACCTCCTCTAAAGCCGAGACCTTTCCCATCGCCTGCCCTAGCTCCACCGTTTCGCCCGCAATTGAGGCATGCCGCCACAGAGCCTCTTGACGCCTTTCTCCCCGAGCCACTCAGCGCTGCGCCAGAGTCGCCCAACCGCACTTCCATGATCGACCTTGACTTTGCTGACCCAACAGTGTACACGACCACCTATCCTGGCCAAACCATCACAGTATCCACTATTCCATCCGCCGTCCCATCACCCTCTACTCCCCGATCTGTACAAACAACGTCGACATCTGGCCACCCTTTCGACCTAGAAGACCAAGTACAGCTATCTCGAAACAGCAACCGCGCTTCTTTTCACATGAAATCGCAGTCCGAGCCAGTCCACGAACTACCCGGTTTGCTAACACCGGCCGAAATCATTGATCCAGACTCATGGAATTCAGATCAGGACACACTTCACAGCCGCGCCATAAGCCAGTCGACCGTCGGCTCCGCCACCAGCATTCCTGCCACCAACCGCCGCGTCCCACGCCGCCGGCACTGGGAGAACTTTTCGCAGGATTTCAGCCGGCCTATCGCTCCAGTTGCTGCTGCTGCACAGGTAGCAGATGACAGCGACCACTACTTCAGCGAAAGCAACTACGACACCGACGACAACAACAACAATTACGCCAACCGAACTCGACAACCTCACCACCAGCATCACCAACAGCAGCGACGTCGTCTAGCCACCCACCGACCCCTGAAAACCAGCATCCCGATCTTATCCGCGCCTCCGCCGATGGCGTACCCAGACACGGAATCCGACACCGAACCCACCATCCGCAGCATCACCACCGCAACCCAACGCGTTGATCGCCAGCGCAGACCCGTCATCGCGTTACCGACTCCTCGCGCCCCGGAGCCCCGCATCCTGAGGTGGCATGCGGAGCGTAGGCTTGTGGGACGGGAGAAGAGGAGGACGGGACGTGAGTTTGGAGCTGCAGTGAGGAGGACAAGTGAGTTGTTGAGGGGGCTGAGGGCAAGGAAGCCACCGGTCAAGAGGGCTAGGGGAGGCACGAACGGTTCGGCTGTTGGGGGTGGGAGGGATCCTGGAGGTGGAGTTTAGGGCAGTGATGGACGCGGCGTATGAAGAAACTGGCCGTCATGAGCCCGATGGGGGAATATTTGGCGTTCCTAAGATAGATGATTTACTTGCATGGCGGGATCCTCACGGCGGACCTTTGCTGGCAGAGGCGGGAAGCTTTGTATCCTGCCTTAATGCTTTGTACAGCTATGGAGCTGAGCTTGCGGATAGCTGAGATGCTGCTAGATAATCAAAATAAATCTGACACGTACGCGACACATCTAGGTTCCTGTGCCACCCACCTAGGGCCTTCGCACACGAGCATTTCTTGTACAAGAAACGAGGCTCTATAAGCTTACCACTTCCTTTAAACGTTTGCTGAAATGGTGTATTGTTGCGGGTCAGCTGATTTTAAGGGGGAATATGCAAGGGTAAGTCTTCAACTTTGCAGCATCTATTCGCTGCAATTGAGGCCGTCTAATTTACAAAGAGTTTGTATCGTCCATGAGGTATGTATTTGGATAGCCTCCCTCAACTTTCGGCCCTGAATATGGTTATTTTGAGGCAGTTGTTCAGATAACCTATCCCCTGCAAATGGCGCCTGCTAACCACCGGAGGTTTCTGTATCCTGTACTGCCGTCGCCGTCTCAACAACTCCACGCGCGATCCATCGACAGCCATCTCACGCAAAAAACGACCAGAACTCCATCCACGACTGTCCGTTATCAGCCAGAAGCTTGGTGACTAGCGGCTTGTCGACGGCTGGCACCTTCCAATCGTGGTTGGACAGAGATATCGTAGATGCATGGGCGATCAGGTACCCCGGACTTCTTCGAAAGAGCCTCCTCGGGGACAAGATAAGGTGCCGTTATCTCACGCGGCGGTGCAGAAGCTTCTTGGCGCCTTCTGATTCATGTATGCCGCAGTCGCTATCAAGCCGCTTGTCCTGTGGTAAGGTCTCCGTTGTTGCTGCACGCCCTACCATCGCATATCGCGTTTGTCACTTATCCGTGAGAGAGCGGTAATCCAAGGTGGGTCATACTTGGGCCGGTCCTGCTCCTTGATTGCGCTTTGAGGAGTGTGCATGATATGCCTTGTATTTTGTGGGATCTTTGGCCTGTAGCCCGGCCTGACAAGCACCGACTTGAGGTCGGAATAAAGGTTGAGTGATACCCTGGCGTTAATGTCTCTCATTGAACTTTTCGTTCTCTATCTTCCGCAGTCACCTCGTCATGAAGTCCCCTTCGCCAGGAATGCTTGCTTCAAGCAGTGTCTTTGCTTCCCTTCTCCTTACTGCAGCTGGCTCCGCCATGCCTCGTTCTAGCTATGTGTCGTTTAACGGGCCGTTCTCTGTCGAAGCCAATGGCATGCACAATATAGAGATCTCATATGCTGGAGCACCAGATGGGGAGCTTTCCATCCACTACGGGTCATGTGATATGGGCCACCATACTGAAGCAAATCATTGCCTCGGAAAGACCCATATCGGAAGCCATCCATTAGCGAGGAGGCACGTAGGTTACGAAGATAACCGGCCGACGAGGTTTGTATGGTTGCCTCCGTCAGATACACCGAGCGGCGGATGCCTGCACGCGTATATGGGAGAAGAGCTACTGGGAAAGTCGGTGCCCGTAACGTTGATGAGGAGGAAGGAACGTCGTGCTACCGCGTTTGCTGATGTTGCCGATCCGATGGGGCCGTGGTTTGATGGGGTTGCATACTTGAAAGAGAAGGAGCCTGACGCTGTGTTTGTTGCACAAGCGAAGAACAAGACTGTTGGTATCATCGGCGGAGGCATGTCAGGGCTCATGACCGCGGTGAGCTACGAACCAGTGCCAAGACTGTCTGAATAGCAGGGCTGATTGGACTTCCAGTATCTACTCGAGTCCGTCGGAATGACCAACTGGAAAATCATTGAATCATCAGGCCGAATAGGCGGACGCGTGCACACAAGCTACCTGAATGGAACCGCCCCAGAGGACTACCAGTACCAGGAGATGGGACCCATGCGGTTCCCCGTCAGCATCTCGGGCCCGGATACAAACGAGACGGTCCAGATCCTCGACCACCGCATGGTCTTCCAGCTTGCTGATACGCTTAACGCTATGAACGGCAACGATTCTTCATTGGCAGTGAACTTCATCCCTTGGATCCAGAGCAGCAGAAACACTCCAGTGTCTACCCCGGCCCGAAGGCCGGATGGCACTGTGCCCTCGCGTGGTGAAGTGGCCGCCAATCCTGAATTGGCAAATAATGTTACCGCCACTTACTCCAACGCCACTGCGGTTGCCGAAGCTGCGGAAGCCTTCGAGGAGTGGCTAGGTTTGGACGAGGAGAAGATGAGATCAATCGCAACAAACGTCTTCCGAGCCCACAAGCAGGCCGTCCAGGACGGAAACTTCAACTTCTCAGAGGCCCAATATCTACGTTATGTACTGGGAGTTGACCTGAATATCACCGATCAGGTTTCCTCGACATCAAGCAACTACCCATCCTGGGCTTACGACGACGTCTACTTCTCAGCCACAGAATGGCGGACCATTGACAAAGGCTTGAGCCGGTTACCATACGCCTTCACGCCGCTCGTGGAGAACCGCACAATGCTCAACACTCGTGTAGAGGAGATGACCTGGGATGCAGACGCGGAGAGGATGTCAGTCCACTGGCGGTCCGGCGACCTCTTTTCCATGGAGACGTCATCTATGGAGTTCGACTACACCGTCGTCTCCGTTCCCTTCTCCAAAGTCCGACTCTGGCGTCTCCCCTCCTTCACCTCCCTCCTCTCCCGCTCCATCAACACGCTCAACTACCAGCAATCCTGCAAAGTAGCCCTCCACTACTCCACGCGCTTCTGGGAGCACCTGGAACGGCCAGTCATAGGCGGATGTGGCAGCAGTAATATTCCAGGCGTGGGAAGTATCTGCTATCCCGCCTACGCAATCAACTCAACCGGCCCCGGTGTTCTCCTCGCCTCCTACTCCTCCGGCACACCCGCCCGCACCCTCGGCAGCATGACGGAAGAGCAGCACGTCGCCCTCGTCCAGCGCGCCATGGTCGAGGTCCATGGCCCCGTCGCCGCAGAGCAGTTCACGGGCATCTACGACCGCATCTGCTGGGAGAACGACGAGCACCAGGCCGGCGCGTGGGCGTCGCCGCTCGTCGGACAGCAGGAGCTGTATCTGCCGGCTTACTACCATACAGAGAAACATACGGTGTTTGTAGGCGAGCATACGAGCTTTACGCATGCGTGGATCTTCTCGGCGCTGGAGAGCGCGGTTAGGGGCACGGCGCAGCTGTTGTTGGATATGGGGCTGGTGGAGGAGGCGAAGGGGGTTACGCAGCAGTGGATGGCGAGGTGGATATCTATGTAACGTGCAGCCTGTAATAGAAGCGTTGGGTGGGCTGCACTACGAGGGACGAAGACAATGTGCTATGATTATGAATTTGATGATAGAGAACGACCTCGGGAGCTTGGACAACATGCCGTCACAGGTGCAGTGCGGATGCTTACACCTCATGGCTTACCATCCATGCCCGCTAACCCGACAGTACTCGACACCTCTGTATAATACTCTGTGTCTCCCAATCTCCCCGACCTGAGATTGTGACCCCAGGCTCTTAGCCCCTGAGGATACCTTTCCCCCCGCCTAGCCTCTATTTCCGAAGATATCGAATCTCGAGTCGACCTTCCGATGCTGGGGTGCTCTTGACCAGAAGGGAATTTCGTATTTTCCAATCCCTGCATCTCGTCAACCTGAGATCCAAGGGCCATCCGAAAAGACCGTTGCCGCATCTTTGCTTCAGCTTGCCCAATACCAGATTCACGATCGGACTGGACTCCTGATCTTTGTCAATAATAGAGCGGCTAGATAACTCCATCCAGAAAGCTTGTTACTGCATCTATTCTCCAGCTTGTTTGATACCAGATTCATGATCAAACTGGACTCATGGTCTTGTTAACCGTAGAGCAGCTAGACAATTCCACATGATAGAAAGCAGAAGACGTCCAGCAGTTAGCTCTCTTAATGCATCGATTGCCTAAGGTGTGTTTGATCTATAGACTGTGCTTGGAGGCTGTCCATCTCTACGGCTATGAGTAGCTTCCCATGCGGCGACGAACTTTTCATATGGCCTTTGATCTGACGTTCCCAAATTCTTGGCAGATTCCCACGTGCCAAGCCGTCGTGGCCACGCTCGCCCCGCGATACTGCACGTCATAGCTAGCGGGGCTCCTGCATCATGCTCAGGAACCGGCTTCGAAGTTCACCGGGAAGACATAATTGAGCAGCTTCTTCGCTCTTTAAATACACAACTGACGAGGCTCAATTCGAGCAAGCCATTACTTTCAACTTCACCGGTGAGTTTATGTTCGTATTGTGGTTCGTCGTGGCATGCTGTTCAGTTCAGCGTCCTCTGTTAAGGGCTCGCAGTCCGTTTTCTAGCAGCTTGACCCTAGGGCCTCTCCATGTAGCACAGACTGGAGGTATCTACCACCAGCGCCCCTCCGCCTGCACACACTCAAGCAGTCATTTGAATCTGTCTGATGCCCCAGTTGGCTGCCTCAGCGCTCACTCTTCGCACACTCGATTCTAGCCTTATCCGCCTCTGTGTCACTGATCTAGTTTCTGGGGAAAGCACGCTCAGATCCACACAGCTCACACCAGCACAGAGCACAACGACATCATGTCCTACAACGACGAAGACCCCCGCCGCGAGCGCGGTGACGATTATGACGAACGCCGCGGCGGAGGCTACGGCGAGGGCCGCGAGGAATATGGCCGCGAGGGTGGATACGACGAGCGTCGTGGCCACTCCGGCGGAGAGCGCCGTGAGGAGTTCGGCCGTGAAGGCGGATATGAAGGCGGCCGCCCTGGAGGCTATGAAGGAGAGCGCGAGCGAGGCTACGGCGGTGGACGAGACGAGTACGGCGGCGGCCGTCCAGGCGGCTACGAAGGCGAGCGCGGCCACGGACGCCCGGAAGGCTACGAAGGCGAACGCGAGCGAGGCTATGGCGGCGAGCCCCACCGCCCCCGCCGCGACGACTCCCCCGGCTACGAAGATCGCCGCCGAGAAATGGCCGAACATGGCAGCACCGGCTACGGTGCGGGTAATCCTGCCCACGGCGGGCCCAACATCCGCGCTGACCGGCCCGGCGGGGACTTCCACTACGGCGGCGGCGGCTCTGCGGGCGACAACTATTACGACAGCTCCAAGACCTTCGGCGAGGAGCGGTACGCCTCGACCGGCACGGGCTACGGCGGTGGTGGCGCGCACGGCGGGTACAGCGATGACTTCTCGGGCGCCGAGGACCGCGCGCTCGAGTATGCGGGCGATAGCGCGGATCGGAGCCTCTTTGCCAGCGCGCTGGGTGGCCTGGCTGGACGGCGGCAGAATCTGAGGGATGAGGATCTTGATGAGGACGATGCGGTACGTCAGCACCGGAGCATGTACGGCGACGGCGACGGCGACGGCGAGCGTGGGTTTGGTGGTGGATATGGCGGCGGACAGGCGTCGTCGGGCAATTTGGGCGCGGCGGCAGCGATGCAGGCGCTCAAGATGTTCTCGGGCGGCTCCGGGGGTGGCCACTCAGCGCCCCAAGGCCAGAGCCAGAATGCGTTCATCGGTATGGCGATGGGGCAGGCGGCGAAGCTGTTTGATCAGCAGGCTGCGGCTGGGAAGACGGTATGTTCATGTTCTTCGTTGGATACGCTGTTCGGGCTTTCGACCCGTTTGAGGACGTCACTAATAAGAATGATAGACTCCCGGTGCTAACAAGCAGGACGCTGTGGGTTCCGCTGCGCAAATGGCAATGAAGATGTATATGAAGTCTGAGATGGGCGGCGGGCACTCGTCTGGAGGTGGCGGCAGCGGTGGCGGCGCTGCTGGCTTGCTGAATCTGGCAAGCAAGTTCTTGAAATAGGGTTGCGCGAGGGAAGTGCAGCGATGACTGCTACAGGTTACTATGTCAGTCAAAACCATACATGCCTTAGGCATTCTAGAATTTCTTAGCTGGTGTCCGGACCCAGTGCTCCTGCTATTGCGCTTTTGATAATCTCGTCTCACTACCATGCTCTGGTAATCTGCTTCTCCTTTACAGAGCACGTGATTTGCACGGCTAAAAACATCAAGTGAAATTGGTTATGTCAAGCGATAACGGTTGCAACAAGAGGCCTTGAAGATTCGGGGGAAGTTGGCAGCCGAAGTTTCGACATGCAGCTAACCAAGCTCGCATTAAGTACACTACACATCCCCCCGCACACCAAACAAACGTCACGTACTTACGTTGCCGCTCGCTTTACAGCAAAGCGGCCTCCACGCAACTTCCTCCCTCGCCCAAAGTCCCAAACGACTCTGCCAGAACGCTTAGAACAAGCTCGAGCATCCCCAGTACTGCTCAACACCAAACGCACCCGGCTTCTTCCACGCATCATCCTCGAAGCTGAAGATAACGCTACGGCTCCCAGTCTCATTCAAGATGCTCTCAATCGCCGCCTTCTGCTCGCTGTGTCCCGGCACCGCCGCACCGTTTGCACCGCCCTGGCTAGGCCAGCCGGTCTCGAGATTGTAGGCATCCTTGCCCGGGCAGCACTTCGCAACGAGGTCGAGCTGGCCCTTGACAAAAGACCCGGCACTCTCGGGGGTGACGCCCGCGTTGAAGAACGGCTGGATATTGGCCGCAACGACGTCGATAACGCCGCACAGAGCACCAGCGTTCGCCTGGAGGATGTTCAGCGTCTCGGTCGTCGTGATCGGGGCAGTGCACCCGGAGCCGGTGAACGCGGCGCGGCACTCCCCAATGAACGCCGCGAGCTGCTCAGCCGAGCAGTACCCGTTGAAAACAGCCTCGTTGCCAACGACAACCATGCTGACGAGGTGCCACTGCTTCCAGGCAACAATGGCGTTGACCTGCTCGCGGGCCTTGGGGATCCCGGATCCGTCGATGAAGACGCCGATGATCATCTTGAGATTGTGGGCCGCGCAGGCGGCGCCGATGTTCTCGAGCCCGGAGCAGTCGGTCGCGTAGAGGCGCACGGTGGTGAAGCCTTTGGCGGCGATGGAGGCGATGTCCGACATCACTTCTGAGGCGCCCTTGCACTGGCCCCCGGAGGTGTAGGGCGTGTAGGTCATGGCCCACTGGTTGCCGTTGGTGGGGATGTGGCCGCTGGGCTTGGCGGCTTCGGAAGAGGTGGGAGCAGGGGTGTAGGTGGAAGGAGCCGAGGGAGTAACGTAGCTCCATTCTGGGGTCGAGGTCGAGTGGGCTGCGGAGTTGGTAACCGGAGGGGTGTAAGGAGCGGCCGGGGCGGAGCTGGTGGGGTCCTCTTCCTCGGACTCGTCGCCGGAGGTCTCGGCGTCCGAGTCGTACTCCTCGGCAGGGCCGGTAGCAGTGGGTGGTGGAACAGTGGCACTGCTACTAGACATGCCAGAGGAGGTGTACGGGCAGACGTAAACTTCCGAGGTCGCGGTCATGGTCACGGTCGTCTCCGGAGCGGTGTACGTGCCCGGCGGGTAGGATGTGGGGGTTGGGTAGATGCATGTGGTAGTCTCGCTGACGGAGGTGCTGGTCGGGTCGACGAGAGTATAGGTACCGGCAGATGGGCAGACATAGGTGGTTGTCTTGACGACGCTCGTCGTCGTGCTGTCAGTGGTCTCAACGGTCGCGTATGGGCAAGTGACCGTGGTTGAAGTGGTAACAACGGTGGTGACGCCGCCGTAGGTGCAGGAGCCCGGGGCGCAAACAGTGGTGGTGGGAGCGCATACGGTGGTGCTGGAAGTGAGAGTCACGGTTGTGGCTGGGAATGTATACGTTCCGGGCGTTGGGCAGACAGTCACAATCGGCGTGGGGGCTGGGTCCTTGCTCGAGGAAGAAGGCACAGGAGACGGCGAGACGTGCACTGTCGATTTGACTGGCGGTGGGTTTGGCACCACTGTATTCACGTTAGCAAGCTGTTTCTACCTTTCCCCGTCTAGCCTGTACGTACGCGTCGGCTCTCCGTAGAAATACGTGGTATAGGTAGTGCATCCGCACGTAGGATACGGAGCACCGGTGCCGAGAGGCGCACTCGGCATAGCCTGATCGGTGCCATACGGCATCTTGGATTGCCCGTAGTTCATCCTGCGGTTATGAAGACCAACATGGCGGTCATGGAGGGATGCGGCGGCCGAGCCGGCCAAGAAGGCAACGATAGCAGCCTTCATTTTGACGGTATTATTGAGAGTATTAAAATAGATTGAACAATATCACAGAACCTGACGATACGAAGGAGTGCCCGCTGAACGAGTGAAGCGGTAATAGAGTAGAGAGTGACAGAAGCACAACGTCAACTGTTTGATAGAGATGTCCCGAAGTCGACCTAAACTTGAGAGAGCCACCAGCAGCGAGAAGTCGGCTTTTGCATGATAGGAAATGAGTGAGCTAAAGCCGTAGGGCGTTAGCATCAGGGGTAACCTAGAGATTGGCGTGGGCTGTCCCGCTCACTGTCCCCGGGGCGTTCGGCGGCTCAGCAAGCGACCAAGGCGAGCTATTCTCGGGGAACCACTCCATGTTTAGCTAAAGGGAGGCAAACATAGGAAAGGTAGACGAGGAGTGGAGATTGCAGCTGGCCGGGATAATCTGGGGAAATCATCCGAAATGGTCAAGGCTGGCTGGGCGGGCTAGACGTGGTTAGGAGCAATCTCGCTTTATTAGGAACGTGACGGTCCGCAACAACACCAGCATCGCTGTGCGGTCGGGACGCTTTAGAAGCGCTCGCCTTTCCTGAGTGGGGCAGGCGGTGATGCCTCTGTTCTGCTGATGTTGAGATCCATGGATGGGGAGATGCTGATGGAAAGCTCACTGTCTTGGATCGACAAAGGAGCCGCGGAAACTTCGGCGAATCTCTGCCCTTCGACAGAGCGTTCCTGATCACGCTGATTAACGCTATGGATGCTTCAATATTGAGCCCACCTTAAGCTTCACTGCTCCGACTATTGGAATGCATGTTGGAAATAGAAGTCGCTGGAAGCGAAGGGTTTCGTTACTTGATACGACGGCAGTTTGAATTTCAACGCGATGTGAAAAGTAATACTGAAAGTTGAGAACTCTATTCGATTACAAGTAGTATCTCTATGGGTATATGGCTCTGCTCGTTCTCTGAACAGCTCCAGACGGTTGCTTCGCAGGATCTTCACTTTGAGCTCTCGCCATTGCGAGTTTTGAGCTTGGTCCAGCCGTTGACTCCCCGCGCTCTACCAGCTTCCGTCTGCGCCGATTCCTGCGTCACCGTAGACTGGCTGACAACACTACCACCATCTCGAGGCTTGTCTGTAGCCTTCTGCGCTCGGGCTCCTATCACTTCCGGCTCCTCGATCAACGCTCCCTCCGCATCTGCCCACTCCTTCTCATCGAGCATCTCCCACTCGATGTTCTGCATGTTCTCGGCAAGAGTGATCTTGACTTTGTCGATGAGCTTCGTCGGCGTTCTAGCCTGCCAGTCCCGCATGTAGTCGTTGCCAGCCGCTGCTCCAAGGAAGGAATGCGCTGTGCCGTGAGAGAAGTGGCCGACCGTTACGCTTGGAGATGATAGGAGTGGAGTCGCTTGACTGTCAGGCGCTGGAGTGACCGACCGAGAGCTGTTGTGGCGGGTCGGAGCTGGCGGTCTCGCTACGAGAAGCTGGTGGAGGTTCTTCCCCATCTGGCATATTGCCTCTAGGTCCGCGAACTCACTACGCATGCCCTGTGTGTAACAGAGCCAGGCAATGTCCCATGCCAACAGCGTGACACCTTCCACAAAGACGGAGTACGCCGCCGGATCCTCCTTGACGAGCTTCGGTAGAGGGCTGTGGATGTAGAGAGTTCGTGGTCTCGGAGGCGGTCGTCTGTGCTCAAGCGTACGCGATGCAGCGGGACTGTTTGTGGACGACGCCGGCTCGCTTGATCCTGGAAACGATACGTCACGCGAGGTGTAAGAGGAGCCCAGTGAATATATCGTAGGTAAAGGCCAGTCCTTGTGAGGGAGTACGATCTCTGCAGGAAGGCGGAGGCCGAGGTAATGAGAGATCTGGACAAGGAGGCGGGCAACCAGAGTTAAAGAGGCCGTAAGCTGGCGAGGCGAAGCAGCTGTCCGGAGTTAGCGATAGCTCTCGTAAATACAGGATTGCGGCCATGCTCACTGTGCAGATTCCTGAGATCGGTAATGGGAATACCCCCAATGAAGTAACCCATCTTGCATGTGCCATCCCTGCTCATACGCTTTTGCTCTTTCAACCCAGCCAGCTCCGCCGCAGCCCTGCACAAATACATCCTCGCGTCCACAGTCTGGGTATGTGTCCGCTCCAGCCTCTGATTTGCGTGTCGTACACTCTTCAAGACCTTCTCTAGCTCGTTGTTACGGCGTGCCTCGACATCGTGGTTCGCGGAGGCAAGGTCGGAACAACGCCGAGCCATGGCTTCTTTCCTTGCTGCCATCTCCTTCTTGACCTCCTCCATCTGCCTTTTGAGGAGCTCCACTTGCTCAGTAATCAGGTTAATACGCTCTGCAGTTTGGGTCGTCTCTGCTACGGTCCGTTCGAGTCTTAACTTCTTTGAGCTCTCGTGGGTGTTGACCAGCAAGCCCGACAGCGAAATACTCTGAGCAGCAGGATCGGTCGTGCCGTTCGCCACAGCCTCAACATGCTTCCCCAGCTTCTCCTTGTCGAGTAGGGTGGTTACATGCTCGATGCGCAGCGGGTACAGAGCAGAACGCGCGCATGTTGCGCAGTGTAGCGGCACCTTGGGCCCAAGGCCTTTCCCACATATGTCGCAATCCATCTTAAGTCACTTCGTCGGCGAAAGGCTGGTATTCGTGGTTGGTGAGTCTAACGTTGCGGACCATGGTGGGTATATGTTTCGACTGCCTGCCTGACGGCTAACGGTCCATGGAGAATTAGTAATAGTGAACCTGTTGGAGATTTCACACTTCAGCAGCCGGCGTATGGCTAGCCATGTCTCGTACACATGCGTCTGTGAAGAATATCTCAGTCTCTGTTGTATGATCCTTGGGCGAGGGAGCATCTCGGTCAAGGGCTTGTGACGACTTCAGCCCTGTGAGATGTTCGCTGCCGTATCTGGACTAGCGTTTTTTTGACGCGACCTCACCGCGACTCGTGATTTCCGTTTGATGCTCCAGCACAGGATTATCGAGTACCTAGGTAGCCTCGCAATGTTCACTGAACAATGAACAAGGCTCGATGAGCAGCAGCCTGCCATCGTCTCCGCCAGAAGCCGCACTCTCGCTCAGTGGCGCCAAACACGAGCAAAGTCTTAGCCCACCAAACGAGGTAGAAGATTACCATGTTATGAGGCCCGACGATGCCCAGAAGACATCCGGAGAAGCCTCGTATCCAAGCAGTAGAAACTCAGGCACGCCGACGCCTGGAGACCTTAAACAAATGCCATCAACACCTCCCACCAGCGCGCACCAAGGCGCAAGTCAGGGACAGAATGGAAGCAACAGCAGTCAACCCCAGGCAGACACTGTACCATCTGATCAGAGCCCGGCGGATGAGAAAATCCCTGACTTTGACTGGGACGATCTACTCATCAGGTACCATAAAGTCATGGAAGCGAGGAACGCCGAGGAAGAGAAGGTCTACGCGGAGTTCGCCAGTCTGATAAACGTAACGTCTTCTAAGCCGAGCACTTCTACACCCCCTGACAGCTGTATCAGTGTTTCACCCTCTGGGCACACACGACGTCCATCCATGAAGTTGATCGCTCATACAAGCGGTAGGATTCTTCAGTCGTGTCACCAGCTGTCAAACACTTACGCATTAGACTACAGACTTAGGACGCGTATTGAACATGTACAGCGTTCTGAGGGCCAGCTTGAGCAGAAGAGGCAGCACTGTATGTTCCTGCCACGGCCTCATCGTGGATTAAGCTAACCCCAGTCTGGATGTACGGGTTGTGGCAGCATTCGAGAGTGCGATGAAGCTCCTTACCGGATGAAATCTCGAGCTCTAGTAACAAGTTTGGGCCATCCAGATGCCTTAAACGCGATTAAAGCACCGCAATTCGGATTTCAGCTTGCATTGCCCTGGACCAACTCGCTCAAGCGAGAGAGGAACTGCCACACCTTTCCGACCGCTTCAGACTGGTCGCTGCGCGTTCGCGTAGTGGTTGTTGAATCTCGAAAGCTGGATATCGCTGACCAAGCGCCATGCCAGGAGGTGCATCCGGCACGATGTACGATCTTGTAGTATCCTTACGTTCGTAGGGTTGTTGCAAGAAGGGTTCGTGAAGGTGTTGCCTGGGGGAGAAGAACATGCGGCTACACGGCGGCTTTCGCTTTTGCTTTTGCTTTTGCACTCATGTACCCTAATGTTTCTTGCTGCGCTAAGAAAGATAATGGGTGTTTGCTATTACGTCCTCTGCGGAGGAGGCAGGCAAGACAAGGGGGCGTATCTATGGCACAGGGCTCTCAACAGAGAACCATCACTGCTACCACGCAAACTAAACGCTAGGTATTTCCTCGAGATATATCAGAAGCAGGTTTGCAGTGAGCGCCTCCGCCTGTGATTGTACGCACGTGACTTGACGTTACTCAGCATGGAGAAACTTCCGTCCGGCGCTGGTAAATCCCGGCATCCTTGCTGGACCCTTAAGCCAATCGTGATAACGGGAGATCGCGCTTGCGTTGAATCCGGTAGAGAGGCGCATCTCTGCTGGCCCTTGTCTGCTCTCGATGACAGCCCTTCCGAGGCTCTGAGAGAGGCATCGTGTAATTAAAGAGGCGACAGCCACATTTACTCCAGCCTTACGCAAGCGTCAAGAACAGTTTTGTGGAGTGGAAGGTGATGGAGTTGAGGCTGATAGGAAGCCGAAGAACATGGAAAGCCGCCGAATTTTGGTTTTAGCGCGCCCAAGATAGAAACCCCGGTTGCGCCTCGCCTCGTAGCAGTCTTCAAACTTCAACAATAAATCCTGCCTGCCTACCTTCAGCCTTGCTGCAGCCTACACGACCCACCCAGCCGCTTAGACACCTTTCCGCGTAGACTCCTACCTGTCTACAGCGAGAACCCGCACCCAGCAGTCTTCTAGAAGCTCCGCGAAGTAAGAAATTTTCCATTCGTTGGCGGGCTACCAGCCTTACGGCACCTCGCTCTGACAAAGCGCCAATACATCCGAGAGCGTTCCAGTGGTTGGCGCACTCGCTTCTGGCTCTCAATATATAGCTGACACTGAGTGAAGAACAGCCTCAGCGCTGCGATCTCCTTCAGTCACCTACCGAGCGCTCTAGACCTCCTTCGCGGGACGCATTCCTAGACCCTCTCCAATCCCTCACTCTCTTCGAGCCTCGACTCCAAAGCGCTCACAACCCGAGATTTCCCAAACATGGTGAAGGAAACAAAGTTCTACGAGCTCCTTGGGGTATGTAACTCCAAGATTCCCTGCAATGGCACGAATTTCACTAACGAACTCAGGTGTCACCAGATGCATCCGACTCACAGCTCAAGTCTGCGTACAAGAAAGGCGCACTAAAACATCATCCTGGTATGTGTTGCTCTCAAACACTTGCACTCGAGCGACTGCTTACAATCTGACAGATAAGAACGCACACAACCCAGAAGCCGCAGAAATCTTCAAGGAGCTCTCGCACGCATACGAAGTCCTCTCCGACCCACAGAAGCGCCAGATCTACGACCAATATGGCGAGGAAGGTCTTGAGCAAGGCGGTGCCGGCGGCGGGGGCATGGCAGCAGAAGACCTCTTCGCACAATTCTTCGGTGGTGGCGGCGCATTCGGCGGCATGTTTGGCGGCGGCGGCGGGATGAGGGATACCGGCCCAAAGAAAGCGCGGACAATCACCCACGTCCACAAAGTATCCCTCGAGGACATCTACCGTGGGAAAGTCTCCAAGCTTGCACTCCAAAAGTCTGTCATCTGCCCGAAGTGTGATGGCCGTGGTGGCAAGGAGGGTGCTGTCAAGAAATGTACGGGCTGTGATGGCCGTGGCATGAAGACCATGATGCGACAGATGGGTCCTATGATCCAGCGCTTCCAGACAGTCTGCCCAGACTGCCAGGGCGAGGGCGAAATCATCCGCGACAAGGACAGGTGCAAGCAATGCAACGGCAAGAAGACGATCATTGAGCGGAAGGTGCTGCATGTGCACGTTGATAAGGGCGTCCAACCTGGCACGAAGATCGAGTTCCGGGGTGAGGGCGACCAGCTACCGGGCGTGGAACCAGGCGACGTTGTGTTTGAAATCGATCAGAAGCCGCACCCTAGATTCCAAAGGCAGAAGGACGACTTGTTCTACCACGCCGAGATCGATCTTCTGACCGCGCTGGCCGGAGGCACACTTTACATCGAGCACCTCGATGACCGATGGCTCACAGTCAACATTCTACCCGGCGAAGTCATTGCACCTGGTGAGTAGCTAATTCCCCGCATCCTATTCCGCGAGCTTCATGGCTAACAGGCACCAGGCGCCGTCAAGGTCATCCGCGGCCAGGGCATGCCATCTTACCGTCACCACGACTTCGGCAACCTTTACATCCAGTTTGACGTCAAGTTCCCCGACCGTATTGGCAGCGCTGGTGAAGAGGGCCCAGAAATGACCCCAGAAGACGTCGCTGCGCTTGAGCGTATCCTGCCACCAAGAAAGGACCAGCAGCTACCACCTCGCGACGCCATGCTGGAAGACTATCCACTTGAGGACGTTGACCCGACGCGAGAGCAAGCGCGTGCGCGGGGCGCCATGGATGAAGACGATGACGACATGCATCCGGGTGCTGAGCGTGTGCAGTGCGCGTCCCAGTAAGCGGGTCTGCGGTTGAAGTAATGTATCATGACATCGACGAATATCCGCCATGGACGAAGGGCGACACAGAAACGCTCCGTGATTCTTTTCCCGGAGCCACTCGCATGCTGGTAACGTTGCAGCTGCGCTTGGGCTGGCAGCAGGAGAAGCGAAGCGGAATGCCGGGCATGCGATTCATTGAGTTTTACAGTTTGTTCTGCGGCGTAGGGCGGGTGGATTACTTTTTGCCTTCGATCGATACTCATAGACGGCATCTAACCTTGCATCTCTTTCTTGTTTTCGTCCCTTTTCATCGGAATAGAGCAGCATCTTTGCGTGCATGCTGACGGCACTCTTACCATGGCGGGGTCCGAAAGTTTCTTTTGCAGCTTCGAAGATCCAATTGTAGTTAAGTGAAATTATACTTCTTCCAATCTCAAGCTGTGACATGCGTTGTCGAATTCAGACTATCCTCAAACTTGCACACTCGTGCAATATGTTGACCTAACAAAGATGTAGGTAACTGACTGCAATGCCACAGTGTCATCAACCTGGAACACTCCGGTGTATATCAACACTGGCCAACGGCACAAGCTGAATGCTCAAGATTAGATGGAAATTATAAGAGCAAAGGTCAATATCACGTGAGCACCGCCTCTGGGACCTCGGAAGCATGCCAAGCATCTTCAATCCGTGCTTAGCGGGCTCCACTGCCAACACGAATTCAAACATGGCCGGCTCAGTCATCATGGCTACTTCAGCGGAGACGCTGGAGCAGTATGATCGCCAAAGCTTACGAACACCCCGTTGATGGGCACACCGTCCTACCAGTTCTTCGTCCTTTCCTCCCCGACAGTCTTCCCTTGTACCGCCGTCTACAATTCCCGTACCGAACTCAAAGCTCCTATGTGGTAGCTACAATTCCGCCGCCAGACATTCTAGCAGAAGACGCAGCTGGAAAAGTGCCTCAATGCTTCGCCGTAGCCTTCCTCGACCGCTCCCGACGTCCCGAAACCGAGCTCTGGATTTTCCTTAGCGGGCAGGTGCCAGGGCGATGCAGCGGCCCCCCGGGTGACGGCAACAGCTGTCCTGCGTGCAAAGAAGCTGTTCTAGCAACCCTGCGGCACATCAGCACTCTCCCACTCCCCGAACCCGTCGGCCCTGCCCTCGCCTCGGCCACTGAAAACGGGACCACTGATACAACCTCGCAAGAGGAACACCTCCGCCACCGCGACTCGTCGTTCCCCGTCTCGTCGTACCTCTCCCACCTCGCGTATCCGTCTATCCTCCTCCTCGGCGCCGCGCACGATCTTCCGGTACGCATCCTAGAGCAGGCCAACCTTATACGTACCGAGTGGCCGGGGATAGGTATCCCCTACCTGAAATACATCTTCCGGCTCTCAGATCTCCCTCCGCCGCATGAGCTGCCGCAGGATCTTCGATGGGGCGAGGTCAGAGGCCAGGACTGCGCGCTTGTGCAGGCCAGGAGCGCGATTCCGAGGACTGTGGATACGATTATGCGGATGCCGAGTGTGGCGGTCTTCTCCTCTTCCTCCTCGTCCTCCCAGGACGGCATGAGATCTGTGGATGAGAGGCATCGAGCAGGGGGTGAGCAGCTGGTAGCGTGGGCATTCATGGGGCTGGATGGCTCACTGACGGCGTTGCATGTGGAGGCGGGGTTTAGGGGCCGGGGACTTGCGAAAGCGGTTGTGGGAAGGCTGTTTAGAGAGCATTTGAAGGTATTTGGAGAGATCGGGCTAGAAGACAAGGGGTGGGCGCATTCGGATGTGGCGGTCGAGAATTGGGAGAGCAGGGGCGTTGCGAAGAGCTTGGGTGGTACTGAAGGATGGGAGGTTTTCTGGGTTAGAGTTGATCTAGAGAAGATAGAGAGACGAGCTGGCGGTTAGGCTGTCCAGGTCTGTCAGCCGATGACTTGTAGACATAACTGAGGTCCCTTAAGTAGGATCCTGCGTAGCAAATATTTGTCTTAGTCACGTGGTAGCCGTTCGCCTAGTAAGTCATGAGTGAATGGGGGTGAAGACACGCAGTCCTTCACGCCCATCAATCAGCAGTCGCTACTACAATCCAAGGTCTCACTAACGACTACCAGGAACTGTCCTCTCTGCGCGTCAAACAAATGAACGAACAGCACAGGTCGAGATAGCCGCCAGAATTTCAAGATGCCAAAGCACCTGCAAGTGACCCCCAACATAATAAAGCTCCAGTGTCTCGCTGCGCTCAGCTAACAAGCTTGGTAGGCGCTTCACCAACGATCCAGAATATTCGGACCTCACCGTGCGTTGCGGACGAGAAGTCTTCTATGTACACAAGTACATCGTTTGCAATGACCTGGAGTACCTCAAGAAGGCTTGTAACGGGAAGTTCAAGGTGAGCATGCATTGCGGCACCGTGAACAGCTATGAGAACACCAGCAAGCTGATAAGCAGTAGGAAGGACTAACGAATGTCATCGAGCTCCACGACGATGATCCGTCGGCAATCAAGTTGATGCTGGAATGGATCTACAGCGAAGAACTTGCCTACTTCGAAGATGATAACCCTCCCAACTTCCACAACATCACTATGGATGGCTTCCGTCTGTACGTGGCTGCGTACGTTGTCGCTGACAAGTACGGCGCGGAGTCTTTGAAAGAGGCCATCGAGAACAGATTTCGTTGTTGCTTATACCACACGAGCCTAGCGCACGAGCTCGTAGACGTCTCCCGGCTTGTGTATTCCACAGTCCCAAACCAACAACTCCGCGACATCGTGGCAGTGGCTTGCGTAACCAGGTGGAAAGACTTGTTGAGACATGATGGCGACGGTTCCGCTTTCAAGGCGTTGCTCGAAGAATGCGAAGAGCTGTGGAAAGACATGGCGCAGGCTTCCCCTGGAGTTAACACATGCGCCAGTTGCTGGCAAAACACAAGTTAGCCTGTGCTTGGACGAGCAGTGTGAGCTATAGATCATGGGGGCTTGGCGACGGTTGATACCCTCTTTCTACATGGTTGAGCTTGAGAAATCATCACTTTGTATCTACTTGGTTACCAGGCAGATCAAAGATGCCTCAGGTACCTGTGCGTGGGAGAGCTAAGATATTAGACATCTTTTGCTCTTCATCGCACGAAATCTGGCTAGCTGTTAGCCTGTTACTCGATTGACAAAATCATAAGTCCGGTTTGGTCATGAAACTAGTGTTGAAGAAGCCCAATCAAAGGTGTGGCAGCGCACTTTTCGAGTGGCCCTTGGACATTGGGATTGATCCTTTGATCTTCATACATTACGTGACTTCGATCGAAGTAAACTAGCCGATTCGCCTTCCTTGTCTCACGACGCAGATGCTGTTAATCCTGAAGTGGGATTATCAGCGCCGGAATCTCTTCAGTGTGCGCTAAGGCGGATGATTACGATGTGGACTTCCATAACCGGATCGTTGACAAACTAAACATGTAAGAATTCTAACTGTGTATCATATAGATACTCGGTTGAGTTGTTTGACCATTGAACCGAGCTTCTTCATTGCCAGGTCCGATTCCATCAGACTATCTATCTAAGGAAGATCGGGTTGGTCAAGCCCAACATGGATCCCGTTCCGTTGCGAACCTCCACCCTGATCCAGTCCGCATCCGGCAGTTGATATTCGATATCGCCGCCGCCTCGGATGTTCTCCTGGTGTACAATGCCCTTCTGAGAGACAAAAGAGGCTTGACCTCCATCCAAACCTTCAGTCCGCAGCACTGCTCTTGCGCCTCCTTTAGCGTCTACACTGTCTCCAATCTGGGTTTGCCGGTGGCCGTGTGTGCTGACAGACAAGTGGATCTCCATGTCGGGATCACGCACAACATATGCTCGTCGCCTGCGTACACCATCCAGTATATCAGCCGTGGCCAGACTCTCAGCTCTCACTACTGTAGTCGGCAAGGCAACAACATCGGGATCGCGATGCGCGTCACTTCCACCGATGGCCGTAATGTGATAGCCGTTGGCCAGCATTTCCTGCCACTTCGAGACTGCCAGTTCGTCCGTCCTGTCCCACTGCCCGTTCCAGACCTCGATCGCGTCCCAGTCATCGTAGCTGAGAGTCCAATTGCACGCACCGCATGCGGCAAACGGATGGTTGATCGAGACGACTCCGCCACTTTTGCGGACTTGCTGCTTCGTCTCCCTGAGGCCTGGTTCGTCTTCCGGATGATACCGGAAGTCTGTCCACTGCCACCAGTTGAGGCCGAAGGCATTCCAGTGGCCATGGCGAGTAGTCACCTCGATACCGCGGCCGATCAGCAGGTCGGGTGGAGCGACAGCTCCCCAGATCAGGTTGGATGACTGAGTGTTGTGGTCGGTGCTGAAGAAGAAATCTAGTTCCCGCCGCTGAGCGTACGCCACGATCTCCTCCGGTGAGTACCTGCCGTCCGAGTGATAGGTGTGCAGATGAAAGTCTCCACGATACCACGCTCCTCTGTTCATGTCGAAGTCCTCATCGTCGCCGGGGCCGACCCTGTCGCTTGAGAAGGCGGATTCGAAGTAGGATGTGACTGGCTCAAAGCCAATCGTTACGTTCAGTTCATAATCGATACCAGCAGGGGTAGAGGTGTAAGGACCCAGGATGACATTCCATTCGCCCGGCCAAAGGGCCCCAGCAATGTATCCAGGCGTAGCACCCGCTGGAGAAATGGTAAAGTTGTTTCTGAATCCGCCGGACCAGCCTCGAAATCCGGTCGTGCCGTTCTGGCCATCGGCAATGTTGTAGCCACGGGGGTCGAAGATACCGAGATCCAATGCGTTTCCCTGGCCTCTTTGCGTGTAGTTTTGAAGGACGTAGAGAGATGTCGCACCAATGGGTACTTCAAATGGAACATACACAAAGGTGTAGACCTGGTCCGGATTTATGTGCCCTCTCAAAGTCATATTAATGGGCGCCGTGTCGGAGATAACACATTCAACAAGATTGAAGAGGGCCAGAAGACCCAAACTCAAACAGAAACACCTCATCGCCGCGATTTGAAGCTATGGGTAGTCGCTCCAGGAAGAAACGTTGAGAAAAGATCAATGAAGCGATCAAGAGACTCAAGAGGATGGGAATTGTCCTGAAATACATCTCCACTGTCCACGGACCATGACGAAAGACTGTAGATCCGAAAACACATGAATCTCCAGAGCCAGCTCGTGGGATATTCCATACCATTCATTGGTGCTACACGGCAAGAGAAGAACCAAACCAAGAGCACGTGGGAGGATAAAAGACAGGGAAAGCTGTAAGCTCACCTCCCGTCCGTCGGTTTGAACTCAGACTAAGAATTGAGTCGCAAACCTTCAAAGAGTTTAGCACGTTTCGGCACGCATGTACCCCGCGTACCACATCATCTAGTCATGTGACCGAGCTCTCCGAGGTTCAACAGGTGTCATAGCTAGATGCACGTAGAGACTCCTTCATGCCGCCCGAATGCATCTAGACGTTGGACTTGGCAAGGACGTAACGGTGATCCTGCCACAGACTATGCGCCTCTGGAAAATCAAGATAAGAAAGTGACCAAGTTCATAACTGACTAGCTTGAACGGATGTAGAGTCCCGTATTGATGGAACGGCAAATGGCATGCGTGCTGTTCGAGAGGTGACCAGGAAAGGCAGCGATCAAAACATAGACGCCATTCAAAACCTCACCCTCGCACAATCATGCCTGATCTCGGCTTCCAGAAACGCGCATTACCCAGTGTAAACCTCCACGCCAGTTGGTCCCTTGCCGCCATACACGCCCTTATCGACTCCTGTAGGTAGAATGTAGTAGTGCGCACCATCTCGTATCGCATCGACTGTACTGTCAACCTTGGACCCTCCGTTCCGGTCGTTGGAGTGAGCGGTGATGGTATGAGACGCTCCTCGTGCAGTACCCCAACGTGCGCTTCTTGACCTTCTCCTTACTTGGTACAGGCCGTACCTAAGTCATCCCAGAAATCATAGAATTCACCGATCAGTCCTCTAAGAGCATCTCTGGTACTCTCGAAGCTGAGCAGTTCCTGGAGCCTTGGCACGCAAACCTCTGCTGCCCACTTTCGAACTAAGTAGTCAAAGTCCCCGTGGGTATTCGAATATGCGAGTTTCGTGCGTTGCAGGAACTCGTCGGCCGTTGAAGCGTGGCGGAAGTAATCGCGGATCTTAGTCTCTAGCTTGTCCTTCCAAGACAGTACATCGTAAATTCCTGCAGCATGGTACTCTTCGACGGTTTCGTTGAAGTCTTCCTCGCACGTGATACTACCGGAAACGACGCCGGAGTACATGTACTGCAACATAGCTTGAACTTGTTTGCGATTGAGAAAGAGCTCAATGGTACCGCCATGCTCTTTCTGCATCTTGTCAGTCCTCTCGCTGCCTTTTTCCCGCGCCTCAACACTTACCGTTGCCTCCTCGCTAAAACATCCATCAAAGTACTCGGATTGTCCGTAGACGATGATCCTGTGGACGTGGAAGGATTCGCTCTCACAAACGACGGTGAGATCAGAGAATTTCGGGTCGTTGGTGAAGGTCCTAGGCTCATTAGCTCGCCTAAACAATCAAGTGAATAGATCTTCCGACAAGACGTACAGGGTCTGAGGCATCTCGAAATCTTCCGCGTCTGTTTGGTCTCTTGACTCTGGTCCAATGTTCCGAATTTCCGTTGCTCGAGTGGGGGAGGAAGACGGAGTTTAAAAGGTCCTGACACACGTAACTTTCGTTTGCTCGCTTGCGCAGGAAAGATTTCGAACTTCACTGACGCTCACTCAGAGTGCATCTGTGCTTGGCTGGGCGAAGTGAAATCATTCTCGGTGCAGCTTTAGTCTTGGAAATAGCTTTCATGAAGCCGTACCAAGGGTGATTCACTTCATTAAGGCGGTGCCAGTGCCAGACCGCGCCACGAATGAAAGGTGGGAAAACTGCTACTTCTTCGCAAAAAGATCTACGGACCATTTGAACGCTTCCACACTCTTTCAAGAGCAACAAATAAAAGGGCGTTGAGTGGAGGCAAGGAGCCAACACAACCGTGAAGATGCCCCAGAATATGTGAGTCTAGTTCGAGAGTTTGTTCATCTGATGCTGCAGAATCGAGCTCACAAGCATGCCTAGCCCCTTCGAGAATGACCCGGAATTTTCCGACCTCGTCCTCCGTTACCAGGGCAAAAAGTTTTACGTCCACAAGTTTATCCTCTCCTTTGAGTGCACCTGGTTTACTTATGACCTCAATGGCGATTACAAGGTAGGCACGAAAGCCGTGAAAAGGAAGCGATGACAGTTCAAGGGCTAATGAAAAGCAGCAAGAAATCGAGCTCGAAGACAAGAATCCTGAAGGGATCCATCGCATGCTAATGTGGTTGTACAGCGGCACAACCTACCCCGTCGACTTCAGCAGTACTGCGGAAGACATTCGTGTGTGGATCGCAACGTGGGTTACTGCCGTCAGATACGATCTGGGCGATCTTATACAGGCACTAGAATCTCCACTCGAAGAATCCAAGCCAAGTGAAGCGGAAGATCTCCTGCGCTTCGCCAAAATGGTGTACTCCGCAACCGATGATCAGTATCCTCGCAGGTTCATTGCAGGCATTTGCAAGTCAATGCTTCCGGAACTGATCTCCTGCGACGGCACCGGCCAATCATTCAAGGCGCTGCTCAACGAGTTCGATGATCTGTGGATGGACTTAGCCAAGGCTGATCAGCATGAATGGACTACTGATGCTTCGGCTTGAGCTGGAGACCCGCTATGAGCTGTCACTTATAGGTTTCCGGAGCCTTGCAAGGCGAACTAGGGCACACGAAACATGGAACATCTGGAAGTAGGACTTAGCTAGCAAACCAAAGACCTCACCGGTTAGGAACGTGCGCAGAACCAGGCAACACTTCAGAACTCAGACGATTCCTTGGCAGTGTTCTCAGAAATTAAACAGCAAGGGCGGTCAGCTGTCGCTTGCGCGTTGATGGACGCTTGGGAGATTGATTGAGGGTACACACAAGGCAGAGCGCATCTGCAAACAGAAGTCAGCTAGCAAGCCAAAGATTTTCATTGCAGGAACAAGGTATTTGTGAGAATGCGTCATGAAAAAATTAGAGTGTTGTTGTTGCTTTTTATTCCTCATCGAGGAACTCAGGGTTAAAAATGTCTAATCATCCGCAGGGCAGGGTAGAGGTGAACAGAGAAAACAGGAACGTACCACAATCACATGCCCTAGCAAGAACATCCAATCGCTATGTCAGTGCCGACGACAAGTGTTCACATGCAGCATGCAGTTCATTAGGTTCAAGTGTTTTTCTTCATCGCCGAGCTTGTCTAGATTCAAGAAGCCGCACGTTTCTCTTCGACCGCAATCACAACCTGCCACAGCTACTCTAGTCATCACCGAACAAACCGAAGCCCATGTCCTCATCCTCCTCCTCTTCTTCCTCGTCCTTCTTTTCCTCCTCCTCGACAGGCTTGGCCTCGTCCGTAGTAGTCGGGGCATCACCGCCAGACGGAGCAGAACCATACTTGTCGGGGTTCTGGATGCGGTCTTTGAGCTCGTCGATGCCTTCCCAAGAGTAGTCTGTCTCGACGGCAACGGCCAGCACATTCTTGTATGAGTTGACGAGGGAGTGCATGACGGACGGCAGGGTGGGGAAGTTGATGGCGAGCGAGACCGTCGCGATCGTGGTGATGGCGCTGGTGAAGGCCTTCAGGAGCTGCGACTCCTCGATGTCGAGGACGCTTGCGGCGAAGGTCTGGCCCTGGTCGTAGATCTGCGAGATACCCATGCCGTAGGTGAAGGGCGAGATGTTCAACATGTTCAGAAGGGTGGCTTCTGAAGCGCCGACTTTGCTGCCGGCCTCGACGATCTTCAGGTCCGTTGTGATTTCGATGGTACCTCTGGCAATCTTGGTCGGGACACCGAGAGCCTGGAAGAACGAGGTCTTGCCGGGCTCCATACCAGTGTTACCGGCCGGGACGAACACGTCGAGAGGCGCAACGGCGCCGGCACGAGCGGGAGCGGCGACACGGTTACTCAGAATCTTCTCGCGGGTCTGCTTCAGGTCGCCATTGGTGAAGACGAACCCAACGTTGCCCCTGACGTGCGGCAGGAGGCGCTCATATTCGGGGAAGTCGCTGATGAAGCCCTTGATGGCACGGCGGACCTGATTGACGCGCAATGAGAAACTGTCTAATGGCTTCTTGATCGACGTTGTTTGCTTACCACTGGAAACATTTAGGTCAGCATAGCAATCCTCACGACAAGAACTCACGGGCAAGGGGGACTAACTCGTGTTCTTGCCCATCAATACGACACCCTCACCCCGCAGGGACCTCCGAATCTCTTCAAGCCCATGAGTCAGCCAATTGTAGACGAAATGTAGTTCCAGGTCGGTATACCGTGCATCTGCTGCGAGGACACATTGTCGACCTGAAAAAACGCGTCAGTTCTCCAATTCGGAACCTAGCATTGGCGGATCCTGTGCGAAGGCGCGAATGCGAGGAGTGTAGAAGAAAGTTCGCTATGCGATGGACCAAGGTTTCGTACGTACGGTGACAATGAAGATGGACTTGTACTCTTCGAGAAGGCCTACTTCGAGTCAGCGCTTGTGCCTGTGGAGAGCTGCAGCATCCACTGCCAGGGCTATGCGAGAGTGATTGCGCCTGGTGGAAGAATCAACTGACCCTTCAGTTTATCGAAGTAAACGGCCTTGTTGTTTGTCCTGCCCCCCATGTTCTTTAGATTAGAATAGGGATTTTTAAGGTCAAGATTGTTGGTGTTGTTGTGCTCTCGTTCTCTGTTGCTGAGATGTCGTTGTCCGTCGTTCAAAATGGCTGTGTTGGAGGTGTTGCAAGCGAGGCGCTAGCGCGCGCCAAGCCTCCGCCAAATGTTCCTGAGAAAGGCGCAAATAGCATCACGAATTGCATCTGCCTTGTCAATAATGTATTTCCAGCCGTATCAATGCCTTCAGGCTTGCTCACCATCGGAGGGCCCGCGCACATCTATGCTGCTTGCCGCCAGCGGCCCGAAGATTCTGTCTATCAGCCTTCATGATGGAAGTCTCCTGTCAACCTGGCCCGAAACTGCATCAACTTCTACAGTGAGTAATCCGTATTAGTCTGCCTCGAAGAAGAAACTACAGAGTTGCCTGTGTTGAGATGCTTTGTTGCAGACATGAACATGAGTGAAGGCTGAGGCTAAGGCTCACTCAGGAAGGGGATCAGGAAAACGAAGAGCCGGAAGGACCTCCCGGAAAGAGGAGGAAGCTTGATGCTTCGCCTGAGAAGTCTCCGAATGTAACCAAGTTACTCGTTTCGCACTCCAACGAACATGTCGTTGCCGTGACTGGCGAGGACAAATGTGTCCGAGTCTTTGCGGTCAGCTCTAACGGGAACCTGGAGCAACTGAGTCAAAGGTAGACCAGCTAGATGATGCGTTAGCTGAGTACCGGACACTGACTTTGGTAGATGCATGCCCAAACGGCCCTGCGCGATCGCTCTCACAGCCGATGATAGCACGATACTATGTGGCGACAAGTTCGGAGATGTATACGGATTACCCCTTTTATCATCACCAGAGGCAGATGCGGCCGCAGCACGCCAACAAGAGGAGGCAGCAAGCAAATCATTCGTCCCATCCGCTACTAATCTCACTGTCCACTCTGGTCGCAATCGGAAGGCGCTCGAAAACCAACTGAAGTCCGCAAACCAGCAAGCCAAGACTAAGGAGCCGCTCAAGTTCGCTCACGAGCTGCTGCTGGGTCATGTGTCGATGTTGACGGATGTTGCATTCGTGGCCTTCGATGAGGCGACATCGCTGGATCGCAAGCCTCGCAGTTATATCCTGACATCGGATCGAGATGAGCATATCCGGATCTCGAGAGCCCCGCCGCAGGCTCATATCATTGAGGGCTATTGCCTGGGTCACAAGGAGTTCGTCAGCAAGCTCTGCCTACCTAGGCCAGGCATTCTCGTCTCTGGCGGCGGTGACGACGAAGTGTTTGTCTGGTACTGGCAAGGGCAAGACCCACGGTTAACAGACAAGATCAACCTGAGAAAGGCTGTTTTCAAGGCGCTGTTGAAACAGCCGGCCCAGGGCGCTACAAAAGTGGCAGAGGAGGACGTCACTATCGCTGTGTCAGGCATGTGGACGTTCGAAAGCGCCGCACGTAACGAGGTAAGACAAGTGTGGGCTCATCTCGAAGCCTTGCCGAAGTTCTATGGAAAGCACGACGGATAACACTTTGCACAGACAGATGTTCTGGTCGCTTGCGAGGGTGTTCCCGCTCTGTTTTATTTCTCGACCCTCAATACCGGAGCACTCCAGCGCGGAGCGGACCTGAAAGTCCTTCCCCTAAGCGGTAATCCTGTGGACGTTGCTGTATTAGAAGACTCAATCGTTGTCTCAATTGACAACTGTCACGAATCAGGTTCCATCAGCGTCGCGCGTCAGGACCAGGTACATGCGCATCGTTTGAACAGAACCTGGCCAAACACTGACAAGAGCTACAGACCGCAACATCCCGTCTTCAAGCTTTCGTGTATGCTCCAAACAGCGAACATGACTTGGGCTTCTCTTGGCGGTCGAACGAGAAGCTCGACGGACACCTGCAGAAGGCCAATAGCCAGCCAACTGCAGAGTCAGCGCCAGACCCCAAGGCCTTAGTGGACTTGCTCTACGGGATTGAGAGCTTGAGGAAGCGCGGAGGGGAAGAGGTTGAGGGCTCGTGAGAGAGTGGATTGTAAGACACCATAGGCACCATAGGGCTGGGACGGTCTGGCTGGGCGGGTGAGTAAGCGGCGGTTGGCAGGGGCGGAGACCGGGCGGTGATCGCAAATCTGATCGTCACGAGTCATTCGCCGCAGATGGCGCAACATGCAACCCAGCGTTCCACGGATTTTTTGGCCAACGGCCGCCCTCCCGCCTTAGAAATCAACGCTACACTCGTGACACCGTATGTACCTGGCTGGTTGTCAACACTCTTCAACAATCTGAATCCAAGCCCCCCACATCCTCTCCATCCACGTCGCACACCCACTGCCTTTTAGACCGCTTCCCTGCCGTTCTCACTGCAGAACATCACCCAGTCTCACCACCGTCCATTGACCCACTCCCGACCCTACAGAGACGGAGGCGACAACGACGTCACACTCGATCTTGAGTCAATAGCCGCCAAACTGTTCGCCTCGGCCTTTCGACGAGCGGCTTCCTCTCCCCTCCGCTCCTCTCTCAGCGTACCACTCGCCGCAGCAGCGTCTTTTCAGCAGAGACAGTCGGCGACTGCGAAACTTCCCCCAGTAGCTTCATCTCTGAACGGCATAGCCTCCGGCGCGCGCAAGATGCATTCGAAGCTAGTCAGTAAGTCAACTCCCGCTCTCTGTTCCCGGCCATTCGATGCTAACAGTGGCTGCAGTTATCGGGTAAGTCGCGCTCAATCTGCCTTCAGAATCATAATCGCGATGCGTCTATGGGAAGAGAAGATAAGAAAGAGAATACTAACCGTCTTATCGTGTAGCTCTGGCCCTGCAGGTCACACAGCAGCCATCTATGCCGCGCGAGCCGATCTCAACCGTACGCATACCCCCGTTCAAACAGACCAGTCGAGATGCTAACATAACTGCAGCCGTTATGTATGAAGGCTTCCTGGCCCTAGGAATAGCAGCAGGCGGTCAATTGACCACGACCGACGAGGTTGAGAACTTCCCAGGCTTCATGAGGATTCAGGGCGCAACACTGATGGTAAGACAACCTTGTTCGCCCCGTCTGCGGCGGATCGCCACTAACACTCGTATCCATCTAGGACCAAATGCGCGCCCAATCCGAGGCATGCGGCACAGAGATCGTATCCCAAACCGTCGCGAAAGTCGATCTTTCCTCCCGACCCTTCAAGTACTGGTTACATCCCATGGGCGATGACGTCGAGATAGAGGAGGAGACACATACGGCAGATTCGCTCATCATCGCCACCGGCGCGAAAGCGCGACGACTGGAACTCCCGGGCGAGGACAAATACTGGGGTAATGGCGTCAGCGCATGCGCGGTATGCGACGGGTCACTCCCAATGTTCCGGAATCAGCCGTTGGTGGTCATTGGAGGCGGCGACTCAGCGGTCGAGGAGGCGATATATCTGACAAAGAAGGCGAGCAAGGTGTACGTGCTGGTACGGAGAGATGTGTTGCGAGCGTCGAAAGCGAATGCGCGGCGCTTGACCACGAACCCGAAAGTCGAGGTCCGATTTAACACACAACCAAAGGAGATTAAGGGTGAGGAGAAGAAGGGTGGTCTCATGACGACGCTTGTGGTTAAGAACGGAAAGACCGGTAAAGAAGAGGAGATTGAGGCCAAGGGTCTGTTCTACGCTGTCGGACACGAGCCGGCGACTCAGCTGTTCAAGGGACAGCTCAAGATGGACGAGGATGGATACTTGATCACGGAGCCGGGAACCAGTCTCACGAACGTAAAAGGCGTATTTGCGGCGGGAGATGTTCAGGATAAGAAGTACAGGCAAGCTGTGACGAGTGCAGGTAAGCCCTTATCCATTAACGCTTTCCGGTACCAGAGAAAGCGATCTAACATTCACATGACAGGTTCCGGCTGCATCGCAGCGCTCGAAGCCGAGAAGTACCTCGCGGAGCAGGACGGTACTGTGGAACCGGAGCTCGAGGCCGAAAACCAGGCCGAGAAATCACAGACGAACGGCATTGTACCGGAGTATCGCTCGAACCCGCTACTCTAGGGTCGTCACCTGTGCATCACCTCTATTCATCCTAGACCCTTTGCTTCATCGGGTGTTCAGAGTCGCTCTCAACGACCCTAGGACCGCCCTTCCCTGACCTCAAACCATCTTGTCATCGCATCTCATTAGATTAGATCCGGAGATCTTCGTGTTCTTGCACTGCGCCTAGAGAGGCGCGCTCGCCTTTGGCTTTCCAGCATTGATCTCGATAGGACCTGTAGAAGGCTTAGTTCGGATTAGACCGTAGCATAGTCTGTGCAAGGCAGCACAACATAGAAGGGAAGGGCATAGCGGGCTGCCGGATGTTGGGATTAGCCCGTGGAACAAGGCCTTGCTATTCAATACAGTTCTATTTTCTATCACCCGCTGTATGATTGTGTATCTCCTGGAAGAAGTGCCGCAGATCATCAGGATCTACAAAGGGCGTGATACCGTGCCCTAAGTTCGCTATCCACCCCTGCTTGCCTCCGCCGAAACCCTTCACCATCTCCTTGACGACAGCGGAGATCGCCCCCTTTCCTCCGTACAGCACACCGGGATCGGCATTGCCCTGCAGGACCTTGCCATGTGTCTGCGCTATGCTGAATGCCTCCGCTGGATCGTGCAGCCAGTCCAAACCGATGACGTTGTAATTGGTGTTACATAGGTCCTCCAGTGCGTACCAAGCGCCCTTCGCAAAGACCGTCATAGGCACCACCTCTTCTCCGAGCTCTCTCAATCGATCCGGCAGGTGATCAGCAATGTACTGCAGGTAAGGCAATGCGAAGACCTTGAAACTCGACGGCGACAGCTCCCCCGCCCACGAGTCAAACACCTGAATCATCTGCCCACGCGTCAGCCTGCTTGCGTCCGATATCCCTCTGCACGATCATACCTGAGCACCAGCCACAACCTGCAGCGCCAAGTACTCAACACACAGCTCCGCGATCTTCTGCAACAGCCGCTTGCTCTCCTCCGCATACTTGTACACCCACGTCTTCGCCCGCACATACATCTTGCTCCCCCCGCCCTCCACCATGTAACACAGCAGCGTCCACGGCGCGCCACAGAACCCCAGCAGCGGCACCCTCCCCGCCAGCTTCTGCCGCGTGAGCGTGATCGCGTCGTACACGTAGCCCAGCTCCTTCCTGACATCGACCTCGCGCTCCAGCACCTCGCGGTACTGCGGATCCTGAGGCGTGAGAAGCGGGTGAGGGAAATGCGGCCCCTTCTTGTCCACCATGACGACTTCCATCCCCATGGCTTGCGGGATGACGAGGATGTCTGAGAAGATTATGGCGGCGTCGATGAGGTTGGCGTAGCGCTCGATGGGCTGCAGGGTCAGCGTCGAGGCGATTTCGGGGGAGCGGCAGCAGGCGAAGAAGTCATGATTGCCTTTGGCTTCGTGGTATTCGGGGAGGTAGCGGCCGGCTTAGGGATATCGTTAGGCGCCTGGATGGGGGTGGGGGAGGGGGAGAGATTGGGTGGAGGCACCTTGCCGCATTACCCACATGGGGGGGCGCTCGACTTTCTCGCCTATAGTGATGGTTAGAAGGGTTGAGATTGATGGAGCTTGGAAGGGGTACCTCGTGCAGTCCGCAAGAGCAGATCGTTCTGCATCGGCGCGAATTTGGGAGACATGGTGGTGGTGGGGTGCGATTGAGCTGCTCTGAAGCTTGAATACTCGTAAGATGCCCCACGATGAAGACATCGGATGGAAAATGTACCGGGGTGCTTGCCCCGCGCTAGTCAAGCGAAGCTTTGTGGCTTTGTGGCTGCTGTGGCTGCCGTGGCTGCTGTGGCCGTGCTTTCAGGGGCAGAAGGCAGCAACCTGCGGGAACAAGTGGAGCGGTTTCTCGGAACATCAATCAAAACCCATCTGAAGCTTCAAGGTTCCATTTCACGAAGAAGTCCATCTTGTGACTTAGCGTGTGGGAGTCTCCAGATGCTACATGAAGCCTGAGAAGAAGTCTGTCCAGATCACAAAAGATCTCTAGACGACCTGATCCGTTTTCATCCAGTCAGTTTTTGTGTGACCATCTTTTGTGTCGCGACAACTCTCGCGATATCGCCATCCTCGTCGTATTTTTGAAGTTCTCAGACTTTGTCAGGTGGCATGGTCTTGCGTGCTACTCGCCTTTTATATACAGCCCGTCCGCTGATTCAACTACCTCCATCTCAAGCGCCGTCTTTTTGCCCGTTCAGACGCATCTCAAGTGCACCATGGCGTCCGCCAACGTCGCATCGTTTGCAGAGTCCATCATGGAGATCAGAAGGTCAACGGCGCGGTGCAAAGACGCGTTCAAGGGCGAAGGTCACGGAGCTGCCGCAAGGCATCGTATCTTCCGATGCAGTAGAAAGAGTTGAGAATGACGGGCCAGGATATCCGACTGTGGTTCAGCAGGCATGGAACAACATGCGCAAGTTTGAGAACTGCGTGCTACTCACCCGTGTTGGCAGCTTCTACGAGGTAACACTCTAAATGGGTTCGACTGTACTGCCACAACCAGCTGACCATCACAAGCTCTACTTCGACAATGCTGAGGAATATGGTCCTTTACTCAACCTCAAGGTGTCGAAGAAGAAGACGAACAAGGGACCGGTGTCCATGGCAGGATTTCCGTTCTTCCAGCTTGACCGATTTCTCAAGATATTGGTCCAAGACCTCAACAAGTACGTCGCCATCAGCGAAGAGTTCGCCAATGATGCTGTCAAGAAGGTCAAGTCGGGTGGCCTTCTCTTTGACCGTAAGGTTACGCGGATCATCACGCCCGGAACATTGATTGATGAAAATTTCATGGATCCGTGGGAGAATAATTATGTTCTGAGCATCCATCTCGAAGATGCGGCGTCTCGAGACAGAAGAAATCCTGAAGAGCAAACGACTGAAAACGACGCTGAGTCCCTCGCCGAGACAGGACCAACGGAGGTAGGACTGGCATGGCTTGATTTGTCAAGCGGAGACTTCTTTACGCAAGCTACGGACTTCCCCTCGCTTTCATCCGCTATTGCCCGGATCGGGCCTCGGGAGATAGTTGTTGACAGCAGTCTTGAGAGCATAGAGCATTCGCCTCTCATGTCTCTGCTAAAGCAGGATCATCACATCCTGACCTACCATAAGACCGCCGGGCATGCGATCTCGATCGAGAGCTGGACGCCAATGCTCGAAGATCCAGTCTCGAAAAACTACGCATCTGCATTCACACCAGGGGAGATAACAGCCGGAAGCTTCCTCTTGGACTACATCAGGACTCGGCTTCAAGGATCTACAACGAAGCTACAGCCGCCAGTCCGGTATCAGAACACTGAATACATGACGATCGACAAGAACACACTGCGTGGTCTTGAGGTGCGGGCCACTCTACGAGATGGAAACTATCAAGGTAGCCTGCTCCATGCTATCCGCAAGACGGTCACTAAGAGTGGTACTCGGCTGCTCACTCAGAGACTCAGTAAGCACTTACAGTTCACCTACTTCCCTCTAATGCAGCAGCTGGCCGGATACTGACTCGCCCAGCTACGCCATCCATGTCATTGTCTGTCATCAACAGCCGGCTAGATCTAGTGTCTGAGTTGCTTGGACACACAGCCCTACGACAAGATGTTGTGGTACTGCTGCGCCGCACATACGACACGCTACGGCTTGTGCAGAAGTTTGCCTTCGGTAAGGGTGATGCGGATGACTTGCTCGGCCTCGCAAGCACTGTCCAGGTCACTCAAGACCTCGCCACTGTGCTAAAGAACCACACCGAAAGCCCAAGACGCGAAGTTAACCTGGAAGGCGATGTTTCTCTGAGATCCGCTCAGTCAACCTGCGTTCAGGACATACTGAGAAGATTGAATTTCGAAGGCCCCGTTGAGCTCTTCCATCGCATCTCGGAAGCCATTGATGAGGACGGCTTGTCTGAGCAACATCGTATCCAGGAAAGTGAAGCTGCGGTTATGGCTGGAATTGCTGGTGAAGTACTACAGGAGGAAGCTGATGATGAGGAGATTTGGAATGTGCCGAAGCGTTTGAGGCCGAAAGAAGCGGGGAGTCCGAACAGCAACAGAACTGACACTGAATTCAGAGAAGTGTGGATTATGAAGCGAAGGTACGTAGCCTTGTGACCAAAGCTCTTGTGTGCGTTTACTGACGTCAACAGTGCGAGTCTGACTTTGCAAAGCCTGCATGTGGAACTGGAGAAGATCCAGCAAGAAAAGACAGAACTCGCCGAAGAGCTGAGAGAACAACACGGTATGTGTAGCCGTTTACCTCAACAGCGGCGGCTAACCTGCTGAACAGACGCTCCAAGCTTGACGTTACGATGGACCCCCGGCTTGAGCTACCACTGCCACGTGAAGGGCAAAGATGTAAAGTCGGCCAACCTAGGCCCTTCTGCAAGAAGCGTCAGCTCAAGCAGGTCAACCAAATCATTCCACTTGCCGGAGTGGACAAGTCTAGGCGCACGGCTGGACAATGTGAAGATGCGCATCCGAGCAGAGGAGCAGCGCGTCTTCGGCGAGCTCCGTGCCCAGGTTGTTCGCAACCTCGTCAAGCTACGTCGAAACGCCGCAGTGCTGGATGAATTGGACGTTGCGTGCTCCTTCGCAACGCTTGCGCATGAGAAAAGCCTCGTCCGCCCGCTACTGAATAGTGGCACTTCCCATATGATCGTGCGTGGCAGACACCCAGTCGTTGAGACCAGCTTGACTGAGCAAGGCCGCACATTCACTGCCAACGACTGCTTCGTTGGGGAAGGCGAGAGGATTCTGCTGTTAACAGGTCCGAACATGGCCGGCAAGAGTACCTACCTCCGGCAGAACGCGCTGATCTCCATCCTCGCCCAGACGGGCTCCTTCGTACCCGCCGAGTACGCAGAAATCGGCCTTGTCGACAAGATCTTCAGCCGGGTAGGATTCGCGGATAACCTCTACCAGGACCAGTCGACTTTCATGGTCGAAATGCTGGAGACGGCTGAGATCCTCAAGCAAGCAACACCGAGGTCTTTCGTCATCATGGACGAAGTTGGCCGCGGCACAACGCCTGAAGATGGCATTGCCGTCGGTTACGCCTGCCTCCATCATCTGTATCATGTCAATCGGTGCCGGACGCTGTTCGCGACGCACTTCCACGCTCTAGCGGATCTGACCGAAGGGTTCGAGAAGCTGGGTTGTTACTGTACAGATGTATCAGAGGAGGCTGGTGATTCGTTTTCTTATGTGTATCGATTGCGGAGGGGCGTCAATAGGCGGTCGCATGCTCTGAAGGTTGCCCGGCTAGCTGGTAAGACTCGAAAAGCCTCCTGTTTTGGGTCACAAATTGGATGCTGACTGTTTGCAGGATTGCCGGACGAGGCCATCGCAGTGGCAGGCCGAATGCTCGCGGAGTTCGAACACACGAAAGGGCCGGTCGGAGAGAACCCAATCCGCTATGCCGAAAGCGTTACTTCCGCAAATACAGCCGTTGCCTGAGTTACTGTGATAAAACCAAAGAGAGAGTGATATGAAGGCGCGAGGAGAGCAGTGGAGCCTCAAGGGAAAGATGCGTATTGATATCTGCACGCAATGACTACGGCGCGAACTCGCTAAGGCGGCACAACGTAAACGCCCAGGGTCGGTCACCGACATACTTCCACAGCGCCCACTGCGAATTTCACCCCCAAGACCTACTCGTTTCTGTTCGTGAATTGAGGTTTTTCAGCGGGCTTCCGTCTTGAATCAGGGTTTCGGGCTGACTACACTGGAAACTGGGTACGCGTACCCAGATGAGTTGGTGGGTCAGCTCGCCTACTGTTAACAGACCACTACTAGGCGGCTGTGCCCAACGGTAGCGACGCCGATCAGAACTATCAACGGTACGGGACGTATCGTGGGCTGCATCTGACAGAGACAGAATGCATTCGCTTGGTGTTTTTCGTTACCGAAGCTTCACTTGTGTTATTTTGTTGTGGGCGAGATGTACCAAGCTTTCCAGAGTTCAAGAACTTACCAAGGAACTCTTGTCAGCGACCGCAACTACGGAAACATCTACTGCTATTGATCCAAGGTCTGGGTGATGTCTGAGCGAGAGCACACTGCCTATATAGTCTGCTCATGTCCTGATCTTGCCCTCCTCTTCAGCCAAGATTCTCAACGCCGTCAAGTCTATCACTCTTAACCAAATCCAATCTTCATCGTCAAATTACCATCATCAAACACTCAAAGACCTCTTTCTCTCACCACTACCATCTCATCCAGTCCACCCCATCTCTCTCTCTCACTTTCAAACATCGGAATGGCATCCACTACCACCATCTCCAATCTCGTGACCTCCACCGTCGGCACCATCAACAGCTGGTTCCTGTCCCGGCGCATACCCTTTGGTGCCTCCTGCAGCATCTGCCAGTCCTGGCGCGCCATGCCTGTTGCGCTGGCCTGCAACCATGTCGTCTGCTCACACTGTCTCTTGGGCTATATTATGGATAGCCTATACGAGTGGATCGACTACGAGAGCGTCGCAGTAGGCGACTCGAAGATCCTCGGGTGCCCCTTACAGACCTGCAGGCGCGCGATGTGCGAGATGGCGATCCTAGGAGACGGCACGATGGCTGTGGCGGGCCTTCCGGCGCCTCGACAGCTCATTCCTCTGTATCACGAAACCCCTAACGCTCCGCTTGTGCAGCATCAGCACGCCAGCAGCCCCGGCATGGAGATGGAGGAGGACTCGTGGGCCGACGACGAGCGCTCGGCCCAGCCTGATGAGACCCCTGGCGCCTCTTACCTGGCCCGCCCGGGGGAGCAGCAGCTCTATACCAGGAGTCCGAGCATCAAGCGCGAGGCACTTTCTCCCTTCCCGGTGCCCACCGTCTATACCTCGATCAGATCTCACTCCGACAATCTCGAGCCGCAGCGCGGCATCAAAAGGAGCCTGAGTCCGACCATCAAGCAGGAGGACGACTCGGCTCGCCCTCCGCCAGCCCGACGGCGGCGCCACGACGTGACGATGCGGACGAGGATGGTGCGTACCGCGTAGTAAACCCGCCTCGGGGCCCCATCGTGGGCGGAAAGCACACGCGCGGGATCCTGGGTGTTGCTTACGTAGATTCCAAGCTACCATTCGGCCAGGACTAGTGGGGGACTCAATATACCTCCCGTGGCACCGTAAGGCGTGGTCCGGCGCTTGGTTCTGAACTGTAGAGTACTTGGTGGGATTCATGGGGGTGGGACATAGCGGGGATAGCGGTGTACAGACATCTTCCGTAGCTTTGTGGTGATCAAGTTCTCTCAATACGTTGTGCGTATAGTTGTTTGACCGGCTGATCTTTTGTGGTATGTCGGAGTGTAGCTGGACCCCACAGGCGCAACCCGTCACGTGACTCATTCGGTCCCTGACATTACGCAGCTGAGATCAATTGGATCAAAGGTCTTTTCTACTGCAACAGGACTAGACAACGATGCACGAAGAGCTGGAAGAGGCGGAAGAGCATCTCGACTCCGCACTGCAACAAGAGTACAAGTCGACATACAGATTACATACTTCCAAATCATTACGCTAGCGCGCAAACAACACATTACTCAAATTGATGAACTCCTGCATTTTTCGATAGCAAATCCCGTCGTTTCGCCCCCTTCTCAAATATACCAGGGTTCCTGCGCTGCCGGTAGTGCTGGCCCGTCCGGCCCATACTCGATAACGCTCCTCTTCTTCCTGTACGGCCCGATGCCCATAGGGAAAGTTGGCGAGAAGATAGGCGGCCCGGTGTTGAAGACTGGGGTCGGCGTGGTTTTACAAGTAAAGGCCGAGCTACTGGGAGCAGCCCCGCCGCCAACCGTCTGGATTATAGTAACAGGCGGTTGTGCGGAGGCAGTGACTGTGACGGCTGGTCCGCCGCCGCCGCCGCCTGTCAGGGAAACGGAAACCGAGACTGAGGTGTAGGTGACTCCATTGACGACGGTGGTGACAGGAACGGCAGTAACGGTCTGAGGCGCCGCAGTACTGACCACTGTCTGCGTGACTGGCACGAATGTGGTCAATAGCACTGTTTGGCCGTTGGAAACTACGGTGGAGACGACGACGGAATTGCTGACTATCGTCGCTGTGACTCCCGGATTGGTCCCTGCGCCGCCCTGCACAGTAGCTGTTACACCTGGATTCGTGCCAGCGCCGCCAGGAATTGTGGCCGTCACCCCTGGATTTGTTCCCGCTCCACCACCAGGCACCGTCGCCGTAACGCCAGGGTTTGTGCCAGCGCCGCCCGGGATTGTGGCTGTTACTCCAGGGTTTGTGCCAGCGCCGCCTGGGATTGTAGCTGTGACCCCTGCATTCGTTCCTGCGCCACCACCTGGCACCGTTGCAGTGACGCCCGGATTAGTTCCAGCTCCACCGGGGACGGTGGCCGTGACGCCAGGATTGTTTCCCGCTCCGCCAGGAATCGTAGCTGTGATTCCCGGATTAGTTCCTGCGCCACCTCCCGGCACTGTTGCTGTCACACCGGGGTTGGTGCCTGCGCCGCCCAGTCCTGTTCCCGGTCCGTTGCCGCCTGGAGAAGATCAGTGTTAGCTTATGTATGGTTAAATTGGTGTGAAAAGGCGGCATCGCTATACCAGGCGAAGGAGGTGAAAGCCGAGTGGAGACATATGCGAATATAAGCTCAAATATGGGGAACAAGACTACTTACCGGTTACGGTGATGTACTGCGTGGCTGTGATAACAATAGTTTGCTGAGGTAGAGTGGCCATGGCACCACCAGGGAGCGTGATGCTTTGAGAGCTAATCACTATTACGCTGCTTCCAGAGCTGCCAGTCGCCATCTGAGATGGTAGCGTCATATCGCCGGACGGAGAGCATGTGATGACTCGTTGCGCGGGTAGCGAGACCACAGAAGGATTCTGCGGAATTATGGTCAAAACCTGGCCTTCGATGCATACAGATCCAATGACGCCTAATGAGGTCGTTGTAAGCGTGGCTTGAGGTATGTTGATGGTGGTAGTTAGGATTTGTGTCACGGTAAGGAACTGGCTTGGAAGATAAGCTGACCCGCCCGGTAAAGTGACAGTCTGAGGGTAGATATCCAATCCTGTCGAAGTGGGTCTTCCGGTGACCGTTTGACCCGGCCATAAAAGCGTGCCAGGCGGACTGCAAGTCCTTATGCCTTGAGACGGCATGGACACTATTGAGCCAGGCGGGAATGAAGGAATAATAGTCACGCCTTGGCTTTCGATGCACACCGATCCGGTAGTTCCAGAGGCAGTCGTAGTAATTGTAGTTGAAGGAACATAAACCACAGTGGTAAAGGTCGCCGTGGCCATCGAGTTGTACGAGAAACTCTCCACACTAGTTGGCAGAGTCTCGTTGACCTCCAGGGGAGAAGACAGTAATTTGGCACTATCGATGCCAATGTGTAATTCACTGAATTGCGCACCTCTTTTGAGCTGGCAGTTCGGAGTCTGGCGATTCCTAAAGTATGAAACACCAGCGCACAGCATGGACGTGTTCCCGAAATGGACGACGTTATGCATGTCGCATGCGGCAATGCAGGCAATGAGAGAGTCCTGATTTTGGCTGTCGACGGTTGAATCTGCAAGCTCAGTATCGCAGTAAACGCCCCAGCGCGAGCCCATAAGGCCATTGTAAGGAGAACCAGGTGCCGAGCCCGGGCAAGCGGGAGTAGTGGTAGCAGCGTAAGGCATCGTCGTTGGAGATGCCATCGATGGTACAGTAGGAAATGGGTTGGTCATTGGAAGATTAGCCGGACACGTAAGGGGCGTAGGACAGCTCGTAACAGTGGTGGTTATATCCAACGTGACGGTCCTAGGCGGTCTTGCGGTGCACATTCCTGGCATAGGGACAGGCATGGTCACTGCTACAAGCGTAGGCGCGACACCACACGAATAGCACATAAATGCAGACGTCGTCCAATCCATTGACATGATCTTGTCAGTACAGAACGTTGATGTCCGCGTGACGGTAATGCGACACGGCCCTGTAGGACAGATGCCTGTGTATATTGCTGTCGAAATAGTTAGCGGTCCGAATTCAATGTTAGAAGACATCGCAAAGCTTACTTTCGAAGATGGTGGTCGGGCTTGCTGTGGTCGCAGGACCTCCGAGAGCCGGCCCTGTGGATGACAGTGATTTAGGCCTCATCGTGCTCGATGGCGTGCTGCTGGATATTGGCCTCATTGAAGAGGTAGAAATAGACGGCATCATCGATGGTGAGGAACTCCCGACCGTCGGTGCTACCGCTGAAGAAGTTGTTCCCGACCCGGCCATAGTTGACGAAGGCGGTGGGATATCTAAGCGAATCGCGGCCCAGACATCCATCTTTGGCGTGATAGCACCAAGACTTATCTTGGGGTAGCAAGGCGCGGTCTGGGCACCGTTTGTTTCATTGAAGAGCCAAATGGCATTGACACAGCCAGCCGTGCTGCTACAAATTCGGATACACTCAATGAGGCTCGATACGTAAAGAGGAGAGAACTCCGCATTGGGACCGTCACGGTCCCTGTAGCATTCGACTTGATAAAGACGGCCTGCATCAGTATACACTTGACCGTTGGAGGCTGGGCAACTGAGTATGCTAGGCAATGAGGTGGAAGTCGAGGCCGTCCAGGATACGCTCATTGGCGGAGAGGAGAGCGGAGACGATATCCCTGCAGAAGTAGACGTAGATAAACTGGAAAAGCGTCGTGCTCCGTTGACTGTGGGATCTCCGACGGTGTTGCCGATTTCGCCTTTGGGATAGCAGAAATTGTCTCTATATGTTACAGCCTCGCAAGATGGATCTGCCGCGCAGAGAGTGACACACAATTCGAAGCTATTGGCTGGAAGAGGAGCGGTAGGCAGGTTGAGGCCCGTGTAATCATAGCCACAATTCACTGCAAATTCAACACCACTAATGTTACGTATTGAGCCAGCGCTCGATGGACATAAGGGGGACATTGAAGGCGTTGCGGATGATATTGACAAAGATGTCGGAGACGTTGCCTGTATCATTGCCGAGGACCGAGAAGAGGTGTTACGCGGCGGCATGGCGGCAACTCGCATAGGGGCTATCGCGCCCCAAACATCGGTGTTGAAGGAAGGTTCCCACAACTCCAATTTCGGCCAGCAGGGTCCATCAGGGTCGTAAGATACATCAACACAATTGGGTAGATTGCCGCAGAGTGCGATACATTCTTCAAAATTATCGACGTCGACAGGTGAGCCCGGATAATTGCCTCCATAATGATCGACGTAGCATTGAATGGTGAAGTCGATGCCGTTGACTCGATAGGACGTGCCATTAGACTGCGGACAGAGGAGCGAAGGACTAGGCATCGCAAGACTAGAGGATGATCCAGACGAGGAGCTCGTGAGGGCTAAGCTGGAGGTACCAGTTGTGGGCGTTGCGGTGGTGGCGGATTGGATTTCGAAAGTGTCCTCTGCAAACTGGCCCAGATAGATCCGGCCAATGTTGGTGAGTTTCCCGTTGGCATCGAGCAGGGTAGCGCCAGCTCCCACGTTTGAGACATCACTACGAAATCCACCGAAGTAGGAGTAGTGCGTCAGACCATACGATGGCGGTAGCGTTACGTCGAAGTAATTCAATGTCTGGTTCAAGAAAATCTCACTATTCCTTGCCGAACTATGCGCGTATGCAAATTCCGTAACCCATATAGTCAAATTCGGATAGGTGCCTTTGATCTGTCCGAGATGACCTGCTAGGCCACTAAAGTCGCCATAGTAGTGAGCTGGCAAGAAATCTGGGTTGCATCTTCCTGCACAAGCCGCAAACCAGTCCCGGAGCCAGGCAAATCCACCTTGGGACCCGGAGACAGCGGGTGCTCCGAGACTGACGCCGTAACCGCGCAGTGGCTCAAGTTGCTGGACCCACACTTCTGCAGCTCGCGCCGGAGTTATGCTGCTCCCGCCAACGTCAAAACCGAGATCAGGTTCGTTGAAGCCAAGTACGTAAGGCACGCGTTCCCCAGCCTGTATCCGGGCTACAGTATCGCTGAGGAAACTCCCCGGGAAGTCTCCCCAAAGCATAGGGATATACAAGATAGGACTCGAGGTGGCAGCCTGCCGCTTCCGTAGAATCCCACTATCGCTGGCGAACGGAATGGACGGCATGTGTCCATAGTTGTAATACCACGAGATGTTGGCGCAATCTTGCGCCCAAATGAGATCGTCCTCCGGGTGCTCGGAGGAGGCAACGTAGACAAGACCGCGCTTTTGGCTTCTAGGACAACTTGACTGCACCGCCGCCGGACTAGTCGCAGCGGATATCGAAGATGAGGTCGCCATCCATATAGAAGACGGAGTCGAAATCCACATCGAAGACGAAGTCGATGGTCGGGTGGGAGACGATGATGGGGACATTATGCCGTTAGAAGACAATGATGGAGACATCGCGCTAGATGAAGATATTGATGAGGACATGAAAGTTGTAGAAGACGCTGACGAAGACATCGCTCTGCTGGAAGCCTGTGAAGAAGACATTGCGTTGCCGGAAGATGGTGACAAGGATATTGCGCTGCTAGAAGACGAAGATCTAGTGCTGGATGTAGAGGTCCCACTAGATCGCGAGATGGAGCTCGAACTGGCAACCGGAGTAAGTCGTCGTGCGCTCCATGTATACGAGAACCCACTGTTGATGGTGAAGCCTGCAGACTTCATGTAGCACATCTTTGCATTAACATTGTATGTAGCAGCGAAGCAGCTTGGCCGCGAGTCACATGCACTAATGCACTCGTTAAAGGTGTCGATATTGCTAAGGTCGCCTGCTGAGCCACCGCCCATGGATGTGGTGCAGTAAAGGAAGAAGGCATCACTAGTGCTGTTGCCATTGACGGTGGTGTAGTTGGCGGACGGGCAGGTCAAGATGATTGGAGCAGTTGGAGTAGACGACTGGGTTACGGCTGAAGACGTCGGAGAAGTTCCTGAGATAACGAAGTGGGTCGTCGAGGAAGACCACTGAGATGATGATGAAGGCGACCGAGATAACGACGAAGAGGACCAGGATGATGAAGATGATGCCGACGACGAAGACATCACCGCCAAGACTCGCCTGGCGCTCCAGATATGAGCCGGTTCGTTGTTAAATGTGCTGAATCCGGCCGGCTTGAGGTAACACATCTTTGAGTTGTTACTGTAGGTCGCAGCAACACACTGAGGCGTTGCATCACACCGCATCATGCAATCTTTGAAGTCTGCTACACTGATGTCGCCCAAGGAGGCACCCCCGTAGGACGTTCTGCACTGGATCCAGTACCCATTCGGCCCTGTATCGAAAGTAGTACCATTTGCGCTGTCGCATGCAACGATGGGTGACGAAGGAGATGACGAAGATGACGAAGCTGACGAAGCTGATGTTGAAGTTCCCAGTCCATTTGCTGGCGATGAGGTGCTTCCAATTGGCGAAGACGATGGACGTGAACTTAAGGTGCTTGAAGACGTTCCTAGGGTAGAAGAGCTGGAAAGCCCCAGCACAGCGGCACGCTCGAAACTCCAGATTGAAGATCCGGCAACAGCTGTATCCGTGAGCGTCCTCCTCCTTTGGCATGACTTCGCATTGTCGCCGTACGTAGCCCCGATGCAGTCAACTGTCTCATCACAAAACCTTACACATGATTCGAAAGTCGGATACATGCCATTAAAACTGCTGCCAATGGCACTTCCAAAGTACGAAAGTTGACATCTGACCAGGTAGGTGTAGTTGCCGCCCATGGGGGTAAACATAGTGTTGTTTGCGCCAGGGCAAGCTACCGACGCCTGCGCTGCCAAGCTAGTGGTCGATGAGACGGAGCTAGATGTAAGGACTGAGCTGGTGCTGGAAGAAATAGTGGCCACGGCCGACGAAGAATGCCCGGGCCCATCACGCAGGAAGGTCCAGTCAGTCCTACTGCTCTGGTCGGTGTACGTGTACATCATGAAACTGGCCGCTAAGGCACACGTTTTCGTTGTAGTATAATAACCGCCTACGCACATAGACACCGTATCGCAAAGAGCCGCACAGTCGTATGGTGTAGCGATGTTGTAGTATTCTCCTCTAGGCATATGAACGAAGCTGACTCGGCAATGAAATACATATCTGTTGTAAAAGGTTTGATAGACCGTGCCGTGGGAGGCAGGACAGGTAAGCGTGCTTCCTGGCAAAGCGGCGCTTGACGTTCCAGATGTGGAAGAGGAGGTAGTTGACGTTGTGGTAGTGTGAGGAGTAGAGGAAGATGAAGTGGATGTCTGAGGATTAGATGAGGACGAGCTTAGGCAACCCACTGCCGTAGCTGAAGCCGTGGGTGAGATTGAAGCTGCTGCAGCTACACTGCTGCGGACGAAAGGCCAAAAGTAAGGTCGCTCGAATCCGGGGACAAAGGAAACGCCAAGGTTAGTACCCATAGTACACGTACCATCCATATTATTATGATACCCGCCCTCGCAACCCGCGGTTCTATCGCATTGTTTGATACAGTCGATGAGTGTTGGGGTGCTGGCCATGCCTATTCCGGACCCGCTAAGCCTCACTGAGCAAAGGATTGCATAGGTATAATTGGTAGCTTGATAAGCTGTATAGTTCGCGGTAGGGCAGGTGATATTGCATCCCAACGCGGCCGCGGTCGGCATTCCGGATGCAGCCGACGTCGTGGAGACAGACGCAGAGGACCCCAGAGCTAGAGGCTCCGACGCCGTGCTCGCTAACGCTGCGCTTGAAGAAACCGATGTTGGCAGGGTTGATGAGGAAAACGGTGTACCCGGAATCTGGTATACCCTCAAGGAGTTGATTGACCAGTAGGCCTCAGTGAAGTTCGAAGGGTTATCGCCTACGAAGTACACGCAGGAATCCCAGCCTGTTTGGTTTGCGGTCAATGGGCAGCCGGAACTGGCGTATGCATTACCAGCCCATTGTCCGCAGAAGTCGATGTTGAAGATTATCTTGTGGTTGACGAATTTGGAGTCGATGTTACAGGTATTAGGGCCCTGGAAGTTGGCCAAAGGCACTCCAAATGTACTAGGGTCGGGCGTGCTGCTCGTAACACCGGCTGGAATGGAGTTGCGAGGGAAAAACCACATCCGAATCCATGATGATGTCCATTCCATAGCGTAAACCTGCTGCTCGTAAGCTTATGCGAAAGAAAAGAACATGGACCACCACCTACTCCGCCACCAATTGTGTTGAACCCTGCTCCGTAAGTGTCGGTCGTCCTCGCCCGGACACCGCAGCCGCCGGCTTGTGACCAGCAGTTGGGGGTTACCAGCTCGCTGTTCTGATTGTTGCCAGCTATAGTGCAATTATTGGACGTGTGGAGTGTCATCCTGTTTTTGTCTTGCAAATTGGCTCCTTCGATGATGTCTAAAGCCATTGTAAGCCAGCTACCAACAACGCCTCGTGAGCGGCTGAGAACGAAACCGACCAATTTCTCCGTAAGCCGGCCAGTTCTCTAGGCCCTGGCCCAGCATCCAATACGCTGGCCAGGTTCCACATCCAAAAGGCATATGTCTGATGTCGGCAATGAAAAGACCATGTTGATAGGTGGCATTCGTGGAGATGCGAACACTAGGGCGACCCTGGCCACCGATCGGCCAACGATTGGTAGTGTCCACACCCAGTCGCACATGGTCGGAATATGTGTTGATCAGTCCATTGTCCTGTGCGTAGCTCCTGTTCTTGTAATGGACATGTCCCCATGTAGGATCCGGCCCCTGTTGACGCCATTAGATTTGGATGGAGATTTTCAATAGCTAGTAGAGCAGGGCGTACCGTGTAGAAGTTGAATTTGTCGAAGAAGTTGGTCGGAAGATACTCGTCAATGAGAGCATACTGAGCAAGGGTAACAGACACGAGTGAAAGGAAAGGAACGACGAGTCGCCTCAGACGGTCTGACGGCGGCAGCATCGCTGCTGGTGACTAGTAACAACGCGATAGAGACAGACTGTAAGAGAAAGACAGACGCGTACTGTAAGTATCGCGAGATGAGAGAAAAGAGAGAGATGCCATGGCCTTCCATGTTGTTGATCGAAGCTCTGCATTCCAGCAGCTGCCCCCTTCAGGCGTGGAGCGTGGATGCATTCCTCAATACCGAAGTGTGTTGGCCGTAGCCGCTTGAATGGGGATCGCTTGTGAAGCATTCCGCGACCATCACCGTCCTACTAGGATGCCGCAAAGCGGTCGAGGCGTGTCGGGTGCCATAAGTCATACCCACCTCGTCCCTAGCAATTCATCCAGCCAATATCGTTGGATGCTCCGCTACTAACGTCTGCAGTGATGTGAGAATGTGGAGCACTTGGCCTTTTCCCTGTGAAGCACTCATCTCAGCTCTCGCCGAGACATATCCGGAAAAGGCATAAGAGGGTGATTACTCAAGTATACTATGTTGTTAGGCTGCTCATCACCCGTCTCACCTACGATCTCTTCAGCACGCAGCGCGCAGCAATGCCGCTGTTTGGTTCTTTCCAGTCGAGTTGTATCCATGTGGGTCAGGTCATTCGGTTGTAGTCACGGGACTTCTAAGTCACTGCCCAGGTGTGTCGGGTGCATATACGACCTCGGGAGTACACTATATCAGAGGATTCTATGCCTCACGACAAACCAGTGTAGAGTGCCTGGATTCGGTGGACGTGCTAGCACAGTTTTATGGCACCTACTCGAGGCTCATTGCATTGAGATTATCCTAAGACTTTACAACTGCACTCGCCAACATATTCAATAGTCTATAGTAGTTTATATTCCCGCTCTTATTTCTCAATGCTTCCTCTCTTCGAGTGCTTAGGTGACATCCCGCAATAAAACTCTTGGACTTCCAGTGCTTTACCTAATCTACAAGTATGCGCTATTCACGTCGCTACTTTCGAGCCGTATTCGATGGTGCTGGTCTGGAAGTGGGCAATAATCCTCTGACAACGTTCATCAGCCTGTCCCTGTCCTTGCCAAGATATGTGCCGTTCTTGTCCAGATGCTGAGCGACCGAAGCCATAGTCCTAGCCTCCTTGTTCCCGCCGCTCACGTCGCTGAGCTCATAAGCCCCACCGACGAGGCTGCCAACCAAGGGGTCCCTGACTGTGGGATCCAAGTCTGCTAATGGCGCAAAGGTGATATCGATGGCCGGACCATGCTTAGCCATCTCGTTCGCCATAGATAACACTGCTTCCTTCTCTTCTGCATCCCTGAATCTGACCAATTTTCCGCTTAACAACCGTCCAGCGAGTCGGTGTCTCGCTGAAAAAGCCGTCATGTCCTTCCTGTCAGCTAAGAGGCGGAACCGCTCCTCGAGAAGGTCTTGTGCTCCGGCAGGTGTTGCTGCTGTAGCTCCCCCCAGGCCCAGCAGCTCCTCCTTGTTGGCGATGCTCGGGTTGAACTGAACTTCCTTAGGCCGTGACTGCTCGTATTCTTCCAGCACGACCTTGAGCAGGCCATCCGGCCATGCCTTCGACAAGTCCCTATCATCAGATTTGTCATCCTCCTCAACATCGAATTCCCCACCTGCTGCTCCTCGTCGAGCAGCGCCGCCTCTTCGTCCACCTCGAGCACCTCCCCGAGCAGCTCGGCCTCGCGTACCGCCACGGCCAACGGGAGGTCTTCGGTCGGCTCTGCCGTCTGGTATGCTCTGTGCCACTCGCACCCCGGTGCTCGTGCGGCCTTGGCCTTGGTCGCGGCTTAAGCGCAATTGGGTTCCCCCTACTAGGTTCCCCCGTCGTATTGGCGATGACAAGACTCTAGATATCGTGGCATTCGGAGCTTTCCCGGCATTCATGCCTCGCAGATCAATGGATGGACCATCACTACCAGCTCGAGGGCTGCGACCAGGGGTACTCGGGGTTTTGGTGGGACGGTTGATGGGGAGGCCTTGGATTTCGGAGGAGGCGGCACGGGAGAGCTGTTTCTTTGCGGCCAGGGAGAAGTTCTTAGCTGCACTGCAAGTAAGCGGAAAGCTTCCTGAATGTACCCCGAGGACGGCAACAAGGGTCACTCAGTCACTAGGCGGACATGCAGAGACATACAGGTATATCTCACACCGGCCCTGTCGGAGGGACTCCTGTCCTCTGACTCCGTGCTATCGACAGGCTTGCGATGCCTTTCTTCATCACATCGTGTCGACGAGACGTGGAATTGGCGCAGCGACGCCGCAATACCGTCGGTGAGCCTGGCTAAATCATGGCCCATGGGTCTCCCTAGCCCCATTGATGGGCGCCCATGCCATACAAACATATTGACAGCCGCGAGATACAGACTGGATCTTTGCGGTTGCCAACTTTCTGAGGTCTCCATCTCGGAAGAACTTCGGGGACGTCCGAGCTACCTCAAGCTCCAGCTTCACCAGCTCACCGTGCCCAGGGGCATGTGGGCACCATTTTTTTAAGCATAATCTAGTATGGAAGTTCATGTCTCTTATTCTCAAGCCGAATTAACTTCGCAGAACAGCATCAGCATAGCTACGCTCTTGAACAGGTTCTGAACAGCACCACCAGCAACCTGAACGCGCCCCACCCCTTCCGGTCCTACCTCAAGCCACGTCTCTATCCGTACAATACATCACCATCTCTACCTGCCAACGCTAGTGTCGCTACCCAGTCATAGAACCCTCTATCTCTCGGAAGCTTTCAAAAATGCTCCGCCGTCCAGCAACGGTCATCACCCTCACGGCCGACGACATTGCTGCCTACGAAGCCAATCGGCAGCGGCGCATGCAATCTCAGCAGAACCGTCAAGGCTCGGAACTCTCCTCTTTCGATGGCTCAAGGAACGGCAAGAGCAGAGCTGATCCGAGTGACGAACTTAAACCAATGCCGCAGGAGAAGGCCCGCAATGTGAGAACGCGCGAGGAGAGGATCATGGGGGGTGGAAGCCGAGCCTGAGGCAGAATATGCCCATTTCCGCCAGGTAGATTCTGCATGGTATGGAGTTAGGGGCTTGAAGTTAAGGCAGGCCGGAATCAGTGCATGGTCGCTACGGAACGTTGTCCACGGTCCGCCGAGATGGCTGAGATTCCTCATGTTAGTCCCCAGCTCATCCTGCAACTCAATGAAATCTCAGAATATACCCTTATCAAACGCCTTTACAGGAGCTGAGATGAAGAGGCAGAAAGAAGCTCGGTCTGAACGTTTCTCCAGTGTTAAGCGCTCATTTTCAGGGAGCTTAATCTTGGTGTGCTACAAGAATCAACCGTGGCGCTGCTATTCACTCAACTAAACAAGCTGTGCACTCCGAATACGAGAATCTAGCTTCCCGTTCCTCGTGGCCTTGCAAAGTCTGCCACATTCCACTGCTGTTTGCTGTCCCTTGCATCGACCGCAGCTCCATCCCCGTTATGCTGACATCCGACCCACACGAGCAAGGAGGAGGCCAGTCCAGCCGGGGACCTGGGTTGGAGCGCCCATAGGCATTCCACACGCGCAGAATGACCATAACACCGCTCGACGAGTCGCCGCGCGCTTTGCCGGCATGGATGCTTTCCTGCGACTCCTTTGGCCCAGCGTCCGTTATTGTCCTTGATGCGACTCGTTCACGTTTTACTCCTTCTGTCTCTGAGTCCGGCCGCTGAGCCTATACAGTCTCTACTGCACACATTACAGCGCGCCTTAGGATTTTATTCACAACAAGCAGCGGTAGCACATCGCTTCGAGTAGTAAGCAGACAGAACTTGAAAGCTATTTCTGGCCATGGCGCGGTATCAGTCATGGCGAATACTCCTGCTCCTGGTGGCCTTTGCCTTGTCGGTGTGTCACACATGCCCTCACTAGTGCAGACGGACAAGCTCATCCCACGTCAGGTTGCGGCATTCTCTCCAGCAGAAAATGCGTCCATGGCTATGGTCGAACTTGAGGACAGGCAGTCAACATGGTCATCGAGGTGGTGGTTTGGGAACATTAGACGCCAGGGCAAGGTCGCGTACAACACCAACCCTGATTACCAGCTGTTCCGCAATGTGAGGGATTTTGGTGCTATGGGTATGTTGGAAGTTACTCAGTTTTAGGCAGATGCTAAGACTCCCACAGGCGACGGCATTACTGACGACACCGATGCGCTCAACCTTGCGGTTTTATACGGGAATCGATGCGGCAACACCTGCGAATCGAGCACTGTACAGCCTGGACTGATCTACTTCCCGCCCGGAACGTACAGAGTCAGGGAGCCGATTATCATGTACTACAACACTCATGTGGTGGGCGACGCTGTTGACCTTCCTGTCGTAAAAGCTCTGCCAAACTTCTATGGCATTGGCGTCTTCGACTCCGACCCATACTACCCGAATATCGAGCCCGGCAAGAACTGGTGGCAGAATCAGAACAACTTCTTCCGGCAGCTACGAAACTTTGTGATTGATATCACAGAAGTACCTCCAGGGCGAGGAGCTTGCGTGCATTGGCAGGTCGCCCAAGCAACGTCGCTGCAAAATATCAGGTGCGAGATGGTCCAAGGGGGCGGTAGTAACAACAAACAGTACGGCATCTTCATGGACAACGGATCCGGAGGCTGGATGAGTGACATGACGTTCAACGGGGGCAACTATGGCGCCCTTTTCGGAAATCAGCAGTTTACAGTCCGGAACTTTACCTTCAACAATTGTCAGACCGGCATCTTCATGAACTGGGGCTGGACGTGGTCTATGATAGGTTTTACGTTCAACAACGTCGGAGTCGGCATCGAGGTGACCAATCTTGGCGACATGGGCTCCCTCTTGGTTCAGGACGCCACGTTCAACAATGTTCCTACCGGTGTACTGACAAGTTTTGACGCTAAATCATCTCCCCATTCTGGAGGAACAGTCGTTCTTGACAATGCCGACTGCAGGGGCTGTCAGGTTGCCGTCAGCGGCCCTGAGCCTGATTTCAACGTAATCTATCCTGGTGGGACCATCATCCAGTCATGGATTCAAGGGCGAGTGTATCATGGCTACGAAGCCTCTGAATCAATCAACAACATGACATGCTACGAACCAGCTACGCAGGCAGCACGCATTCAACAGGCTGTTAACCCCCCTCCGAAGCCTAGTGTGCTGCTGGACAACAGCGGAAAAATCTTCACGCGCAAGAAGCCGCAGTACGAAGATGTACCTCTGTCACAGTTCATCTCGATGAAAGACCGCGGCGCTAAAGGCGACGGAGTAACGGACGATTCAGACATCATACAGTCGGTGATTAACACAGCAAGGGAGGATCAGATAATCTACTTTGATCACGGCGCCTACGTTGTGACCAAGCAGATATTCATCCCGCCGAACCGCAAATTCGTCGGAGAGTGCTTCGCCCTCATCATGATCAAGGGCAATCCAAACTTTATGGATATGGCCAACCCCAAGCCGGTTTTCATAGTGGGCAGACCCGGCGATGTCGGTACTCTGGAGATGAGCGATATCATGTTTGAGACGATGGGGCCTTCGCCGGGTGCCATCTTGATGGAGTGGAACCTCGAAGCATCTGCGCAGGGTACTGCGGGTAAGGCTTCTCACCCTGTTATGCCAGTGCCGCAGCTGACACTCTGACCCAGGCTTGTGGGACACCCACTGGCGCATTGGCGGCACGGCAGGGACACAGTTTCAGGAAGACAGATGTCTTAAGACTCCGTCGGTAAAGACCAGCGTGAACCCTGAGTGCATCTGCGCTTTCATGATTTTACACGTCACCGCCTCTGCCTCGATGTACATGGAAAACATCTGGGGCTGGGTGTCCGATCATGAGCTCGACATGGGTCTGCGCCAGCAGATCAACATCTACAACGGGCGCGGCGTATTGGTCGAGACTACTAAGGGTATCTGGCTGCTGGGTACCAGCTTCGAGCACTCTGTGCTGTATAATTACCAGGTCGCAAACGCCCAGAACGTTTACATGTCGCTTATCCAGTCGGAAACCGCGTAAGTCTATTCTCCTTTGCCTCATTCCCTTTCCCCACAGCTGAGCCTCTGCGAAATTCCTGCGAATCCTATCGTTAACCTTCCCGTTCCTTCCGCATAGCTACATGCAAGCCAACCCCAACTCCCTCACCCCCTTCCCCGCCGACCCGCGCTACGACGACCCGACTTTCTCCAACTGTTTCCTGGCCACCTGCCCGAAAACCATCGCGCTGCGCATCGTCAACTCACAGTATATTCTCATCTACGGCGCGGGCCTGTACTCGTTCTTCGAGAACTACAAGAGCGATTGCCTCCAGATGCGCGACTGCCAGGAGCACATTCTCGCCATCGACAACAGTCAGAGCGTGTACATTTACACGCTCGCGACTGTGGGCACGACGAATATGGTCACAGTGGATGGCGTGGGCGTGGTCAATGAGCAACCCAATAAGGCCGGCTTTCCGCAGGCGATTGCGATTTTTGAATATCAGTAGTTTGGATAGATTGCAGGATCCCGGTGGTGGTATTGGGACTTGACGCGTTGTTGTTAACTCATGTCGGAAATGTACGATATGCGGTTTTCCTGCTCAAAGACGAGATTCTAATAGTTAGTTACGTCGTAGTTCACAGACTAGGATTGGGGTCTCTGGGCGACTAATAGCTGGAATATCGATGAACCGGTATTGAAACCTCCCATTAGTGCATGACAACAGACGGAGAACTTGATGATAGAGAGCCCTTTATACCTCAGTGAACAAGCAGTATGGATATGATCGCCATTTGCTGGCTGTCTCATGTCTTGTACAGAGCCACCTTGCGCCCCTCGGTTATAACTGGCTGGTGTTGCAAATCGCCGGCCACGGACCGCAGGCCTCAGACCCTACAGCAGGCCTCAAATTCTGCTGCAAGCTTCAGGACTCTAGACAGAATGCACTGCGTTTGCTCATCGATAATCTGTTCAATAATACTCTTGCCGCCGAAAAGTCTTCGGTATAGCCAATCAAGCCACCGGCTGCATCTATGTAGACAAAACGGTAGCGGAACTATTTTGACGGCTAAGCCAGAGATATAGACTGTCACTGAGTCAACTTATCGATGCAACGCCATTATTTAACTATTCGTTGATGATCGCAGCGATTGTATAGCGTCAAGCGTGATCTTGGTAATACGGTACCAAGACCGAAGACCTTGGTAAACAGATATATACCTAATCGTCGACTTCTCATATCTAAATTCGGCCTGGTGGTCTAGTGGTATGATTGTCGCTTCGGGTTACCGCGCCTGGACGCTCAGCGTCTGAAATGTGACAGGCCCCGGGTTCAAATCCCGGCCAGGCCCTTCTTTTGGCCCTTTTCTCTTGCATCTTTGCGGTCTGGGCATCTTTTTGTAGTTTTTTTGGAGCCTGAAATTTTTGTGAAGCCTGAAATCTGCATGTGGAGGGCTCAACGTTGGAATCAACCCGTCAGGCCCTATCCTTCCACCTCCACACTAGAATAGCCTGCCCCTGCAGTTGACAATATGCATAGCAACAGCCTGAGCTTGTAAGAGAGCGCGCCAACTACTCAGCGTTGGCCTTGAAAGTAGCGGTAAAGGTAAATTCACATTTGCAACCTCAGCTTCATCCGGCGCGACGCACTATATTATCACTTCGTAGCTTCAGGCTTGGCCTCCACATTGCCTAGCATACTTAAACGCATTCAAACCATATTTGTTTCGCGCCTCACGCTTACTCTCATCCTCATAAACACCAACCTCAAGGATCAGTTCCTAAGACGCATGACGTCACACTGGCTGTTTAACTCAAGCGCTCCATCAAGAGGCAATTCAGCTTTGTAGATCCCAGCACCACTTTCAAGACTGACCTACAAAAGAAACACCCTCCCCAGCGGCCCTCACATCCTCCACACACACCGCACGAACATGTCCGACTCAGCAGCCCCACCAGCTTCGGACCCAGTCCTCCCACTCCTAACACCAGAAACGACGACCGACCCCACCTCCAGCCGCGCCTCGCTCCTCCGGAAAAACGCCCACGCCTTCTGCCGCGCCCTCCTCTCTCCACCCGCACCGCCCGCGCTCATCGAGAAGTTCTTCACCTCGACCAAACCACGCATCACGGAACACGGTCCCGCCTGGGCGACGGCTGTGCTCCCCTTCCTGGGCAAGACGTTCAGCGGCAAGGAGGGCTGTGTCGAGTATTTCGAGGTGCTGGGCAAGACGCTGAAGATGCAGATGGGCGAGGCTACCTTCCCGGGGCCTGAGGGGTTTGTCGTGGACGCGGAGGCCGAGATCACGGGCCTGGGCGCAGCAGAGGGGACGGCGAAGGGCGTCGTCAGCGTGGTGGGCAGGGCGAGGTTCGAGAGCGTGCAGACGGGCATGGGCTGGGACGAGGCGTTTATATATCGGCTGAGTGAGTGGGACGACGAGGGAAGGTTTGCGCATTGGGAGGTTTGGGCGGATCCGCTGAGTGCGTGGATGGCGGTGAGGGGGAAGGATGGGGGGGAGGCGTCGTGATGCGGATGGGGGACGAGATGGGATTGCTAGATGTGGTTACGAGGGATAGTTGGAGCGAGACAGCGTACAGAGAAGTTGCATGCGCGTTGATGAGAAGTGGATGCGTCGACCTGGAAGCAGGTCAAGGTGACAGCCGGGCAGCTATGAAAGACCGCGTTTGTGCATCGAGATCCGAATGACCGTGTTCAAAATTCCAAGACGTTTTCAGGCTAGTGCCATGATCCGGATTGAGATTGGAAACAGTTCTCAGATTAGATTGAGCCATGGATTCTAATCTAGATCGATGCTATGGCGCGAACCAACGACCTAGCAGCTCTACAGTGTGAACGTAGCCAAATGCATATATACAAAACGCAAAAGATACCTCCGAACCGACCCCCCTTTTGATCGTGATTTTCGTATCCAATTCCCTGCTGACGTAGTGGCGGGCTCGTCCCCTTATCATACAGAACCCATCCACATGCCGTAGCCCTAAAACCTGGTATCTCTAGAATCCCCCACGAAGAAAGAAAGAAAGAAAGACATTAAACAGCAAAACGGACTAAGCAAACATCCGCCTTTCTGCCAAGAAGCCTTCCACCGAAATGACTGGGCCATCGTACTCCTTACGGCCCTTAGTGAAGTACATGATTAAAGAGATAACGAACGTCCCCATGAAGATGACGATCGCCCAATTGAAGTTGTCCACAGTGACTGACGCCTCATTCGGCCAGAAGCACCAGAAGAAGGCGAATGCCGAGTAAAGGATGGCGACGAGGTTGATTGCTGGACCAAAACGACCAAGGCTCCACCGACATTCTGGCAGCGCCTTGGGGTTCTGGATACGCTTGTACAGTACGCAGCCAATGGACACGAAGTAGGAGAACATGAGCGCGACCAGCTGTAGAGAGATGATGGCATTGAAAGCCACGGTGGAGCCGAGGTTGATGAGGGCGAGAAGGATGGTAAAGATGCAGGTGAGGGTTACGGCGTTTGCTGGTACCAGAAGTTTTGGGTGTACCTAGCGCGCGTAGTTTAGTTTCCATATTCGGCGCAGCAATATGGCTGGAAATTGACTTACACGAGCGATCCAGTCGTTGAACACGAGGCCTCTGTCGCGTGCAAAAGCATACGTCTGTCTTGAGGTGGAAGCGTTGACACTGATGTTGCCTGCAATGACAAGCAGAAGGATGACGGTGGTAAGCACATTCGTCCCACGCGTTGGCATCGTCTGCTGGAACACCCAGAGGAAAGGGTAACCGGTGGGGTCGTCGATTGCAGCTTCGACGTCTGGGATGGAAAATAGAAGAGAGACTAGCATGATAAACCCCAGCGAGCCATTCATGATGTACGACCACATCATTGACCTCGGCACAACGACACCAGCATTCTTGACCTCTTCCGACATGTGTGCTGCAGAATCAGAGCCTGTGGAAGCAGTTAGCTGACGTCGAAACTCATGGTACGGCGGACGCAGCACGTACAAATCAGGCAGAAAATGGCGGAAATCTGTCCAACCATCAAGCTTAAGCCCATCGAACTCCAGCCTCCGAAATCTTGGAATTCAAGGAATACGGCACTGGCTGGTGGATGCGGTCCCAATACCCACAAGACGACAACCACGGCAATGAAGCCGAAGACGTGGAGTATCATAAGGATATTCTGGAAGTCCGGCAGCCACTCCGCAGTCCACGTGTTGAAGACGTACAAGATGATAACCATGGAGAAGATGAGCAGCGTCCCGTGCCAGTTCTGAGGTTCGTAGTCCGGATTGTTGATGGTAATCATCCCTTGAATGATGGTACCCGTGAGGAATGATCCCGACGCAGTTCCCGCTTGCCAAGACAGTGTCGACTGCCAACCCACAATGTAACTGAGAAACTTTTGATATTGCGGCGGTGCGAATTCGGAGACCCAATGGTACTGTCCTCCAGAAGTCGGCGCCATGGATGCCATTTCCGCCAACGATGCGATAACGAAGCCGAATCCAATGGCGGTCCAGACGTACGACCAGAACAGCCCGGCCAGACCACCGTCGATCATGCCGTACAAGTTGGATATCAGGACGAATTCCCAGGTTGCCATAATCAGGGACGTGAAGCTCAGCGTGGACATTCTGCGGAAATTCCTCTGTCGCCTTGTCAGCAGAGATCTATGCCGATTGCAACATTGGGCATACCCTCAGTTCTTGCTTTTTGCCCATACGAGACATGTCCTTCTCGTCATGTTTGTCGTAGTCCTCGTCTAGAGGAGTGGGTGGAGGATGGGGCATGATCTCTGCGACGGATTCGTGGTAAAGATCCTTGCCTCCATCGTTGATGGGATCGCTCTGTCGAGACGAAGTTGCCATACTGGCGCGGTTGTGACGGATGCGTACTTCGTTGCTCGACGGGCCTGGAGCGTCAATGTCTAGTCTGGTATGCGCGGACGGTTCGATAGAGGTCATTCGTGCTGTCAAGCTCCTAGTCCATTCTCCAGCGGCTGGATTTGCTTTCTAGAGTAATGCCACAAGGCTGTCGAAGTCACAGGGAGCCAGAGGCGTCTTGCGCGATCGCAGAGGGCGGCCTTTTTTGACGGACGAGGGGTGCAATCAGAAAAAGTAACGCGCACACGTACCGAAGGCCCCTGCCCAGACGGTCCGGTAGGGTACAGGGTGCTAGCTCGGCCGAGATGCCCGATTGGGGAGTCTATCGTCCAGGGCCCCCGGTGGGTGGTATGGGGCCGTGCAAGGTTTGTTTCGCGATCCCTGCGGCCAAGGCTCACGGATTGACGGGCTGCCCGTGCCGCCATGTCGTCCGCCGTCGGAGTCAGCTCGAGCCGCTGTCGGCGCTGTCAATGGTCAACGGCCGCTGTGGAAGGCGTTCTCACTTGCAGGCAGACGCACGCTAAACCACACCTTCGGTCCTTGTCCATAGCCTGGTTGCCACCGCTTTCAGGAGGCTGTTTTTCAGCTCCCATCAGATGGGACATGGTTTCAGGACCCGTTGGAAGATAGGAATCATGACAGGCCGGCCAGTGCTTCTCCCGACGAGGACGATGCCGGGGCTTCATTGGTCGCGCGAAGCAGATGAGATGCATCAACGACTGATCGTAAGTAGCTTAGGCCTCGCTACGTGAACTCTGGTTAGCCAGCCTCCACTTTCAATCAGCGGGGCGCCAAGCGGGTCGGGAAGTTATCGGCGGGTCGTTCGGTTGCGGTTGTCGCTGTGGGTTAGCCAGCGACTCCGCTCGGTGCGCACCGGGGCTTCGATTGTTCAGCGAGTGACTGCGTGCGCCCAAGCGATCCGTGGAACGACCTCTTCGAGGCGTGTTCGATAGCTCTGACGTTGCATGGAACCACGTTGTGCGCTTAAAAAGCCGCAGGGACGAAAGACGAGTGGAGTATTTGTCCCTGCGGCTTTTTATGCACACCATGTGGAAACCAACGACGTCGAACGCACTGCTCACTTGCTTGACCGTTCCTGCCATGTGGACGACGACCGTCACAGCGACATGGCGCTCCGGAGGCGCTTTAATATTAGATTACACGAGTTCAACTCGCTTGTTGCAGATCGTAGCTCTGTTGCTCCTGGCGTCAGCTGGGCATGGCATGATGGGTGTCCGCCCAGTCGGTTGAGCCATTTGTTTGATGCGGCCGAGAGGCGCGACGCGCAGCCTTCATTTTAATTCCTTGCTCTTGAGCTCGAGTATTTCCGTGTCTCCGGAGCCGCCAGAGCCGCTTGAGCGCGCTTCAGCCCTGCTGAGAACAAATCGAGGTACGTTGGCGTACCAAGATACCGCCTGAAAGCAGCCCCAAGCTCGATGATAGGGCTGCGAGGAGCGAATGAATCTTGGTTAGGGCAGCCCCTCAGATTTTGATCAGGTCATGAGTCAGGAGGCAGAAGAAAGAAACCGTTGGCGATGTGAGTCTGGTTATTCGGGCATGGCCTGATTTCGGAAGTACTTCGTATCTATCCCGTAGGAGGTGTGATCCCGTGACCTCGCCTAGCTGATGTACCCTGTACCTACCTCGCAGAGCCGCAGCTGATATTATGGAGGGGTCAACGCCCAGCAACGATGGCTTCAGCAGACCCCTTCGACAGTGCACTGTGAGCGGGAATTACCTAGACGTATGCACCGCTGAGCAGGCACTTACTAACACGCCCCAGCGACCTCCTCCGCCGCCTCAACCCCAAAGACACCTCCCGCAATGTCTCCCTCCTCTGCCAAATCGCGCCCTCCCTGACCGAAGACCTCCTCGAGTCCGTCGACGTGCCCCTCTCCGTGAAGCGGTGCTCAAAAACCGGCCGCGACTTCCTCTGCTGCGACTACAATCGCGACGGCGACAGCTGGCGGAGTCCATGGAGCAACGAATTCGAGCCAGCGCTCGAGGATGGGGAAGCCGTCATGTCGAGTGAGCGCGTGCGGAAGATGGAAGTCAAAGCCAACGATGCGTTTGACGTCTACCGCGAGCTGTACTTTGAGGGCGGCATCTCGAGCGTGTATCTCTGGGACGTGGACGACGGCTTCGCGGGCTGTGTTTTGCTCAAGAAGTCGGTTTCGCCGGGGGGAAAGGGCAAGGCGGCGAGCTGGGATAGCATACACGTGTTTGAGGCGCTTGATCGGGCGCGGACGGCGCACTACAAGCTTACCAGCACTGTCATCCTGAATCTTGGCACCGAGGCCGAGGCGCTAGGGAGCATGGATTTGAGTGGGAACATGGTCAGGCAGATCGAGCAGGACATGCCGGTCGAGGATGATGGCAGTCACGTGGCGAACATCGGCAGGATGGTTGAGGATATGGAGTACAAAATGAGGAATCTGCTGCAAGAGGTCTACTTCGGAAAAGCTAGGGATATCGTTGGTGATTTGCGCAGTATGTCTCCACTCGGTCTAATCCTGGAAGGATGCGCTAACAAAATGCTGCTAGGCATACCGTCAATCAAGGAAACGGAGAAGGATAAGGCGACGCATCGCGAAATGATCAGTAAGATGGCACGGTGATGACGGAAGTCTGTGAAGACCACCAAAGCACAAGCATCAACCCCCACAGAAGAGCGGTAGCAGATGGTGCTATTAGCTGTTCTGTTGAACGATTAGATCAGAAGATCCATGCGGGACTCAAGTACCTGCGCTTCCTTTCAGTTGTCGGTATGAGCTACGTGTATCACGTGACATTAGGGCGTCCGCATGATTCTCATGTGCCCCTCTAGATGGAGAACTTTGATCACAGGGCAGGACCGGCGCAGAAACGCTACGGCACACCCACCCCCAAATCACTCATCATGCCTCCTCAAAATCCTACCAAGTCTCCCATCAGCAGCCGCTGAAACTTCTCCACAATCTCCCCACACCTAACCAGTACCCCCGCAGCCAACATCCTTACCCTCTCACTTTCCTCATCCCCTCCACTCACTCTCTCAAACACAAGCTTCACCCACTCCTGCGTCTCAATTAACTCTTTAGCATGCTCTTGCGCTAGCCGGCGCTGATCTTCGTTAACGTCGAGCAGCGTCAGCAGCGCAAACAGTACTGCTTCCAGAATTGCCGGATCATTCAAGGCGTTTGATCTTACTGAAAGCAGCAGATCCCAGAACTCGGACGTCATCTGCGGGAGGGAGAGTGTCGAAGGGCCGGATGCGTGGAGCAAAAGTGAGAGAGTCTTGAGGAAAGCGGGGAGAAGGATGGGGGAGAAGTAGAGGTTGTCGTTGCCGCTGTAGGCATGAAACGGTCAGAACTTGTAATCGGTTGCTGTTGACGAAGATAAGGCGGAAAGATGCTTACTATGCCCGGACCCGCGTCCACCACCGCCCCGTGAGCGGGAAGAAGAAGTGCTGCGCGACGAGCTTAGCAAGTTCGTTCGGTATGGCTTTTGTGCGTTTCTTCTCCACCTCCATTCTCGACGAGAACGTCCGGACTTTGAGTGCGTTTGGTCCGCTCAGTTTGTCCGCTGCAGTTAGCGCCATAGGCTCGATCATTGTATGTGCGAGTCGCTTGGCCTGAGCGTCGACTGTGAGGCTGTCTGACGCGTACACCTTGTGCAGTTTATCCGGTAACCTTTTCGAAGGAAAAGAAGGCTCGGCCTTGGTGCTGGAGGGCCGAACGTCGTCGCTCTTGAAACCTGCTAACTCCCTTGCACCAAGACCAAGGGTGGTCAGGATGGAGACTCGCTGAGCCATAGAGTAGTCTCCCTCGAAGAAAGTTCTCGCGAACCACTGACCCATCTTTGCGGGCTGAGCAAGAAGCACAGCTATCATGGCTTCCTGCCGCATCTCGTGGAAGTCATCAAGCTCAAACGTGTCGTTGAGGCCTACCAGCGTCGTGGCTAGTTCCTCAATGTGGTCAGTAACTTCCGTGCCGAAGTTTGCCTTGCGGCGGATCAGGCTTGCCGCAGTCCGAAGAGCAAGGGAATGGCGGTCATAGTTCTCCGTGTCTTTGAGACCGACGATCAGGTCGCGGATGTAGACAGGCGCTGTGGGCTTGTTGCGCTGTACGAGAGTTGGATCGGGATCATCGTCTTCTGGATCGGAGTCTGGCTTTGTATATGGAACCAAGTCGTCCTCTTCTGAATCATCTGATAGTTCGACGATCCTTAGTCCAGCTGGTATTGCATAATTGTGCGACGACCTAGCAGGAGAACACCGTGGTACGCTTGCGATTGGTTCTCTCAGCGCGGCCTTGCTGATAGATTTCCTAGAACCACTCTGGAGTGGTTGTTCCGATGCGGAAGTTGATGTGGCCTTTGTCCGTTCAACATTAAGAGCTAGATCATTGATGGAGCCAATTCGATCGTTGACATGCACCAAATCGCGGTACCATCTGGCCTCGACCGTCTCTAGCTCTTCAAGATCAAACCTCATCTGATTCTCAGGCTTGTCGACAAGCCCAGAAACGCTCATACCCACTACCATGCCCAGCCAGCGTGTACGAGGTGAAGACGAAGCAAGCCGGTTCGACACTCCGTTCATGTGGACACTGCTCCGAGCCAGCGTGAAGAGAAACATCGGCAGGGCTCGGTGGACATAACCGCAAGACACGAGGAGTGTCTGCGCGATCGCCTCTTGCTGTACGATAGGCGTATGCTTGATGAACAGCGGATCTCCAAATTGCTGCATGTTCCGCTCCATTACCCTTTGCATCCGGTCTTCGTCCGTTTGGAGCGCGGCCAAGGCAGCACGCCTGAGCTTCGTTGACCCGCCGGACCTGTCGTCTGTGAGCCACTCGACTAGAGTGTCCTGTAATCGATCATTGTTCGATGCAAGGTCGCGTAATAGTGCAGCCGATCCTCCTATTGCTTTCGAAAGCTTGCCAGCCGATTCATCCCCGTCGCCTAGGTTGGTCTGAAGAAACTTGCTGTCGAGCATGGAGAGTGTTGTCTGGAGAAAGCGCTGCTGATCGCTGACGCGCAGCTTCTCTGTCACTTTCCGCAGGTTACGTAGTAGTGATGGCCGTGCAAACGAAAGATTGATGTGGATTTCCTCAATAATGTGGGACGTGTAGCCGAGGCTAAATGACTTCTCCAGGAGCTGCGCAGCTGCTGTAGTTGCTGTATCATCCCTTTCTGCGAATGTTTTCGCCATGGCGGCAATGCTTCTTCCGAGCCATCTTGCGTAACCACTACCGTCTGCCAGCCAAGGTCCAGGACTCACGTCTCCTGATGCTCTGAGCGCATTTTCCGCTTGCGCCGCCGCGGATATGATTCTGCCCGACGCGACTTGAGTGACGAAGTCTTTCCATAGTATGGTACGTCGAACCGCGTGCGCCTCTAATCGGTTAATGTCTGTCCATATCTTTTGTGCGAAGTCATCGCGTTGGAGGACTACGTCCAGGACTTCCAGGAGCTCGGCCACATTCTGGGCATTGCCTTTTTTCTCTTGAAGCTCTGCCTTCAGCAGCTTCAAGCGTGCGAGGATGGATCCAATTCCGAGGATGCTTGTGAGGCAAGCGATGAGCAAGCGTCTGTCCGAGGTATCGCTCTGGCTGGACTTTAGAGTACCCCAGAAGTCGGGCAAGATGACGGACACTAGGGTATTAACAATCTTGGCAGCTTCTGGGTTTGGGAGATGAATGGAAGCATGATCTGCTTCCGAGCCAAGATATTGCAGTACGTGCCGCAGCGAAACGATGTCAGGCTGGTTCTGAAGGACCTGAAGCGTGTCCTTAAAAGAGTGAAGCGTTGGCGTACGGCTATCCCGTAAAGCGCTTACGAGTGGTTGCTGACTCTTCGGAGTCAGTATGAGTAGAATAGGAAGTGCGGATTTTATTCCTTGTCGTGACTGTGACCATAGAACTGACGTGAGTAGGAAGCGAAGAGGGTTTCGCGGCAATCTTGAGAATTCCCAGATATTTACCTTGTTCTGTTAACGAAGACAGCACTAGCGGTGGAACGGATAACAGAGAAGTTGCGGTCATAACGCTCAAATGTTTTATGCTTACTTTACAGGTTTACCAGCTTTTGTGAGGATAGTCCTCACAGGCATAAGAATATCATCCATATTCTAGACAGGCCGCCATTACTTCGTGTAGTAAACTCGTTTAATCAGGTACATGGAGGTGTTCGGAAGAGTACGCGAACTCAGCCACGTGACGTAGCGTTTATCGATAATCTTGCCATCTCAAGTCCCCTGCAGTCAAGATGGTTGGTCTTCAAGTGATTCTCCTACTTCCAATCCTCCATCACCTACCAAGATGGACATGGACGGAGCAAGCGTCAATGGATCGCCTGCAGGAATGGACAGGAAGCGATGGTAATCATAAAACTGCTCTCCGTACCTAAGCCCCCCACTTATTGTCACGCAGGACATACCTTGACCGGATACTGAATCGTCCGGGTCCCTTCACGGACGAAGAATGGGTACCTGGCGAGCCGAACATTGAGAGCCTAGAGCGAATGAAGATCCTGTGCGCGCTATAGCTCATTCTCATGCTACCTAGCTGACGTAGAGCTAGGGTGATGTATGTACCGCATCCTCCGCAACCATTCGATATAGGCTGATGTGGTGAAGCGGTGCTGGAGGGCTAGGATGCGAGATCTTGAAGAACCTTGCGCTTTCCGGCTTCAAGGACATTCATGTCATTGATATGGGTAGGTGTAATCTACGTGACGGTGAATATCAATCTGACGGGGTTGCTAGACACCATCGACGTGTCAAACTTGAACCGCCAGTTTCTATTTCGACAAGCCGATGTTGGCAGACCCAAAGCTGAAGTGGCCGCTCAATTCGTAGAGAAACGCGTTCGCGGCGTTAAAATAACACCCTTCTGCGGCAAGATCCAGGACAAGGATGAAGATTACTATATGCAATTCGGCATGGTCATATGCGGCCTCGACAGCATCGAAGCGCGGCGCTGGATCAACGCTACGCTCGTTGGCATGGTAGATAACGACGATGCAGACACTTTGAAGCCTCTGATCGACGGTGGTACGGAAGGCTTCAAAGGTCAAGCCAGAGTAATCCTCCCCACAATGACGTCTTGTATTGAGTGTCAGCTTGATATGCATGCCCCACGAGCCGCAGTGCCCCTTTGCACGCTGGCTACTATCCCACGGCAGCCGCAGCACTGTATCGAGTGGGCGCACATCATCGCCTGGGAAGAAGAACGCAAAGGTAGTGTCTTCAGATGCGGAGTCCGGTGCTACAGCTGATCCGTCGCAGACGATACTCTCGATACCGATGATCCGGAGCATATCACATGGCTCTACCAGAAAGCATTGGCCCGCGCCAATGAGTTCAACATTCCAGGCGTCACTTACTCCATGACACAGGGCGTTGTCAAGAACATCATTCCGGCGATAGCATCAACGAACGCCATTGTTGCCGCAGCGTGCTGCAATGAAGCTTTCAAAATTGTTACGAGCACCAACCCTCCCCTTGGGTTCCCAGGAACCAACAATTACATGATGTACACAGGCGATGACAGCGTCTACACCTATACTTTCGAACATAGCAAGAAGGACGACTGTCCAGTATGCGGCAATCTCGCTAAGAACCTCGAGGTCGACCCCAATACGACTCTAGAAGACTTCATTGCTAGTCTAGCCGAGAAGCCTGAAGCGTACGTACAAAAGAACACTCACCAATACCGTACTGACCGGTCGTAGGCAACTGAAGAAGCCGACACTTCGTACTGAGGAAAAGTCTTTATACTATCAATCGCCTCCGTCTCTGGAAGAGCAGACACGCCCAAATTTGAAGAAGAAACTTTCTGAACTTGTGTCTGATGGTGAACAGATAGCAGTCTCTGACCCAGCATTCCAGATAACTTTCAAGTTCAAGCTTGTCTTCAAGAAATAAGAGGGGCCGGGAAAATGGAAGGCTTTCAAGTCCGAGAGGAGGCGTGAAGCGACGCATGATTGTCAGTGGCATAGCATGGAGGCGTTCTGACCTGATTACCTGGTGTGGCCTATGCAGGTAGTCAATGGGGTCAGCTCATGACAGGCTGTGAGGAGCGAGACATGAGGTAGGATCCCGCGGATCTATCTGGCCGTATTGAAGACATTCTGTCAGACAGGAAGAGCAGAATAAAGGGAAAAGATATCAAACTCCATGCGTACGATGCATCGAGCATAAGAGCGCGAGAGATCGTTGGGCGCGAAATATTGTATACGTCCTAAGTCTGTTCTACTTGCCATTGCTGGTGATATCGCTTGGCAATCTGAGATAAGATAAGATCCGTCGTGATGCCGTTCATCTGCTCTTCCCGATTCGGACCATTTCCGCAAGCAAACACCTCGCACCGTCCATGAATTAAACGTTGCTACGCCCATGTTGAAGATGCAGTCCTCCCGCACTACCAATTTTAGAGCACTATCATGACCCCCTATCATGATGGGCTTCGTTCGACACGGAATCACTATCATGACCCCCCGGGCCTGATTGAGCGTGTAACTAGCACTGTCTCCACAATCAATATCCCGGTCAAGCCCCCAAGAGGATGGAGCTGGAAGCGTGTCTTGACGCTGGTCAACTTCTTGAGCTTGTTCTGGGTATTTGCTCTGTACCGAGGGGAGCGGACAATATTCCGGAAGGCAATAGATGCATGCGATTGGGACACTTGGGAGAACTGGGTATGCAGCGCGGATATTCGAAGTAGAATATGGGTTAACAATCGGATATAGCCCCAAGATGCAGTGCCGCATCACCTTGTCTTCATAGCCGACCCTCAACTCGTTGACCCTCATACCTACCCTGGCCGTCCCTGGCCGCTGTCAACCTTGACGGTTTCGTACACCGACCAATACCTCCGTCGCGCCTTTTCGAAGATTACCAAGGACTTATACCCAGATACAGTGATATTTCTCGGCGATCTGTTTGACGGGGGACGGGAGTGGTCTACACCAAGCAGCGCGAGTCCGGAGAAGCAGTACAAGAAATACGGTGATCGTTTCTGGCAGCGCGAGTACACAAGATTCGGGAGCATCTTCTTCGATCAATGGAACAATGCAAGACATGCCACAAGGGCAGGGCAGGACGGACGCAAGATGATGGCAGGTCTGCCAGGTAATCACGATCTCGGCTTTGCGACTGGCATTCAGAAGCCCGTGAGGAATAGGTTCAACGCATACTTCGGAGATGGCAATAGGATTGACGTAATCGCGAACCATACGTTCGTTTCAGTGGACAGCGTGTCCCTGAGCGCCCAAGGTCTGGAAGATGGAAACATTGGAGATATCTCAAGACCGGTGGTAGATTTCCTTAACAGCGCACACGCAGAAAAGAGGCGCGCTATAACACGACATCTACGAACGCAGAATGGTCTGATGCCGGACAGTCCCTATGACCACAGAATATTTGAAGGCCGAGAGCTCGGTCACCCTGTTCCAACCACAAAGGAAGACAACAACGACTTTCCGACCATCCTCCTCACCCATGTACCCTTGTACAGAGACCCCGGAACGCCCTGCGGTCCGTTAAGGGAACATTGGCCGCCGACTCGTCCGCCCAATGGAAAGGGTGAGCCACCCGAAAGGGACGACCGTAACGCAATCGCAGTACAAGGCGGTTACCAGTACCAGAACGTTCTGACCCGAGAAATCTTGAAGGAGATTGCTGTCAGCGTCGGCAACATAGCCTACGCCTTCTCTGGGGACGATCACGATTATTGCGACGTTGTCCACCGAGGTTATCCTTCCGCAGGCGGCGGCATACGCGAAATCACTGTCAAATCAATGTCGTGGGCCATGGGTGTCCGCAAGCCTGGCTTCGTCATGCTGAGCATGTGGAACCCAGTCGATCGTCATGGCAATCGCGTCGATGCTCAAAAGAATGCTGGGAAGCCCACCATACAGACGCATCTTTGTCTCCTTCCGGATCAACTGGGCCTATTCATCCGCTACGCTCTCTACTTTGGCATAACTCTGTTGCTCCTGGTATCAAGAGCTGCCCTTTGCGCCATTGGTTTCTTCAAGTCCGCCGGATCGGGTGACGATCCTGTATTGCCAATGACAGAGATTGTTTCATCTGCAGAGACCGAGAAGGCCGAAGGCTATCGAGCCCACACTCGAAAAGGATCCTCGTCAGACGAGGCATCGTCAAACTCTTCTGTTTCCTCCAACCGTACCAATCTCTCTGTGCGGTCAGCTAGTGCTCGTACCCGCAGTATAAGTCCTGGCGGCTACGGCCTGCCTCCGTCGCAGTCTAAGTACAGCTTACCCCGAGGCAGCAACGCCGCATACCATGGGCCTGCGGAGGACAAGTATGACGAGTGGGGGATGAGCACGCGCGTCAAGCGGAGGCCTAAGAAGCTGAAGGGCTTCGCGTTGTTCAGCGAGGAGTTGAAGAAGAGCGTGCTGCGCGTAGCCCTCGTTGCTTTACCGTGGTATTTCTGGTTAATATGGGTTTGGTGATGTAGATAGTTTAACAGAATTGTCTCCATCCTACTGAGGTACCATCTCACTGCTGTCTCCCATGAACGGAACTCTGAAGCGGCTGCGAATCACCAAACCGACCATCCATGGCTCTGTGCCTGGCGATCTCCAAGCTGCTGACCCCACCAACCCTTGACCCCCACCAGCGTCATGCATTCTATTCGCAATGAGCACACCCGAATGGATCAGAAGACCTTGATGAAGGCCACCATGTTTGAAGAAGCCTCTATTCAAGCCTGAGGATTAACGTGATACAGACCTAGGAGCGTAGCTCAATAGTAGCACACATGCCCTCGACGTCCACGACGATGCCTCCGGACGATGACCTCCTCGCGCGCCTGAACGCGCTCAAGAAATCCCACATCTCTCTCTATACGACTCCTAGCGTTCCTACAGCGTTATCTGCTCCGGAGCCCGTAGTAGACAATGAACCTATTATCGACCTCGCTGCCCGCTTCCGTCGGCTTGGAGGCGCTGGCGCGTCGGCCAATACCACACCCACAAAGGGCGTTTTGGACGCCGCTGGGCCACTTAACGAGGATACGGAGCACAATCCTGAGGACGAGAAGACGCTCGACGAGCTACTACAGGACCTAGGCCCGGCGCATGAATGGAACATCAGCAACGAGGATGAGAAGGACGTGGGCAAGCTTGTAGCTGAGGTTAGACATATACTGCCCGTAGAGCCACAAGGCGCGGAAGTTACAGAGCGCAAGAGAGGAACTGCAGGTGATCCTGATCGCCCAGACGGTGGCGACGAAGAGGGCTCCGAGGCCTCAGATGCCCAGGACGAGCAGGAGGCCGATGACTACGTGGCTCGAGTCCTCGCCGAGCTCGACCTAGAAAAGAAGTACCGCAACGACGATCCAGAATCCGAAGACGAGGATGGCGCATCCGACCACGCGGCCCTCTCAGACGCGACAACCCCCAACAAGCCCGCCACGACCGCTCCTCCTAGTGATCCTTACGGCCGCAACGACTCACCCTCGCTCGAGCTCCCAGCAGCACCCACCGCCCCACCCGACGACTTCGACCGCGCGACCGCAGTCGACGACCACCTAACCGCGCGCATGGCGGCGCTCTCTCTCCCCTCCGCGCCCTCGTTCGCGCCGTCTGACAAGCCCATCAAGGTCACCAAGGCGCAGTTCACGGACGAGCAGATCGACAGCTGGTGTGTCATCTGCTACGCCGACGCGACGGTCAAGTGTCTGGGGTGTGACGGGGAGCTTTATTGTAGGGGGTGCTGGAGGGAGGGTCATGTAGGGCCGGATGCCGGGTTTGAGGAACGGGGGCACAAGTGGGTGGGTGTTGGGGGCGGGAAGGGGTGAAGGTGGTCTGAAGTGGTTGTCTTTTGAAGGCAACGCGATCAGAATGATTGTTCGACGAACCCGAGGATACGGATAGGCTGGAGGCGAAGCTAAGGGTGCAACTGTGCCACTCTGAACTTTTCAGCCCAGGATCCTGTCGCTGCAGCTACTCTTCCGACGTCGGCTTCGTTAGAGGGAACAGGACACCGAAGAAGTCGAAGCCCCGCTTCCGGGCTTCAGGTTGGGCCACTAAGTGTGCCCAGTGTACGGCTGGTTCTCAAGCTTGCCATTGCTGGAGTGTGGTACGGATGATATGGAGGAGGGCCATGGCTTGGACGTTACGAGCTGTAGAAGTGCCAAGATTTGTTTTGGATTATAGTGGGTTAGTTTGGATGGAAGTAACGACAGGAGCCGCAACCTAGAAGCTAAGGCACAGGGGACTCGAGCGACGAGGCGGACAAACTGACAAGTTTTCCGAGGCATGGCCGGCAGAACAAATAATGAAGTAGGTCATGGAACAATTCACGGTGGTCCCGTTGTCAAGTGTCAGAGCTCAACTATCTCACTCACATCTCACCGCACTGGGAGATGACGATATCCTGGTTCGGCTTCTCCCTCGTCGTCCGCGCGTTCTCAATCTTCCGCACGACATCCATGCCGTCGACCACCTTACCGAACACAACATGTTTGTTATTAAGGAAAGGCGTCGGCACCGTCGTAATGAAGAACTGGCACCCATTCGTATTCGGGCCGGAATTCTTCGGTCCCCTCACCATCAGCGCCGTCTCTTAGTACCACAACGGATGCAAGGGCAAACTCACCGCCATACTCAACAAGCCCGCAGTATCGTGCTTGAGCTTGAAGTTCTCATCCGCAAACGAGCGCGTGCCGTAGATCGAGGCCGAGCCCGTGCCGTCGCCGTGCAAGAAGTCCCCGCCCTGGATCATGAAGTCCTTGATCACGCGGTGGAACTTGCTGCCCTTGTAGCCCTGCGGCCGGCCTTGGGCGCTCTTGGTCTCGCCCGTGCAGAACTGGCGGAAATTCTCGGCGGTTCGCGGGACGGTGTCGTGGAAGAGCTCCATTTTGATCCGGCCGAGGGATTCGCCTGGGGGGCAGGGTTAGCTGGGGCATAACTGAGTGGATGAACGCTGGGGTTGCTAAGGTGTTCGAGTGAGAAAGAGGAGAAGGACCTGATGGAAACTCCATATAGATGTTGGACTGGGGGAAGAAAGTTTGATATCACGTGATATGTACCGACCTCCCAGGGTGACATCGAAAAACACGATTGGATTCACGGACGTTGCCATTTCGAAGTAGGAAGACAGTTCTTTCTCTCCGAGGTCCCTTGGCTATTGAGACTTTTGCGGCGCTGGAGATGTTGTTGTTCGACTCGTTTGAGGAGACTGCCTGGAAGATCTTTGCGTAGGCCGCTTTTCAATGCCCGGATCAAACTTTGGCGATTAGCAGTTTGCTAGGACGCTTGCTTCCAAGTTGATGTGTCCGCTTTGCTTAGGTCTTCCGTAAGCGTCCGTGTTCAGGGTCTAAGCTGCGACGTTAATGGGTGGGCAGATGGTCGGGTGGTTTGGCTGTCATTGGTGTTGCAAGTTCCTTCGATGCTGCACACGGCGCTCTTCTTGCCTAATGCGGCATCCTGATCGGGATAGGGTATCGTGGATATGTAGGCTACAAGGAAGACAGACCGTCCTCGATCCTCACAACAGTTCCTATCGACTGAGATGCAATCCTTAACATCTTTCAAGGCTTCTCTGCAGAAACCGACCAAGAGCATCAAGTGTCATTGAAGTGAACAGCCACCAGCCCCCGGTGCTAACTCGGCCTCAGCCCTGCAAAGCGGAGGATCAACGCTCCGGTCGCCATCGGGCCTTTCCTCTGTTGGCGCTTCCCGTCGAGAGGGTTCAAGGAGCGCGACGGCGAGTCTCACCACCACCACCTGACCGCTCTGTACAGCCCCGTACAGCCCCCTTCGAACGGCCGTATTCTGGACATCTCCTGCTCATCGATATGGTACAGTTAGCGACCTCTACTATCGTCGACAACAGGCCTCGTCACCTCGCTCAACATCAGCGGCTCGGTCATTGGTCCTCCAAGTGATCCATCGACCTTGGAACTTGCTTGCCACACCGGCGTCGCCCCACCCGCCGTCGTCCCGTCATCCATATCTGGACGTCCACCACTCGTTCGCCGGCCCAATTCAGCTCGTTGCGAGCCGCTGGTACCGTCTGCATTACATATCCCCGAGACGTCCCTTTTCCTACAAAGCAAGCCATCCTCCACCCTGACATCCTCAGACGCGGGCTACCTACAGCACGGATCACAGCAGTCAGCCTCGCGACATCCCCGGATCCAAACAACTTACAGCTCGGATAAGAGCTCGTTTCTCGGCTACGCCCGCTGTCAGAACGACACTTCGCCATGTCTGCAACATCTACGATAGCAGTGCCGCCGGCCGCTTCGACGACCGGCTCAGGGCCTGGTAACAACCATGGCAACAACGGTCCTACCAGCTCTCCATTGCTATTCTTTGTCGCTCTGGGGTTTGGTGTGGTTTTCACAAATCTCTGGTACGCCCCTTCGCTTATTGCGTTCCACTCGCGTCCTTACGAGCCAGACCGCAGCCGCTAACAAGCTCCGCGCAGGATAATCGTCGGCGTCAAGTATTGCTTCCGGTACAACCAGCGCAATCGCCAAGCTAGGCTGGGCGAGAATGGGGATCCCATCGACATGACAGCAGTACCTCGAGCGCACCGCAGAAGGAGGGAGAAGAAGCTGATGACAATGGAAGAAGTGAACGCGCGGTTTCCGCTGGTGAAATACAAACAGTGGAGGGCAACGCGCGAACATGAAGGACTTCCTGCCGCTGGCGGTGTCACGGCTCCACCGAGCCGAGCTCCCAGTGTGAAAGATGCAGACGGGGTCATTGGGGCATCTGACACGTCGCGCATATCAGGCGAGACCGCCAGACCCGCAACCGCAACCGCGCTTCCACCTCCTCAGGAATATTACGCCGCTACCTCCAGTACCACTCCCCCGCCACCCCTCGTTACCGCCTCTACCAGTGATGCTGAGAAGGAGGAAAATCTGGAAAAAGTAAAAACCACGACTAGCACAGTTGGAGATCATCCGAAGGCAGGAGACGAGTCCGACGACGAAGATGACCCGATACGTACCGCTGCTCCGCCGGAGATGTTAGCTACACCTGGCGACTGCTGCGCCATCTGCCTGGACACTTTAGAAGACGACGACGACGTGCGCGGCTTGAGCTGTGGTCATGCCTTCCACGCCGGCTGCGTCGATCCTTGGTTGACCAGTCGTCGGGCCTGCTGTCCGCTCTGCAAAGCCGACTATTACGTCCCCAAGCCGCGACCAGAAGGCGAAACCGAGGTACCCATTACAGGGCGCCGCGCGGTTGGCATGAGCGGGCTTCGAATGAATCTTCCGAATGCACCGCAAGCGACATGGATAGGCTCAAGAAGCGGGGACGTGCCTCTCCGTCCACGCATGCTGTTCCTACCCAGCAGCCGGTTTTTCGCTGTCGATCCGTTACGTCGATACCCCGACGCTGGTCCTACTCGTCCGCCAGACGCTGCGGCGGCTGAGAGTTACGAGGATCCTACACAAGCAACTACGAATCCAACGAGGACGTCGAGATTCAACATCCCCCGGCCATCGTTTGCATCCATGTCGATGCCGTTCCGCAATCGCGCTCCAGCGGAGACGGCGTCGGCGCCAGCGTCAACAGCAAATCCCACACCAGCCCAGCTCGAGGCTGGGACAAGATGATCTCGCTTAGGCGTCCGGTTTGGATGAGTGGCGTATCACATCTCCTGCATATTCCCGCTGCCTTTGACGATTTCACGATGAAAATAATTTTGGTTTTCTAAGCAGGCGATACCATTTCTGCTCTGCCTTACTGTCTTTTTAGAATCTTCGTACAGCGTTTCATCGAGCCTTTGCACATTTAGCGGTCTCTCACCTTTTATCGAATGTGCGATTTGAGCGGTAGCTGTTGCCATGCTGACTGCCGCCGAGGCAGAGCTGTTGGTAGCATCTCGTTGGCCTCGGAATCTTCAAAAAATTTCCACCTGCTTGCAGCTTGTTGGCGGTTGTGTGGTTGTAGGTCAGGATATTATACTGATATCGGGGCATCATGCTCCATGTGCACCACTCCGTTGGCATGTAGATTATATATCCACAAAGCTGAAGCGATTACTCTGCTCCATTTGTCCACTCTACTACAACACATGCTATGATGCTGGGTTTCCTGCTCCCATGAGCTCCGTAAGCTTCACTTCTTCGGGCCAGATTGGACAGCTTCCCCGTGGAGCCACTGACAGGAGGTTAAAGCTCCACGAAGCGTCTCGGAAAGAAGCCTACCGTAGGCGATCGGCATCATCGTCAGAGCAACACACCAGAAACTCCACATGATTCATGAATCTCAAGCGGAATGATCCTTGATCCGTATCTCTATCAACTACAAACCCCCTCTCCCCCCCACTACGCCCAGGCCCCCACAAGCGCCATCAACGCCGCGCCCCCAACCACCGCCCCACATGCCTCCATCCTCTTCCGCCCTCTCAGTTTCACATAACTCTCATCGCTCAAAAAGTCCTCCGCCAGCAGTTCCACCAGTCCCGCAAACAGCAACAACCCGCTACTAACCGCATTCATGACCCCGACCGTCAGCAGCCCCGTCTGGCTCTGGGGGTCATACAGCGTATGGATCGCCAATCCCAACGCCTGGCCAATGGGCGTGGTGGTGCCGTACGCGAGGGCCATGAGCCACGGCTTGGGCGAGTTGGCCGGGAACGAGAGGGCCGAGATGCGGCTGCCGAGCGCCAGCCCTTCGAAGGTCTGGTGGAAGGAGATGGCGATCAGCAGCACGATGAAGGGCGTCCCCGTCGCGACGGAGAGCGCCATCCCGATGAAGATGCTGTGGAAGAGGATGCCGGCTTCGAGGAGGAGGCATTGCAGCAGGAGCTTCTTCTGCTTCTCGTCGTCGGTGAGCATGTGGGTGTGCGCCGCGGGGAGGGGGGAGCGCGGGCTCGAGGGCGTGAGCGAGCCGGAGCCGTGGTTGCTGAGTTGGCCGCGCAGGTGGTCGTTCATGAGAGCTCGTGAGGCGCGCTGGGTCTCGAGCTCGGCGTCGGACAGGTCGAGGTCGGATGAGGAGTCGGAGTCGGAGTCGGTGCGGGTCTTGGATTTGTTGCGCGGATGCTGGGTAGGTGCGGCGGGCGTGATTTCGTCGCTGTAGTTGGCGGCTGGTATGGAGATTTCGCCTAGTGCGATGGGCTCTGGGGCACCGCTGTTGGCGCCGATGGGGACCTGGCGGAAGCGCCTGAAGCTGTCTTTCCGGGCGTGGACGGGCCTGCTGGAGCCGTTTGCACCACGTGGGCCGTGGTTGTGTGTGCCTTCTTCTAAAGGAGTGTCAAAGTCGCTGCCGTGGACGTGACCGCCGCCTTTCGTGGCGAAGAACATCTCTACTCCGACGACGATCAGGACCGAGGTCATAGCGATGAGGCCGGCCATGGCTGGGTAGCCCTGGTTCCAGAATGGTGGGAGACATGGGTCGGTTAGCGACACGAAGGCTGTCGGGAGGAGGTGCACAAAGGCCGTAGCTATGAGGACACCTGTCCCGAAGTGTCGCGAGAGGAAGAGAAGGTGGTGGGGGACTGGGAGGCGTGGGAAGCGGCGGACAATGATGGGGAAGGAACATGCTGGGGCCTGTTGTCAGTTGTCGAAGCCGTGGAGAATGCGTTGGAGTGCTCACCAAATGTACTGAGAACAAGAATTATAACGAGTGCTGCGAAGTGTAAGGGGGTATTGTATGACGCTTTGCCGTCCTTTGAACCGCATGTTTGTCTATCGGGGCTGTCTTCTCGCCGCAGGAGCTCTGCTCGGAGAAGAGCGGTTGGTATCTCTACCCATGATGCTGGATGTCCTGCTCAATGGTATTAGTAAAGCTGGCCTGGGATGTATTGGAGGGGGCATAAACCGGTAGAGGGGAGCTCCCCGTCACGAGTGCTCATTATCCGGTGTTCTTTGACGCGGGTGTGCAGTGGAGGCGTTCGAGGAGGCTCGTATTGCACGAATCATGGTCCCAGTGCCCGAAGAAGTAGTCTTGGATGCAGGTTGCCGGTGTGGTGGTGAGTTTTGCGGAAGGCGCAGGCGCACCGTAGGGCTGAAGCCGAAGCTTTGGCAAACACCAAGGACGGACGCGTATGCGTACAAACGCTGTGACGACAAAGCTCCTTGGAAGGCTGCCACTTCCGTTCTCTTTAGGTAGTCACTACACACAGCCGCTCAGGGAGTCTGAAGGAAGCTAATGGACTATGGATCGGTCAAAGCTGGTACCTCCGTACCCAGCCCGAGACAAGTCCATCAACTTAAATGCATATACACCCATCGAGGAAGAGGCTTACCTGCGGAAGATATCTCTTATTCCGTTGACTGCATGGCCAGAGCGGCTAACCAGAAATGCCTCCGCCACAGTTTGTGCAAGACTGGGTTTCGACCGGCAAGTCCGAGTTCGAAGAGGCATTGCGCTGGATCCAGCGCCAGCGCAGACTACACTCAGGCCGTTGCATTTACTGCAATAACCCGGACCCACGAGGCCACGAAGATACTCTCACCACCGGTTACAAGGGACTCAACCTGTTCTTGTCTTACTCTTTGCTCGCCAGAGGCGAGATTCGAGGATGCAATTTCTGTTCATTGATCCGAAGAGTCATCGATTTTTTCGTACCTGATTGTTTGCCTTCAGAGTCCTTATCCATTGAAATTTTCCGGGGCAGGCCGGTGGCAGTTCTGGCCCCGACACCCATCTCTGACAGGAGCTTTGGTCACACTGAACTGATAATTTACTCCCGCCCTGGTATGTCCGTCTCTCGCTCCCTGCCGAAGAACTCCACTTTCCCACTATAGCAGCAGCGTGACACTAGGTCCTGTCCTGCTGCTAATCGAATAGACGACAAGTTGTCAAGCATGCCAGCTTGGCCGACCTTGGGTCCCGCCCTAGACTGCGCTCAGAACCACGATTATTGTTGCAATCAGCCATTAGCAGCCGAGCTGCCAAAGAGCGTCATCCATATAGATCCTAGCGAACACCTGCATCTCCACGAGCCCGGCTCGGAACGTGCACCATATGCGGCGCTCAGCTACTGTTGGGACAGCACCGAGAATGTGAAAACCACTAGAACAGCACTCTATCAATTGAAGAGAACCATTGACCCTGACTTGCTTCCGCAAACGCTCCAGGACGCCGTTACGGTCACTCGTCGGCTGAAGATTGACTATCTTTGGATAGATTCGCTGTGCATTATTCAGGATAGTAGAGCCGCTTAGGAGATAGAATCCGCTAAGATAGGTTCCCACTATCAGAATGCCTATGTTATCATTGCTGCGGAATGTTATGCTAATCCCCACATATCTCTCTTGGCTCAGCGAAACTATGCTGCGGCCGCTGACTTTGGGTTTTCCGACAACACCGGTAGGAATGCTACAGTCCGAGCCGGGTTTCGCGGCACACATCAGCGACTTGATGAGGAGGACGTAGACCCATTAGCAGACGGAAGTTGGGGTTTCCAAGAAGCTTGGCTCTCGACGCGTCTCCTTTCTTACACCGAGCGGGGGATCCTGTGGCAATGCAACAGCAACCTACTCTGCGAAGATCACACTAAATTTCTTAAAGCAAACAGGATGATTTCATCTTTTCTCACTGGAGAGGATAGGCTGGCCAACGATCCTTTTAACTGCTGGCATCTAATGGAAGACTACTATTCCGGTCGCCAACTTACTTTCGACACAGATAAGCTCCCGGCCATCAGCGGGTTGGCTTCTAAGGTCTACGAGCTGACGAAGTCTCCATACGCAGCCGGGTTATGGTCCAAGAATGTACCAGCAGAACTCATGTGGCGATCATTGAAGTCGGAAGGATCTCATGAATATGCATCCGCAAACTCAATCTCGTCCTGGTCGTGGGTATCTGTCAAAGGTCATGTCGACTTCACAAGTGCCAGTACCAGAACTAGGGGCCTGTATACTATCTCTGAGTATCTTACCAGAGTCCTCGACGTGCAGTGCGACGTTCCGGGACTCAACCGGCGAAGTCAGCGGCGGCTCTCTCACTCTGCGAGGGCCTCTCCTTACGTCCCAACTGGCTTATAACCAGGCTCGATTGGGACACGAGGAAGAGCAACATTAGCTGAACGGTGAAGGCGGTGTTTCGAAAGATATACTCATTCAAGCCGACAGCTACCTGGAAGCAAGCATTGTCCGTGCAGCGGACGATCTGTTCGAACCTCACAGTAGGAAGGTCATCTCATCCTAGATCGCAAATCAACGACGACTTTGATACGTCAGTATTCATTCTCGTTATGTGTAATGCAATGGAACTACCAAAGACACTCGGTTGGTGGGCGCTTGTCTTAGGAAGTCCGATGCGGTTGCCGGTGCCTACTCTCGTCTTGGTATAGTATGGTATGGGTCGAACATCGTTGCTTCTGGGCTGGAAAAGCTCGGCAAGAAACCATTACTATAGTGTAGGTCGGAACAGCAGATCGCTGCGGGACGTTAATCTGGCAGTTCTGTGTGCCATGGGTGCATTGGATAGGCCCTACAGTATTCGCTACTAACGAGAACGTTCACTGACGGCTTATTCGATCCATTGGTATATTTGCCCATCTATGCGAAGCAGAGTACTGCAAGACTCAGATAGCAGCGTAAGTAACTGCGGAAGCCCGAAACGCAACCTTTCGGGGACGCTGACACAACCCAAGAGAACGTTTCTATCTTGTAATGAGATCCGGTGACCACCAAAGAACTTGATATCAACGCCGCAGCGATGCGCTGCGCTGCAGAATGTCAGGAGGCCTCTTGCTACAGCGAATAGTCCGTCTGCGCACAGCACAGATCATAGCTGCCTCACCCTCATATCTCCTTGAAGTTCAAGCAACTTGTGTAGCACTGCCTCGTGTTTGATCTCGGCGTATCAGTTTTGGATTACACAGAAAACTCCATCAGTATGTTCGGTCATCCGAACAGTTCAGTGCACGTCTGGAGTCAGGCACTCCCGCTATGCTCGCTCTCCCGGCTCAATCAAACCGATCTGGTGATGGACGAAGACCTAGCCATTTCAACGACAACTCTCACTTCCTGGTACAGTAACACGCCATGCTCCGTCTGCGCGCTGGGCGTCCAGAGTTGCGCCGAGTTGCTCGATGCGGACACCCCAGCACTTCTCCGATTGCTCCCACTCCTTCGGAGCAGTCGCCCTCCAAATGAGCATGCTCTCTCGCTGGTACTATCTATCTCCACTCACCTCACCATAGAGCTGCTGGATCGCTGAATATTACCCCGGATTATCACGGCCTTACTCCTGCTCCGATGATGGCTCCTGAATAATCTTGAAGCGTGGCCGGGTTACGCATCAATCGGGCTCGGAATATTGCGGCCAAGAACGCGGGCTTGCAACATTCAGCAGCAGGCTGTCTGACTAAGACTTATATGGGGGAAGCGCGTCAGGAGATCGGTGGGCCGTTGAACGGTACGAAGGCCTAAGGGGGCCCTAACGAGATGCCGCGTGGCATCAGGGAAGACGGCCGGGCTGTGTTGTTGTATGAGCTCACTGTGTGCTATGAGCAAGAGCTCCTCAGCGTCACGGGATGGCGCATGGCGCAAAGTTTGTCCTTTGTGCAAAGTAACAGATTGTCTGCAGGAAGCACAGCTGTTGCCATACTCGAAAACGACAGTCTTCCACTACGTACGTGGAAGATCCCGCAAAACCATTAGGAGACTTTCCTTCGCGGCTATCTTTCGTACAGGAGCCTACGGCGTGGTGTTGGCGTCCCCCAAAGCTCCCCTATTTCCACCTTTCCCAGTCTGCAGTGTCGTTTCAAGCGTCCATCCAGGCTCTCATATGCGTTAAATTCATCGCGTAACTGTGGTTCCCTCCTCTCAGTCATGAAAACCGGCGGCACCAGACCTCACCGTTATCACCGCTCGGCAGCAGGCGTGGACGAAGAGACACACTCACGGCCATGAACCCGGAGGCCGGACGGGGGGGGGGAGCTACCATCCCGGCGGCGTTCTGCGCGATCGTTGGAGTTGCTGCATCCGGAAGTGTGGGGGTGTGGGCGGAATGTGAGTCAGGGCGAAAGCGCCGTTCGGTCCTGGAGCGCCTATAGTATTCGGATCTCTCGCTGTGCATCGTATCAGGCCGGCGTCACGGGTCCTTGTATCGTTGATGATTATTGTCGTCGGCGCCGTTGTCGTTGTCGCTGCTGTTTGATGGTTGAAAAAGACAGCCGAGAAAACGATCGTGTCCATTACACTTACCCATCGACAACGGAGTTTTCAGACCGTTGATCGGGTTGCTCCTCCATTCGCTCTTACGTTGCATAGCAATTTACGGCGGGCACTGGGTATCTTACGCATTGTTCACATGTTTCCCAAGGGTCTGTTCAGATGCCAACACACGCTTACAGGCTTCGTAAAAATGCTGATGCGGTTTCCAAACTTGTCTACATACACAGCCAAAACCCCAACGAACCTGAATAAAAACGCCAACTCAAGCGGCGCAGCAAGACCCCCAATCTGCTTCTCACCCCCGCTTACACATACATCTCACACCCCAGTCTTATCTAATACTCCAACGTGACCTTCTGCCCCTTGACCCTCCCAATCGCAATCTCCGGGGCATACTTCGGAATAACCTCATCATCATGCAGCATCTCAAACTCCTCGCTCGCATCCTTGCCCATATGGCTATACAGCGCCTGCGGCCCACCGGGGTGCTCATCGACCCAGTTCGTCAAATCCAACACAACGCCCTTGACCGCGATCCACATATCATCCCTCTTGTTGTGCTTCGCCACCTCCTCGAGGCTGAACTCCTTCTCCGGCACGCTGAACTCGGATACCTTGCTCGGCTGGGAGACCTTGCCGGGATCCTTGCTGTCGGCCGCGGAGCCCTTGAGCACGGGCGCGGCCGAGGCTTGCTTCTGCTGCGCGATCTTGTCCTCGGTGCTGTCGCCTGCGGAGCCGGATGCCGAGGCGCTGGCCCCGGAGCCCCACTCCACGGACACCTTGCCCGGCTGGCTGGGGTCGATGTGCAGGCTGATCTGGCCGAGACGCTGCGCAGCGGATGAGACGCCGGCATTCAGCACCTTCTGGAAGAGGTACTTGCTCGCGCTCTCGCCGGCCACACGGCCATAAACGACGCAGCCGAGCAGGGACGAGCCGCCGAGACGGTTGGCACCATGGACGCCGCCGGCCAGCTCGCCGCACACGAAGAGGCCGTCGAAGGGCTTGCCCTCGGTGTTGAGACACTGCGCTTCCGCGTTGATCTCGATGCCGCCCATCGTGAAGTGCAGCACGGGCTCCATGAGCGCGACGTGGAAGGTGTCGTTGACGTCGAAGGGGAGGTTGTGGAAGAACTTCTTGCCATAGGGGTCTTTCTCCTTGCCGTCTGCGATCGCGTTGTAGGTCTTGAAGGTTGCTTGGAGGGCGTCTTCGCCGCAGCCGATTTCTTTGGCGAGCTCGGCGCCGCTCATCTTCTTCATGAGACCCCGTCCGGAGTAGTGCCGTGTGTGGAAGTCGAGCACGTTGGAGGCTTTGGAGTTAAGGACAAGCCGGATTGGCCATTGGCCCTTTTCTTTCTCTTCCCACATCTTGCCGGAGACGTAGTCGCGGTGGCCGAGCTCGTCAGAGAAGCGCTGGCCTTTGGAGTTGAGGAGGAGACCACCTTCGCCGCGGAGGGCTGGGAAGCGTTAGCGGGCATTGTTGGTAGAGCAGTCGAGCGGGTTTCAGAGCATACCTTCTGCGGCCAAGAACTTCCACTTCGAGCCAGGGTCCTTGGGGTCTATCAGACCCGTCGGGTGAACCTGAACCTTGTCCATATCAATACCGTTAGCGCCGATAGCCATCAGCATCTTGTGACCATCACCAGTAGCGTGTGCGCCGTTCGTAGTCGCCAGGCCGAAGGTGTCGGGCCTGTGCTTCTTAAGGAGCGACGAGTCCGTGAAGTCGGCAGCGTAGCCACCGGTCGCCAAGATCACCGGGCCGTCCACGAAAGTCTCCTCGCCGTTGAAGAGGTACGTGACGCCGGTGGCGGAGTTGCCTTCCTTGTTGACCTTGACGACCTTGGCCTTCTTGATGAGCTGGACACGCTCCGGCTCGAGCTCGGCGAGCTCCTCGAACCGCTGCATCAGGGCGTATGTGATGGCCATGCCGGGGAACTTGGCATCATGGCCACGGTGGGTTCGGGGCTGGGAGTGGCCACTAAATCAGAATTAGCATCGGAAACACACGTTTTGCTGGAGCCTCGTCTTGTATACATACCCTAACCGCGAGACGAGGGTCAAATCCAGGTTGAAGACATCCTGCAGCCACTCGACGGCGGCGGCGGACTTGTATGTGAGGACCTTGATCAGATCCGGGCGGGCCTTGTCACGCGCGGACTTGAGCGTGTCGTCGTAGAACTGCTTGACGCTGTCGGCAATCTTGTGGTCGACTTGGGTCCGGGTGAGGGCGCCGTTGATACCCGAGGTCGCCTTGGTGGAGTTGCCGCCCATGAAGTCTGGCGGGGTGTCAGAGGAGCGTGGCGGAAGCGGACAGCGCAGGACTTACTGTTCTTGTCGAGGAGGAGCACGTTGCCGCCAGCAAGGTATATGCTGTGAGCAGCGCTCAACCCGGACACTGTGGAATCGTCAGTTGTCGTGTCTCAGCGTGGAGTGGGGAGCAGCATACAGCCGGCACCGACAACAATGATCCGTGGAGCCATGGTGAAGCGATCAGAGACAGAAACAATGACAGCGAGGGTATCTACGGAAGGAAGATGAAGGGACTAGAGAAGTGCAAGATGGAGAGATGGATGTCTTTGGTGTTGGCGGGCAGCGGAGTGTTTTAATGTCAGTAATCCCCAGACTCCAGACTTCCGTTAGCTGGATCGGCCAAGAGTGGGAATTGCCTCGGCGTGGAGGAAACGCAACCTTGCCGTTTGCGGAGGATTCCCGGACCCTGCTGCGGCGAGAAGGGCGAATGGCGGCGCGCACAATGTCAGCAGCCTCAAGCAGAAGTCGTTGAAGCTGTTTACACAGGTATAACGATGCTGCAGTAGGGCTCGAGATTTGATGTTTGCATCTGCTGTGGGTTCGCGCGGGCAGCGATGGATCGAGACGGAGTTGCGGCATGTGAAAGCAGCGCGGGCGGCAATCCGGGGGAGCATGACCTTTCGCGGGGGGCATCTAGACAGCCTTCGGACACCCGTGATCACGACTCTTGTCCGTGTTTCGCATGTGAAGGATGGCCGAGCAGTAGAGCTGTCATCCATTCTCTTGTGACAGCTTGAACCAACGCATCCTGTAGACCCATCATGAACAGTTCGAGCTTCCCTCTGCATCGTGAGACTCAAAAGCCGACGTCTCTCACCCGTCTAGAAGTGGAAATCTTCGGCGAAGTGTGGGCGAGCAGAGCCCGGGCCCCCTGGGAGATAATTCTCCGACTAAGGATAGAATCTATCCACATGAGCACCGCACCGGTGAGAAAAGCGTGTCGGCTCTGTAGACTCTAGTTCAGCGTCTGGCCGAGCAGTCTAGCACCTTGTCAAGGCCAGTTTGTAGGGGGCGGATTGTCTCCCTTGCTATATCGACGGACTTTGCCACATATTCGAATCAAGCAGACAGCCATCATTCATAAATGCTTGTTGGCCATGTGCTCACTCAGATGGATGCTCTACTCTGGAACGACACACTGAGGCTTGTACTGCTCAGATATAAGGGGACAGTCAAGAAGTTCTGAATTGATACTTGGCACTGCACTCCATTACCATAGAACAGCTGCATAGATACAATACGGATACATGCGCGCTCTTTCCGCAGCTAATTTACTGAATATTAGACAACTCTTGCAACATTCCTTCTGACAAAAATCTCCGTATGGTGGCAGCAACAGAACACACAAAGTGGCAAGCGATCTGGATCTACAAAGCGAACACAGCCATGAAGAGACCTGCAATACCGGCAGCCGAAGCACCCATCTGGACATTGTTCGCAGCAGCAGCAGCCGAAGACGCCGCAGAAGCAGCCGCCGAAGTCGCCGAGCTCGCACGTGAAGCAGCCGAAGAAGCAGCTGTTATCCCATCATTAGCCTAGTCCTCCATACCAAAACGCAACAAGCACTCACCACCAGAAAGGCTAGCAGCAGCGGACGACACACTAGCAGCAGCACCACTCGTCACGCTCGCAGCATTGCTCGCGGCCGTGCTCGCCCCGCTCCCGACCACTCCGCCAACTGTTTGCGTCGACGGGTAGTAGCTCGCAATGCAGTTCTGCGTGCACTGGCTGTAGCGCTCCGTCGCGGCGGGCGAGCCATCGCCTTGGTCACACTGCGCAACGCACTCGTTCGTCTGGTTCACCTGCGATTCGTTCGGGCGCGCGGCGCCGACGCAGCGGGCCTTGCAGGTGACGTCTTCGATGGGGCAGGCGGCGAGGCAGGTTTGGACGGGAGTCAGCGAGACGGTGGTGCTGGCGTCGGAGAGGACGACGGTCGAGGAGACGGAGAAGGAGCTCGTGAGTGCTGATGGAGTTGCTTCCTGGGGCTGAGGAGCCGCGAGGGCGAGGCCGGCGAAGGCGGAGATGAGGATGGCGGTGAACTTCATTGTGACGATGGGCTGATGCGTGGAATGCTTAGATTACGATGCTGTATTAGAAGTTGATGATGGGGAAGAAGATGGACAAGCGAGTGTCAGAAGAGAACTTTCGACGGATTGCGAGACAATGACTATTAGTGGAAGGCGCGGTGGAGAAGAGACGGAGAGAAATCTGGGGAAGGAAGGGGGTATTTGTTTGGTATCACGGCCATGTTCGTGCCGAGGCGCGGTATTGGTTAGATCGACGCCTTCCAATTTTGTTCTCCGAACCATTTCCCCCCAACAACTCCGATAGGTGCGGCGCTGCCACTGCTTTCATGTGGTGGAAGTCATGTGTCATGGAGTGGGCAAATGCATTGACACTGGTTGAGGCGTCCTGCATCTCGAGTGCCTTTCTAAGCGCGCAGGCCCGGTCGAGACGGGGACTTTCCCCAGATATTCCAGAGTTCGTTCACGGGCTAGCAACGCCAAGCGGCGGCCGGGCTGCATGACACCGCGCGTCGACGCGTCCGCTCCAAAACCACCACCGGCAAATACCGCGATGCCTACGACAGGCCGTAAAGCGACTTCTTCAAAAGCAGAGGAATGGACGGCAGCGATGATTTCGGAGACTTTGATGATGAAGAGCTAATCGAGGCTGCCACTCAAGCAGAGGCTCCTGATAACTCGCCTTCGAGGGAGAAAACTCCCAAGCCGCCGAAGCACAAGATACACGTGCCGGCGAATGCAGTGGCGGTACAAGATGTCTACTACACTCAAGCGCCGCCTTCAGCCTCGATGCCATGGCAGATTAGAGGACCCATCTGGCAGAAGGCGCCAGCGTCCAGCAAAACTGGAGTTGGACGATCGCCACTCCAAGTTCGGAGAAAATCTTTAAACGACGATATCGTCTCGGATGAAGAAGAGGCATTCGATCCTCCTAAACTACCACCTGCTTCCAAGACTCCCACGAAACCTCAGCAGTACGCTGTGCAAGACGATGTGGTCTCGGACGAAGAAGATGCTTTCGACCCTCCCATGCTCCCTCCGAAACCAGCGAGGCAGCAGTCAGTACTCCACCCCAAGGGAATGCAGCCCGTGTACGGTACTTCGCAAGTGTAAGCCATTTTTCGCTTTTTGCTATGATCACGTGGCTTTCAGACAGTCTCTCTTCAACTCTCCGCCACATTCGGGCATTTCTACAACCAAGAGCACTTTTTCGTAATCTGCATATCGCACTCCGGTTCTCGTTCCATCGCTTTCGTGCTCGGGTGCTTCAGATCCACAGTCCTGACCGAGACGCAGAAACATTGCAGCTCTGGATGCCACGGAAGAGCTTGCAGATCTCCCCTCGGATGTATTTTCTTCTTCAGCTGCTTCCCCTGAGAAACAGCCAGACGAGGCTATCCCTACTACGACCCAGGTTCGGCGTCAGACTCTGGTTGCTCCGCAGAATGGGCTACGCCAAACCACGCTCTTCGGCAGAGACACCGCTCAAGGTCTCCCCGCATCGCAGGTTAACAAGCGCCATAACTGGCCTTTAGCCAACAAGGCTGAACCGCCAACCCACCATAAGCTGAACGATGCAGCTACAAGGACATGGGTGTACCCCACCAATCTCGGCACGATTCGTGACTACCAGTTCAACATTGTCGCAAGAGGACTCTATCACAACCTTCTCGTCGCCCTGCCTACTGGGCTTGGGAAGACATTCATCGCTGCGACGATCATGCTCAACTGGTTTCGCTGGACTAAAGACTCCCAAATCGTATTCATGGCTCCAACGAAACCGCTGGTGTCCCAGCAAGTCGGCGCTTGTTTTGGGATTGCTGGTATACCGAGATCAGAAACTACAATGCTCACGGGTGGCATTGCGACCGGCTTGCGAGCGGAAGAGTGGCTTAGCAAACGGGTATTCTTCATGACGCCCCAGACTCTGTTGAATGATCTGAAGACCGGGATCTGCGACCCAAAGAGAATTGTGCTCCTAGTGGTAGATGAAGCCCATAGGGCCACTGGAGCTTACTCCTATGTCGAAGTAGTCAAGTTCATCAGGCGTTTCAACGAGAGTTTTCGGGTCCTTGCGCTCACTGCCACGCCCGGATCCGATGTGAAGTCTGTGCAGAAAGTCATCGACGGACTGGATATTTCCCGTGTTGAGATTAGGACGGAACATTCCATTGACATCCGTCAATATGTGCACTCCAGACAAACGGAGACGTTCGTCTTTGACCCTTCGGAAGAGATGACCATGTTGATGGATCTCTACTCAAAAGCCGTTGAGCCACTGTTGGGGCAACTTTCCAGAATGAATGCGACTTGGAGCAGAGATCCACTGTCGCTGACGCCGTACGGGCTGACGATTGCCAGACAACAGTGGATGAATTCCGATGCGGGAAGAAATGCGAACTGGGGGATCAAAGGCATGGTCATATCAGTATTCTCACTACTGGCGAGTCTCGCCCACTGCATGGAACTACTCAAAAATCACGGTATTAGTCCGTTCTACCATAGTCTCCTCAACTTTAGGAAGACTCTGGACATGAACGAAAAAGGAAAGCCATCAAAATGGAAGAGGCAGATCAGCGAAGATCCGAATTTCGAGAAGATGATGGGAACGCTTCGATCATGGACACACGATCCAGACTTCATCGGCCATCCAAAGCTCGAGTTTCTCCGTAGTGCGCTGCTGAATCACCTAATGGACGCCGGCGAAGGCAAGAGTACTGATAGAGGTCCACCTTCCAGCACTAGGATCATGGTGTTTGCTCATTACAGAGACAGCGCCGAGGATATTGTCAGGATCTTGAAGAGAAACGAACCAATGATCCGGCCGCATGTGTTCGTTGGGCAAGCCGGCACCAAGACCTCCGAAGCCATGAACCAGAAAAAGCAGTTGGAAGTGGTACAAAAATTCAAGGATGGCATCTACAACACGCTTGTCGCCACATCCATTGGCGAAGAAGGGTTGGACATCGGCGAGGTCGACCTCATCGTTTGTTACGACTCAAAGGCGTCGCCCATCCGTATGTTGCAGCGTATGGGAAGGACTGGCCGAAAGCGAGCTGGAAAGATCATTCTGCTGCAGATGCGCGGAAAGGAGGAGAGCGACGCGATGAAAGCAAAAGACAGCTACGAAAAGATGCAAGCGTTGATCGCCAGTGGCACCCAGTTTACCTTCCACGAAGATCTCTCGCGCCGCATTTTACCGAAAGAGATTCAGCCTGTGGTTGACAAGCGGATCGTCGACATCCCGCCAGAAAATTCACAGCCGGATCTGCCAGAACCGACAGCAAGAGGAAGGAAAGCGCCGAAGCGGCCGCCAAAGAAATTCCACATGCCCGACGGAGTGCGCACAGGCTTCGTTTCAGCGTCTCGACTTGATGCTGACGAGGGAGATGAAGAGGACGAGCTTGCGGCTGCGCAACCGAAGAAGAGGCGAAAGCGAGCGTCAGCCGTAAAGGAGCCACCAGAGGAAACCGTTCAAAATCCATTCTTGAGTGACGTGATACTCAACAAGGTGCAAGAGAAGGAATTGGAACGCAAGTATCAGAGCGTCTTCGACGGAGAGGAAATGCAAACAGTAGCCGCTCCTCGTTTGGATGCGCATCCTGCACGGCAGCGTAAGCTCGGTCGGACCAAATACATCTCCCACGGAAGACGAGCGGTCGAAACAGTCGACATGCTGAACCGGATACACCGCGTAGATGACGCCTACCTCAACATACTTAAGCAAAACCTTCACATGTCAGACATTGAAAGCGAGCTGCCTGGTGTAGTGGTCGATGACGAGGAAGATGAGGAATCAGCGCCATATGCCGACGCTACACCACTCCGCAAACCGAATAGATGCCCCAAAGCAACCTCCCACTACCGCGACGTCGATGTCGCAGCCGAAGGTCAAAGCAGCAGTCCGCCGCCGACAGACCCTCGCTACGCCATCCGCTCGCAGGCTATCACGCTCGGCTCGGAAGACACATCCGGCGAGGACGACGAAGAGATGCTCGATCCTGAGTCTGAGCTTGCGGACTTCATCGTCGATGATGCTGAGCCGATCCCGTTGCACACTTCGCAAAGCTTTCCGGACGATGAACCGCCTGAGTCGTCGTTACCGGCTGTATCCCTTCAGCCGAGCACGGTACGAGGACTGCACGTAATTCGGGAAGATGAAGAGAGCGATGAGGATGAAGCAGACCTACCCACTCTCAGCACATTGGTTGGCAGCAAGCGGACACAGCCGAAGCCGCCAGAAGTGGCACCGGCGCCGGCTGTGCGGCGAGGCAGGAAGCGGAGGGTGATCGAAGACGATGACGACGAAGACGAATAGTGTAAGGTCATGACATGACCGGTTATGCGATCCGTTATTCAAAGGGTTGGCGAGACTGGCGTTGCTGGAACTTCTGGATTCTTGGGCCAGCGCCGGAAGTGCTGTTGTTCACATCATTCTGTGTGTATACTCACACAGCGACAACCTGTCATTGTCCCTAATATAAGGTACCTTAATCATGATTGTAGCTTGAGGTGATCGCGGTGCTTCGTGTCTTCCTTCTCCAGATGTGACCTCCACCTGTGATTTTGCCATACGATCCCAGCTTTTAGCGGTCGAAATGAAACTGCACCATGCGCCGCATATCGTTTGTGAACGCATGATATCTCCTCCCCCTTGCTATGAGCTTTAACAGGCGCGGAACCTAGCATCTGCTCTTATTACCAGCTATGCAGAGCGTGGACACCCTCGTACGAATGCAGGGAGCTTGAACCCGCTCTCGTGATGGAGCATGGTTACTCTAGAGGCGACGCGATCCTCCTGAGCTGCTACTCATGATCTGTATGATTATGACATCGCCTGCAGCTTTGTGTCCCTTTCCCTGTACCTGTGCGTTTGCGCAATTTGCCAAACAGGGTTCAAGAGGGCTATCTTTATCTCTAGATGCCTGGTCAATGACAGATATTCCCAATACAGTGCCCGCTATCTCGCCTCCATAAAACTTCTCTGTAGCGTTGCGGCAGTCACTTGTGCTAGAAGTAACTCAGATTTCTCAACAGTTCTGAGAATATATATCGTAAAACCCAATGCTTCTTCCAGCTGAGTAGCTGCAACTAAATCATCGTTTCATGAAGTTCAAACCGGGTTTACTCGGTGGTGAGCTTCCTCAGCTTTTGCACCGGCCGTGCATTTTAGGCAGCTGCGTCCCGAGCTACACTGTTCGAACACCGGCTGAGGATGCTTTTTGCTTTAAGATCCTCGTTGTGCGTCTTGAACGGGATCGTGTAACACATTGGTGGTAAACGGGGAAGACAGTCGGAGATGACGACGTTCCTGCTGGCAACCTCTCTGCCAAAGACCAAATATCCTAGTTGATGCGTAGCTTTTCGAATCCCGCAAAGTCCATAAGAGAGCAACATTCCTATCCGTAAGATCATACAATCATATTCCAGAGACTTGCAGCACCCGATGAACGCAAGCGCCGTCGAAGACCGAAGGAGATCCCGTCAGATGCAATGCAACGTTCTGCTCAACATCCTTGGTTGCGCGATACTACTCAGCAACCCACTCCTCCTTCCAAAACTCAACCACTGCCCTCGCCTCCTCCTCCCCAAACATCTCAACCAAGCCCCTCACCGCCTCTTCGGCCCTGGCCACACTCCCCTCATCTCTCCCATCCACATCCATATCCACACCCCCAAGAGCCGCCACATCCCTTAAACTCGAAAAGACATCCGTGAGCCTAATAACCGTCTCCTGCCTCATCGGCGGGCTCGTCGTACAGAACGGCAAGAGCTCCATCGCCGCGTTCGGCAGTTTCTGCGGCACTGCAGCCGGGTTGGGCGTGCACAGCGTGCTCACATACATCCGCAGGAGAGGTTCGAGTGACGACAGTTCCGACAAGGGAAGCAGAGGGATGCTCGGGATGTCTGCATGCGTTAGAAGGAAGGCGGAGAGCTGGTGGTAGGCGTGGAGGCCGGAGACCGGGCTTGAGGTCGTGTTTGGAGGGTGCATGCTGGACGCGCCGTTACGCGTCGGTTTCGTCGGTAGTGAAGGCGGGGAGAGGAGGAAGACGATGGCGATGTCGGTGGCGCCGGTCAGGGCAGCGAAGTGCTGGATACGAGAGAGAGTGGCTGGGAGGGCCGCGGGGGTGGTGGCGGTGGAGGAGAGCAGCAGGAGACGAAGCGCGCGAGACGCGGCGTTGGTAGGCGACGGAAGGGGTAACGAGATGTCGTGTGTTTTTAGTGAGCTCTCTGAAAGGCCGGAGATTCAGCATGAGCAGGAAAGTGAGAATTTGGCCTCTTGCCTCTAAGTTTTAGCCCGCTCTGTGAGGTCAAGGTTGGAATGACCTGCGAGAACGAGGCGCGCCGCTGAAGTGATGAGCAGAACATCATGGACGATTGGCTACTCGTGGCTGTGATCACATGCCTAGACAGACTCTTGACGGACAGGACATCTTTGGGGCGGGCTCGAGTCGCTGTGAGTCATCCAGCATGGGTTTTCTTGTAAAATGCAGAGAGAAGGGGAAAAGGAGAAGCGAAGTCTCAGTAGAGTTCGAAACATGCGGTCACAAAAGTAACAAAAGAGCCAAAAAGTAGTCATAGACAACGTAAACTCGCCCAAGCGTACCGAAAGGTACACAGCCCAGGCTTGTTTTAGCCAAGCTAACGCAGCATTCACCAGATTTTAATGTGTCTGAACACCATTGCGCGCTGTGGACAACTTGCAGTTTAACGATTGATAAAGTGAGAACACCACGTCCACCTTCAAGACTTTTTACTTGCTCTTATCGGAACAGATGTTGTCGCCAACCACCATAAGCTTGCTCCTCGTGCGACGAACAAAGTGACTCTTAAGGCACATCTAGAAAGGAATTCATGTCAACGTCCCAAGGAGATTGAAGACTTCATTCAGGATACTTGTTGGCCTCGATCCTCCTCCTTCTCACTCCGCACCTAGAACTGATCCCGGGCCGGCGGCCAGGCATATCTGTCACGCGCCTCTCCGGCCCCGTACTGATCACAAAGCGGTGCGGAAATACTACCAAGATGCACCATGGTGTTTCCATTGTCATGGATTCCTGCGGCGAGTACCAGCCAGGCCAACTGCTGCACGCTCTTCGAGTTCTTTACACACGTTGTCCCGTCTCAGGAGGTAGGGCAGCTCCCCGTAAAGGAACAACGACAGCTATAAAATCTTGCAGTGTCACGAAGCCACTCTTGTTCTGGTTCCACGCAGCTTTACACAGAAAAGTGGCGTTAGATGATTCTGCTCATCGATCTTGCGGAAGCCGCTTCGGAGGGTGTACATGCGCCCTAGATCGCATAGATTAGTGGTGTGCAACTACACCACCTGCACTGCGCTCATAGCTCAGCATACAGATGGCACATGCATACGAGTCAGCAGTTTTTGAGCCGTTCATCTACAAGAGTACAAGGCTAAGCTACGAGACTGGTCTTACATGTCTGTGCGCACTTTTGATACTATACACGCTAGGGCAGAGGGATGGTCATCCCTGAACACCGGCCCAACCCAGCATTGCCAGCCATCGCCCTAATCAAATGGTCTAAAATTGATTGGAGATAGATCAAGGGTGCTGGAATCCCAATCCTCTCCAACCCTTCCAAGGCTAGAGATAAGTAATAGAGGTGTGTGATAACGTGATCGGCCACTGTGTGACACTAAAAAGCCCGAAGGATCTGGACTCACAGCCCAAGCTGGTGAAGCTCCATATCGTCATGGTTGCAACGTCATCTTTGCTGGACTCTGGACAACATGATAGGTATGGATTTCTAATGTCCCCTGCCACTTACAGTGGGGAACGCCGTGGTGCGGAATCATATTCGACCCTGCATGCCAGGAGGAGAGGAGTGGCTTCTGGTAACAGCTACGCGCTGGCAGCGCATATGACGGTTGCGAATCTTTTGCACGGAGTCGAGTGACGTCGGATCGAGTGGAGAGTTTCTATGCAGTGGAGACGGTATGAACGATGGTACACATATTCACATCATCGTGGAGGCGGTGAAGATTACGGCGGTTGCGGTGTTTGCGGTAATTGCGGTGATCGCGATGGGTTTGAGCCGGACTGTGTTGTGTGGGTTGAGGGCGTGGGTTTCTGGATTCTTGGACTAATCTTCTTATGACGGTGTGAAGCCGGCGGCTCGCCCGCATGAGCCCGTAGCGTCTCCAGTTCGGACTCCAGCTTCTTCAAAGTTGCCTTCATCTCTTCTCTCTCTGCCTCCAGGACGTCTATCCGGTCATCCAGGTTCTCGCGTGCGTTGCTCGCTTTCCTCCTCGACCTCCACGACTCAAACATGATGATGCCGCCTGCCACCATGAACATGAAGCTCTCGGATATGAAGTTCGCCCCCGTCTCGATAGCCTTCGCTTCGGATAGTGGCCGTACGCGTGGCTTGGGCTTCTTGTCGGCACCTGCATCACCGGCTTTGGAGGCGGCTTCATCATCTGCTTTCGCCTGAGCCTCGGTCTTCACTGTAGGTATCTGTGCCGCCTTCTTCTTAGCGTCCGCGTCTGCCTTCTCCCTGGCAACCTGTCGGTCGATAGCCGCTGTGTCTTGGAGGAGGCCGAGCCGCATGTTGATGTCGATACGGTGAAGCCGTTGCGCAAAGTTGACGCAGACTTTGCGGAACCGCTCGTGCTCTCGGGCATTGCGTTTGATGTAGTTCTGCAATTGTCAGGTTTGTGCGTAAGGGGTAAGGGGTCTCCTTAGACTTGAACGTACAGCGATTGGTTTGGCCAAGGTCCTGATCGCCAGGGACGCGATTTTGAGGGTGAGAGACATGGTCGTTCAAGGGACTCGTCGAGCAACCATGGAATTGGCGCAGTACAGGTCAATAACAGTCCGTCACATGACTGAGAAGCATGACACCGGGCAGAGCTCAATGCACTCGCTGACAGCTGCCAGCAATATTGCTGCCTTCTGGCTGAGGTGAGGTCGGACAGTCGGCGGTCGTGAAAGTGAAAGGCAGCAGGCGTGCGCCGGCAGGAGCGTGGCAGCCGCAGCCGCAGCCGCAGGGCCGCGTCCGAACATCAGCCGGCCCCGGTCAACCATTGTTATTGTCAACTCTCGATTTTCAACCAGAACTCCATCCATCACTCGAAAACCCCCACCCTCCCTATCGCCAGATGTCTGTCCACGCTGAGGCGCCGCCGCCGCTGGTGAGCGAGCCTAGTGATTATCAATATGCGACGGGAGCGCAGCTGGGAAAAGGTGGATTTGCGATATGCCATCGCGCAGAGCTGCTGGATCAGAGCAGACCGACTGGACGGATAGTCGCGCTCAAGATCGTCAAGTCCAAGATGGAGCCTCCGAAACTTGCACAGAAGGTAGCAGTCTGTCTATGCGCTGCGAAGAAGATGATGCTGATCAAGTATACAGTTCGTCACGGAGCTGCAAATACACTCAAAGCTCCATCACCCCAATATAGTCGAGTTCTATCGCGCATTTTCGTTCCAAGCCTGCACATACGTCGTGCTGGAAATATGCGACAACGGCTCTCTTGCAGACGTGATCCGGAAGCGGAAGTATTGTACGATGCCGGAAATCCGCCGCTTCATCATCCAAACCTGCGGCGCGGTCAAGTACCTGCACCACCGGAATATCGTCCATCGGGATCTCAAGACTGGCAATCTCTTCCTAGATAAGAATATGAACATCAAGGTCGGCGATTTCGGGCTGGCGGCCGTCTTGTTGTCCCAAAACGATATTGGTGCGCGACGGACAACCATGTGCGGCACCCCCAACTACCTGGCACCGGAGATTCTTGAAAAAGGAGGCAAGGGACACAATGAGAAGGTGGACCTGTGGGCGATCGGAATCATTGCGTACACTCTCGCGGTGGGCAGGGCGCCTTTCCATGCGGCGAAGCGGGAGGACATCTACAAGAAATTGCAGACATGCGATTATACCTGGCCGGAGTTGTCCAAGACCCCAAATGACATATCGAACGACCTGAAAGACTTGGTCGGTTCACTGCTGGTGCATGAAGATGATAGGCCGGTACCGGACCAGATTGTTAGCCACACTTTCTTCAAGACTGCGTTCGTGCCGGTCCAGCTAGATTCACAATGCGCAACCCGGGCTCCTACATTCTCGAGTGTCCGCCCCCCTACAGCGGAGGTCCTCCGGAGAGGCTACTCGGACTCTTGGTACGATCTGTGTAAGGAGTCCGGCGTTGGGGAATACGCACCTGGAAAGGTCTTCCCAGTCATCGGCGGTCGAAAAATCCGTTCGGTTGTACGAGACTGCGAGAAAGAGTTGCAGGCGGGTCGACAACCTGTTGTACCAATACCGGCAGACACTGTCTACCTACCGTTCCCTGAGCGGAACAACTTCCCCTACCCTGCGGTGGAAGGGTTGAGTGACATAGTGGAGGCGGAAGAAAAGAGCTCTTCGGCTGAGGGGCAGGCGTTGATGGAGACAACAGCAAATGACCGGATTAAAGAACCACCAATGCGAGCCACCACGAGGATATCCCGAGCACCTCCATCAAAGGAAAATGTGGCACCGGAACAGCCAGCGGAGATACCTCCTCTAGACCGTCCAAGGCGAAAGGGCACTGTGCGCAAGACCTCCGATCCTGTGGTCAAAGATAGCGCACGACAGGCCACGCGGTCATCCCGAGCGGTAAAAGGGACTCAGGCAACTGTCGCTGTGGCGGGAGACCTACCACGGAAACAAGAGACGATGACTCAAACGACAGAGGTACCAGCGGAGAGTGCGATCATATCCAACAAGGTATCACAATCCGAAGGCACCGATGAAAAACCTGCTCAAGCTACCATTCGCAAGTCACCGGTACCGCCGAGTGGACCTATCATCCCCAATACCGATCCGGAAGCGGTGCTCGCGCGTGTCTCAGAGTTCCGCAACAACGTAGCTCAAGCGCTTGCAAACAGACGTAGCACATCTCGGAAGGAGCAGCGCACGCAGCTTCCATACGTTTCGAAGTGGGTCGACTATTCAAGAAAACATGGCGTCGGCTACGTCCTGGAGGATGGGACGATTGGTACTCTCGTGAATGCTACGAAGCGGTATCCAGTAACGCACGTCCTGGTCCGGAATGGCTACACTTACTTCAAGGATGGAAAAATCGACTCCAGCTTCATTAATAAGATACCTTTCGAATTTTACGCAGACTCCGCCAACGATGGCATTCGGAGCACTACCGTAGACAAGGATCGGAAGCGGTCGACGGGCGGTGTCTGGGCACAATTCAGCAGATACATGTGTCAGCAGCTCGGACAAGCTGAGACCAGCGCAGATGTGGATGCAGCAGATAGCAAAACCTCGCCTTTCATAAGGTTTTATCAGCGGCTTGGAACAGTCGGCATCTGGGGGTTTACCGACGGATGCTTCCAGGTACAGATACGCAGATTTTCTGCCCGGGGACACATGATCGCTGACCAGATTTCTAGTTCAACTTCCAGGACCACACGAAGCTGGTGATGTCGCCGGACGGCAAGTATTGCAACTTCACTTGTCTCCCGGTGGAGGGAGCCCAACACTTGAAAGAAAACGGAGACCTGCCATTCAAGTACATCCGGCAGCGGAAGACCTTGTCTGGTTTGGTGCACACGCTCCTCTTCGGCACCGCGGACGAAGCTGTAGCGTATCGAGCAGTAACAGAAGCCAACCTACTACCGGAGAAGTTAAGGTTCATCATCAAGTTAATGAACGAATGGGTTGGTTGTGGCGGTCTTGGTTGTCTCTCGCCGGAGGCGCAGCGGATGAAGTGGGAAGGACCTCAGGTGTTTGACAAGAAGAAGAATGATGAATGGGTTACCGTTGGCCGGTTCGGCGGCGATGACCCACGGGAGGAAGAACGTCCTTGAAGCGAGAGAAATTGGATCGAGTACTTGGCTTCGCTCGCTGGTCTTGGATGCAGGCTGGTGCATTGCGCAGAGGCGTTCATTTGGCGGCTTCGACACTGCACAGTCGTTGCCTTACGTAGCCTGTAGCGTGAGCGAAAATACGTACCATCGTTCGTTGCGAAGATTTTGATGTTGATTGCGCGTCGCTCTCGAAAAGTTGACGTGGCTGTGCGGCTGTGCGGCGGTGGCTTCGAAGTCCCGGCTGCTGCCGCCTTTTGGGTGACGTTGGAAACTCGATGCTCCACCATGCACTGAATGCTGCGAACACTGCGTGCCCACACAACTACACCAACCTCTCCTCTAACTTCCGACCCTCGATCCATCGTCAATTCACTCGTCCCGTTTCATTCACCGCGCCTCTACAACGATCTGGCCTAGGAACACTGGGAACATTCGCGAAATAAACAGGCTGTGGGCTAGTACTCAGCGCGGGCGCCGTAAGGATGGTATGGGCCAAACACGATGCCAGAGTACCTGGCTGCTGCGTGTACTAGGACTAACTTACGGCGTGTTTGTAGGCTGTCACGAAGCGCGCGGGGCGCAAGAAAGATGCCAGTAATACCAAACAGCCCACCTCAGGCGGGGGGAAGAGCTCGGGGTTCGCGAAAAAGGCGGTCTTCGAATCGACGAAGAAGAAGGAAGTCGGCGTCTCGGACCTCACGTTGATCAGCAAGATATCGAACGAGGCGATCAACGACAACCTGAAGAAGCGATTCGAGAATGCGGAAATCTACACCTATATTGGACACGTGCTGGTGTCCGTCAACCCGTTTCGGGACCTGGGCATCTATACCGAGCAGGTGTTGAACAGCTACAAGGGCAAAAACAGGCTGGAGATGCCCCCGCACGTCTTCGCGATCGCCGAGTCCTCGTACTACAACATGAACGCATACAAGGAGAATCAGTGCATCATCATCTCGGGAGAGTCTGGCGCAGGAAAGACCGAGGCCGCGAAGAGGATAATGCAGTACATTGCTAGCGTCTCCGGCGGCAGCAACTCGTCCATCCAAGAGATCAAGGACATGGTGCTGGCCACCAATCCACTTCTGGAATCCTTTGGCAATGCGAAGACACTGAGGAACAACAACTCGTCAAGATTTGGAAAATACCTAGAGATACAGTTCAACGCGCAAGGCGAGCCGGTTGGTGCGAACATCAACAACTATCTGCTAGAGAAGTCAAGAGTCGTCGGTCAGATTACGAATGAGCGGAGTTTCCACATTTTCTACCAGTTCACAAAAGCCGCTTCATCAACCTACAGAGGTAAAGAGGCTGGCTGAAAGCATTGGAAGTGCTTGCTGACATCTCGTAGAAATATTCGGGGTGCAACAGCCGCAATCCTACCTCTACACGAGTCGGTCAAAGTGTTACGACGTGAACGGCATAGACGACCATGCGGATTTCAAAGAGACACTGAATGCGATGAACATCATCGGCTTGGCGCAATCGGAGCAAGACAACATTTTCCGAATGCTCGCAGCTGTCCTATGGCTAGGAAACATTACCTTTACGGAGGACGACCAAGGCAACGCTGCGATAATGGACCAGTCGATCGTCGATTTCGTGGCGTACCTACTGGAGGTTGACTCGGCGCATGTCAACAAGGCGTTAACGCAGAGAGTCATGGAGACTAGCCGCGGGGGTCGCAGAGGCTCTGTGTATGACGTGCCCCTGAATCCAGCGCAAGCGACATCAGTGCGAGACGCGCTGTCGAAGGCCATTTACAACAACATGTTCGACTGGATAGTCGAGAGGGTCAATGCTTCTCTGAAGGCACGAGGCGTGCTGGCGCAGTCCATTGGCATTCTGGATATCTACGGCTTTGAGATCTTTGAGCGTAACAGCTTCGAGCAGCTGTGCATCAACTATGTCAACGAGAAGCTGCAGCAAATCTTCATTCAGCTGACACTAAAGACAGAGCAAGAGGAGTATCAACGGGAGCAAATTACATGGACGCCCATCAAATACTTCGATAATAAGGTGGTCTGCGAACTGATTGAGGAGAAGAGGCCTCCCGGTGTTTTCGCAGCATTGAATGACGCTTGCGCGACCGCTCACGCAAACCCGGCCGCCGCAGATCAGACTTTTGTTCAGCGATTAAACGCATTATCCTCAAACCCGCATTTTCAGCCACGGCAAGGCCAGTTCATTATCAGACACTACGCTGGTGACGTTTCGTACGAGGTGCAAGGCATGACAGACAAGAACAAGGATCAACTGCTGAAAGATCTCTTGAATCTCGTTGGGCAAAGCTCGAATCAGTTCGTCCAGACGCTCTTCCCAGATCAAGTGGATCAGGATAACAGGCGACGGCCGCCAACGGCTGGTGACAAGATCAAGGCTTCTGCGAACGATCTCGTGGCTACCTTGATGAAAGCATCCCCATCCTACATTCGAACGATCAAGCCAAACGAAAACAAGTCGCCTTCAGAATACAACGAGCCGAACGTGCTCCACCAGATCAAGTACCTCGGTCTGCAGGAGAACGTCCGCATCCGCCGCGCTGGCTTCGCATACCGTCAGACATTCGAGAAATTCGTTGAGCGCTTCTTCCTTCTCTCACCGAAGACTTCGTACGCAGGCGAATACACATGGACAGGTGACTACAAAACCGGCACAAAGCAGATACTCAAAGACACCAGCATTCCAGCGGAAGAGTACCAAATGGGCGTCACGAAAGCTTTCATCAAGACGCCAGAGACTCTGTTCGCCTTGGAAACAATGCGCGACCGTTACTGGCACAACATGGCCATTCGCATCCAGCGCGCTTGGAGAAACTACTTGAGGTACCGAACAGAATGTGCCATTCGCATTCAAAGGTGGTGGAGAAGACTAAAAGGAGGTCTCGAGTTCATCCAACTTCGCGACTACGGCCACCAGGTGCTCGCGGGACGGAAAGAGAGGCGGAGGTTCAGCTTGCTCGGTTATCGAAGATTCCTCGGCGACTACCTTGGTCTCAACAACCGAGGTGGTCCTGGCGAGATGATACGGAGCTCTATCAACCTAGGCGGGAATGAGCCAGTCCTGTTTTCTTGCCGATCGGAGCTCCTAGTATCCAAATTGGGCCGCTCGAGCAAACCCGAGCCTCGAATGCTCGTCCTCACAGGCAGGAATGTCTATATCGTCAAGCAAGCCCTCGTCAATCGCCAGTTGTCAATACAGGCCGAGCGAACAATCGCTTTAGGAGCTATTCGGTTTGTCAGCTGTTCTACGCTCAAGGACGATTGGTTTTCGATCGGCGCGGGCTCGCCGCAAGAGCCTGATCCTCTGATCAATTGCATATTCAAGACTGAGTTCTTCACGCACCTCAAGAAGGTAACCCGTGGTTCCCTCGATCTTCGAATTGGAAATACGTATGTGTGCCCTCTAACCTGGTCGAGCGCAGGTGCTGACAGCTTTTAGGATCGAGTACAACAAGAAGCCCGGGAAACTAGCTGTGGTGAAGGTAGTAAAAGATCCAGCCGTGCCGCGAGACGACGTTTACAAGAGTGGAACCGTCCATACTGGTCCTGGCGAGCCGTCGAATTCAGTGTCGAGGCCAACGCCGCGTGGTAGGCAAGTTCCCGGCAAGCCGATCACGAAAGGCAAGTTGCTTCGCCCCGGCGGTCCCGTGTCGAAGCTTGCCTCTCGTCCTGCACAATCCAGGCCAGTACCACAACCTGCTCCGGTGTCCGCGCAGCCCAAGGCCATCCCGCAACCGATGCCAGCCGCAACTCAGCCATGGCAGGCATCCCAAAATGTCCCAGCCGCCGCTCAGCCACGACCGATACCTCAGGCAACCCCAATTGCTGCCCAGTCGCGGCCGGTGCCGCAGCCGGTGGCCGCTCTGAACGGCGTGAATCATTCCCGAAACACATCCACAGCATCTACCGCTTCTGCGCATCTTCCTCCGCCACCTCCTCCTGCAGCCCCGCCGGCACCCAAAGAGCCGACTTACCGGGCATTGTATGACTTCAACGGTCAGACAAGCGGTGAGCTGAACATTGCAAAGGATGAGATCATCGTCATTGTTCAAAAGGAAAACAATGGTAAGTGATCGCGATTCCAGATTCGCCGATGAGACTTTACTTACCCGCCCTCCAGGTTGGTGGCTAGCACGGCGCCTCGACAACTCCGCCTCGGGTTGGGCGCCCTCAGCTTATCTCGAAGAATACGCGTCTAAACCTGCACCGCCTCCTCCACCACCGCCCGTCGCTTCTCGAGCCGTTCCAGCGCCTCCAGTTGCGAACGGCGTAGCAAGCAGCGGCATGGGCGCCGGCGCTCGTGCAAAACCAACGCCGCCAGCTCCGCCGAACAAGCGTCCAGTTGGGAGGAAACCTGCACCGCCGTCCGCACCTCGAGATAGTGGCTACTCCGGGAGCGATCGGAGCGGCACCAGTACGCCGCGGGATAGCAACGCCAGCGCTAGTATGGCTGGTGGACTGGCGGAGGCGCTGCGGCAGCGGCAGGCGGCGATGCATGCTAGGAAGGATCATGAGGATGACTGGTGAGAGGGATATGCGGCGCGTTGCGGTCGATTTGCGTTATTGTGGTATTGGTGCCTTCTTGCGTGGGCGTACGAATTCGTATGAATTGATGTTCAGGGGTGTTGAGTAGAGAAGCTTTTAGTCTTGCTCTTATCCCATGAGCCATGTTCTGGAGAAGATTGTTGGCTTCCAAGCGAGACCTCCGTCTGCTCTAGAAGAAGTGGTGTTTACGGTCCGCTTGATGCCTTCCCATACACAATCCCAAACTCTACAGCTGCTGCTGAGCGACATCTTACCATTGTGTTCGCCAGGAAATACGTAGCCGATGAACAGCAGTTGATCATGAACGATAATCCATGAGCGGTTAATATTCGGGATATCGATAACGCCTTCAACGTCACTCATGCTCGACCATGTCAATCTTCTCCTAGTTGTCTTACCGTTTGGGTCACGGTCCGACATCCTCTGCCAGCACAAAGCACCTCTGCCGTGCGTTGCAATAATTCCTCGGCTGTTAGCCACTGCGCTTATGCCACAACCAACCGCATCGCAGGCTTGGAGCTGAACATCAAAGACATTACGGCATGACGCATCTGCACGTCGGTCGACTGCCGAATCTTCGGAAGCCGAACATGTGCCGAGCATCTCGAGCGATACTCCCCATTGCGGGGTGCCACTGCGAGAACAGGATCAAGGTGTCTCCAGTTGCCGCAAACGGCTGAAGCACACTGGCCACTCACGATAGCGAATGCTGACTGCGACAAGATGATCTCTCGAATGCTGCCGCAGTTTTGCCACGGCTACTTGACAGCCCACATAATATTCGGCCGACCACATGCGGGAACCCAGTTGACGGATTGTATTCCGCTGCTGAGCATGACCCGGGGAGATCAGCCTTTACCAAGCCCTCTAGATCGTGGGGGGAATGCCTCGACTATATAAAGGGCCCGCTGCTCCAAAGTCTCAAGCCAACTTTGTAGTTTGACATGTATTGACCGCCGGTTTTGAATACTAAACATAAATCAGGATGACGAGCGATCAAGTTAACGGATCAGCAACGCCCCGAGATGCAGCGAGGAAACGGGCTTCTGAGTTATCACTCAAGGAACAGGTAGGTAGCTTTTGTTCAGGATATTCATCAGTTACACAACAGCGACATTCAGCCTTACTTCGATGCCTTTTCTCCTTGAATATCGCAAAAGTAGAAACTAGCTACAGTGTGCCTGGAATTGTGGTCACTCTATGGAAATTGTGCTTGCTCTAACAAGGAGCCACCCCAAAAAGGTTACTTGGCTTGGCGAACTTGATACAGCCTCGAGCGAAGCAGCAGCGAATCCGATCGTCATGCCATATGCATCGTGCTTTGCAACCTACTCCAAGAAGAAGCTTACTACTTTGGAGAAGCATGCTAAGTTACACAGGTGGCCTTGCTAGCGGGTGCAGACTTCTGGAGAACCGTAGCGTTACCCGAACGCGGTATACCATCCATAAAAACTACCGACGGTCCGAACGGCGCCAGAGGAGAACTCTTCAAAGAGGGCACACCCGCAGCTCTCTTCCCGTGTGGAGTCTCCCTAGCTGCGACATGGAACACCGATCTTATCGAGAAGGTCGGCCAGCATCTCGGCGATGAGGCGAAAGCCCGCGGCGCCGACGTCTTGTTAGCCCCAACCGTGTGCATGCACCGGTCTCCACTTGGCGGGAGGAACTTCGAGTCCTTCTCGGAGGACCCGTACCTGTCTGGCAAGCTGGCAGCGGCGTACATCCGGGGCGTTCAAAGCAAAGGCGTTGCGGCGACCATCAAGCACTTCATTGCTAACGAGCAAGAAACGAACCGTAACACCTCAAACTCAGTCGTTGCGGAAAGGCCCCTGCGTGAAATCTATTTGAAGCCATTTGAGATCGCTATCAGAGAGTGCTCACCATGGGCGCTGATGAGCTCGTACAACTTGGTTAATGGCACACATGCGGATATGAACTACCACACTCTCAAGGATATCCTACGCGGTGAATGGAAATGGGACGGGTAAGTGCGACTCAGAGTCTATTGGCTCATCACAGAGATCTGCACAAGCGATTACTGATTTCAATAGCATGGTGATGTCCGACTGGTTCGGCACCAACTCAGCCGCCCAAAGCATCGCCGCTGGCTGCGACCTCGAGATGCCAGGTCCGACCACATGGCGAGACGAGAAAGCCATTAAGGCAGTTGAAGACGGAGATCTCTCATCAGAAGACGTCGAGAGAGCAGCAGGCAACGTGCTTCACCTGATAGAAAGGACCCGAGGCTTTGATGGTCCCGCTGAACAACCAGAGCGCTCAAACGACAACGCTGAAACGAGGCAATTAATCCGCGAAGCTGGCGTCGAAGGCATCACGCTGCTCAAGAACGAGGGCAATGTCCTTCCGATTAAGGATGCGAAAAAGATCGCAGTCATTGGACCAAACGCGAAGCGCGCAATCAATGGAGGCGGAGGCAGTGCCAGTCTGAACCCGTACTACACGACAACGCCATTCGACGGAATCAGTAAGTCTACTGAAGCCGAACTTGTCTACTCGCAAGGTTGCGACAGTCTTAAGTGGCTACCGCTTGCATCTGAGCACTGCCAGACTCCTTCAGGCGAGCCGGGCGTTACTCTCGAATACTTCAAGGGAGATAAGTTTGAGGGTGAGCCGGTAGTGCGGCACAACAAGTCTACCGATCTATTTCTTCCCGATACAATTCCTAAAGAAGTACTGCCCGAGTACTCTTTCAGGGCAAAGACAAGGGTTCTTCCAAAGACGACTGGTTCGCACTCGCTCGCATTCTCGAGCGTGGGCCCTGGACGAGTCTTTCTTGATGGACATCTGCTGATCGACGCCTGGAACTGGACGGAAGCGGGTGATAGCATTTTTAGCAGTTCGGAAACAGTGACCAAAACGGTGCAGATGGAAGCAGGCAAGCCGGTTGACCTTCTCATCGAGAGCACCAACGAGGTCCGACCAGTGTCGAAGCTTTCTGCCGGAGGCCCCACGCATTTTTTTGGCGGATGCCGTCTCGGATACCAGGAGGAGATAAAGGTCGACTTGCTACAGGAAGCCATCGACGCTGCAAAGCAGGCCGACGTGGCGGTCGTCGTCGTCGGTATTGATGACGAGTGGGAATCGGAAGGCTATGACCGTCGGTATATGGATTTGCCGAAGGACGGCAACCAAGACCGGCTCATTACAGAGGTTCTGAAAGCCAACCCTCGGACAATCGTCGTCAATCAATCCGGTAGCCCCGTCACCATGCCGTGGGCCGACGACGTTCCTGCAATCATCCAAGGTTGGTACCAAGGACAAGAAGCAGGTAATGCACTCGCCGACGTACTGTTCGGTCGTCAGAGCCCAAGCGGCAAGCTGCCGACCACCTTCCCGCGACGGATTGAGGACAACCCGAGTTATCACAACTTCCCCGGCGAGAACTCGGAAGTCGTCTATGGCGAAGGGATCTTCATTGGCTACCGGCACTACGAGAGAGTAAAGATTGAGCCGCTCTTCGCCTTCGGGCACGGGCTCACGTACACTACCTTCTCGTACGGCGAGCCGAGTATCAGCAGCAGTACGCTCTCAGAAAATGACTCGATCAAGATAACGGTGCCGGTTACGAATGACGGTAAAGTTGCTGCGCATGAGATCGTTCAGGCATACGTCAAGGATGTCAAGTCGACGCTCCAGCGGCCGGAGAAGGAGCTTCAGGCCTTCGCGAAGGTGTTCTTGGAGCCTGGTGAAACGAAGACGGCTGAGTTGTGGTTGAACAAACACTCGGTTGGCTACTACGATACCTCGAAGCCGGCTTGGGTAGCTGAGAAAGGCCAATTCGACGTCCTCATAGGCGCGTCGTCCGTTGATATTCGGTAAGTCCCTACAGGTGCGAGTCACGAGTTCTGGTCGCTGACTGTTGTAGGTCCTCTGTGTCATTCAGCATTGAGGAGTGCTTCACGTGGATATTCTAAACGGATTCTGAGAGACTCTGGTAATGGGGCTTCATTTAGCATCTTTATGCTTCGCATTTAATAGTTACGTAATGAGATCAAATATGACTGAGTTTTGGTTCGCACTTAGAGGAGCACTCAGAGGTTGGCCAAGGAACAATACGGAAGAAGGTCTGTTACGCTCAGCTACCTAGTTAACGGCGCAAGTACTTTGGCAATAGACGAACCTTTTACATTGGCTCATGGATTAGCTGAGATGGTCTGCCGTGTCTGCCAAAAGTGTGAAAGTTCGCTTGACAAGCACCAGCAGGCGGTGTTCCTCGGATCAACTTCTGTCCGTTTTCTGCCAGCGCTAAGCCAGGACAGTGTACCGCGACATGGAAGAGTGAACAAGACGTAGCTATCCCGCTCCTGAGGTCACTCACTCACCCTCCTGTCAAGCTTCATATCCTCCTACTGTGAGTCGAGAAGCTTGCGCACTGTCTTCGCGTACTCTCGCCCTTCGTTCTGCTAGCAGAACCTCCCTCATCGCTGGGGCGGACAAACAGCGAGATCCACGCGCATCTTCCTCCTTCCACGCCCTCATCCGAACCGCTTCACTTCGTTCATCTGCTTGATCAGCACCGTCGCACATACTACGAGAAGCTTGATGTAGCCTTCTTCAGCACGTCAGTCGTCATCCGTCTCCGTCGTCTGAGCGCGTTGAGCGGGTCCGCGCATAGTTCAAGGTCTCCATACAAACAATCATGAATCCTGCGAGTCGAGACGGCTGGCCGCCTTCGCAGGCCTCTGCGCCTAATGCCGGACCACAAAGCTTGGAGCAAGACCCAGCTCAGCCTGGTAGGCAACTAGGTGGCTTCGGGTAAGTCAACGTTTGCACCCGTCGCGGAGGATCGTGAGGACAATCACGAGCGTCGAAGATCTTCGGCTTCTCTGGCAAGTCACAAAGTCCATCGAGCAGCTGCTAACAGGTTTTCTCGCAGTGTGCACCCTTCACCTCAGCAGCAACCTTCGCAGCAACCTTCGCAGCAACCTTCGCAGCAGCCTTCGAACCAGCCTAGTGGCCTTGTTCTGCCACCACCTTCAGGTATGACGACCCACCCCCATTTCTCCAAAGTTTCACTTTGTATTGAGGACTCGACTGATCTGGTCGCACAATAGCTCCTTTCTTCTCCCCTGGTCAAGCTTCCGGTCACAATCTCCCTGCTCTTGCGGGGTTGGCACAGCCAACACAGGGCTCACCACCCGGACAACCAGCGCCCAGACCACAGTCGTCTGTTCAGGAAACTGGCTATTCATTGCCCGCCATCAACCAAGCGATGCCGGGTCAACAGCACATGCAAACGCAACCAAACCTAGAGCGCGAACGCGACTTTCGCGAAGATAGAGAGAAAGAGTCGTTGCAGAGACAATTGGATGAAGCGGCCACTCGAGACACCGAAGCTCGGGAGCGCGAAATGCGCCAGCGGCAGCAGCAAGAACGAGCGCAGCACGAGAATCACACTGGGCCGATACATCTCCACCAGCCGGTCGCAGTACCTCCACAAGTGCGCGCAATGCATGGGCCGAATGGTTTGCTCGGTAACGCAGCCATGAATGGACCGAACCATTTGGGTGGACAGCTTGGTGCGCCCAATGGGCCTGGGAACCTTTTCAGCGGCAATCCTCCGCAGCAGCCTGGGCAGGCACAGCAGACCTTGATGGTTCCGTTTGGCGGCGCCCAGGGGGTTCAGCAAGCATCTTCGGGTATGGGCCAGGGCCAACAGCCGATATTGAACGTGAGTGAACCACGTACTTTGAGCCTCAGTTGAGATGCAAACCAAAGGGACTGACGTTTTGCAGGATGCCTTGAGCTACCTTGACCAAGTGAAGGTCCAGTTCGTCGCACACCCAGATGTATACAACCGATTCTTGGATATCATGAAGGATTTTAAGAGCGGAGCGTAAGTCGTAATGCACCTGAACCAGGTGACTTATAGGCTGATCAAGCTTCGTAGAATCGATACTCCAGGCGTTATCGATCGGGTGTCGTCGCTTTTCGCCGGGAATCCAAACCTGATTCAAGGATTCAACACTTTCCTGCCTCCAGGATACAAGATCGAATGCGGCACAAGAGATGATCCCAATGCCATCAGAGTGACTACACCGATGGGCACGACCGTATCAGCGATGCCAGTCGCTCGGCCATTCTCCCCACAAGGCGTACCGGTCAACGGCAACGGACCAGCTCTCAGCGAGAGGCAGCTCTTCGGTGGTGCGGGGCGAGGTCCAGGCGGAATCTGGCAACCTCACCAGCAAGGGGCTGCAATGTCCCAAGATGCTATCTTCAGTCCGGATATGCGTGCTCTTGAGCAGTCGACCTTCGGTGGTCAGCTGGCACAGAGCAACCAGGCGCAGTTGTCGTCACCGGAAGCGCAAACGCGTGAGCAACAAGCCGCTGCAAGCGCCGTGGCCTTGGCCCAGCACCAGCAGGAACAGAGGGGTGTTTCCCAGTTGCAGAATGCTGTCTCAGCAGCGACAGGTGGAGCGTTGCCTCGGCCAGGTATGATGTCTCCGTCGGCAGACATGTCTACGCCTCTTCCTGGTCAGGGCGTGAATGGCATCGGTCTTGCTGCTCAGCATGGTGTGCAGGGAGCCATGGAGAAGCGTGGTCCCGTGGAGTTCAACCACGCGATTAGCTACGTCAACAAGATAAAGGTACGTGAGCCCCGTGTTGATGTTGACGTGGCCGCAATTCATAACGTCTTTCAGAATCGGTTCGCCTCCCAACCGGATATTTACAAGCAGTTCCTTGAAATTCTGCAGACATATCAGCGAGAGTCTAAGCCAATTCAAGACGTTTACGCTCAGGTTACTCACCTGTTCAACTCGGCGCCTGACCTGTTGGAAGATTTCAAACAGTTCCTTCCGGAATCGGCAGCGCAGGCGAAAGCAGCAGAAGCGCAGCGACGCGCAGCGGAGGAGGGTGTAATGCTCAGCAACATGCGGGGCGAGCCCAGCTATCAGGCGCAAGTTCAGCAGATGCAGCAAACCCCACGTGCGGACCAGCCGCGCCTTCCTCCCATGGGGAACTTTGCGCCTACCCCAACTGCGAACCGGGAGAACAAGCGGAAGCGTCCTGACCGGCAAGGAGCAGCAGCCGGCTCATCGACCATGGCATCCATGACTGCTGAAGCGAGCGGTGCGCCAATGAGGACTGGTTTCAACCAGGGTGGTAATGCTAGTAAGGTGAGTGAAGACAAGCTTTATGTTGTCATGCAGTGAAGTGCGCGCAGATCTGCGTCGCAAAGTTCAGCTCATGCGTCAGGACCCTCACCGGTTCCAAAGTTTTTCCATCGTTTGCCTGGCTCGCCTCCAAAAGCCACATTCCTTTCTTCCATAGTTGTCTCTCGTGTGTTCTTCCATACCTCTTGTTATTACGGCGACGGCAATATGTCGTCAAACAACTTCTGGGCAACTGTGCTGAACGATCCAATGAGTCCCATTCTTCACTTCAGTGCATCTGAAGCGTCACAGGATGCGCCGCTTTCTGGTCTGAGAAGTACGCTTGCTGACGACGAAACCTTTTCGCAGCGCTCCTCAAAGCATCAACATGGCGCAAAGCAAGCGGCGCCAGCGGACGTTCCGGCTGTGTCACCTACGCTCACGCCTGCTTTGCCCGAACCGCTTCCGCCGACAAGCTCTTCTGGAGCGTCCACGGATGAACTAAACTTCTTCGACCGCTGCAAGAAGTTCATTGGTAATAAGAACACCATGAACGAGTTCCTCAAACTTTGCAACCTTTTCTCAATGGACCTGATTGACAAGATGACTCTGGTTCACCGCGCTCAGAACTTCATCGGTGGCAACCCCGAGTTGATGGCCTGGTTCAAGAAGTTCCTGAACTATGACGGAAAGGACGAGCTGATTGAGAACGTGCCGAAGGCCCCTAACAGCCGGGTGTCTCTAGCGAACTGCCGTGGATATGGCCCGAGCTATCGCCTATTGCCAAAGCGAGACACGATGAAGCGATGCAGCGGCCGGGACGAGCTCTGTCGTTCCGTGCTCAATGATGAGTGGGCCTCTCACCCTACGTGGGCCTCAGAAGACTCTGGCTTCGTTGCGCACCGCAAGAACACGTACGAGGATGCACTACACCGCATCGAAGAAGAGCGCCATGATTACGATCACAACATCGAAGCATGCACAAAGACTATCCAGCTACTTGAACCGATCGCCCTGCATCTCAAGATGGTGAGCCCGGAAGAGCGGCTCAATCAGACCCTACCAGAAGCGCTGGGAGGCGCAAGCACAACAATCTACAAGCGCGTACTCATGAAGATATATGGTCGTGCTATAGGCCAGCAAGTCGTTGATCAGCTCTTCGCTCAGCCATACTTGACCGTGCCCATTGTCCTCAGCAGGCTCAGACAGAAGCAGGAAGAATGGAAGGCGGCTCAGCGCGAGTGGGAGAAAGTCTGGCGAGAGCAAACGCAAAAGATCTTCTGGAAGAGCCTGGATCATCAGAGCCTCAACGCGAAGCAAGCGGACAAACGCCAGTTCCAAACCAAGGTTCTTCAGAGCGAGATTCAGGTCAAGTTTGAAGAGCAAAAGCGACAGCGAGAGGTTCAAGGCATTCCAAACGTTCCCAAGTACCAGTACGAGTGGTCTTTCGACGATCCGGATGTTCTACTGGATGCCTGCCGGCTTCTCCTGATCTTTGCGGAGCATTCCTTCTCTACTGACTATCCGCGGCTCACCACCTTCATCAAGGAGTTCGTCCCTCTGTTCTTCGGCCTGGACCCCGTCAGTTTCGAGCAGCATATCGAGCGGTCGCCTGTAGAGACGCCATCTATTGAAGCAGCAGACGAGGACACACCTGGACCAGATAACGGTCCGGCCTCTCCTCGACCTCACAAGACTAACGGCAAGCGGACCAATCTGCTGCGCGGTGTACTCGACCGCGGCCGCAAGCTTACACGGCACGACAACGACGACAGCATCACTTCAAGCCGAGGAAGCACGCCCGACATCGGATCGGCAATGGATGAGGATACGGCAGGTGGCATTGATACACCTGCCACCAATGGCAACACCGCAACCGCCGGCACCGAACGATGGCTTGAGCATCCTGTTGGAGGCAACATTCTCAACCGAGAGGACATAGCTCCAAACGAGCCCTACCGTCGAACCAAATACAACATGTATGGCAATGTCACAATCTACTGCTTCTTCCGGATGTTTGTCATCTTGTACGAACGCTTGTACAGATTGAAGCAGGCCGAAGATAAAGTGCACGAGACGGTCCGCCGAGCAAAAGCCCACAAGCCGGCCTTCGACCTTCGCATGGTGGACAAGCTCCCTCAGGATTTCTTTGAGGACACCAGCCCGACCACCAACTACTACCAGCAGATCCTTAAGATGTTCGAGGATCAGATCAGGACGAACTTTGGAGACATGGCTCTGGTGGAAGACACATTGCGTCGGTTCTACCTCCACGCTGGCTGGCAGATGTACACTGTCGACAAGATGCTCAGCGCTCTCACTCGGTTTGCCATTGGGGTGCTCAGCAGCGATGCCAAGGACAAGACCTGGGAAATCTACCAGCTCTTCAAGAAGGACCGTGTGCGGGAGGAAACAACACATCAGGATGAACTCAATTACCGGAAGCAAGTCGACCGGTATGCCAAGGACGGAGAGATCTACCGTGTTATTTACGTAAGTCGAAATGTTCCGTGTTGTACGAGCACCATGCTGACCTTCATAGGACCAACCCGCGAGGAAGGCCTTCGTGCAGATCTTCAAGAAAGACGATGGGACCTTCGATTCACACGCTCTCAGTCCTGAACGAAGATGGCAATACTACGTCAACTCGTACACAAGCGTCGATCCCACCGAAGGCGTCAGGCACGACAAAGTCAACATCCCTTTCCTCCGCGGCAGACTAGGCCGGACGCTCGACAGCGACGACGCAGCTCCTTTGCCGCTCCCACAGCAGATGTTCGAGGAGAACCTCACCGCTCGCATCATTGTCGAGACGTTCGGCGCCCGATTCGAGCCGAAGACGGCTGATATTTTGACGAGGAACGATACCACGCAGGTCTCGCAGGCTGATGCTGAACAGATCGCCGAGGAGCGCTTCGAGAAGGGACATGAGAAATTGGAAGTCAACAACATCTGGATGAAAGACCTCAGTAAGGACGAAGTCGATGCAAAGAAGCAGGAGTTTGCCCAGCGGATCAGCGCTGGTCAAATTGAGGGTGCAGGCGACGCTCGCGAGGATGAAGAAATGATGGATGCTTGATGCAAATACCCTCGTGTGTTTGTGGATATGGGACCTTCTGCCTATGGGTTTCGGCATGGCAGAGCGGCGTTAATGGCTGGATGAGGTGTCATGGCAGGAGTGAGATGGCGTGGGCGGTTCTGAGATACCAGGCGATGGCAAAAAGGCTTTTCTTTGGTACTGCTTTACTCTACATTTTGCTGCATACTACAGTGTTGGCGTCTTGGTAGTATCTATTCCGGCTTTAGGTACTTAATAGGACTAGGTCAATCCCAACCAGATCTGTCGCAATACTACTTCGCTGAAGCAAAGTCTAGTTGGTTAAATCATTAGTACATCACGTGCACTGGCGTGTGTTTCGAGAAGACGCGACAGGTCGCGCCAACTTCGGTCGTCAGTCCCACTTCATCGCCACACGGGCATAGAATCATGATCGCCTAAGCATTCTTACACTACTCTATATACCAGGAAGCGCTCGATGATGGTACACCTATAGCTGGCCTACACGGCGGCCAACCATTCCGCCGCAACCACAATGCCTATCGAAGCCCTCCCACCCGCCACAACCCGCCTCATCGGCTCAGCCCAAGTCCTCACCGACCCCTCCTCCGTCGTCAAAGAGCTCATCGACAACGCCCTCGACGCGCGCGCAGCCTCCATCTCCGTCGAGGTCGCCGCCAACACCATCGACGTGATCCAAGTCCGCGACAATGGCCACGGCATCGCGCCGGACGACCGCGCAATGGTGTGCCGGCGCTACTGCACGAGCAAGATCAGGTCTTTCGACGACCTGCGGAGGGTGGGTGGCAGCGTGCTGGGGTTCAGGGGCGAGGCGCTGGCGAGTTTGGCGGAGATGAGTGGGAGCTTGAGTGTCATGACGAGGGTCGAGGGCGAGGCGTGTGCGGTTAATCTGAAGATTGGGAGGGCGGGGGAGGTCGAAGGGACAGAGAAGGCGTCGCATCCCGTCGGCACGACTATCAGAGCCACGGACTTCTTTAAAGGCATCCCGGTTAGGATGCAGGCGGCGCTGAAGCACTCGGCGAGGTATTTGGCGAAGATTAAGAGGACTATGCAGGCGTATGCGCTGTGTAGACCCACCGTCAGACTTTCACTGAAAGTCCTGAAGGCTAAGAATGATAAGGGCAACTGGGTCTATGCGCCGAAGCAGGGGGCTGGGGTTGAGGACGCGGCGTTGAAGGTCGTGGGGAGGGACTGCGCTGCCCAATGCTCCTGGTCAGTCCTTGAGTCGCATGGCTTCACCATGCAGGCATTTCTACCGAAGCCGGATGCGGATTCCACCAAGATCAGCGGTATTGGGCAGTTTCTCTCCGTGGATTCAAGGCCGGTTTCTGCGACTCGGCAGACGCTCAAGAAAGTGGTTTCGATATTCAAGGAGAAGCTGAGAAAGGCAAATCCGAAGCCAGACAGTGTGAAGGATCCCTTCTTGTACCTGAATATTGTGTGTCCGCCGGACAGCTATGACCCAAACGTGGAGCCAGCAAAGGACGATGTACTCTTCGACAACGAAGCTAACGTTCTGGCGGCGGCTGAAGAGCTATTCCTCGCATGCTATCCGCAGGTACCCCTGGAAACGGTTCAGTCTAGCCCAGGTGTACAGCCAAGGGATGCAAGCACACCTACGGAAAGACAGCCAGTCATTGAAGTGTTTGAGGATGAAAGCAACGTAACACATACGCCCGCAGGAGGACGACGCGTGTGGAGATCCAACATGTACGGGCACGATGAGGAAGACACGGTTGTGGCGGACGACCGGCCTCATTCCGTGCAAGAAGATGACTGCGATGCGGAGCAGAATGCCCGTAGCGTCGAAGTATCTAATCCATGGATCATAGCCAAGATGACCACTTCCGCTCCAAAGAAAAGACCAACCTCGCTCAACAATGGCCAGCTCATGACTCCTCTTCGTGAGCGCAGCGGTGCAGAGATCAATTCGAGCTCACCTGTCCGAGCAGCAAGCCATATGCAGTCTCGTATACAGGCCCCGTTCACTCCACAGCCATCACCATCAGCTGCAAATATAGGCTCAGGATCTTCGCAAGGCGAATCGCTGCACCAAACCATCCAGCGACCTGCCTCGCCACAGCCCCATCATGCTGTATCAGATGATGAAGTTTCCTTACTATCAGCGCGGCAACCTTCCATTCAGTCAAGAAATGACTTCGTCACAGCGCGCGAGCTGACATTAGGCACGCCTCTTCATGCCATTCCTGAGGCTGCGTCAAGGCCCCATCGTCCTGCACCTAGCAAGCAGCCTAAAGATGTCAACAAGTCTCTCAAATCTCCTCTCAATGATCCCTCAGATGTCTGGTTCAAGATAAGTTCGTCCTCGCAACCCTCACGTCAGAGGGGCCCGCCTGGAAAGCGAGGACGGCCTGTGGGAGGACAGCCTTTCTGGACTCCGCGAAGCCAGGCCTACGATGCTGCCGATGCGCTGATAAACCGTATTACCTCTTCTGACACGCGGAACAATAGAGACATCCGTGACTTCGTTACCGCTGGCGAGCTGGTAGCGGCCGGTCCACGTTGGTCGGATGAGCATAGTACTGTCGCTGGTACAGAGGATGCAGACATGCTTCTGCAACCTCCTTCTCCGCACGCCCGGGAGAGTGGTTCATCTTCTGTGACCAGAGCAGCATCACCGGTGTCAAGACGTTTAAGGCGGGTTTCGGGTTCACCAGAAGCCATGGTCGACGAGATAGACGCAGAGTTCCAGCGCCATCTTGTTGGAGCAAGGGTACGGTCCCGTCCAGCTTTAGCTGAAGATCTACAACACACAGTATCGACTAGCATAGAGAGCGGAGCGCAGGCCCGAGACAAGCAACATACCGACGCCCCTCAACGCAAACGTCGCAGAACGGCCGACGGCGGACCCCAAAGGTCAAAGTCTGCCAATCTCCCACTTGAGCGTGTTCCCGCAAAGTTCCGTGTACAGGATCTTATCCTAAAGGCTCCCGCGTTTACCAATAGCATCTCTGAAGGACTGCAGCGACTTGATACGGCGACAAACCGTGTTGACTGGCATCTCCCGCCGGATAGAGCTTTCAATGCATTTGCGATTCCGCCAACACCAAGTGAGCTTCAAGCGTGGACCGTCCGGCTTACTGCTTCATTGAATGGGTTGTTTCCTAACCAGGAGGTGGAGGGGAGTCTTGGGCAGGTGCTGTCCGCTGCTGTTTCTCAACATATGAATGACTATCTGGCTGTTGATTCTGCTTGACGAGTTACGTTCTGTGCTTTTGGCATGGCGAAAAAGCTGGAATCTTAGCATGGGTCGGTGTTGCTTAAGGATACTGGTTTCGCTAAAGATACCCTGGGCTTCTTGCGGTTGGGTATATATTTATGACTATGCTTCAGTCACATTTAACTATCTTTCGCTTTTATAGCGTCGTGTTACCGGTACCTAGCTCGACTCTGTGCATGTCCTTTTCCTTGATTAATGAAGTCAATCACGCCATCGACGGGTGTTCTCCTCAAGAATGATCACCAGGAAATTCCCTCTGTCGCTACTCCCGTCGCCTAAAACGGTAGTAGGAGCTTTTCCGTAGAACGCCGCAATTGCCAGAAGCGCCTTCCATCGCGTTCAGAACCAAGCTTGGCAACGGGGACAAGTCTTGATTTAGCGGCGCGTGGCGCTTGCGCGAGGCCTCGGCCATTGCAAGCGTGGGATTGATTGCGCTAGCCGGTCGCCAGAGTGCGGGTGGTGAATGTCCTCCGCTGCAGTTGCTTTCCGCAGAGTGAAGGCCTGTTGTCGTGCGGCTCTCTAAGAGCTTCAGGCGCTGTCCCAGTCATGGGATTGCGAGGTTTCTTCTGCGGCTCCCTCCCTAGTGATCGGTGACATCAGGGACGTCAATGGAGACCTGGAAGGCCAAGCTCCTCCAGCTCAGGTTCGCGCACGCGCCCGCGCCCGCGCCCACAGTTCTCAACACCTGCTTACCAGTATCGCAGCGGTCTGATATTGGGAACATCCTACCTTTCCGTCAGCTATGACAAGTCCTTCGCCGCGGATAAGCCCATCCACTCAGCGATCGCCGTCCTGGCGCTTTGTGGAGGCGCAATTCTGCTGTCGAACAAGCTCTTTCCGCCGAGCGCCTCGTCCACTACCACGAAGGCTTATTTAGCCATCCCACTCCAGAACGCCAATGGCGGCCACCCTTCGCGGCCGAGCTCGCCGGCTCCTGGGCACGACGAGCGCGACAACACATCATGGAGACGAATCCCGCCAAAGACGCTTCTTAAGCTGTTCTTACTCGTCTTGGCAATGTGTATGCGGGTAGAGGTCTTGCACCAGGTCATAAAGAACGTACAGTGCGCGAAGAACCGTTTTACATACTATGAGGTCTGTGGGCAGTCTATCGAACGGGGCGAAGGATGAATCTAACCGCAGCAGGTTTTCCTCCCCTTCGTCGCTGCGCTGTATCGCGCCTGGCAAACACGAGCGGACCGGAGTACGAACATGAGTGAGTACTGGGCGGGAGGGACTGTAAATGCGAAAACATATCTGCGCGTTGTTAGCGGTTCCTGGATATTGGCATGCGCCACGCTACTACTCGGCTGGAGTGCCGCGTTAGGAGCATCCTCTTCGGCCGGGCCCAAGTCAACGTATATCTGCGCAGGAACGCTGTCGAACATAGCATCAGTTCCGTTCTTGCAGTTTTGCGGCTTTTCCCTGGATGTCTCACTGACTGTTTTACTTACGAGAATCACGGGGCCTTCAAGCGAGGGAAAACGTACAGGAGGCAACGGCATTTCTGTTGTAGGTTGGGCATGCATAGTAAGTCCGCCCTTGTAATCAGCTATCGCACCTTACTGATTGCGCTCATTAGTTCTCAGCCATTTTTTACTCAATTGTTGGCGTAGTTGTCTATGTTGCGAGCCCGGACAGTCGGCACTGGATCCTTTCGATACCCCAGAACTACCTAATGAGTTTATTTGAGTTTGCATTCGTCGCAAGCATTACGGTTGTGCTTGGCATGCGCGCCGTAAGTACCTCCTTTGCCTTCCATGATCTCGGCTCACCAATTGCAGGCGAGCCATATCGAAAGCCCGACAGTATTGTTCCTTGTAGTCTTTAGCTCGTCATATGCAAATGGACTGATAAAAGCTTGGTCGAATTATCATCCTTATCCCCCTACATCGGATGGGTGGAGCTTGCTCGCAGTGTTGGGCATGCTTTTCGCAGCAGCTGTATGCTTCCTGGGAGAAACATTGTCGCAGGATTCAGTTCCACCGTCGAAAGTCGCTTTCAGTCGGCTGCACTCGACGCTCTTTGCTGTACCTCTGATGCTCTTTCTCGCTCGAGCTAGTCTCTGGTACTCCCACAGCGGTCGAGTCAATTTTCACCCCATTGACTTGCTCATCTATGAGGGCAAAGTTCAGCACACGGCCTGGCTTTCGCAGGCATCGGCTAGCAACTCTTTCTTCACTGCCAGCAGAAAGTACAAGCAGCGATACCACCAACCTCCGCCGCCCAATTTCAACAAGTGGTACGAGTATGCTAGCAGCCGGTCCGCGGTCGTCACCGATGACTTCGACAATGTCTACGACGATCTGCTGCCCTTCTGGTCGCTATCGCCCTCGGAGATACGGCGGTATACGTGGGATATCCTATCCCAGAGCAACAATGGCGTGGGAGGCATCAGCATACGCGACGGCAAGGTGGACGTGTTGCCTGGCACTCCAGGCACCCACCGCTGGATGCTTGATGGCGCAATCCGCATCATCGAAAATTTCGTGGAATGGCTTCCTGACATGGACCTTGCGCTTAATCTGAATGATGAACCTCGTGTTGCCGTACCGTATCGGGACATCGAGAAGATGCGCAGGAAGGGACGGCAACCAAGATTGGTCGGGGCTAATAAGATCACGAAGTTTAGCGACAATCGAGCTGGTGGATGGGCGCCAGTCACAGAGGAACAGTTCCCCGATACGAATTTTGAGATGCTGTCCTTCCAGCGCACATTCTATGAGTATGGCTCGGTCGGCTGCCCACCCTCATCTCCGGCCCGCCGCCAACGCCTCTGGGATACGTCCCAGCTCTGCATGACCTGTACATATCCTCACTCCCTAGGCCAGTTTGTGTCGAACTGGACCCTATCGGGCGACGTATGCCATCAACCCGACCTCGCCGACCTCCACGGGCTCTACCTTTCACCAGCCGCCTTCCAAGGCTCCCACAAGCTCTTCCCCATCTTCAGCCAGAGCAAAGCCGGCGGCTTCAACGACATCCGGTTCCCCTCACCCTGGAACTATATGGACAAGGTCGCCTACGCGCCGAACGAGGTGTACCCTGACCCTTCTTTCCGCGATAAAAAGGTCTCTCTCTTCTGGCGCGGCGTCACCTCCGAAGGCGTCTCGCCCGGCACCGGAGTCTGGAAAGGCATGTCTCGTCAGCGCCTCGTCCATCTCGCCAGCAATCCCACAGCGCCCCAACACGTCCTCCTCCCGGTCTCCGAAGGTGCGAAGCAATTCGCCTACACGCCCGTCGCGCCGTCGGAGTTAAAGAAACTACTCAGCACGGACGTCCACTTCGTCGACCCCATCGTCCGCTGCGGCGGCCGCGACTGCGCCGACCAAGCCGCAGAATTCGGCTTCGGCGATAAGGTCGACTTCCAGGAACACTGGGGGTACAAGTTCCTCTTCGACGCCGATGGCGCGGGCTTCAGTGGGCGCTTCCTGCCGTTCCTGCAGAGTCGGAGCTTGCCGTTCAAGAGCGCGTTGTTCCGCGAGTGGTGGGAGGGAAGACTGACGCCGTGGCTGCATTTTGTGCCGGTGGACTTGAGGATGCACGGGCTGTGGAGTACGCTTGCGTATTTTGCGGGTGTGGATGGACTGGTTGGGGGACGGAAGGTCAAGTGGGAGCCGAAGGGAAGGGAGGCGGAGATGATTGCGGAGGAGGGGAGGGAGTGGGCGGGGAAGGTACTAAGGAAGGAAGATATGGAGATTTATTTCTTTAGGCTGTTGTTAGAGTGGGGGAGGCTGACGGATGATAGGAGGGATGAGCTGGGGATGTATATTCCGTGACTAGATTGGAAACTTAGATAGACGCATTATATAGTATCTCGATAACGAACGCTGCTACTTGATATCCGTACTGGCTCGGCCGATTGTCATCCCGGCGTCTGATATTGATCGCCTGCGGAAGGTCTGACGCAATTGACGTTCCGTTCTCCTGATAGGGCTGAGGGACTTTCATAACGTCCCGCCTTGGCATCAACTTCAACGGCCTCATCAAATGCTCGCCGCGGATATGGAATGTCGCTGTTGAGGGGCAACCGAAATGTCATATTGCTGCTGGCAATCATCATTGTCCTCCTCCTCTTTCATAGCGGCAACAGTAGCAGCTCCAGTGGCGCACCTTTTTTCCACCATGAAGCCGTGGACTGGTCCCGGTACGCATACAGCCAGTATGCCACCGACAGCGCCTATCTCTGCAATTCGGTGATGGTCTTCGAGGCCCTGCATCGCCTAGGAAGCAGAGCTGGCCGGATACTCTTTTATCCCAAGGAGTGGGATACAGTGGTGTCGAGCTCGAAGGATCGGGATAGCCAGCTTCTGGTCATGGCTAGGGACAAATACAAGGTCAAGCTCATACCGACAGATATACCTTCTATCAAGATCTCCACAAGTGAGTACCGTTCCATGTTCCAACTTCTCTGTACACAAACCACCCGGAAAACAAGACTAACACCTACCCACTCCAGATGAGACAAGCACCTCAACATGGACCCATAGCATCGGCAAATTCCTCGCCTTCTCCCAAATGCAATACACGCGAATCCTACACTTAGACTCCGACATCACGCTCCTCAAGTCCCTGGACGACCTCTTCTTCCTCCCCAGCGCCCCCGTCGCCATGCCGCGCGCCTACTGGATGGACACGAACCCCAAGCCCCTAACCTCCCTCCTCGTCCTGCTCGAGCCCTCCCAGTACGAATCCAACGCGCTGATGAGCGCCGCTGCTGCCCTTGCGCCGCGCCCTGGAGCAAGGGCTGCGGCGGGCGAAGCAGGGGCAGCAGCAGCAGCGCCCGCAGCAAAATACGACATGGAGCTCCTCAACGACCGCTACGCCCCCTCCGCCCTCGTCCTCCCGCACCGTCCCCTCTTCCTCCTGACCGGCGAATTCCGCCTCCCGCGCGCCTCCCATAGCGCCTACCTCGGCCCCTCCCCCTCTTCTCCCACTTCCCCCTCCTCTGTCTCCTGGGACCCGGATCAGGCCCTCTCCTCCGCTTCGCTCGTCCACTTCTCCGACTGGCCACTCCCGAAGCCCTGGATCATGTGGCCGCAGGGCCAGCTGGCGGAAATGGTGCCGCGGTGCTGGGAGAAGCCGGGGACGGCGGAGGAGAAGGGGTGTAGAGATCGCGAGGTGTGGTTAGGGTTGTATGCGGATTTCAGGAAGCGCAGGAAGGAAGTTTGTAGGCTGTTGAGCGTGCCGGCGCCGGAGTGGGCGCCGAGTGAGAGAGGGGCGGGTGGAGGGGTTTAATAAGGGAAATAAAACGTATGGCGGTAGTAAATCGAATTCAAACAACTGGTTGTGCGCCTTGTAAACGCCGGGTCCTATATATGACACACCGACACTTCATCTCCACACAATACATCCACCCTTCCGGCAGCGTACACATCCATCGGCCTGCTCAGCTTATAGTCCATCTACTTCGCCCTCGGTCCCGACACGCCTGCCCCAATGACGCTCGGCAGCTCCTGCTCGCCCATACTATACAACAGCCCAATGCCCCAACTAACCACAAACAAGAACAGCACCGTGAACCCGAACAGCAGCCAAAACGGCATGACGACGTCCTTCTTCTGGCACGCCGGCCCGCCCCACCTCGTCGTCTTGACGTTCTTGCCATCCTTATCCTTCCTGATGTCCGGCATGCAGGAGCACGCATAGCACGGCTTGTTGTCGCTGTCGCGGTCTTTGTAGGCGAGACGGCAGTGCCCGTGGCCCGTGCAGTTGCGCGTCGTGGCTTCGCAGGCGGATTGGGAGGAGAAGCAGGCGGGGAGGATGCCGCGCAGGACGGAGGCTGAGTCGATGGAGGAGGTGTCGGGGTTGTTGTTATTGGTGGCGGAAGTGAGGGTCGTGGAGGGCTTGGCGGAGAGGGGGGCCTCAGGGGTGGCGCGCCTGGATTTGGCGGGTGGCGCGCCATAGCATCTGTTGTTTTTGGCAGCGTAGGGCATTAGGGCGATGGTGATGGGGATTTCGAGACGCTGGGCTATGGCGAGGACCTCGGTGAAGTGGGAGCGGCTGCGTTCGAGAGCTTCTTTGTAGCGGTTGTCATTGGCGCCGTATTTTCTGAGTGTTTGCTGGTGGCTCTGTTAGCGTTGTACAGCGCTGAGATAGAAAGCGTGTCGTACCCGCACGCTGTCGAAATGCATCAGTGTGATGCGGCCGGGAGTGGCGATGTCCTCAGATGCGGCGAGGGGCTCCTTGTTTGTTGAAACGATCATGATGTCGTCCATTGGGGTTCCAGTCTCTTCACGGCGCCAGTCTTGTGCCCACGGAAGACTCCTCGCTTGGGACTCGAACTCATCGTAGAGTCGTTTGTTGCACTCGGCGGATGGCGCGTCGGGTATCTTGAATGACTTGACGCCCTTGGGTGGATTCTTGAAGAAGTCTGATATTTGATGTTCAGCGCAGTTCACCGATGCTTGCACGGAAGGACTGCTGTACCATTCATGTCCTGAACACCGTCTACGAGGACAAATATGCGCCGGGCCTCATCCTCAGGCTTCCCCCCAAATAGCTGCTGCCGCGGGCTTCCGAACTCATTGATTTGCTGTATCTCCCGCTCGCCCGCGTCTTGAAGGCTGTAGGAGTACGAGAGGCCTGCTCTTTGAGCGAGTATCAATCGTGCTGTCTCGGGAGTGACACTCTGAGGATCGGAGACGGCGTGGGAGTGGCTATCGGCAGGATCGTAGGTGTAGACGAGGCCGGCGGGACCAGGTGTTCTCGCAGCAGCGGTGCTCAGCAGCGCGGACACTGCTAAGCTAATGGAGAGCTTCATGGCTGGTTGTGATATTGCTAGCAACTGTCACGATAGGTGTCGAACGTCAGCGCAGAAGCAACAGCGCCGAGCGTCTCGGCGAAACCCTGGGAATCGTCGCCGCTTCGTGGATTCCGCAACGTCAAGCCTCGAGTCAGTCGGACCCCTCCGCAATATGTGACACTCAACACCAGCTTCTTCCACCGCGTTCCTTCCCTGAAGTTTAAAGATACCCCAAGACTAATAGCCTGCCTTCTTGTCGGCGTTTCCACTCCGCCATCCCTCCTTCCGCGCCTCTACAACAGCCCGCATATCCGCCTCCACAATGTTCAAACCCTCGAGGATACCCAGGACCTTCACCCGACTCTCTCGCATAGTCCCTTCGCATACTCGATCACAGACTGTCCGCTACGAGCATAATCTCAACATCCAGCGAGTCCGCTTCACACACCCGCCGTTTACCTGGAAGCGCGCCACCTCGGTCTTTCTGTACACCGGCGCCTTCTTAGCCTACCTGCACTTTGCCATTCCGGACGTAGAGATCGAGGACGAACCGGAAGAAAGCCGAGCGAAGAAGGGGCGCGAGGTGATGGACGACGACGACGACGAAGAAGACGACTACGAGGATGAGGACGAGGAGTACGACGAAGACTCGCTCTTCATACCTCTTACGTGGGCGAGACAGAAGCCAAAGACATTCTACAAGGGCACAGACCCCGAGTGGCAAGAGTTCCGGAGGTTCGCCCAGGACGCGAAACGGCATCGCGCCGCGCAGGGTAAGTCATCTCGCATGGGCCGACCGAGCTGAAGACATCGCTGACACCGGAAGCAGAGATGCTCGTAACCACAGTCCGCATGAGCATGGCCAACCAGCCCCGAATATCCCAACGATTCGGCCAGATCAACGTCAAAAGCGGTAAATACTGGCTCGACATGACCTTCCCCGACGGCCCGCCGCAAGAGTACGAGCGCAGCGGCATTGAGATCACAGACGACTTCATCAGCTGGACAACGCGTCCGGTATCGCAGATGAACTACGGCCGCCTCAACCGCGTGCTCTGGCCCACGGCCGCCTTCTCCTCGTTCTACGCCACCTCTCGCTACATGTTCCTCTTGCGGCTGAACCAGACCAAGCAACTGCTTGGTCTTGCACCGAAAGAAGACGAGAAAATTGTGCAGTTGCGCGCGGCGTTGGAGGCTGTGCATCCTGGCGCGCAAACCATGTTACCCAAGCCAGCCCCGCCCGGCACCTCTGGTAGAAGCGCCGCAGACCCAGCAAAAGGCATAGCGCCCATTGCGCTGCCAGCACCACCGCAAGGGCAGCAGGCGCCGGAGGCAGGTGGTAAAGAAAAGGCGGCTAGCCTCCCGAGCCTTCCAACCATCCAGCGGCAACCGATAGCGATGTCCGTGTTTGCGAACACGTGGGTCAAGAATTGGACGCCATTGAATGTTGAAGCACCGCGGGGAAGCATTGTAGTGAGTGGGCTGATCGAGGTGCAGGGAAATAAGGCGAGGGCCACAATGGACGTCGTGGCTGCGTATGATCCGAAGCAGAACAAATACGTGGCGATGAGTTTGGGGGTTAGGAGGGTACAGGACAAGAAACAGGCGCCTAAAGGCGGGCGTTAAAATCACGTCTCGAGAATGTTTATGGGGTAGCCTTGTTCAACCGGCTGGAGCGTTTCGAGCGATCGAGTGCCATCGTTTTGCGCACGGCATTTTCCTTTGGTTTACGGTTTGGCGTTATCATGCACGAAGTGCTTTACTGCATAGCTCGGCGCTGGGTCGGTCTATATCCCGCTTCCGGCGACTCGGTAGCTATGGTCTTGGTCTCTCTCTGCACGGTTTCATGATGTCTCCTTTTAGACCAGATTTCACGGAGTTTGCTTGTCGTTGCGTGGCACGCATCTCAGTCAGTACTGTTTTTGCTGCTTCTTGGGTAGAATGAATGTCCCGATGACCTTTCAACTCACGCTCGTTCCTGGCTTGCTTCAATGGTCTATTCTTAGTCATCGTGAGTCAAACACGTTCGCTTCTGTGAAATTGCCCGGCATTCCATACTCAACGCATAGAACTCTCACTGGGTTTAGGAAAACTACGAGCTTTGACGACGCAGCTGTCAAAATCGCTATCAAAACAAAAAACAGCCCAGCCCACTTCTTAGTACCCGAGTCGCCGTCTGGACACATCTCCGTCCTGCATTTGACACATAGGGTCAGGCCTAATCGAACCTGCCCCGCCCTCTGTCGTACGCAAAGCCGACGGCCAGTCTGTGCAGCGGTGTGGCCCGAAGTAGCCCGTGCCTCACGTGAGTCTCGGCCCCCAGCCTTCCCTTATCAGGCGGGATTTCTTCACAGACAAATTCTTGTCCTCTAAGCTTTCCCACATCACAGTTGCTCGCCCTGTTCTTGGCTTTACCACAACACAAATGGAACACAACACAGCCAGAAATAACAACACCAACACCAATAACGCAGCTAAACTTTTACATCAGTCTAAACTGACACAGCTGGAATACCATGCAACTGAAGGAAGATTGGAACAAAGGACCCTGTTCAAGATCGAAGAAATCTTCCCTCGCCTCACAACAGACAACATCACAGGAGCGAACTGTAGAACGTGTTGACAAAGGCGGGAGGCAACACTCCAGAGACCTTGCACGATTCAACAACCTACACAAGCACTACAAACTTCAAACAAACTTCATTCGAGAGCGCCGATACCTTTTGAACGCGAAGATGTCTGCAAACAATGAGCAAGACGAGCCTACGACCCCACGCCGCCGACCAGTAGCTCCGCGAGTTCCAGTCACGCCCGAGAATAGACGGTCGTTACCTCCCGCTGAAGACGTTCCGCGAACGGTCACCAGGTTCTCCTATTAATCACTTCTCATATCCCCACTGGAGGAGAACAAATTTAAAATGCCACCATCACGGCTGTGGTATTAGACAGCACGCTTGTGGCGTTTATAACACAATTTTGGAAAGATGTTCACATCAACAACAAGACCACTAGCTCCTTCAGGCCTACCTCACTACCGCACTATCAACCATGGTTAATGGCCTTCCGGAACAGAGTCAAGCAACGTTACCCACGCTAACAGCATGAATCTGGCCCTCAGCCTTGGGCTGTTTCAATACTTGAACGCAACCGGGAAGCGACACCCAAGAACATGTGCGCAATGAAGGACGGACTGATTCTGCCTACTCCTGAAGGAAACCGGAGCTCAAGAGAGACGCGCATCAAGAGTCAACAGTTGTATATGGTCTCCACCGTACAAGCGCTGCATCCGCCTTTGCAGGCCGTGCCCTTCGTCCGCTCAACAGTTCTCGATCCGACACTCGCTCTAGACCTCCTTCTTCACGCGTTCCTCCTAAGATCGCGCTCGCCGAACCATTCAATCCACACAACAGCTCCATCAGACGGTCCGTTGAGGTCCAGCAAAGCTACCTGGAGGATGCCTATCATTTTCTTCACCCACAGAAGCAAGTACCGCGAGAACAAGAAGGCTGCTAGCGCCAACAAGAAAGAAGGCATCGACCTCACGTTTCGGGCATACGACCTACATGAAGCTAAGGCGAAGACAGCGGCAAAGCGGCCCAAACCCAGTGGACGCCGGTCAGTTCCAGAGGCGTCGTCGTCTAGCCAGCAACTCTTCCACGAACCCGAGGAAGACGAGGAGTAGAAGGCCGCAATGATAAGTGAGTTGGAGGCATTAGACCCGGATACTGCTTCAACATAGGGACAACTGAATAGAGCCTGGATATATTACATCCTTTAAGGCACTCACCTTCCACTGTCCAATGAGACAGCAACGTCCTAAACCGAAGCTGAGGTAGAAGTACTTTTCTTGAGTGGCGATAAAGCTAGAGACATCATCGCGAAGGGCCAGTCTTTAGACGTTCCAATTATAACCAGAGGTTAGCAAACCCACGAGTGGACCTGGAGCGAGGAACGCCCCCTTTGCCGAAGAGACGTTAGGTGCCGTCAAAGCACGCTTCTTCAAGAATGAGCCCAGTTCAGAGCCCTGGAACGTGCTTGATTTCGACTGCTCAAGCAGCCAAGGACGATCGATGCAGAACTGACTAAAAACGGAGCTTGATCACCTGCGCTTCGTGCCCTCCCCCGGGCTTGGCGCAGTAATGTCGTTCAGCGGGGACGAATTACTTAGCCACTGCAACGGCCGGACTACCTCCCCGGACATCACCCGCTTGTTCCGGATATGCCCGCTTATTTTACGGAGATCTCACCAGGTCCTGCAGATTCACAGCAACCTGCCATTCTAAGAACAAGCACAAGAAGGCATGCCATATCACTATTCAACAACATGGAGCCACTGGCAAAAATGCCTGTAAAGGTCCTAGAACGCATTTCGCCTTGGTTGGAGGCATTACCTACTGGGAAGGATACCAACAATCGATTCAAGATCTGGCGTGCGTTCGACGACACATTCCAAGCTGCTGTCGATACTTTGGTGCTTGCATTAGACGAGGGCGACAACACCAGCCGCCTTGATGCCTTTCTAGAAGCATGGGAGCATGCCAACACAGTAAAAGGCGGCACAGGCGTGGGCGTGTGGCCCAAGAGACCCTCGCGGGGGTATGGAAGAGCAAGAACAAGGCAGGCAAAGGCAAGGCAGGCAAGAAGAAGCCATAAGAATAAGCAATACCGCGGATCTTACTTATGCTTAGAAGTATTTCCTGAGTACCTTGATAAACAAGCGCAGGGCGAAGAAATCTCAAAAGAGCAAAGGACCTGCGGCGTTGCCGCGCTGGTCAATCTCAGAAAGAAGGCGAAGATAGCTCATGAGGGCGGCGAGGCATCTACACCGTTGGAGGATAAGCAGTCGGCTCGGGACGAAGACGAGGTGATGGCGGATACACTTGCCGAGGTCGAGGGAGACGAGGAGATGGCGGACGTGGGAACCACAACACACACTCTGCGGCGATGCTATGGGGCTGGGGAAGACGATTCTCGCGGTATTGATCATGTGGATGGTGAAGGAGCAGCCAGGCTTCTCGCTTGTGGTTGCTCCTAAAGGTCTCCTGTACCAGTGGAAGGAGACGATTGAGGGGATACGGGAAGAGGTAGGTACTTTTTCCATATCGCCTACTCGCACGAACGTTCCAGTAATCGATACTATCAATCCTTCGTGGTGCTCCAAAGCTAACCTCACATATGTAGGGCCACGAGATGCGCGCCTTCATATTGGATGATTCCAGCCTGACAGCACACAGCGGATTACGTCTTATGCATTCTGAGATTACTTGGTGCCATGCGTTCTGTGTATATTCTGTATTGGGGTTCACACGTTTAATGATTGTGGGTTATATAACTGTATAATGTGTACTAACTTAGATATAGATGTCAAGACTACCGTTCCGTCGATGCTATAACTGCGGTGGCTATGACCACCTACGTGCGGACTGCCCCTCCCCCCAGCGGCACTATTCCCGACCCTCCCAGCCCCGCTCCTCCGAGGGTTCCCAGGCCTATACGGCCTACAATACAGAAGCTCTCGGCCGGGCCTTCGGGTCTTTCCTGAACACCTGATGAGCTACAGAATTCGCCCGAGTGTTGCTAGCCTGGGCGGCGGGTCAGACGCGAAGACGAAGAATGAGCGGAGCGGCATAGAAGATTATGCGATTTTCCGATCAGCAATGGACCAACTTTGGTATTCGCACGACAGAGAACGACGCATATACTTCTTGCCGTCTTAGTTCGCCTTACCGGAAGAAAGTGACACTGGATCCCTCTTGGGAGAGCCTGGTGGCAGGGGGTATGCTCTCGCCCAAGTCCTATCTGAGGAGGACGCTGAAACCTTGTAATCCGTGGACGAGTAGCTGGAAAACAGCGTCAGCTTGAACAAGGAATACGGTCGAAACAATCAATATCCCTGACGACCTTAAGGCCCCAGAGTCGCTGCAGTATTGCGAGTTCGCAGATGATGTCGCTCTGCACTTATTCCAGCATTGGCGATGGCTTCAAGAGAACGGGTCACAGGGCCAACGTGGCTATTCACGTTATCGTTACGAAGCGATATATAAAAAATTTGGCAGGGGCGCTTTTGGAAGCGACAACACGAAAGTTGCAAAAGCACGATGCCTGGCTCCCAAACCATGACTGAGAGAGCGCTCTCTGCCATCCAGGCCTATCCGACAGCGTGTATGCCGAAATCATGACTCCGGAATCTTCAAGTCTCAGGCTCATGGCATCAGCCTCGGAGTGGACTCTGGATACGGTCAGCCTACAGGTCTGATGGATTCCGAGCCATCGGCCACAGCTTCCTTGTTCCAACGCGATCTGGCGACCTGACTAGCAACCAACTTCGGTTTCTTGACCACTCTAGATAAGCGTCTCCGGAAAAGAAGCTCGACACTGAAACACCCTTCCTCCACGCCTGTGCGCATATGCCACAGCATATCTATCGTTCGCGGAGAACCAACACACGTTGCTAACCATATTGCTAAGGATGAAACAAAGAGAACATCGCTCGTAACCATCGATATCCTCCCAATCGGTAGTGGGGAATACAAACTCTTAAACTTTGATAACTGCACATCCCTTCTAGTCCACAGATCCGGTTCTTAGACTTTGGGCTCCATCATCACCATCAACATACCTATCACATCGGCCGCCGCCGGTTGTCGTTACCAATGTGCTTACGTACGAGTCCGAGACGCAGACGCAGAGGCCGGATCGGCCGCCTTAAAGATCGACAGGTTTCGTTCATCAGAATGGTCCCGGACCGAGACCAGAAACGGCCTCCGTAAATACCTCACGAACAAACATAAGACCGAACTTGCAGAAGACCCACTGGAGCCTGGTGACAGCTGACGCGCCTGAGTCTGCTAAAATCGACACCTGGGCCAGAGGACGCATGGGCCGCTTCAGCGGAAGCACCAGCAAAAAAGCTGAGTTGTCACAGTCTATCACACCTATGAATAAGACAGAGAACCGCGCTTGTGGATATGCCCGCCTCCCTCTAGCGAAACGCCACCGCCTTGCACGAAGCAAAGACAATCTCGTTCGCTATCGACCTCAACGCTAGCGATAGGGATCACTTCGGTAATAACACTAAGGAGCAACTGCAGTGGCTTAGAGGAATCCTCCGGTTATCTGGAGTCGGCACGCAAACCCCCGCCCAGCCCTTCTGGCACTACGCCAGCCATGAAGGATGGCTCAGCACGGTCAAATCTTCGCCGTCGTATGCGGTCGGATTCGACTTTCCCCCAAAATCGGTCAGAATTGCTTTCCAGTCTACACGCCCAAGTGGCTGGCCTGAAGGTT